AGGTGCTGTCCAACTGTCTCAGGGACTCCACTCCAGATTTGTGTAGAGTTTATTCCTTAGACTTAGCTTCTCCTGAAGATATTCTGTAAGGCAGTGGAGGTTTAGGACCAGAGCTTTCCTTCTCCTAGATGAGCTGCCTTCCCAGGTGAACGAGCCCCATCTGCCCCTCACTTCCCTCTACAGCACGTGGAGAAACCATCTTCTTGACCACTGGGCACACCAGTGGTCTTGTTCGCTCAGTTCACCAGAGCCTGTCTTCTCACATGCAGGGAAAGCCCCTTAACTCACCAAAGGACTGTTTCAACTTTCACCACCATGACTACCCTCCCGCCCCCCAAACAGCTTTTCTCTTTTAAAAATGCAGTTGTTGGGGTTTATGCCAGAAACCCCATCTGGAAACTCCTAATCAGGGACATGAAGGATATCCTGGCTGATATGAACTGGCCGGCTTTAGAGGAGGCCGATTCAGGTTGGACCAGGCAGCCTTTGGTGGAGAAACAGACCCAGAACGTCTCTTCTCAGTCCTATCATTGTATGTTACGTGTTGCAATGATTTGAACTGCTCTTTCCCTGCCCGCATCAAGTTTTAAAGTCATGAGGAAGAGGTTGGCTGTTTACGGCCCCGGCATTTCCCTCCCCTCCCCTCCTTGCCTTCTGCTCCTTATTATCTTGCCATATGAGGCTGTGGCTCCAAAGGACCCATTAGATATTCCTTGATGGACTCTCTGCTCCAGGGGCCTTCCTAAGGCTCTTTTCAAAATCATTAAGCTGTTAGCTGTTTGAATGCCGAATTAGGGACTCCATTAGCTCCAAAAATAGCTGCCCACACGGGAAACCACACTTAGGCTGCGATCCTGCTGTGCCCCGTCAGAGGCAAAGGGCTTACTTCTGAGTAGACCTCCCTAGGATTGTGTTGTTTACAGATGCAATCCTAGGCACACTTACGGATGAGGTGAGGCCTACTGTACATAATGGGACTTACTTCTGAGTAGACATGTATAGGGTTGTGAATGGACTCGCATACTTTGTCAGTTGCTTGGTGGGGCGTTGGAATAGATAACCCTGGGGGGGGGGGTCCCTTCTACTCTGTGATTATGTGATTCTATCCAGATTTGTATAGTTTAACTTCAGGCTGTTTGCCTTCATCCATCCAAAAACCATATCCAAAAAGCAGTTCAGGATTTTAGCATCCTCCATGGGATCAGAAGGTGCAAAAGGGAGGCAAAGCTGGGCATCATCATCCCTGCACCCCAAAGCTCTGGACACCTTCTCTCTGCAGTTTCATGTAAACGTTTGAAGGCCTTAATAATAATAATTTATTATTTATACCCCACCAATCTGGCTGGGTTTCCCCAGCCACTCTGGACAGCTACCAACAGAATATTAAAATCACGATAAAACATCAAACATTAAAAACTTCCCTAAACAGGGCTGCCTTCGGATGTTTTCTAAAAGTCAGATAGTTGTTTATTTCCTTGGCATCTGATGGGAGGGCATTCCACAGGGTGGGTGCCACTACCGAGAAGGCCTTCTGCTTGGTTCCCTGTAGCTTCGCTTCTTGCAGTGAAGGAACCACCTGAAGGCTCTCGGAGCTGGACCTCAGTGTCTGGGCTGAACGATGGAGATGGAGATGCTTCTTCAATTCCTGGCCCCTCTGTGTAGGACAGGAAATGCCTCTGAGCACCCTGGAGACCTGCTGCCAGTCAGTGCAAACATTACTGAGCAAGATGGACTAAAGGTCTGTCTCTGCCTGGGAAGCTTCCTAGGCTCACCGCCCCCAGCCCACCTTTGCTCTCGTGGCAATTAAGCCTCTCCGATAAGTGGAGGCACAGCTGTCCTTGGGGGGGGGTGCAAAAGGGCCCCCTCCCTCCTCCAAAACCGAGGATTATGCAAAGGCGTTCATGTATAAAATTGCTTCTTGTACCGAGAGGCGAGCAGGGACGCCAAAAATCAGCCACTCCGGGGGGTTCCAGGCGCTGCGACGGACAGAGACCTGCCGGGCCCGCTCCGCTGCACCGCCGCTCTATCTGGGCCATCCACCACTCGAGACTTTACATGCCTCCAGCAAGCGGCGTGCAGCACTGAGCGCGTTCTTTCTGCTCCAGTAACTGCGGGGAAAGATTTGTCGGAAACGAGCGGGGAGGGAGGGGGCGAGAAAGAGAGAAGGAGCAAGGAGGGACCGCCGGAGTTTCACAGCCGTTTTTTTTTTTACACCCAGGGTGTCCAAAAAGTCAGTAGTTTGACTAAAATGAAGTGAAAAGGAAACTGAGGCCCGGTCAAGGCTGGCAAGGATGGGACTGAATCTCTCTGGAGCCTCGTCTAAAAATTTAAAAAAAGGATACTGAAGAGTTGAAAAAGGTCCCAGAAATGGCCCACCCAAATAGTCAAGGGGATGGAGTTTAGAGAAAAGGTGAGTGGAAAAAAAGGTAAAGCAACTTAACGGAAGCTTGTAAAATTGTGGGTGGAGAAAAGCTTTTCTTCCTCTCTTGTAGTGCTGGAACTTGTGGGCATTCAATGAAGCTGAATGTTGGGAGAATCAGGACATGCAGCACAGAGTTAAACTCTGGAACTCATTGCCACATGAGTCTAATGACTAGAAACTAATAAATCTGCTCTGATCTCTTCCCCTCCCAATTATGTCAGTCACTTGTACAACTCAGAGCAGGGCCTTAAGTGTGATTGCCCCTGTTCTGTGGAACAGCATTCCCATCAAGGTGTGACAAGCGCCCCCTAGTGGCACTTTCTGGAAACAGTTGTAGGCACTTTTGTTCCAACAGTCAGTCTTTCTTTCCCAGCTGGATAATTGGGTATTTGCTACGAATGTCTGCTTGTTAGGGTATACTTGCCGTATATGAGTGGTGGGGGGAGGGGGTTTAACTGTTTTTAATTATTCTTATAGTACAACACCTTTAAACATTGTATGAAAGGTAAATAATAAATCAGTGAGAGCAATAATAAGTCTCCCCAGATCTTGCACCTGCTCCAAATAATTAGGATAGGACTGTAGAGCATATTTGCTGCTGCACAATGTCTGTACTGTATAGCTGTTTGCAAAAATGATTTGAGGGAAGTCTAGCTTAGCAATACCATCACCCACATTTTAAGTGTGGTGGTTAGAGTGTCAGACTGTGGGACCTGGGAGACCAGGGTTCAAATCCCCAAATGGCCATGAAGCTCATGAAGCAATGATGACCTTGGGAGGCAGTCACTGCCTCTCAGCCTAATCTACAACACAGGGTTGTTGTGGGGAATAAATGAGATGGGGCAGAACCTGTTCCCTGCATTGCAGAGTGTTGGACTAGATGGCCATCAGGGTCCCTTCCAACTCGACGCCTTGAGCTGCATGGAGAAAAAGGTGGGATTTAAAGGGAACAGACATGATGGTACAGTGGGCTCTTTTGCTACCATTTCCAGGTTAAAAGCATCAGATAACTCCCTTTGAACCCAGAACTGGTGTCAGTTGATGTGAACCACGTTGACCTGGATGGGCCAATGGTTTGATTCATAGAATCATAGAATCATAGAATCATAGAATCATAGAGCTGGAAGAGACCACAAGGGCCATCGAGTCCAACCCCCTGCCAAGCAGGAAACACCATCAGAGCACTCCTGACATATGGTTGTCAAGCCTCTGCTTAAAGACCTCCAAAGAAGGAGACTCCACCACACTCCTTGGCAGCAAATTCCACTGTCGAACAGCTCTTACTGTCAGGAAGTTCTTCCTAATGTTTAGGTGGAATCTTCTTTCTTGTAGTTTGGATCCATTGCTCCGTGTCCGCTTCTCTGGAGCAGCAGAAAACAACCTTTCTCCCTCCTCTATGTGACATCCTTTTATATATTTGAACATGGCTATCATATCACCCCTTAACCTCCTCTTCTCCAGGCTAAACATGCCCAGCTCCCTTAGCCGTTCCTCATAAGGCATCGTTTCCAGGCCTTTGACCATTTTGGTTGCCCTCCTCTGGACACGTTCCAGTTTGTCAGTGTCCTTCTTGAACTGTGGTGCCCAGAACTGGACACAGTACTCCAGGTGAGGTCTGACCAGAGCAGAATACAGTGGCACTATTACTTCCCTTGGTCTAGATGCTATACTCCTATTGATGCAGCCCAGAATTGCATTGGCTTTTTAGCTGCCGCGTCACACTGTTGGCTCATGTCAAGTTTGTGGTCAACCAAGACTCCTAGATCCTTTTCACATGTACTGCTCTCAAGCCAGGTGTCACCCATCTTGTATTTGTGCCTCTCATTTTTTTGCCCAAGTGCAATACTTTACATTTCTCCCTGTTAAAATTCATCTTGTTTGTTTTGGCCCAGTTCTCTAATCGGTCAAGGTCGTTTTGAAGTGTGATCCTGTCCTCTGGGGTGTTAGCCACCCCTCCCAGTTTGGTGTCATCTGCAAATTTGATCAGGATGCCCTTGATTCGGATTCCTTTTTTTTTTTTTAATGATATTTATTAAAGTTTCACAAGAAAAGAATCACATTAATAAAAAAGAAGAATTTAACAATAAAAAGAAAAATACACAATACAAAATACAAAAAGAAAAAAGAAAAAACAGTTAAAAACAATTCCGTCTTTTCATCACTTCTTTTACGTTTACTTGTTTCCCGGACCTCCTCATACCTCCCTCTTTTGTATTCCAATTCAATTTGTTAGTCCAGCAATTTCTTTCCCTCCTTTTTAATCCTAATCTTTAATCTTAATATATTATAACATTAAATTTTTACCTATTAAAAACCAATTTTTCCATTCTTTTGACCATTACTGCTAGAAACCGCTTAACTTCAATCAACTTGAAGATTCAGATTCCTTCTCTGTAAGGAAGTTTTAATATAATTGTCACATATTTTTGCATGCCACCTTGCAGTGGTGGCCGGTGCCTCAGCTAGCACAGAAGGCAGGGAGCCCAGCAGCAGGTGGCGCCAGAGCCAAGGAAAGGCAAATACAAGCCCTGATTGGCTGCAAGTAAGAAGATAGGCAGAATGCAATGCAGGAATCTTTTGCCCAGCATGGAACTCAAACCGATGACCCTGGGATTAAGTCTCATGCTCTACCGACTGAGCTATCTGCCTGAGGTCAGGCTGGGGTTGGTGGGGCGCTGGGCTCATTGTTGTGAAGATTCCTTGAAACGTGGTCTACAAATAATTTAAACAAAAAATGGAATAAAGTATAAACGCATCTCTCCACCATATGCCAGGCCAGTTACAAGAAAGAAGATGTCTCTGTGCATGTGCTGAGTGCCATAACTGCAGCCGCCTCCCATGGATCTCAGGCACTGGAGAAGTGGGGCCCTGAGCCCCACAAACCCCACCATTTCAGAAACAAAGCCTGAAGCCACCGCTTTCGAGGCAGCAGCCTCCAGCTGTGTGTTAATTGGATTACGGCACTTAGCCCTTGCGGAGAAGTTGACAAAGGGCCCTCCGGGGCTCCGCAGTTTAGTGAGAAATACGAGGTCTTTGGGAATAGAAGAACCCGAAAATTCCGCGGATGTTTCTCTGCCAAGAACCCGGCAATGCCTTGTCCTCTACTGCCCCCTACAGGGGCTGAAGCTGCAGCACAGTTTAATAATCATAGAATCATAGAGTTAGGGACCCCAAGAGTCATCTAGTCCAACCCGCTGCAATGCAGGAATTCTGCCCCCAACCACCCCTGGGTGGGCTCAAACCACTGGTGGAAGAAGAATAGATTTCTAGAGTTGGAAGAGACCCCAAGGGTAAGGTTACCAGATTTTTTTCAATGAATAAGGGGACTTTTTTTTACTTCAGTAGGAATGATAGGATTTTGTATGGGGGCTGATTTGTAAATCCGGGGACTGTCCCCGGGAAATGGGGACATCTGGTAACCTTGCAAGGGTCACCCAGTCCTCCCCCCTGCAGAGCAATGAGGAAGCATGACTCCATGGGCGAAAGAGGCATTGAAATGAGACCCAGTGGAGGGTGGTTCCTTAGGGCAAAGGGGCACCACCTCCCCATTCTCAGTCTGTCCTCATCCAGCCCTGATCTGCCTGCCTTCTTACTGTCAACCAGTCCAAGGGGTGGCCTAGTTGTCAGCCTCCTCCTCCTCCTCCTCCTCCATCTCAGTTTTGCCCATGTAGGACTCAGCAAGGAGGAGGATGGAAACAAATCTGGAGCAAGTTGGTTCTGCCTGTCGTTTGTTCTGGTGCCACCTACTGCTGGCCTCCTCCTTTGGATGAAAAAGAACAAAATGAATTTCAGTAGGAACCAATGTAAGGTTTAGGCAGGAATAGGCAGACACACAAATATAAGACAGGGGACACCTGGCTTGGCAGCAGTACATGGGGAAAGGACTCATGGGCCTTAGCAGACTATATGCTTAACATGAGGCAACAGTGTGATGCAGCAGCAAAAAAAGGCTAATGCTATTCCAGGCTGCATCCACAGAAGTCTAGTGTCCTGATCAAGGGAAGTCATTGCACCGTTCTATTTTGTCTTGGTCAGACCCCACCTGGAGTGCTGTGTCCAGTTCAGGGTGCCACCGTTTAAGAAGGATGTTGACAAGCTGGAAGGAGGGCAGAGGAGGGCAACCAAGATGGTGAAGGGTCTGAAGCAAGCCTTTTGAGCAGGGGTCAGCAAACTTTTTCAGCGGGGGGCCGGTCCACTGTCCCTCAGACCTCGTAGGGGGCCGGACTATACTTTGGGGCGGGGGGGGGGGGAATGAACAAATTCCTATGCCCCACAAATAACTCAGAGATGCATTTTAAATAAGAGCGCACATTCTACTCATGTAAAAACATGCTGCTTCCCGGACCGTCTGAGGGCCGGATTGAGAAGGCGATTGGCCCGGATCCAGCCCCCGGGCCTTAGTTTGCCTACCCATGCTTTTGAGGAACTGTTGAGGGAGTTTGGGATGTTCAGAGACAAGAAGACTGAGAGGTAATATGCTAGCCATCTTCAAGTATCTGAAAGACTGCTCCATGGAAGATGAAGCAAGCTTGTTTTCTGCTTCTCCAGAGATTAGGACCCAACCAACAGATTGAATGGCAAGAAAGGAGAGTCTCACAAAAAATGACAAAGAACTTTCTGAAAGCATGAGTTGTTCAAACAGTGGAATGGACTCCCTCGGAAGGTGGCAGACTGTCCTTTGTGGGAGCTTTTTGCACAGAGGTTGGATGGACCATCTGCCAGGAATTCTTTAGCTGATGGTTTACTGAGGGGGTTAGACTGGATGACCCTTGGTGTCCTTCTAATTCTACAGTTCTGTCATCCTAACACATTGCCAGTGTGATATATAACAATTCTGCTGTACTTGATGGCATCGTGCTGGTTTTGTTGTTGTCGTTGCTATCATTCTTTGTAGGGCCCTTTGGGGGCATAAAACAGGCTCAGAAATAGATCAGAAAAACTTTCATCTGTCCCCCTGCCTGCCGCCCCCTTCCAAAATAGTGACACACATCCAATTCCTTTCCACCTATTGCAAAAACAACACACTATCCACATCAGTGATGTAGATGTGAAGGACAAATATTGGAGGGTGGGGAGATTTTGCCACGTTCTGAGCATCGCCACCACTTTCAAGTTTAAAGCTTAGAAATCAGGTGCCTAATGTCACCACTTTTCAAGGGGCGCAGAGTCTCTTTTTCTCTGTAATCAGTGCAGTTGCAGTTCCCTGATGCAAAGGCAGGGCAGGCAAAGTGAGGGGGAACCACATCCCTCTCCGAGGAACATCTGTGCATCCTCCGCAGCTCGGCGGGGGCTCCCTTGGCTACAAAGCCGAGATTGTCAAGCCCCCGCTGTATTTCAAAAAGCAACGAGCCAAAATTCTGTTCGCCTCGCTCTGAAGTGCGGCGACAGCCGACGCTGCCGCTGTTTCAGAAGAGCTGCGTGAGGCGGTGTCAGAGCGCCTCTGAAATCTGGAGATGAAGGGGCTTCGTTGTCGCAGGACTCGGCGACAGTCCTTCCACCGAAAAACAAAGCGAGGTTCCAGTCCAGTTCTGAACAAAAGGGGCAGCTTAAACAGGAAGCTGCCTTATGCAGAGTCAGACCACAGGGTCCGTCTAGTTCAGTATGGATTGGCATAGCGTGGGTGGTTGCCCCAGCGCAAAATGTTTAGGGGCACAAGATATCAACACCCGGAGCTGCTTCAATACAGCTCCAGACAACGGAATGACTCTTCTTTTCTTATCTCTGCAGCTGCAATCTCCTGGGTGGGGCGGATGCCACTAGGCAGTTGAAAGTGCATGCATACTCTGTTTCCTTCCTTCTCTCCCTCCGCATGTCCCCGGGCACTGGCAACTCACGCTATGCCACTGCTCTTTCAGTCAAGGAACATTTGCAGGCCTACCTGGAGATGCCATTGGGAAATGAAGCTCCTGTTTGCAACAGGCCATGCTTCTCCCTTTGAAAAGTAAGATTCCAGTCCTCATGCTTCTGAATTAATGTATTTGTTTGTTTTGCATTGTAAGTCGCTTGAGGCTTCCAATGCGATAAATTGAATAAATAACTAATAAATTAAATTGGTGTGTGCAGAGGTCTTCGTGCGCAAGTACATAGCTCCACATCACGTCCAGACGCACGCTTCTTTGACCTTGCTGCAAACCAGCCCGAGTTTCATGCGAAGAAACTCCAAAATCCTCCAAAACAAGTGTTTCAAGCGACAAGTAAGATATATGACACACAGACGTGCATTTCAATTAAATAAATAAATCGCCAAGGACATTACGGAAGGCCCTATTTAAAAACCCGACTTTAACCTGGAGGATTTAGGGATCTTCGAAGCCTAGCAAAAAGTTTCCCCATCATCAAAGGCCTCTCTCTCGTCCTTTAATAGACGGATTAAAAAGCTCCCGACGCAAACGATCCATGAATATTTAACTCCCATCAATATTTCATTATCGAGGGGGGAGAGAAAGAGCAGAGAAAAATAGATTCCTGGCGCGGACCGCACTTTCTGGAACTTGGCCGCCTGACGCAGGAATCCTTTGAGGCCTTTGGCTAGGAGAAAGTCTTGCTGTGATGTGGGAGGACAGTGGATTAATTGGGGGGGTGCAGGGCCCATTTCCAGTTCTCCAGCCTAAAGATTAACCTTTCCCGTTGCAGAGAAGTCATGTACCTGCTGGTACCACCTAATACCCATTCTGCATGTGCAAATGATCCATCTTTTAGTGTGGCTGCACCTACACTCTGGAACTCCCTGCCTCTTGACCCCAGGCAGACTCCTTCGCTGTTCTTTTTAGCACCTGTTTAGACCAGCCTATCCAGACATGCAGGATGTTGGTGTGTGTTTCAATCTGCTCTTAGTTTATTGCTGATATCTTTTGAATTGCATGATGAAGCATTCCTGGGATGCTCCAAAGAGATGTTTTTACTGATACTTTTATTGTTTGCTCCTCTTCGCAAAGTGCTTTTAAACAACCACGCAGTGTATTTTATGATTATTATTTTTAATGCAAATCCCCCACTCTAGAGACATGGGAAGCTACCTTCAGGAAAGTCAAAGCTGTGCTCCATCTAGATCAGTATTATTGACACTGGTAGGCAATGGGCTCTCTGGGGTTTCAGGCAGAAGTCTCCCCCAGCCTCCTTGGAGATGTCATTGGGGACTGAACCAGAGACCTCTTGCATGCAAAATGTATGCTCTGCCACTCAGCTGCGGTGCCTTCCCTTAAAAGAGAAATCAAGGTGCTGGTCCTCATGGTTTCAAATGTTTAAACAAGAAGAGAGGAAGCTGCTTTGCATTGTATCAGACCCTGAGTCTGTCTAGTTCAGCATTGTCTCTGCACTAGGAGACGGGGGCTCTCTAGGTTTCAAGAAACGATCTTTCCCTGCCGTACCTGGAAAGGGATGGAACCTGGGATCTTCTGCATGCAAAGCACATGCTCTACCCACTGAGCTATGGGTCCTTCCCATGAAAACAAACCAATTGGTCCAACCAGCTCAGTATGGTCCACACTCCCATCACAGCCCTATAAGTGTGTTTGCCAGACTTGGGTCTCCAGCTGGTTTTGGACTACAACTCCCATCATCCCTAGCTAGCAAGCCAGTGGTCAGGGATGATGGGGACTGTAGTCCGAAAACAGCTGGAGACCCAAGTTTGGGAAACACTGAAACATACTCGGGAACAGCCAAAGCGAAAATAAGGGACTTAAGCCTAGTGCTTTCAGGAGGTCTACACTGGGGTATGACTTCGCTGGATACCAGCCCCTGCTGAACTTTACATGCTTCAAGTTGCAGCTAAGTACAAATCCACCTGTCTGAATTTCATTATGGATCAGTGGGAAGGCTCCCGACGAGAAGCGCCATGAATCAAGCTACTTATTTTTAAAAATATTGGCAGCAACAACAAAAAAACCCCACTTACCTGCAATGGCAGAAATAAGTTTGCCTTCCTGAAATTCTTGTGCTCTGTGTGGTGCAATGAATCTTTGCAAGGCACAGCTAAGAACCTCACATTCATTGGACACAGGCAGGGTCTTCCCAGCAAGTGCATTCCGGATGGTTCGGTCGCAAACAGAGTTAATGATTGTTTAAGGCTGTATGACCACGAAGATCGTGGCGCGGGGTTATTTCTTCGGGCCAGAAATGCAGTCTCAAGAATGACCAGAATGTAATAAGCAGGAGTGCGCTTGCAGATGTTTCAATGGTAACGGACAGCTTCAGGGAGGGATGGGGAGAGAAATTGCTCTGGGTTTGTGTTGAGGCCCAATGTGGTGTAGTGGTTAGAGTGCTGCACTAGGACCTGGGAGACCAGGGTTCAAATCCCACCCCCACTCAGTGGACCAGTTGCTGCCTCTCAGCCTAACCTACCTCACAAGATTGTTGTGGGGATTACAGTGGTACCTTGGGTTACATACGCTTCAGGTTACAGACTCCACTAACCCAGAAATAGTGCTTCAGGTTAAGAACGTTGCTTCAGGATAAGAACAGAAATCAGGTTCCGGCGATGCAGCGGCAGCAGGAGGCCCCATTAGCTAAAGTGGTGCTTCAGGTTAAGAACAGTTTCAGGTTAAGAACAGACCTCCAGAACGAATTAAGTATTTAACCTGAGGTACCACTGTAATTGAAGAGAGAAGGAAACCATGCACGCCTCCTTGAGAGTAAGTGACTGGCCCAAGGACACCCAGGGGACTTCATAGCCAAGTGGGGATTCAAACCCTGGTCTTCCACTCTAACACTCTAACCACTACTCTGACTTTCATAAACTATTACTAATAGGGCCACTGCCTTCTGCAAACAAGGCTTTCCATGAAGACCCTTATCCCAAGCATGTAGGTAGGCTTTAAATGTTATTTGATGCAACCAACTAATGAAAACGCGTGAAGAAATCCCTCTGAGAAGCCCGTGCTCTCCCAACTATTTGACCCAGGATACTTTTTTAATTATCTAGCATGATGAAGCATTCCTGGGATGCTCCAAAGCATGTGTGCTGCTTTATTTTGGGACCCATTGATTGGCCTAATGGAAGTATTGCTCCAGTATGTGCTTTGGAATTTCTCTGCACATTTGAGGGGGGGAAGAGAGGGGGAAGAGAGAGGAAGGAAAAGAAACATATTTGTACGATCTGGTGAGTGTTTGAGTAAGTGGGGAGAAATTGGCTCTTGCACCTATTTCTTTCCCTGCACTGCCACCTAGTGTTAGAGAAAAGGAACATCCACAGGGCTAAAATCTGGCAGGGAGCTTATCAGCATCTGGGCAGTACTGAAATATTTTATAGCAGGGATGTTTTATTCCTGCATCGTAGGGGGTAGGACTAGGTGACCCTTGAGTCCCTTCCAACTCTACGATTCTATGATTCTAATTACTTCTATTCTGGATAATAATAATAATAATTAATAATAGCATTTATTTCCACCTTTCTCTCCAAGCTGCTTAAGGTGGTGTACATGGTTCTTCCCCTTACTTAATCCCCACAACAACCCTCTGACGTAGGCTAGGCTGAGAAACTGTGACTGGCACAGTGAGCTTCATGGCTGAGTGGGGACTTGAACCCTGGTCTCCCAGGTCCTGGTCCAGCACTCTAACCACTGCACCACACCGGTCAGCAAAAGGGTATGCTGTGCTACAGCAGTTAAGAGCAGAGATGGGAAAATGTTTTGTCCCACTGGGCTAGATCTTTACCTTCCCCACTGCCTTGGCCAACTGTGACAGGCAGACAGGCCCATGCAGCTGCCAATCATCTAGCGCCATAATGATGCCAAGTGATGGGTGGTCCCAGCTGATGTGGACCTGAGCTCTCATCACACAGAGAAATGAGTAAGAGGGGGACACAAGTCCAACTACAACCGTAGGCCCAGGAACCACTTCTTACACCATTCATAATTGTGAAGGGGCAGATTTCATGGAGATGGACACAGACTCCTATTTTCTGCACGATACTCCACAGTTCGACTGCACAATTGAAAATAAAACTGATTGTGCCATTATACAAATCAATGGTGCTACCATATTTAGAATAATTGTGTACGGTTCTGGCTAACCCACCATGTAGAGTTGGGAAAAGGTTCAGAAAAGGATCATCCAGAATGATCAATGGGATGCACCCCTATGAAGAAAGGCTGAATCATTTGGGACCTTTTAGAGAAATGACAAGTAAAAGGTGACATGACATAAGTTTAAAAAATGATGCACAGCTTAGAGAAAGTGGAAAGAGAGCAGCTTTCCTCTGTCATAGCACTAGAGCTCGCGGACATCCAATGAAGCTGAATGTTGGAAGATTCAGGACAGACAAAAGAAAGTCCTTCATGCAGGGCATAGTTGAACTCTGGAACTCACTGCTGCAGGAGGCAGTGACGGCCATCAGCTTGCATGGCTTTAAAAGAGGAGTGGGCAAATTCAGGGAAGAGAGGGGTATCAATGGCTACTAGTCTCCATAGTTGGAGGCAGTATCGGTTTGTTGGGAACCACAAGAGGGGAGAGGGCTTTTGTGCTCGAATCCTGCTTGCTGGTCTCCCCCAGGCATCCAGTTGACCACTGGGGGAACAGGATGCTGGAGGAGACAGCTCACTGGCCCGATCACTTGCCCCACTGCCTCCACCACCTTCCTGGGTGAGAGGAACAAGTTGTGCCAGGTTTAACATGTCCAGTTAAGAAACGAGGCATTGACTGCTATACAAAAAGGCAGTGAATGCAAGAGAACCTTGTTGTGGAAGAGGTTTAATTTCATTCAACAGCAATTCAGTAACAGCAGCTATGATACAGAGTTTAGGAGAGAATGTACGGACCTGGCAACCAGAATTAGCACCTAAGGGCGTCACAAAGAGAGGAACAATGGCAGGGAAAGGAGCCCCCTTCTTAAGGCAGAGGTGGATATTATCTGTAGCCCTCCAGATGTTGCAGGACTTCAACTCTCAGCACCTCTGACCACTAGTCCTGCCAGGAGTTGGGATATCCTCAGTGACAGCTGGAGGGACTCACAGATGCATGCACCCCTGCTCTCAGAACGGAAGTGGTAAAATACAAGTTCTCTGCGGTCAGCTTTGTCTGTTCCACCCATGTACCTGGGGTTAAGGAGCGAACGCCATAAAAATATTTACCTTTCGAGAAACTCCGAAGAGCTCACAGAATAAAGGAACACAAAGGAAGCGAGGACACAAATGGATCACAGTCTCGGTCTGAACTTATTGCAAAAAAATGGAGAAGGGCCCTGAACAGCAAAACAGCTGTACTCACGCTCTTTTGGCAGACTTGTGGGAATCTACTTTTTTATTTTACGAGAACCCCAATATCCACCAGCTGGTGCAAAAGACATAGGCTTAGAAAGAATGAGTCCTGAGCCCTGGAATGAATTCTGAGTACTGCAACTCAACTGAGCTCACAGTCCTGGGTATGAGGGGCTGCAACACGGGTGGAAAGTGGACTCTCCTTCATTTGGGGTTTTAAAACAAGAGGTTGTCAGGGATTCTTTAGCTGTGATTCCTGCACTGCAGTGGGTTGGACTAGATGACCCTCAGGGTTCCTTCCAACTCTACAATTTTATCATCCTATGATACTTTTCCTTCTTCTCTGACTTCCTCTGTGCTAATCAGTTGTAAACAATAGTAAACTTTGAAAGCCTTATCACCTCATTTTTCACCCTGGACGAGATGACCCTTGGGTTTCCTTTCAACCCCGTGATTAATTTTTTTCTTTTAAAGGAATTCTGACCCCAAGAATCCTGTCTTGGGGTTAACTGAGCTCACTGTCTTTCCTACATAAAACCCCACTTCTGGAGACTCTTTCCCACCTGCCTCCTCTTCATTTCATCAATATCGTTTTGCCTTGCATACGTTCTTCCTGATCCCTCCCTGCAGATTCCTCTCAACTTCCTGTCTGGCCTTGGTTCCAGAAGCTGCTCGAAAAACAAGATACGGTACTTGGAAATCTACTCCACAGTTCATCAATGATCTGCACATCTACAAGTATGATGGTTAAGACTGGAAGACCCGGGGGCCAGGGGAAGACATGCAAAAAAGTGGCGATTCCAAAACGTGTTGTACTGCGGCATCAAGCCGTTGACACTATAAAGCTCAGCTTCTCTCCTTGTGTCATTTGAAGGGGCTGGGAAATTGAAAGTCTTGTGTCTGCTTTCCCTGCAGAAGGTCCCAGGCTCAAATCCTGGCACCTTGAGGTTAAAGGGATAAGGAAAGACCTGTCTGAAACCCTGGAGAATTGCTGCCAGTCAGTGTGGACAATACTGAGCTTGATGGACTGGCTCAGCATATAAGGCAGCTTCCTATGCTCCTATATTTGCAGGTTTGGCATTAAAAAAACAAAACAGAACCAGAAGTCACTGATACTTAGGATGAATTTAATAGCAGGGGAAACAGCTTTGCTCTTTGCAGGCAAGAGCTTCTAAGATAGGGTCGTGCGCCACCCAAACCTCCCGGCCCTTCACCAATCCCATACAGGTGTAGAAAAAGCATCAGTTACGGGCCAGTTCATCAATTCAGGCTGGCAAGTCACTGTGTCTGAACAGCGTCATCGGTTCTCTGGCCAAAGGGAAGAGGATTTTTGACAGGGTGGGTGGACCCAGGCTACTGAAAGACTGGGAAAGAGGGGCAGGAAGGAAAGAGACCCAATTCAGTGGAATAGGAAGGAGTGATCAGAGACTTCACTTAAACCCAGCACTGAGGAAAGGCTACAGAACGTTACAGATATAAATCCCAAAACAGATATATATACACAATACGGTCACATCTTACACGGGGGGCGTTGGTTCCAAGGGTTCTGAATATACCCCAAAACACGTATGCTCAAACCACCCCTGCATGAGCATCCCTAGCCTTCCAGAGTCAGCATTGCTGAGCATACAAACACACCCCAGGAAGAGAGCTGAAAAGCTGGTGCAAAGAGAGGTTTTAAGCTCTCCACCTTGCTTGCGTTGAACGTGCAGGATTTCAACCAGCCGGCCTTCAACTGCACGTGATTGGAACTGCGCAGGTTAAATGCATGTAAGACGCACTCGTACTGTATATCCATAGAAGTGACACCTGCAACTTTGGGAGGTTGAGGATTCCACAGAATCTCGTCCCGCTATTGTGTCAAATAATACGAGGAAAGGCAGGGAAAGGGGAAGAGGGCTGGTGTGGTCTTCTGCACCCATTACACATTCCATGTCTGTACCCTGGCTGGCCTTCTTTTACCCTGCAGGTACATATCTGGTCTTCGCATTGCACTAAAGCCAGGCTGAAATTCCAGCTAGAAGTGAACATTACAGGGCTACGTATATACACTCTGCCCAGTTTTCTCTAACGCAGGGTGTCATTTTGCCACAATTACAAACAATGCTTTGCAATGACAAAACATTTCAAGGTTGTTTTTATTTTTTTAAAAGGGAGAATGGCCACATTTTTCAAGCACGTTTAATCCCACACTGATGATGGGCCAAATCCTGCTTGCTTTTAGAGCAGTGAAAACTGGCTCATAAACATGTGGGTCCCGCCCGATTTTGCTCTGACTTCGAAGAGACCCAGTTGTGCTGAAGGACAACACAGGAAGAAAGGGTTATTTTCATATCTCTCTCTCTCTTTCTTTTTTTCTCTCTCTCTCTCTGTATAAATTCAGCTTGCACCCACCCACGTGCCCTCTCCAGATGTTTTGAAATACAGCTCCCATCAGCCCCAGCCAGCATAGGACACCTGATGGGAGTCAAAGTTCAAAACATCAGGAAGGCACCAGATTAGGGGAGACCAGAGTAACTGGATGAGGAATTGTGAATATTGAGGAGATGGCCTTGGTCAAGGTATACAGTTAAGATAAAGCAAATTGTTTCCCACTACAAGGTTCTAACTTCCTGCCATTCCACCTCCCCACAATTCCTGGGGAGGGAGGGGGAAAACCTGTAAGCAGTAAATTTAACTCATTGACGGTAAAGAAACAAAAACCAACATTTAGCATTCCTTACCAGATGCCATGCAGGTGAAAGCACAAGCCCAATATTGCAGACCTATTTACAATTGTTAAATATTTACTTTACAACATATTTCCTTCTCCCCGCCGGCAAGAAGGAATAAAAGAGTACCATTCTAGGTTTTTTTACCTACAACTTGGCATCCCTTGCAAAGTGCTGATAACCACCTTATTTTTTATTTTTGAAGCAGGAAAAAAATACCAGCAAAAACTTCACTTAAAAAAAGAGAAACAAACCAAATATCACACACACACACACACATGCATACCTTGAAGGGAGAACAGGGGGAGTAGAGGAAAAACCACCTGTGTTTCTTAAAAATTATACCGGATTTGTGTAAACAGGAAGAAGTTAAATTGGGTTCGAGGAACACACAAAACCCACAGCCCTCATAGTAGCTGGCTAACTCTGGCTAAAATAAGTATCATGTGACACACTTGCCAGCAAACAGTACCTTTAAAATGTGCCGGTTTTAAATTCCTCTGATTTTCCTGCCCCTCTTTAGCCCACTCCCCAAGCAGAAGGAAGCGGGGTAGGGGACAGAGAGGGAGGGATGTCTCTGAGCCCCAGAAGGTGCTCATCACCCAGCGTAAACCTGGGGCTGCAATGGAGGTGGCAGCTTGTCATTCTCCACGTTTTCAGAGTCAATGGCAGCCAAGGCCGGATTGGGGGGCTTGATTTCCAAGGGATACTTCTCCACGATCTCCTGGACCTCCTTGGTGATCCCGTCAGTCCAGTCAATGAGGTCCCGCTCGAGTTTTTTGGCCTCGCTCACAATCCTCTCCTGCCGCTCGTTAAGCTGGGAGAGGAGGTCAAGGTTCCTGTACATCTGCCGGACTCCTACGCAGACGTCGGCCGGCCAGCTCTCTGGCTCCTGCTTTTTCGGGGACGCTTGGCCGGACATGTAGCGGTCGAAGTCTTCCTCACTCAGGTTGAGGGACTGGGCATCCAGCTTCTCTATGAAGGCGACGGCACAGCACTGGAGGCAGGGGGAAAGGCACCACGTTTATTCCCACGCTACACAAAGCACAAGATCCACACACACACACACATAGAACGCCCAACCAGCTAAGCCGCTGTTTTTATTCCAACTTATTGAAGTTACTCTTGAGCAGCGGCCGTGGAAGAAAAAGGCAAATTCGGTGCTAGGGAGCATTAGGAAAGGAACTGAAAATGAAACAGGCAATATCACAGTTGTTGTTGGCATCCGTCTGTCTCAAGATACAATGAAGTGTGCCTTCAGGGGTGAAGTCTAACTGCTGTGTTCGCAGCACCAAAGTGACCTCCCTGGGCCGGCACAAGCCTAGGCAGTGTGTAGTGGGGTCCTGGGCTGCCCAGAGAACAAGACCCCCCCCAGCCTCACCACTGCAGTCCAAAGGAAAGCAGGGCGATATGTTGGCACCAGCATGGCTGCAGGAGTTGCCGGAAGGAGGCATACAAGTCACCATCCAACCACCTTAGAGACTCCACCCTGGATTCGTGTAGGGTTTACACCTTATCCCTTTCTTCTCCTGAAAATACCCTGCAAGGCAGCGAGGTTTAGGATGAGTTTTCCTTCTCCTAGATGGGCTGCCTTCCCAGGCTGATGAGCCCCATCTGCCCCTCACATCCCTCTACAGCACAGGCAGAAACTGCCTTATTGTCGTTGGACCCATGACTGGTCTCGTCCGCTCAATCCAGAACCTGCCTTTGCATGCAGGGGAAGTCCCTAACTCCCCAAGGGTTGGAGATCCATCAACTACCCTCACCTGGTTTAGCTGGCCAGTTGAAGCTGTTTCTCGGGGTGTGGCCGCTGTTCAATGCTGACAGTTTCTAGGAGCCACAGGTGAGAGCTGAGTGCAGGGTGGGGACCAAAGGTGGGTGAACTACCCCAGAAGGAACACAATGTGTCCCCACCAGAGATACTAGCCCTCCCCTAACACCATTATTCAAATCAATGGTGCAAGTGAATTTGGAAGAATGTGCAGAGTCCTGGACACCTCAACTTGCAGGAGACTCCAATTCATCAGTTCATCAGTATCAGTGTTTAGTATCAATCTCAATGGAAAAATAAAAATGTGGCTCCCTTCTACAATTGAAGACTTATACAAACTCACAACCTATGAACAACTTGCATATAAACGCAGACTTGCCATGGACAAATTCAATGATATTTGGAATCCACTCTTACAAATACTGTAACAGGTTAAGATCTGGTGAAGTGCAATAACAACTTTGTAAAGTATACAGTTTGGGGTTTTTTCCCTCTCCCCTTTATTTTCCCTTCTACACAGGTGCTGTCTCTCTTGTTCTCTTTTTTATTTACGTCCCACCATGTTTAGTGCACATATAATTGTGTACCTTTTGAACTTGCAATAAAGACGTCTGGGGAGAGAAAAACTTGCAGGAGACTCTCCAACAGACTGCAATCAGCTGGGTGTACAAGGGATAATAAGGTGGTCTCTCAAATAACCAGGCCCTGAGCTATACAGGGACTTGGCCCAGCAGCAAATCGACAGCCAGTGCAAATCCCACAAGCAAAGTGTCATGTGCTGGTGGCATTTGCCCCCCTCCCCCAGCAAACCAGTTGCCTCCATCTGCACCAGCTGCAGCCTCTGGACCAACCCCAAGGGCAGCCCCACACACAGTGCATCGCAGTAGTCCAGTCATGAGGTTACCAGTGCATGGGCAGCTGTAACAATGAACCAGCCCCTGCTTCCTGCCCCTCACCCCCTGATGTACCTACCAGGTTTGTAAAGTAGTAACCATCTTCGCCAGACATCAGCCGGCTGGGGTTGCAGAACCGGGTGATATACTGGATGTTGGACTGGAGGCGAGGAGGGTTCCCCTTCAGGACAATGTAGATGAGGGTGGGCAGGAAGTCATCGGCCGAAGCCGGCTCGTCCTTCGTGGTCCGGATGGCAGTGAAGATGTGTTTGCTGCAGCTGGTGATGCAGGCCAGCTTGTCCCGGGGGACACGCTTGGAATCCATCTCGATGATGTCTGCGAGACACGAGAGAAGCCCAGAGGGTTAGGCAGGGGTGCATTCTCCAGCAGCCACGTGCCCACAGAGGCTCTGGCAAATAGGAAGGTCAGAGGCTCTGGTCCATCTGGGTCAGCGCTGCCGACACTGAACGGCAGCCGCTCTCCAAGGTTTTGTGCTGCTATACAAGCCGGTGGCACAACCGCATTTGGAATGCGGGATGCAGTTCCGGTCACCTCCCCTCATATTGTAGAGGTTCAGGAAAGGTCAAAGGGATGAAGAGGCAAAGGTTGCAGCCTTTGGGGTGTTTTGGCTTGGAGAGAAGGCAAGCCGAATGCGCCCTCTACAAAACTATGCATGGCATGGGGAAGGCAGGTAGAGAAAAGTTTTTCTCCCTCTCTCGTCCTACTCGTGGGCACCCAAAGAAGATGAACGTTGGAAAATTCAGGATGGACAAAAGGAAGTCCCTTCACGCAGCACAAACAGCGGAACTCCCTGCCACAGGAGGCAAAGGCGGCCACCAATTTGGGTGGCTTTAGAAGCAGACTGGACAAATACGTGGAGAAAGATATTGATGGCTACTATCTATGTCCTGCCTGCACATCTGGAGGCAGCAATGCTGCTGAATCCCAGTTGCTGGGAGCCACAGTCCTGCTTGCTGGTTTCCCTTTTTGGCATCTGGCTGACCACTGTGAGAACAGGAGGCTGGACTAGATGGGCCTTTGGCCTGACCCTTAAGACTCTTCTGATGTCCTTGGGACTCTCCCTGGACCACGCTCTCTCACCACCGCTACTTCCTATTCTTCTGGAGTGTTTCTGCCTAGCTGGAATAAGCCCTTTAACTCTGGAGAACACAGGTGCATGTATGTACAATTTTCTGACTTAGATGTGGCCCGAAACGTAGCCTACTTTTCCCTCTGGCTCTCCCAGAGTTAGGTAGCCCTACCTGGACATACTGAGGACCTGGACCTAGTAGAGCTTTCTGTGGGTAGTGCATGTGTTCTACCACTGAGCTTATGGCCCTGAGCAATAAACCTTGGGGAATCTTGTAAGAAACACAAAGACGCCCCTGTTTCTTGAGCGGTCAATCCCGATCCAATCTTGGATTGTTTTCCACAGAAAGCAAAGCCACACACCGTGGGCTGCATCCATGTTCTTGAGGGCCGCCTGTTATGGTGCTTTAGCAGAGAGACATATTTGTTTCTGTGTCAGTGATTTTAAGGCTGGGCAATGGTTTTTCAAAGAGATCATGACATTCCACCCACCCTTGCGCCAGCTGGGACCCAGCATCCCTCGGCATACCTGTGATGGCCTTTACGACCACGTCGGAGACTTCAGGGATTTCTTCATTGACAGGAACACAGAGCATCTGAGGAGTGACCCAGTGCAAAGCTCTGAAAGTAGAGGAGGAGAGAAAGAGAAAGAGCTTAAGAAATCAAGTTGGTAGAGAATGAGACTCTTAATCTCAGGGTTGTGGGTTTGAGCCCCATGTCGGGCAAAAGATTCCTGCATTGCCGGGGGTTGGACGAGACGACCCTCGTGGTCCCTTCCAACTCTACAATTTTAAGATTATGGATTTTGGGAAAGCAAAGTTACAGCTACACTTAAAGCACTCTCTTATTGCTTTAACAGATATGGAGAACCCCAGGAACTGTAGTCTGTCCAGGGTGCTGGGAATTATGGATTGATGTGTCAATCCCCTTACGTGAACTACAGTTCCCAGAATTCTTTGGGGGGAGCCATGACTGTGGTGTGAGAGTGCTCACGTATGGCATGAATGCGGCTGTAGTTTAACCTTCTTGGCAAACTAACATGCTCAACAAGCTGAAAATATTTTAAAACAAGACTTTTTTTAAAAAAAAGAACAAGCAGAAAAAATATTTTAAAAACTGAATACAACCACCAACTACTTATTTCTGTATTTCTTGGGCCTGGTATGCTAATATATAATCTTCAAATGAAATTGATTTAATCTTATTTGTAAAATTAGTAGCTAACCCATGTAATACTCCTTTCTGAACCTGATGTCCTGCGGTAAAAACCATGTAAAAATAAAAACTGACAATTAAGTAAATTACAGGGATGAATAGCAGAAAATTGCTTTTTTCTAAACATCGTTTTGCTGCTGCTATTGTTATTCTGTTTTTAATACAGTGTACAGAATACAAATTACAAGACATTAATCCTCCTTTCATTATCAGGAGCAGCCCGATTAGACATTCATCACTAGGGATATACCCTGCACCATTTTGTTTTAAAGGCTGGTGGACCAAAGTTGACTGTAGCAGAAAATTTATTGGGGGGAGGGATGAGACATGCAAGAGGAATCCAGCTAAAAATGTACATTTGATAGTACGCAGTGGCCTCTAACTTGCATGACCCAACTACAGGGTCAGGTTCCTGCACCTGCCACTCAAAAATCTATGTGTCTGGGTAAGATTCCCAAGCAACATTGGTTGCTGGCTTGAAAACTACAGGGGCTGAGACCAAATAGCACACAAAGACTTATAAATGGGCTACTCGTTTACTGTGACTGTGTAAAAGTCCTGTGGAACGCTCTGCCACTGGAGAGTCAAGCAGACGCCTTCTGTGCCAACTTTTAAATGCCTGCTGATTTTTTTTTTCTATTCCACCAGGCTTATGCAGGTAATTAAGAATACATCGTCTTCCACAATGGGTAACGAATGTCTGCTTTTCAAAAACGAAGATGATAGTTTTTGGTATGATTTTCTCTTTTTATTGCTATAAATTTTTAATTGATATACAGTGGTATAAAAATATGTTTATAAATGAGTAATAAAATTAATTCAAAATCTCTTGCTTTCCCTGTAATGCTAGGGTCAGTGGTAACCCACCCAGACTGTGTTTTGTTTTAGCTTAGTGGACTATGTTCCTGCTTGTTTTTACATTTTTTATTTGTTTGCATACTTTACCAAAAATGTCATTTTGAAACTTTTTTTTTTAAGTGGGGGTTTACAAACGAGGCAAGGACACACCTTGGTGCCACCCTGAAGCAGGCAGAAGCGTAGCAACTACATAAAGGCTTATCAAGCTGACGGCAGAACAACTTTCCCCAAGGGGGCACCCTGCCTTCCCAGAGCCGTACCTGATCCTCCTTTGGACAGCAAGGTCCTTTTTCTCATCCTCCGTGGTTTCCGGGCAAAAAACGTATTTGTAAAGCCGAGTCATGACATACTTCTCGATCTGGTCCATCGCCTTCTCCGCTTTTTCCGGGGACACTGAAAAGAAGACATCCCGAGATCAAAGAATACCTGGCTTCCCCACACAGTTCGAAGAAGCGGAGGCAGAGTCTGCACCAAGCTTCTGGTTCCACCTGTTTTTAGCCAAATGCTGCCTGAGAAAACACCTGAGCATCTTCTAGTCAAGAGCTCTCCTTTAAGAGCTGCCCTGCTAGATCAGACCAGGAGTGGGCTCCCTTGAACCAGGAAACTCGTTCAGCCCCTTATGTATGCTACTACTGGAAAATGAGCGAGGTCCCAACCAAAGAAGAATTGCAACTTAAGTTGACATAATATGTGCAGCTTGCAGACTTAACATACAGAAAAAGAGAACAAGAAGAACATATGTTTAGAGAAGATTGGCAAATGTTTATTGAATATATGGGAAATAATTGTGTGCAGCTGAAAACGCTGGCAGCATTAAGATAAATTCAACAGTGTAAATAAGTTTTGATGGATGCACTAATGGAATACTGAACGGTATAGTTTTTGTAAAATATGCAGGGATTAATGATATGTAAAATGAACCGTGGAAAGAGAAGAAGGGAAGTCACTGATATCTTAAGGATGTAAAAATGAGTGTTTTAAACTGCAAAACAGAAAATTTAATAAAAATTATATACAAAAAAGAAAAGGAAAGGAAACACGTTCAGCCCAGACACTGAGATCCGGATCCAGCTCTGAGGGCCTTCTGGTGGTTCCCTCATTGCAAGAAGCGAGGTTATAGGGAATCAGGCAGAGGGCCTTCTCAGTAGTTGTGCTCACCCTGTGGAACACTTTTCCATCAGTTGTCAATGAGATAACTGACATTTAGAAAACATCTGAATATGGAAGTTCTTAATGTCTGATGCTTTACTGTGGTTTTATAATTTGTTGGAAGTAGTCGGAGTGGCTGGTCGGAGTGGCCAGGCAGGGTATAGATAATAAATTGCTGTTGTTGTGGTTTCTGAACTAGAAGCTTGAGACCGGCTCAAGAGCCAAGGGTCAGAGGGCCCATTTTCTGAACTCTACAGCATCACAGGACCAAGCCCTTGTGCCCTAAATTCCTTCTTGTTGTGGGGAGGATGCGAAAGAACATGACTCTCCTCAGTGTCAGGTGCTCACGCTGTGTTTTAAAGTTCCCTCTTGCATGCTCCCACAGAAAAGAGGCCCACGCAATCACAAAAAAGGCTATGGAGGGCTACTAGCCATGATGGCTCTGCCCTGCCTCCACAGTCAGAGGCGGAAATGCTTCCAAACACCAGTTGCTGGAAACCACAGGAGGGGAGAGTGCTGCTTGAGGGTTTCCCACAGAAATCTGGTTGGCCGCTGTGAGCAAGATGGGGTAGCTGTGAGGTCCAACTGTGAGGTTACCAATGAATGGACAACTGTGTTCAAGCTTTCCCAATCCCAGAACAGCCGTGGCTGTCTTGCAACCAAAGCTGTAATGTGTGTGGATGCCTCCCTCCCAAGCCCCACTACCTATCGGCAGCTAAGAGCAGAAATGAGAAATACCTTTCCAGCGGCTCTGCAACTTATCTGCCACATTCTGGTAGAAGTCCTGGGCATATTCGGACTGTTCCTCAATACTCAGGTCCTGGAAAAGAGCACCAGTCGTGCAGGTGAGAATAGGCAATGCAAAGTTACGAGAAAGAAGATTCCGAGGAAACATCCGGAAGAACTTTCTGACGGCAATAGCTGCTCAACTGTAGAACAGACTACTTCAGAAGGTGGTCCACCTTCCAATGAAAACAGAGGCTGGATGGCGTTCTGCCAGAGGGTCTTTAGCTGTGACACCTGCATTGGTTTTCCCCAATACAGTGGTGCCCTGCAAGACGAATGCCTCGCAAGACGAAAAACTCGCTAGACGAAAGGGTTTTGCGTTTTTTGAGTCGTTCCGCAAGACGAATTTCCTATGGACGAAACGTCTTGCGAGTTCTTGCGAGTTTGTTTCCTTTTTCTTAAAGCCGCTAAGCAGTTAATAGCCACTAAGCCGCTAATAGCCGTGTTTCGCAAGACGAAAAAACCGCAAGACGAAGAGACTCGCGGAACGGATTGATTTCGTCTTGCGAGGCACCACTGTATCTATTTCCAAAGCTTTCCCCCCTTGTTTACCAACTATCCCCAAGAAAAACCCAACATAAAATCTGAGTAGGTTATCTTAAGATGTGGCAGCTCCATCTGGGCCAAATTTCAAATATTCCTGCAGTAAAGACTGAAGTACGTATGCATACTTTCCCCATAAATATAACAAAAGTATACTACTTGAGCAGATAATCAGGACATTCACATTCTTTGAAGGGGCATAGTCTATTTTCACAAGTCAGCTCAACACCTAATATACATTAATTTCACTCCCTCAAAAGCAAGTCCCTGGTTTTAATTCCACCCACCCTCACTCCCAGAGCCTCCGACGGAAAGCGAGGCCTCTCCGCTCTTGCGAGAGGGACCCACCCGCTTGTGGTGCATGTTTTCCAAAAAGTGTTTGCACTGCTTGTAGATCTCCTGGCCGGATTTATGGTACGTCTTGAGAAACTCAATGAACTCCTTGGACACCCGGTCCGTTTCGATGCTGACTTGCCGGCTGATCGAAGGGCTGGGAGCCTTAGCGTCTGGGACATCTGCGGGAGAGAAGACGGCACAACCTTTAGGGCACCCCATTATTTGACTTCACTCCTGCCAGGTTTATATTATGAACTGCAAAGGGGTCACTAACCATCACTGGGCCATTTGGAATGTTGAGAAAGTCCATGGTGCGCCTGTCATAAGATGGCTGCCAAGGGAGGGGGAGAACACAAAATGGTTGCCACCTCTAAAAGAGCAGAAATAGCAGCCAAAAAATGGTGTGGGCACTTGGGGGGGAGAGCAACATTGCATCTATCCTCTGTTCGGAAGGGAAGGGAAGAAGTGGGTATCCAATTTTGGCATGTTCAATGTAGGGAAAGCCAAGCCAGTGCAAAAGAAACTGAGCTGGAGGAGCAAAGGGTCTCCCCTGCGCTGTGGATTTTTGAGGTGATCTTTCGCTGGCACCAGAGGAGGTACTGGCACCCTCATGGCACCCCCTGCCATAGAATAATGGTTTGGGAGAACTGTACCTGAGTAGAAGCTTTATATGCAGAAAGCACAAAGCTCCATCCAAGCATTTCCAGACTGACAAGGTTTCCTCTCCCTCAAATGTTGCCTGGGGGCAGCCTTAGCACCAGACTGCCTCAGTGGGAGGGATGGGAAGCAGGCAGCTCACTCCATCAGCTTTGCCAAATGTCCAGCTGCTTTAGGCACCTCCTGCTTCTGAACTGCGACAGCTAGTCGTTCTAAGAACTGTGCTGCAGGGGGTTGGACTAAATGACCCTCAGCGGTACCTTCCAACTCTACCATTCTATGATTCCATGGTGCCCGAGTTTGTTTTTTTCCTCTTCCCTGCCCATTCCTTTACCCTCGTATGTCGCACTTTCTGTTTATGGTTTGGCAGCCTGTGTAGGCAGGGACTGTCTTGATGCAATTGTCTGCATGCCAGCCACTACGGGAGCCCTTTCAGCCAAAGAGCGGGCTCCAAAGGCTGCCAAAAGATAAATTAAGCAACACAGTGTTTTAAAATGGCCACCAGCCCCGATCAAAAAGGAGACGAGACAGCGTTCCGCAGGCCGCAAACACACAAAAAGGCGCAAGCAAAGCCAAACATTGTCACGGTGCGCTCCAAAATGCAGCGGAAAGTCACCCACCTCTCCGTTTGCCAACCAGGACTGTTCGGAATGGAGGGATGGAGCGTGAGAAGGCGACGCAAATGGAGCAGGGCAGACGAGCGAAAAGCGATGGAACGAAAAGAGAGAGGGAGAAGGAGAGAGAGAGAGAACAAAACACAGGACAGTCTCAGTTTGCGTTTCACAAATACAACAGCGAGCAAAGCACAAATGTGTCAGAGGCAGGGCACATGATGACAGATGTCGGTTTGCAAGAGGGAGGGGAAGACACCAGGAGGCGTTTCACCATTTCGGGCTGGGGCCCAGGCTACCTGGAAGATCGCATCTCCCTGTACAAATCTGCCCAGGTGCTAATGTCCTCGGTGAGCACCTTCCCTGCGTCCCTGGCAACCTGAAAGAGAGCCTTTTCTGTGGCTGCTCCCACATTCCACACTGGGGGATCCCCTTCCGAGAGGTCAGGCTGGCTCCCTTCTGCCGGCATGCTAAGATCTTGCTGTTCAGAGAGGCCTTTGGAAACGAAGGTGCAGGCAGTGCACCTGATATATTTTAACTACTAACAAGGTTTTTTATGATTAATTTGCGTTTTGTAATGATGTTTTTAAGTGGTGGAAGCTGCCTCAAATCCCAGCTTGGGAGAAAGTGTGGGATATAAATAGATTAAATAATAATCCTTCACAGGGTTGCTGTGAGGGCTAAATAAGGAAAGGCAGAACCATGTATACCACCTTGAGCTCCTTGGAGAAAAGAAAAGGTGGGATACAAATGTTAAACTAAAAATAAAATAAATAATGGCTGTCCAGCAACCATAGCATCCAACCACCAGGAGCTCCTTAGTATGCAGTGATGCAAGATGGCAATGAATTGCTTATCACTGCTCTGTGGCAGGGCTGGTCCAGGTAAGCTGACCTTCCCACCGGAGCAACTTCTTTTAAACATGCACAAAAACTCTCCTCTTTTAACCTATTTTCAGCTACCTGACTTCTGAGTGCCTTCCCTCTGCATCATACATGCTTACACACTCTCATCCCCTTTCCCCCACCTTCTTTCCTTCTCTTCTTCCTTCATCTCTTTCTTCCTCCTTTCTTTTTTCCTTCTTTCCTGCTATGGTATCTTCTCTCTTACATATCCTGTCTTAATTATTATTATCACTATCAGTTTTATTTCAATGCATCTCTCTCTACTGATTTCCGGGGGGCAGGGGGAAGAGGGAGAGAGAGTGTGTCCCTTTCATATTTGCTTAGACTAACCTCATTTCCAATGGATGGGGTAAGGAAATTAAGTATGTACAGACCTAACAAAATTGAATATCAACTTTTTCGTATTTTAGGCACCCCCTCCCCCCTAAAAAAAAAAAAGCCATGATGAGGCACCACTAAGATGTCTGAACCACATGGCAATACAAATGAGTTTATCTGAGCTTTTTAAACACAAACAAAAAGCACATACACCCTTTTTGGGTTTGTGTATCTAGCTCAGGGGCAGGGGCACAAGAGAGGGAAAATGTATGGATTAGGAAATTAGTGGGGCTGTGGGACTGAGCACAAGACACACACACAAACACACACTGAAGACAGAGAGTGTCCAGGAAACAGTGTTCTACCCAAAGAGGACACACAGCCTGGCATTATCTTTTAAGTGACTTCTACATGGGGGTCTTGAAGACGTGCAACTGGTCACACCAAGCGTCTTCACTGTTGACTTTGCTGCAGCCCAATGTACACGGCGGAGGCTTAAAAGCACGCCTGCCCCTTTGGAGCCCCTTTCACACAAACACCAAACCCCCAAACCCTCTACTTGAACAGGTGGGGCGGGGGATAGGAAGGTGGAGACTCACCGCAAGACACAGAAACACACAGGAAGCTCCAAGGCAGGCAAAGCATCAGTGAAAACTGTCATCTAGAGGAACATCCACATCAGCCTAAAGCCTCGCACTACGGTTGTGCCACTTTCCTGGCTAAGCAAGTGCCAGAGGACCGTAATTTCTCCAGGACTACAGGAAGCAATATGTGTTCCTTCTTCAGAGCCTCCCCCCCCCCCCCGCGCTTGAGGGGCAGGGAGTGGGGTCATAGCCCTCCAGCCACTGCCAGGCTCCAACTCCCATCAGCCCCAACCCTTGGTCAAGAGATTATGAGAGTTGTGGTTAAGATAAGAAGAGCCCAGCTGAATCAGGCCCACTTATGTCTAGCATCCTCTTCTCACAGTGGCCAACCATATCCCTGTGAGAACTCACATGCAGTACCCTCTCCTGTGGTTTCCAGCAACCAGTATTCAGAAGCATCACTGTAACTGTTGAGACAGAGCATAGCCATCGTGGCTAGTAGCCATCAACAGCCCTCTCCTCCAGGAATCTGTCTAAGCCTTTTTTAAGGATTTGATTGTGGTTAAGAGACCTGATCCTCCCCAAACACCCCAGCAGCAGTGGGGCCCTACAGCCCTCCAACAACTCTCCCATTGCCCCCGACCACTGACCAAGCTGAGCAGGGCTGAAGGGAGCTGGAGTCCCTTTGTACCTGGGGTGCCACAGGTTCCTCGCACTTGTTGTAGCGTTATGGGGAGGGCAGGGAGAAGACGGTCAGGAGTCTAAATATCACGGGCGATATGATGCGATATGATGCCCAAATTGTCCGAAACCTGGTAACTGTTCAGAACAGATCCACTTCTGGAATCTTAGCAGTTTTACGGAGAGCAAGGATTTAACTCACTAGACATTTAAGGCCACTTAGGCCAGGTTTTGAACCACATGTTCTTCCTCGGCAATGACATTTGGAAGAGAAATCGGGAAGGTAGGTTATCACAGAGGGCAAATTCCAGAGGCAAGAGACTAATCAGGGAATCTTAGAAGTGATGGATCCTTTCATGCTGGATGCTGGGGTCCAGGATATGGGACACCATTGCTACCATGCCATGCCGCGAGACACTCCAGCATCATCTAGCTGGCTTCTGCCAGAAACCCCTAGCTTAATCCAATGTGGTGTAGTGGTTCATGTTGGACCTGGGAGGGACCAGGGTTCAAATCCCCAGTCAGCTCTGAAGCTCACAGGGTTATTGTGGGGATTAAATGCGGAATCATGTATGCCACCTTGGGCTCCCTGCAGAAAAAGGTAGGATATAAATGTGATAAATAACATAAAATAAATTTGATCCAGCCTTTGACTTCAAAAATGCGATATCCAACTTTTGGGTGGGGAGGGAGGGAGGGAGTACAATTTTTTGAAACAGCCAATCAGTGCAGCTCATAAGAATTTTGGCAAAAAGCAGCAAGGAAGAGGAGAGCCCTACTGTGTTCAGAAGAACACAAAGAGGTAGTGCTCAGGAAAAGCTGGGGGACCTAAGGAAGGGCTGCAGCTCAGTGGCAGAGCATCTGCTTTGCATGCAGAAGGTCCCAGGTTCAATCCCCAGTATCTCCAGTTGAGCTGGTTGCCCTGTCTGAAACCTCTGGAGAAAGGCTGCCTGCCAGTGTAGACAATACTGAGCCAGATGATCCAATGGCCCGACTCTGTATAAGGCAGCTTTCTGTGAAACAGAGTTGTACCACCCTGTAATTTAAGCACATCAGATCTAGCTCTGTGGCAGCAGGGAAGAGCCACAGCTCAGTGGTGGAGAGCATCTGCTTTGCACGCAAAAACATCCAAGGTACAACCCCCAGCATCTCCAGGTAGCTCTGGGAATACTCTAACTGGAGAGTTGCTGCCAGTCAGTGTAGGAAGCACCATCTTAAATGGACCAACATCTGCCTTAGCGTAATATAAGGCAGCTTCCTGGGTTCCCATCGGCCTTCCGGACAGATATGGTGAATGGGAAATGTGTTCTGCAAGCACAACAGAAACCATGTAGGAAGCTGTTTCTATTAAAATTGGATCCCACAGAAACCTTGAAAAAACAGGTTAGAGAAAGGCAAAGAAACAGAAACAAAAACCGCTGCAGATAGAAAAGCTTGGATTCGGAAAGCCAAAAAAAGTGCAGGATATGGCTGTGGATACACCCAGCTCTCTTTTTATTCCTTAAAACATGTTTCTAGTCCTTATTGGGACAAAGTTAGGGTTGGAAGTGTGTGGGTTAAGACTGCTTAATTCTCAGAAGCAAGAAAACTGGTCAAGCAACTGGAGGGGGAGCATCTTCCCCAATACTAACCACCTCAGACCCTATGACCAGCAAGTGAGGCCTTCTTGGTGGGGCTGCCACCGGGGCTGCCCACCTGGTGCTGACCCACAGCAGAGCCTTTTCAGTGGAGGTTCCCTGGTTGTGGAATACCTTCCCTAGTGAAGCATGATTGTCTCCGTCCTTATTCAGGAGAAATGTTCCTATTGATCCAGGTGCATATGGTGACTGAAGAAGACTGTTCCTAGCAACCCTGAGAACAGGGGATGGGAAAATGTGTTTAATGGCCTGCAAAGTAATTTTTTGAACGGCAAACTGATTGTAGATGTTTTTTATTATGTTTTTAGAATGTTTTAAAATGTTTGCTTTGTTTTTGTTTCAAATGGTACATCTGTTTCCTGCCCATGGCTCCTCAGTAAAGAGGAGCCGAATATAAACTGGACTGAATTGAACTGAAAAATAAAATAAAATTAATTCAGAGTCCCTGCCCCTCCCAAGACTAGCAAAACTAGAATTATGTAAGGTCAGTCAATTTGCAGACTAGGGGCAGAGTCATAGTGTGTGGTTATAATTATGACAAAGGGCACCTTCAGCCCTGTTCTATTTCTACATTCAAAGACTTGCTTTTTTAAAGGAAGAAGAACACTAATAGTTGACCTAAAAAAAAATAGAAATAATATAATCTCATTTCCGTCACATACAACTCCTAATTTCCCCTTTTCACTGTTATGGCCTGGAGGGGCAGCTTTGATCCAACAGCTTCTATCTCTCAGAGCCTTTTTTTAAAATCTGCCCTTCTTAGAGCCGGAAGGAAATATTCCAATTCAGAACAGTCTCAAGGACTGAGAATTTTTTAGTTTTGCTTAAAATCTAAGAGAAGAAACATCAATGCACACAAGAGACTCCATTATGCACATTCAACACTTTTGTAAGTTAAAACCGTGTGGAATGCAGCAAGTATTTTTATCCATATTTTCTTGAAGGAAAGAACCAAGTTTTTAGGCTCCTAAGCTAGCTTCTGGAATGTTTTAATTACATTTATAACCCTCCCTTCCTCCCAAAGGAACATGGGTAGCTTCTGGCTTCTTATTTTATTTATCTAAACAAGATTTACATACTGCTTAATGGCAAGAAACTCTCTAAGAAAAAGTCCCTGCAGGCCCTCAGCAAATTGTAGAGCAGCCTTTGCTGATCAGGTGCTCTCCAGAGGTTCTGGACTACAATTCCCACCAGCCCCTGGGCAGCTGCCTGCTCCTTCCACAGCAGCTGAGGTCGTCTGACAAGGTCCTCCTGGCTCTGCTGCAGCCTGCAGAGACCTGCCTGACTGCGACCAGCGGGAGGACATCCTCATGGAATCGCCTCCCTTCTGAATCAAGACAGGTGCAGAAACAGAAGACCCTTCTGCATCTCACTAAAAACATATTCTCTCCCACCTTTGCTAGACCCTGATACCAGGTGATCACAACAGCTTGAAATATATCTGCTCTGGCCTGATGCCAGCTGCTATTTTATTTATTCTGCAGGTATTTTTGTACGCAGCCTTGTGATGCTCAAACACCTAAGAACGCAAGAGGAGCCTGCTGGATCAGGCCAGTGGCCCATCTAGTCCAGCATCCTGCTCTCACAGTGGCCACCCAGATGCCTCTTCTGGGAAGCCTGCAAGCAGGACTCAAGCACCACAGCTCTCTTTCTCTCCTCCTGCGGTTTCCAGAACAACTGGTATTCAAAGCATTGCTGCGTCCAACCGCAGAGGCAGAGTAAAGCCATCACGGCTTGCAGACAAGGATAGCCTTCTTATCCTCCATGAACTTGTCTGATGCTTTTTTAAAACCATCCATGTCAGTGGCCATCACTGCCTCCTGCGGAAGCAGGTTCCACAGTTCGCTCAGTGCAGCTGCCTCCATGTTCTTGCATCCTCATAGTAAAATTGCTCCCTTCTACAGTGATGCCTCTGGTTGCGAACGGGATCCGTTCCGGAGGCCCATTCGCAACGTGAAAAGAATGCAACCTGCAGCAGCGCATCTGCACACACGCAGGTTGCGATTCACCACTTCTGTGCATGCGCGTGACATCATTTTGCGCTTCTGCGCATGCGCGAGCAGCGAAACCCAGAAGTAACCCTTTCCGGTACTTCCGGGTCGCCGCGGGACGTAACCTGAAAGAACGTAACATGAAGTATGACTGTATTGAACTGTAACTTTCTGCTCCATAGCCCAAGCTAGCAAAGGTAGAAATACCAATGTAGCATAATGGTTAAGACTATGGTTGGGACTATGACCTGGGAGACTAGGGTTCGAATCCTCACTCAGCCATGAAGCTCACTGGGCAACTTCAAGGGCCACTCACTGCCTCTCAACCTAACCGACCCTCACTGGGTTGTTGCGGGAGATTAAATGAGGAGAGGGGGCAACCGTGTTTGCCACCTTGTACTCCTTGGAGAAAAGGTGGGACAAAAATGCAATAAATCAATAAATAATAAAAACCTGCTGCTTTAGTTCTTTGCTTAACTTGAGTCGTGGTCTTGGCCCTTCCGGCAGAAAGTTCAACCAAAATAATAGAACTGCTATTTGTGTCATCTTGCAGGGAAATGATGAACGCACTCAATTTGAAGGACTGCAGTGTCTCCAATTCCAAGACGGGAAAGGTGGTAAGGAAGCAGTTTGATCAATTGATGAGAGGCTCTATGGGAGCTACTCCTGGCACAACCCTAGCTTTGGATTCGGCAAAGCTGCTAAAATGAGCAGAGAGGCGGGTTTGGTGCGGCTGGGCCGCGTTACCTTCAGCAGGAGAAGAGAGTTCCCAGGGTGGAGTAAAAATCTCCTTCAAGTCCCTGAGAAGGTTATCAGCACTGAGCTCCTTCCCAAGCTGTCCGGACTTAACGCTGGACTCCTGAGCGGCTGGAACAAATGCAAAAAAGGCAAGGACTCCCAAGGGTGACACAGTTAAGGGAGAGGGAGGAGAGGAGAGACCAAATATCTGGCAGTTCTCGTTCACAGACAGGAAAGGAGGCCCTGATGAACTGAAGGTAGTTTTATAGTGTGGCATAGGACTTGCTGAGAAGGGTGTGTGAAGGGGTTAAAACAGGCAGAGAGGGGAATCTCCCAGTGCCTACACTGTCTCTTCCTGCCCCTGTCCTTTGAAACTGCAGACTGATACTCTTGGGTTGCAAGCTCTGGCTTCCGCCGCCCCCCGGCCCTGGCCCCCTTCTTCCAACCCTGCGCAGAAAGGCCATCTCAAAGATCATCTTGGCTGAGAGCAAAGGAGCAAATGTGGCTCTCAATGCTGTCATTAGCTGTAGCGTTTCCTTTACGATAAAGGTAATGCAGCTGTATGTGCTGTGGGTTGTGCACTTTGAGAGCTCTGCTGGCTTATCATAAAATAATATTTTTCCGAGTTAGGTGATGACTCAGACCAACTGATTTAAGAGTCTGGAAAGGGCCACAATAATTGCTGTATACCAATCCAAAAGGCTAGTGAAACAGAAAAACTTGAAATCATTACCCAGCTGTTTTTAAAAGCCCCCCCCTAACCGCTCTCCCCGCTTACCCTTCTTAGCTCCCGGTCGAGATGACGCCCCAAAGAATTTCTTCACCGTCGTCACCTTCCGTGATTTCTCGTTGGTTTTCTTCTCCTCAAACTTGGTGAACGTGAGCGACTGAGCCCCTTGAGGGTGCTGAGTGCTTGCATAGGCCTCCTCCTCCTCACGCTGAAGCCTGCAACCAGGTGGAGAAAACAGAGCCACAGTTAGTTCCAGCAAGAAGCACTGATGCTGAGTTTCACCAGCCGCTGGGAATCCCTCCTGTCTCCTCCAGGGTCAGATTCTGGCTCCACAATAAAATCAAGTCACACATTTAAGCCAGGCTTCTGGCCTACACCTTGAAGCAGGCTGGGAATAGCAATACTATAGACTGCAGTAAGTGCATACCATTTCTGAATGTACCCCCGCAAGCAGAAGAATTAGCAGATCAAGCATAATGGTTTTATCTCGCTCATTTCACAGTCTGCCAACTTTCTACTTGCAGAAATTTCATTTATTCATTTGCACCCAGAGCACAAGAATGTGATCCCTTTATACTGTGTCAATGTGTGAGCACACACGCACGTACACACACATCAAGCGTAAGAATTCTGAAAGCTTTGTTCTACCCTATCCAGACAATTGCCCAACCAATTTTGGTATAAATCTCTGCTTATTTCCCCTTAGCTGTCCCAGGAGGGCTGGAAATGCAAGAACAGAGACAATCAGCTGCTAGACCATATACAGTGGTGCCTCGGTTCTCAAACAAAATCCGTTCCGGAAGCCCGTTCAGCTTCCGAAACATTAGAAAACCGAGGCATGGCTTCCCATTGGTTGCAAGAGCTTCTTGCACTCAGCGGAAGCTGCGTCACACATTCAGGTTCTGAAAAAAGTTCGAAAATGGAAGCATTTACTTCCGGGTTTTCAGCGTTCAAGAACCAAAACGTACGACAACGCGGTACTGCTACATCCTGCAGCAGCAAATTCCTCAGGTTAACCATGTGCTGTATGAAAAACCACTTCCAGTTGTCATCCAGTGTTCAGTTTTCTTGGGTCTTTGTTTTATGAGATGAGAGGGGAGAGAGAGAGAGAGAGAGAGAAACTCCTTCCACTGTGCATAATTTTGTGTCCCGGCCTCTCAATTCCTCTGTCTAAACTAAAAAGCCAAAAATGTTGTTCCTCAATGTGCTCCAAACCATTGATCGGTTTGGTTGAAGTAGGCACACTCTATTTGCCCTCTACAGAAACAGCTGGAGATGTTTTTGGTTCCAATAAGCTTTCCCAGTTGGATACCACAAGCATCCACTTGTTTTAGTCTTCTTGTAAATATATATGCTGTTTCGTGTTTTAATTATCTTGTGTGTGAAGAACAACAACTATGGGCCTTATGAAACACTGTGGGGGGTGTTTTTTCTCTGATCAAGGAAAGATTTTTAAAAGAAAAGGCTGGAAAAGACTCCTTGCCTGAAACCCTGGAGAGCCACTGCCAGTCAGTGTAGGCAATACTGAGATAGAGGGACCAGTGTCCTGATTCAGTATGAGCTGGCTTCCCATGTTCCTTACTGCTTGGGGAACTCTCCACATTGCAGTTTCAGCCCAGCCATGACCAAAACGCCCCCTCTCAGTCACACACACATACACTTCAGCTGTCCCCATCCGATATCCTACCAAAGAACTGACATGTTACTAAGCATTATCTTTGTAGAGGGCTGTTTAAAAAAGCAATTCAAGCCACAGATTAACATGCAATTTGTGGCAATGCTACAAAAGCTGGAGCTAAGCATTTCTCCCTGGCGCCAACACCTCCTTACCTCTCAGCCAGCTCCCAGTCCTCCTGGATTTGCTTCTGCCTGGCCTTTTGGTACTCCTCCCTCCAGCACTTGGAGCAGAAGCCCTGCCAAGCCGGGTTGCCATAGTAACCGCATCCTTTCTTGCAGAGCAGTTCAGACTGGTCCACGTGGATGCCTCGGCGTTCCGACTTCAGGCTCATCTTGCTCCTGCTGTGGTGGGAGGGAAAAGGGGGTTGTTTTTAAATGTCACTCAAATAAGCAAAAGTGGGGGAGGTCCTACACAAATCAAAGAAACCAGCTGGGGAAAGTGGCATGTGCAATGCCAGGAATAAAATGCCACAGCACCTCCCCTCCCTAGTTCCTCAGGAGTTCAAGATAGGTATTAATAAAATGCTACTAGAGCAAAGCCATCTTCCAAGTTGCAGAGCTCCTGTTATGCAATCCTAGAAATCCTTCTTTCTCAACGTGGAGCCCTCCAGATGTTTTGCATTACAATCCTCATCAGTCCCTGCCAGCACAGCTGCATGTTGCTGGGGGCCAATGGGAGCTGTAGTTCAAAACATCTGGAGGGCACCAGGATGGGGAAAGATGTCATAGAGTGTTGTAACTAGATAGATTAGCAATGAGTTCCATGAGTCTCGTCATGCAGGAGAAGGCTATCAATGGCTACAAGCGGGGATGGCTCAGCTGTGCCGTCATGGTTGGAGGCAGCAATGCTTCCAGATACCAGCTGCTGGAAGCCACCGCAAGAGAGAATGCAGATTTCCCACAGGTATATGGTTGCCCACTGTGAGAACAGGATGCTGGACTAGATGGGCCATTGGCCTGATCCAGCAGGCTCCTCTCATGTTCTTAGAAGGTAATACACTGCAAGATTTAGCAGCAAAAGGAAACACACACACACACAGGCCAAGACAGTCCAGAACTTGAGCTATAAACATAAAATGGTCCCAAAAAACAAGATCTAAGGCCAAGCTAAATAGCAGCCTGGCTGGTGGCCAGCTTATCTGCACTGGAAAGAGAGAAAGTCTTGGCACCAAAATCACTATGGGAGGTTGTCAACTATTTCACCAACCTGCCCACCCAAAATATGAGTGCTGTTTGACTGAGGCTATGCCATGCTTTGCATTCAGGGACTGTAATTTTTACACATGCATCCCTCTTATCATGGCAATTCCTAGAGTGGGCAACACAATTATATACAGGGCTATGTGTAGTCTGTGTGTAAAACAGGTCTGTGACTATCGTTCTTCCACCATTCTGGCAGAGATGAGTCAGGCTGCAGAAAAAGCCAGGGGTTCTCCTCCTCCTGCTGTGACCAGCTCACCTCTCCCCCGGTCTCCCAGAACCAGAAGACGGCAAAGCAAAGCCAGAAGAGGGATGAAGAGGGTGGAGCAGACAGGCATGGCGACGAAGTTTCAGACTGCTTGGGATGGAATCAGGGGCGGAGGAGGAGACTTAGGCAACTGTGGAAAGGCCATGGACCTTCAGTCTGCACAACTGCCTTATAGGAGCAAGATTTACTGGGACGAGTTGCTGTGCTCACTAGGCCCGGCCTCCTGAGTTGACCTTGTTTCCTTGAATAAAAAATTAACTCCACTAACGCCATGTAATTTATTGCCAACCTGCTCCTGACAGCCAGCGGCACACACCCCAAACATGAGAAAAACAGCCTCATGGCATCATGTGATAAGAATATGAGTTCACAGCAAATCAGTATAATTGCAGGAACAAGAGGCCAACTGCAGAAAACTATCAAGACAGCACAGACAGAAAATGCATTATCAGCCACCCTGATAGCTATGAAGTTATCACCAGGACCTAGAAGGAAAAACTGACACTGTCAAGATTTGTCATGCAAGGTAGGCGCTTTCATGCAACTCACTCAAAGTGTGTCTGCAAGGAGATTATGCAAGCGCTAGTCAAGCAAACTGTGTCCCGCCCAGTGGGTGGAGGCCTGCAAGGACAGTCTGTCATTCCTTCAAATGACCAAAATAAAACAAGTCAGCAAGGAGGGCCCAGTTGGGGCAGGAACTGCATGCAAAAGCAACCTGCATAGAGCTGGTAGGCAAGGGAAGTGGTCACTTCACAAGATGCAAATATGAAAAATATACAGAGATTAAAACTGGAGGTAGAATGTTCATCCAAAAGGAGAGAGAATCCAAGAGTAGCAGCAGTAACGCCTTTATTGAACTAAACAGTCACCAAGCAAGAAAGCACTGAGTTCCTCAGCATTCTTCTTCAGGTTAGGGGTGTTTTGTTGTTGGTTTTTTTGCTTAACATAAAAAAAAAATTGAGAAAGAAATAATGCCATTGTACAAGACTGAAGAGCCCCAGAATCTGCACACTTCAAGTTGGAACAGGGGAAGCATCATGCAGAATTACTCAGCCTAGGCCACCCTTGAAGCAAGGGGTTCTCATTCTACCCAACCCAAGACAGGGAAAATATCCTTCTGCCCAAGACGGTGAGAAGCTTCTTGGTTTAGCTGTCCCAGTGACCTCACTCAGAATAAGGGAACAGCACAGGTTCATACAGAACAAGGAACAAACAGAAAATGATTAAGCCTGTCCTAACTAAGCCACGAGAATGCAAGTAAGCCTTCTGCTGTTCCTCAGGAGCAGCTGACAACCAGTGAATGAAAACACCCTTTTTCTAAGTAGGAGGTTGAAAGCAAACTTGGCAGCCCAACGCTGATGGGAAAAGAGGAGAGCTGCCTTTGCAGGCCTGGAATACATCTAAGAGTGTGCAAATGTTTGCTCGTGCTGAGTCAAACACGCAGAGGCACTCAGGAATGTCACCGGTATGCAAGAAGCCTTGGGAACAGAAAGGACTGGGATGACTTCATCATCAGTATTTTCCATGAATCCTCTGCAGGATCTAGGAGGCAACTCGACTCCACAGCCGCACTCAGCACACAGTGGGATAGCTGCCCTTGACCCATTTAACCCAGAAAGGTGCTGAGAAAGAGGGGGAGAGGGAGGCGTTCTGCAACCCCTGACAGGCATTTTGAAAAGGCAGTCAAGTTGTGAGGTCACCAGAGAATCATGGGGAGGGGCTGAGCTGCCTGCAAGTCAAGACAGCAGCCAGAGCTAGAAAGCAGTAGGGTCAGGAGCTCATTTTTATAGGGGCAGCAGTGTCAATCTGCTACAAAAAGAGAAAAGGAAACAGTAGCCTTGCAGCATTTCAGCAGCTACATCTGAAAAATGGGGTGGAGAGGGGAGCGAAGGGCAAGAGCCTAGGGGGGGAATCAGTTCCCAGAAAGTCCTCTTTAACACAGTTACCAATCTCTTGCTAGTGACAGAAAGGGGGGGGGGTGAGAGAGAGGGCACAAACACAACTGGGTCCTTGATTTAGCCATGTAGCGTCCAAACGCTGATCTTCTGCGCACAGGGTAGGGAATTCAACTTGTACCAGAAAGTCTGGGGTGCACACCTCCACTCAAGGGGGTGGGAGGAACTCTTTAGCAGTTTCACTTTCCAAACCACAGTAACATACCAACATCAAAATTGTTCTTCCAGACAAGCCCCTAACATTTCTTCCCCAACGCACCCCGCCCTTTTCCGATCTAATAAACTAATCAGCTCCAGATGATTAATCTTCGGAACAAACTGGCTGGAGCCACGTCTGCACTAGAGGCAGCACCAGGCTCAGCGGCCGGGGGAAATGCAAGGGGCAGCAGGCAGGGACAGAGGAAGAGAACTGGGATTCAAGCTGCAGCAAGGACCTAGGAAAGGAAGTTGGAGTCTTCCTCTAGTTTTAGAACTCCAAGCATCGTTGCTCTTCAAAAGCGTGAGAGAAACACGAAGAAAAAACACTGGGCAGATTGCCGTGCTGATGGGTCACCATCAGCGAAGAGCCACCGTCTCTTCCTGGTACAGCACACTGTGCAGTGTATGCAAAAGGTCCCTTCAGTTATGGGATGCCTTAGGCTGAATCAGTTGGCCCCTTTAGCTCAGAACTGTTTACACTGGCAGCAGCTCTCTAGGGTTTCAGACTCAGGTTTCTCCCAGTGCTACCCAGAGAGGCCAAGGATGGAAGCTGAGCCTTTCTGTGTGCAAAGCAGACACCCTACCACTGAGCTACAGCATTTGCCCTTTAGGAGAACCACAGAATTGTAGCGGTGGAAGGGATCCTTAGGATCATCTAGTCCAACCCCCTGCAATGCAGGAATATGCAGCTGTTCCATAAGGTATCAAACCGGCAACTTTGGTGTTATCAGCACCATGATCTAACCAACCAAGCTACCCAGGCTGAAGAGATGGGAGAGGACTCTTTATAAGAGACTCTGGACAGCTGCTGCTAGTGAGAGTCAACAGCACTAGGGGACATGAGCCCAGCCAGATGGGCGGGGTATAAATAAATTATTATTATTATTATTAGCAAGAGTAAGGCATCTTCATATGTCCATATACACTTCAGTTTAGTGTGTCTACTGGTAGATTTTTAAATCTGCTCACAGGACAGAAATGTCTGTTTACCTCCTTACACTCAATTCTCTGTTAACCCCCATAGGAAGCCTCCCCACCCCCTCTACCTCCCTTGGGATAAGTGTTAGAAATTAACCAAGCGTACAGCACGTTTTGCGACTGACACTGGCCCAATTGCAACCACATGGAGATATCTGGATGCCATGTTGGCGACAGACATTTCCATCTAGTTGGCCCCTCCAGCTCTCTTAAGCAGGTAAGCAGAAGAGCTTCCTTACCGCATTTATATCCTGCCTTTTTCTCCAAGGAGTCCATGGTTCACGTCGCTCCTCAGTTAATTCCTCCAATAACCCTGTGAGGTAGTTTAAGAGGCTGTGACTGGCCCAAGGTCACCCAGTGAGCATCATGACTAAGAGGGGATTTGAATCCTGATCTCCCAGGTCTTAAGTCTGACACTAACCACTGCACCACACTGGCTTCCTAGAGTACTTCTGCTATGGGGCAGCTATAAAAATTAAGTAGATGATGAATATGAGGAACGCAAAATGTCACTTAGAGAAGAATATGAAATATTGTCCTTGCAGCTTGAATCTGTTTTATGCTGGATTGTTTTATTTAATGTGTTGTAAACTGCTTGGACGTTTTTTCTTTTTTGGGTGTGTTTTTGGGTGTGGAACTCCCTGCCACTAGAGATTAGGCTTAAATTTGCCTAGTGGAAGAAACAAACTCAGACATCAGTTCTTATGATGAGAGCTCTTCCAATGCTGCATTTTATAGGCTAAGGCCCTCAGGAGCAGGAACCTGCCTTCTTGTACGCCATAAGTAGTACTAAACACCTTGTGATGCTTCAAAAATAATATTGTTTATCCCAGCTCAGAGAACTCAAGGTGGTGTATGGCCAGGGGTGGGCAGAAAGTCGATTAGGATCTACTGGTAGATCTCAATGATGTATAGCAGCAAAGGGTGCTAACTCCCAATTTTTTAACAAAAGCAGTAACTAAAAAAACACACCCACCCACAGCTCATGGAATCCTAGAATTGTAGAGTCGAAAGGGATCCTGAGGGTCATCTAGTCTAACCCCCTGCAATGCAAGAATAAATTACTTTGCTAGAAAACACCACTTGGGGAAAAGCGAATAGTGATCTTTTGTGGGTCAGAACATGGGATCCTAATTATGGTACTGGTTACAAAAATTCCTTGACTGATCACACGCTCAGAATACCTGTTGCTTAATTCTTGGCGTACATGCATCCACCTGAGCTACGATTTTGTCCCCAATCCTCGGTATGATTCTTTCCCCACACTTCCATTTGTCTCCTGACAACCACCCTGCAACACTGACTAGTTTATTATTGCATTTAACAGTGATATCAACATAATGCTAAAATAAATAAAATTCATATAATACTGCTCATCATAATAATGTTAAGCTCCCAGCTTATGTTGGGTGGGGGGGCAGCTCCCATGACTCATTTTAAAAGTTAAGACAAATTACTACAAGCCACACACACACAGTTAATAAGTTGACAACAAAACATGATTACCTCCATACCAACAGTTGGAGAACAACATGCTAACTTCCCAAGCAAAAAATAAAATAAAAATCTGCATAAGCCTGTAAATCACTATTAAAGTAACTCAAAAACTAATTATACTTTATCACACAACAGTTCTAGTTATAGTTTTAAGTTTCCAGTTTATGCAAGAGGGACCTTTGCACTCTTCCTCCAAAGCCAGGGAAGACCAGCCCATCTATAACTGCTTCTTCACCATGATTTTTTTTTTAACAGTAATACTAAATTTAATTCCAGTTTTATCTACTGTTGTTAAGTCTTTATATACAATGCAATTACATATTCAAAATAAAGTATATAATTGTAGGTAACCTACCATTTGTGGTCATAAAGGACCACCTTGTCCTCAGGGGAGGAGAGAAGTGACCCACTACGCAGCACTTAGGGTGACGTCCAACTCAAAAAGTCAACCATTGAAGTCATTGTTACTCAAGTCCACTGATTTCATTGTAACCAGTGTTGGTCCTACTCAGAGTAGGCTCACTAAAATGAATGGGCATGACTTCCTTAAAGGTAAAGGGACCCCTGACCATTATGTCCAGTCGTGGCCAACTCTTTTCTCTAAACTAAAGAGTCCCAAACACGGCACTTTTTCTTCATACTGACACATCATCTACTACATGAAGTATCTTAGGAGATGCTTCAAGGAGTAAAGGTAAAGGGACCCCTGACTGTTAAGTCCAGTCGCGGACGACTCTGGGGCTGCGGTGCTCATCTCGCTCTATAGGCCGAGGGAGCCGGCGTACAACTTCTGGGTCATGTGGTCAGCATGACTAAGCCGCTTCTTGCGAACTAGAGCAGCACACGGAAACGCCATTTACCTTCCCGCTGGAGCGGTACCTATTTATCTACTTGTACTTTGATGTGCTTTCGAACTGCTAGGTTGGCAGGAGCTGGGACTGAGCAACGGGAGCTCACCCCATCATGGAGATTCGAACCGCCGACCTTCTGATCGGCAAGTCCTAGGTTCTTAGGCCCCTTCATTTTGGTGGGTCTCCTCTTGAGTGCAGTTTAACTGGAAGCAACTCAAAAGATCTACTGCCAGGTATGACTATTACTATTATTAATTTATCCCTTTATAGATCACCTTTCACTTAAGTCTCAAGGGCAATGATAGCCATATAATCAAAACAATAGGTTGAAAAACTGTTTTAAAAATCAAAGATAGGTTTAAAAAGGCAGAGACCTCAAAACATTCATGCAGCTGGAAACAGCAGCTAACATTTGATAAGATCCATAATGCTAAAATTATTTTTAACATTCGATACCATCATTCACTGATAATATAATGTACAGTTGATCCATAAGTAATAAAGATATAATAAGGTAAATATAATGCATTAACTGATAAGCACAGAGTTATAGTTAACTTGCAAAATAAAGCCGTCGTAAATATGATTTACACAACATATCTTTCACTTTGATCTTAGCCACATAATATGATGGGTTGCACCCAATTCTAAGCTCTACCCAAAGCTGACCCAGTGAAACCACTGAACCTAACTGAGCCAGTGTGGTGTAGTGGTTAAAGTGTTGGGCTGAGATCAGGGTTCAAAGCCCCATTAAACCATGCAGCTCCCTGGGTGACCTTGGGCCAGTCCCTGTCTCTCAGCCTAGCCTACCTCACAGGGTCGTTGTGGGGATTACACGGAGAAGAACCACGTTCCCCACCTTGGCTCCTCGGAGGGGAAGAAGGTGGGACATCAATGCAATAGATAACTTAACAATAGCAGGGCCATTCAGTGACAAACACGATAATTACAGCAATTAAAGCTCCCAGATTACTCAGTAAGGAAGGAGAGATGGGAGGGGGAGGGTGCGGGGTCCTTTCACTCTCCTTCCCCCCCACCCCCAAACTCCATAGGGTTTTGAAACCCCTTTCCCCCTCCCTCTTCGGCCCCACAGCCAGCCAGGCTCACCTGGGGGGCCCTTCGCCGCCTCCTGCGTCTCCTCACCAGCTTGTTCCTCCTTCTTCCTTCTCCTCCTTCCCCCGCCCTTCGGAATCCTTGCGTCACTTCCGCAGCAGGGCAAGCGAAGGGCGGCGCCGGGCGTCCGAGCGTTCTGAGCACGTGACGGAGGCTGACAGAGGGGCGGGGCGGGGCGGGGCGGAGAGAGGAACTTCATAGACGCTGTAGAGATGTGGAAGTTTGTAGAGATGTAGGTAGCCGCTCGCTTCCGGGTCCCCGTGTGGCTAGCCCGGCTGAATACGCGGAAGCACCACTCGTGTGCACGTGTGCAGTCATGATGAGCGCGAGAGCTCTTTTGTCTCTTCGCGAAGCCAATTGTTGGTGAATGTCTCACACATACCCAAAAAGGAGGGAAGAGCGTGAGGCCGGAAAGTTCCCCATTCCTGATATAGATTTTTTTTTTTAAAGGTAATGAAAGTCAGGGTTTTTTGGGGGGCGGGGATATTTGGGAGCTGTTTTTACAAACACAGAGAGAGAGAAAGATAAGAGTGCTGAGAATTGGGGATACTGTAAATTGTTCTGTTCACCATCCTACGCGCCTGAGCAGCTAAAAGGTAGTTTTGCTGTCTATTATTTTTTTAAAAATTGTACCCCCTCACCCTGTCTATTATTATTATCCATTAATATCCCACTCATCTGTTTTGGCATGCACAAGGGGTAGACATCATTGTGCCCTTTCATATGTTGGACTCCAAGCCCCATCAAGCAGTAGTGTAGTGGTTAGTGTCAGGCTAGGGCATGGGACACCTGGGTTCAAATCCCTGCTCAGCCCTATCTCAGCCTAACCTACCTCACAAGGTTGTTGTGAAGATAAAATGGGAAGTGGGGAGAACAATATACTCCACCTTGAGCTCCTTGGAAGCAATGGTGGGATATAAAATGTAAAGTAATTATCATTATACCAGCATTGCCAGTTACCAGGAATGGTGACAGTTAGTGTCTGTCATTTGGAGAACATCATGTTGGCTGGCTGCCAGAACTATTTTAAGAGCTACAGCTTCAAGAACTGATACCTGAGAGTGCTTTTTTCCTCCTCCCTACCTGCCCCTTTTCCCTCATCTTTCATTGCTTTTTTTGGGTTGCAAACCTGAGGACAGAGACTAGCTTGCTGTTGTTTTTTGAAGCTATTCTGGCAGAAAATAAAAGTGGTAGGGGGTCTCCTAAAGGGAGGAGCATATTATGATACCCACCCAGCCCTGCTTTTAGTGTTTGGCAGCCTTAAAAAAAGATAATTGTGAGCGCAGTTAGATAGTGACCATAGTGAGATAATTTATTGCACGTTACTGAGACACAACACGTTTCAATACAAAATATGGGCTGTAAAAGGGGAGAGAGGTGAAATAACATACTTGAATGGTTTTATCATTGCAATATCCACTGTTTGAAGACAACAAATAACTCCCACCTTGCAAATCCATTTACATTTCTCATTTTTGCAGAAGGCATTGAAGGTCGTAATGCATAGAGACATCTGGGTAAAATATACTCTTAAATAAATGTTTTAACAGTCATAATGAATTGCTTGCCAAATCTACTAAAGGAGTATGCTCAGAATCCTTTTTTATCTCCCCATAAACGAACATCAGCTTATTTGTACCGGGAGGGCAGGGGGAGAGGGATGAGAACAATTCATAGAACCCCAGACTACTCTAATCACGTGTCTCCCTGGAAATAATTTCCACTGGGTGGCATTCAACTAAGTTTTACTCAGAGTAGACTCACTGAAACTAATGAACATAAGCCATGCTGGATCAGGCCAACGACCCATCTAGTGCAGCATCCTTTTCTCACAGTGGCCAACCAGATGCTTCTTTTGGTAAGCACACAAGCAGGATCCAAGCACAAGAGCCCTCTCCCTTCTTGTTGCTTCCAGAACTGGTATTCAGAAGCATTGCTGCTTCTGACCATGGAGGCAGAGCATAATCACTGTGGCTTTCAGCCATCGATAGCCCTTTCCTCCATGAATTTATCCAATCCTCTTTTAAAACCATCTAAATTGGTGGTCATCACTGCCTCCTGTGGCGGAAAGTTCCGCAGTTTAATCATGTGCTCTTAATTCAGCCATCTTGATTTTAGCCAATAACAGGCCAATCCAATAAAACATTTGGCTGCGATGATCCTGCATGCTCCAATCCCCAAAGAAGCATGCCAGCCATCGCCAAAGCTGAGAAAGTTTCCATGCTAACAGTAACTTCTGGCCATGAGATTTGGGGCTGGCTCACTGACACTTCATCAAAGTGCGGGAGAAATTTCCATCCAGGTATAGTCAACAGCTAAAGCACCCAAAGCAATAAACAGGCACATTTTTTATATATATAACCGTTATTTTTGAATTCATTTACGAATGCAACCTATGCGGTCTGAGCAAGCACCAAGGAGTTAAAAAGAACCACCCAACACCTGCCCTTTGGGGTCAGGGGAGTGGAAATAAATTAAATTTCAACACAAACACGTAAAGGAATTAACCAATACAGACGCATAAATAAAGCAGGGATTTAACACAGAGAAAGTTCAGACATTTGTAGAGATAATTCACTTCTGAAACCTCAGCATCTCTGAAAAGTACTTTGTTCTTCTGTCCTGAAGGTCGGAACAGCAGCAAAAGGTCACATGCCAGTGGAAGTGGTGTAAAAATAAAGTGCTCCTGTGCACTTCCAACGCCAGGTGGCTATAAAACAGCTAACTATGTCTCCAGGGGTGCAGTTGGAAGGAAGATTGTGCAACGGTGTGGCGGTGTCCCCTAGGCAAGTGCAGGCAAGTGAGACCAGCATGGGCCAAAAAAGGCTTCAATTGTGGGTTAGAGCCCTTCCAAAAACCTCAATACACACCAACTGGCATATACCTCTACTGGGACCCTATGTGTCAGCCACAATAGCATGTGTCCTTCCAGAAGGATTTCTCTTCCTTGAAGCAAGAATCACAGGAGAGACCCCAGTTTTCTGCATAGCTATGAATGGAGGTCAAGTTCTCCTGCCAAGATAAGACTCCAGCACGCTATCAGCAGTGCCACCGTTTCTCGGAACGCAGGGCAACAAGGCCATGGAGAAGACGGCAAAACCAGCCAGCTACCTCTTCCCACGCCCAGTTGGGCTCACCACCACGTGATCTTGAACTCGTAAATGGGGCGCTTGCAGTAGTAGTGGTTGATCAGGTGCTTGTCACAGACCCCAATGCACTGGTGGTCCACCGTGATGCCCCTGCTGGAGAGGTCCGTCACGATGCAGTGGAGGAGGTCGTACACGTCCGCCACGGCCTCCCAGGGCCCAAAGGACACGTCCACCTCACAATGGTGTTCAAAGAGCTTGGCCTCGCCCTCGCTCCGCTCAAAGCGCAGGGAGTTGAAGAGAGGGCACTCGTAGGGCGTGATGGGCATCTCCTCCTTGAAGACGCAGATCTTCAGCTTGGCAAAGCGGGCCTTCCGCTGCATGGCGCGCAGCTTTGCAATCTCCACAATCCGCTCCAGGTGCTCTGAAAAGCAAGGAAGAGAGGTGTGTGAAAAAACAAACATTAAGAAGATGTGCGTTCCTCAAACGGGTGCCTTCAGATGTTTCAGGTTTCAACCTTCCACAGCCCCAACCAGCACAACCAAGCTCCTTTCAGACCAAGTATTACATGGCTGGGACACAGGTGGCACTGTGGGTTAAACCACAGAGCCTAGGACTTGCCGATCAGAAGGTCGGCAGTTCGAATCCCCACGACGGAGTGAGCTCCCGTTGCTCGGTCCCTGCTCCTGCACGTCAGAGTGCAAGTAGATAAATAGGTACCGCTCCAGTGGGAAGGTAAACTGCATTTCCGTGCGCTGCTCTGTTTCGCCAGAAGCGGCTAAGTCATGCTGGCCACATGACCCGGAAGCTGTACGCCGGCTCCCTCGGCCAATAAAGCGAGATGAGCGCCACAACCCCAGAGTCGGCCACGACTGGACCTAATGATAAGGGGTCCCTTTACCTTTATTATATGGCTATGCTGGCTGCAGGTGATGGGAGTTGCAGTCAGGGGCAGACCTTAGAAATATGCTACCCTGTGCCATTTGACACCCTTATGGCACCTGGTGCAACCACACCACTTGCACTGCCCTAAATCTGCCTCTGTTGCAGTTCAAAACATTGGGAGGGTACCATTTCAAAAGCATTCTGGCCTGCTGCAAGATACACCCACAAGCTTCCTGCCCCCACCCCTTCAATTTACCTTTGTAATATGGCATCAAGCCCAGGAAAGCCTGCCGGACTTTTTCTCCTTTGAGGGGCTGGAGCTCCTCAAGAAGGTCTAGCAAGGGTCCAATGGAATAATATTGGGCTTCCTTGTAAACTGCCCTCACGCGTTCCCTTGGAGGCAAGTCGCCAGACCGTAGGAAATTGAGCACATCCCTAAAAAAAGAAAAGGCAGAAGAAACTTGAGTATACAGATTGGTTGATGGCTACCTGTTCCCAAAACACACACCCCATCTCCTTTTCATTACATTGCAGGCAATGTGTTCAAAACTGGGGCTGTAGCTTTCAATAGACTAATTGGTTAGATCAGCGTTTCCCAAACTGTGGAACTCTTACCTCTGGGAATATGCAAAAGGGTTCAAAGGATATAGGGCAGATTTTTTTATCTTACTTTATCATACTCTAACCTTTATTAATACTATATATTGCATTTGCTCTAGACTAGATAATTTGTTGTTGTTGTTGTTTAGCCGTTTAGTCGTGTCCGACTCCTCGTGACTCCATGGACCAGAGCACGCCAGGCACGCCATGAAAAGTTAAAGACTAGATAATACAATGTTATTAAAGCTAGAATTATCTTCACCCAAGAAACTCCAACTGGCCCAAGCAACCCAAGCAGATGCTTAGATCCAACATGTTTCAATGAAGCAGCCATATACCACAGGGGATTCTGGGATGCACATGGTGGAACAAATGCTGCAGGCCTTTGGGGCTAGCCCCGAGAGGGAAATTCTCTCAAGGGGAATCATACTGTCTTCATGTTTGTCAAGATAACACTGCACATGTGTTTCAGAGTTTTCAGCCATTTCTATTTTAAAAGTCGGGATATAGGAACAAAACAAGATGGGGTCTACTTGTAGGGTTGCCATATTTCAAAAAATGAAAATCCAGACACAAAAGTTGTTGAGTTTTTTTAGCAAAAAACAAAAACAAAACCCCGCCATGAGGCTTTGAGCTATTTTCAAGGGAATTCAGCTAAATCTATACTTCTGACATGGCTTCCCATATGTCTGGATTTTCCTGGATATTTCAGCTATTTCCACCCAGATGCCATTTCCAATGACTGAATCCCAGCTATGTCTGGGAAATTCCGGACGCATGGCAGCACTAATTTAAGTAGCTGACTTTGCAAGGTCAGGATATTACACATTTATTCTGAAACAGGAAGGTCAGCATTCCAAGGGCTGAAGAACCTTTTAATATCCTGTTTCCAGAGGCAAAAGCAGCACAGTCACTTTGACTAATCAATCCTATTAGTGACCACATGCAGCACAAACAAAGGGCATCTGTTACTTGCCGTCTGACCCTGTCCAGCGCTCAAAGTCAGGGCATGAGACGGAAAATCCGAAGGGTGCCCCACCCCATTCCAACCATCTCTTGAGCTGAAGCTCTTATGCAGTTTCCATTCATATTATTATTACTGTATTAGCCTGAACATAAGCCTCGCTTTCCCCCCAAATTACGACCATGAAAAGTTAAAGCACGGCTTATATTCGCAACCTTACGGTATGCAGCCAGGAGCACGGGGCAAACAGCGCCAGGAGCGTGGCAAAGAGGCGCCCACCCCACGCATAGTCCCCCATCCTCTCCCCCAAGGCTAAGAAGGAAGAGAGCGAGGAAGGGAAAAGGCTGTTGGCAACACAGCACGGCTCCCCCACTCAGTATGCAGCCAGGAGCAGCGAGGAATGGGGCAGGTTATATTCGGGTATTTTTTCTTTTCTTTTCCCCCCTCTAATTTTAAAGGTGCAGCTTATATTCGGGTGCGGCTTCTATTCGGGCCAATATGGTATTATTGATTGATTAAACTTATTAGTCACTTTTTTACAAAAGCAACTCAAAGCGATTCTCAGAAAGAATTAAATAGCATTTACATCAAAACTAGCATTAAACAAAACAGATAAAAAAGACTTAAAGCAAATTTGTATTTTTAAAAGGCAAGATTAAGACATCCCACCCACTCAAGAGAGCCAGTGTAGTGTACTTTTTTTTAGAGTGTCAGACTAGGACCGGGAGACCAGGGTTCAAATCTGCACTCAGCCATGCAGTTCACTGGTTGTGTCCTTGGGCCATTAACTGCCTGTCAGCCTAACCTACTTCACAAGGTTGTTCTGGGGGATTAAATGAGGCAGGATGAGAACCACATACATCACCTTGGACTCCTTGGAGAAAAAGGTGGGGTTTAAGTTTAATAAAGTAATAAAGAGGCCACAGATAATTAAAAGCCAAAGGCCTGTCAGAAGAGAAATGTTTTTGCCTGGTGCCTAAAAATATGTAATCCACCACTTCCAGTAATACAATATATACCTCCAACCACAGGAATATGTCAGGGAGCCCTGGTCCAGCAGAGTGCAGACATTCTGACCACAAACAGCTCCACCAACATTGTCCTTCAAAACAATTACCCCCAGTTCTTAGAATAACAGCAGCACAGACTTGTAAAGTTAGAACAGACTCCAAAGGTCATCTGCTCCAACCCACTGCAGCAAAGGAATCACAGCGAAAGAATCTCTGACAGTCATCCAACCTCTGCTTAAAAACCCGAAATGAAGGAATCCACCACCTTCTGAGAGAGTCCGTTCCACTGTTGAACAGCTCTTCCCATCAGAAGGTTCTTTCTCATGTTTAGTTGGAATCTCCTTTCTTGGAAGTCTAGATGCCACCTTGCCAGCTGCTGTTCTTTGGCCGCCTAGAGCAGTTCCCCTTACCCCTATGGGAACATGACTGCGAAGGTAGAAGGGGCATACAGCTCACACTACCTCCAAGGGACAGAGGAACCGCCTTGTTCCTGGAGCTTTTGTAGCTAAGGGAGTGCCACAGGCAAAGAAGACATACCCAAAGAACTTCCCGTCTCGGTCAATAAAGTATCTCCCCTCCGCATCTGTTGGGATGTAGTGTCGGCCACTGAACATAGCCGAGAGCATTGTGTCTTCGTGGCGCCGCAGTGTTGACAACCTGGTAGTGAAATAAGCTCCTCCAACATTCAGTGGCACCACTTCAGGGAACTGGGAGGAAGAAACAATTTTTGTCGAAATTCAGCATGTAGGTTGGCTGTATCATTTCCCATCACTTGAAAAATTTACGCTTGCCCAATAAAACTTCCCAATCTTCCCCATGCCCCACATCCTACCCAAATCTGCCCCCTAGAACAGATTTAGGGGGTATGCAGTTGGTATGCAGTTCCTTGCAGTGATGGATCAAGTTAATTCAGGCTGCACTGAATACAAACAAGCCAGTGTGGAGAAAGTAGATGAACATATTTCTCCCTCTTTTTATACTTTTGATTTTTATTTTATTGCATCTGTATCCCAAATTTTCCTCCAAGGAACTCAAGGTGCCATACATAGTTTTCCTCCTCTCCATTTTATCCTCACAACAACCCTGTGAGGTAGGTTAAACAGAGAGGTAATGACTGCCCCTAAAGTCACCCACTGTGAGAGCTTCATGGCCAAGTGGGGATTTTAACCCTGGTCTCCAAGGTTCTAGTCTGAGATGTTAACCACTACACCATGCTGACTCTCAGAATACTAGAACCTGATTGGGTAATCTTAGGAAGCTGAAGGGTGAGAGATTCAGGGCAGGCAAAAGAGAGGACTTTGTCACACGCTGTGAAAATCCCTGCTGCAAGATATGGGCAGTGGCCACCAGCTCAGAGGGCTTTAAAAGGGGACTAGACACATTTGAGAAGAGGGAAGTGGTCTATATTTTACTTCTTTAAGAGAGTGTATATCTTTCCTTCCTAATTACTAATCTATTTACAAAATAAAATAACATGAGCAAAACAGTAAAATCAGTTAAGAACAATAAAAAAGATGAACGCAGGGCAGATAAAAACAAAGGGACAGCTTGAAACTTTAATTTTTAAAAAACAAAAACAAGGGGGCAGTTTAACTATGTGCTCTGTGAAGAATGGCTTTTTTTTTTACCTGTTCTTAATCTTCCACCCTTCAGTTTCATTGGATGTCCATGAGTTCTAGTGTTATGAGAGAGGCAGAAAAAAAATTCTCTATCCACCTTCCCCATGCCATGCATAATTTTATAAACTTGTATTTTGCCACCTCTTACTCACCTTTTCTCTAAACTAAAGAGTCCCAAATGCTGCACTTTTTCTTTATACTGACACATCATCAACTGCCTGAAGTATCTTAGGAGATGCTTCAAGGGGTAAAGGTAAAGGGACACCTGACCGTTAAGTCCAGTCGTGGACGACTCTGGGATTGCAGTGCTCATCTCGCTTTACTGGCCGAGGGAGCCAGCGTTTGTTCGCAGAGAGCTTCAGGGTCATGTGGCCAGCATGACTAAGCCGCTTCTGTTGAACCAGAGCAGCGCACGGAAACGCCGTTTACCTTCCCGCCAGAGCAGTACCTATTTATCTACTTGCACGTTGACGTGCTTTCAAACTGCTAGGTTGGCAGGAGCTGGGACCAAGCAACGAGAGCTCACCCTGTCGCAGGGATTTGAACAGCCAACTTTCTGATCGGCAAGCCCAAGGCTCAGTGGTTTAGACCACAGCACCACCCACATCCCTTCAAGGGGCAGCACCACACAGCCTATTGCACATGCCTCCAGGTCTGAAATTCCCAGTTGGTGCACCAGTCTCAGATTGGTCAATATACCTTGGACCATAGCTGCTGTCTAGCCATGAAGCACCAAAGCCCGGTGCAGGTTCACTCCCACCCCTATATGGCATTCCCAGGCTCAGGATGTCACTGGGTACCAGATGCAGGGGAGCAACAGCACGAGAGAGAGCTGTCACCTTGCCGCCCTGTACATGGTGGGTTTCATGGAGGCACCTGGTCGGCTACTGCAGAAGGCAGGATGCACAGGGCTAGGTGGACCTTTGGACTGATCCTGCAGGGCTCCTCTTAGGCTCATGTCACTGCTCAAAAATGACTCAGCAGCAGATGACTTTGTGTAGAAGGCAGAAGCAGGAGGCGGACTGTGAGGAGACAAGGAAGGGTGGCACTGGCAGAGTCAGAGAGAGGGCAAGCGATCAGTGGCTCTGGGCTGGCACTTGCACCCAGTTCTGCACATCCATCTCCAAGATCAGCTGGAGCTGCAGACTGTAGGGGTTTTCAACTACTCAGAACTGCAAGCCACCAAGCAAACATAGCTTAGCAGGAGTTTGTAAGTCTCCTGTTTTCCCTCAGCTGCAAAAACAGGACAGTCATGTGATGAGCCCAGTGGACTGATATCTGCTCAACTGCTCATTTTGTGCCCAGACTCCACCTGTCACCCCCTAGTTGGGTGTACAGAACATGCTAATGCCAGGAAACCTAACAAGTCTGAATATTGCTAACTTACACTGAGTTTTCTCAGTCTTGAGGCTGGAAAAACCTTAGCAGCCAGGGTATTAAAAATGCTAGGTTTAAATACTTTTTAAAATCAAAGTTGTTTTGAAAGTCATGATTTGTGAACAGCTTCTAGTTTATCCCACCCTTCAAGCTCAGGATGGGTTACAAAAACAAGAAATCAGTAATATTCATTTTTTAAAAAGTAAGTCCATTTAGGGCAGTGGTTCCCAAACTTTTTTGGGCCACCCCCCCTTGGTTCCGTACACTCAACCATACCGAAACCTATAAAAAACATTATTCAGAATAGTGGTTTACACAACCCACTCCAGCAGATAAAAGCAGAATAAAATTCAAAACAGTAACAATTGCACATTTACTCAAAATCCAATTAACACTATTGAGTTTAATCCAATCAACAAAACTGCTGAACTTGAATAGTCATTTACACCTCCAGCATCCCCCTGCCACCTCCTTGCCTCTTAGTGCCTCCCTGGGTAATCCCACCACTCTGCCCAGGGGGTGGTACCACCCACTTTGGGAACCACTGATTCTGGGGCTTGACCCTGCGCCCACCACTACAAGCCAGACTGAAAGCAGAGTATTGTTTCTGAAAGAAGCTGATCCTCAGTGTCACTCTGGGGAAGCCTCCAGGGAGAGGACCATTCCAGCGGCAGCCCCTGAAAACTGAAGCAACCAGGGTGCAAGAGGCACCAGCTCACTCACCTGCTGAGGCAGAAGGGACAGGGCGTGCTCTGCCTGGGTGGCCGTCGGCGTGGCAGGTTCTTGAGAGTCATCCTCCGCATCCGAACTCGACATGGCATCGCTCACTTTGGTCTGCCCCGTGACTACCACCATCCCTCCGGCTCTTGTAAGCAGGTCTGCTGGGCGGGCAGCCGTGGCAAAGCTGGCAGGGAGACAAGGGCCATGTTCATTGGGATGGGAGACCACAGCAGGGGAAGGGGCGCTTTCCTTAATAAAGAAAGGCCACTGAGGGGCAGCAGGCACCCAGAGATGCTCCACGCCAACCCTTTACGAGTGTCATTGCTATTCTCAGGAGTGAGTCACAACACACAGGACTGTTCTATCTGCTGCCAGTCAGGAGCACACGCGCACGCGGGGAGGGGATCCAATTTGCACAGCAGCGCCAGGAAACCTCCCTGTCAGCTTTCACAGCCAGAGAGTCCCTCACTGGAGGAGACAGCCGCTCTTATTGGCCGCCTAACCAGCTCAACCTGCTCTCGGCTGCCCAGGCTGTCATTTTACTTGCTCAAATCTGATTAGCTGCTGGGGACACCTGCTGCTGAGCAGCCATTTGGCAATCCACACAGCTGTCAACCGAAGGTGCTGTCTGACTGGTTCAGCGTGCGCTTGGCCACTCCCCACTAGCCTGTGGTTCCCCAACACCACACTGCCCCTCCAAGCCCCTTTTGAAATGGACAAAGGAAAGCATTCCTTGCCCGATCCACAGAGTTCCACCAACATTATTAATAGTGGGGAAACTGGGGAAATTGGGGGGGGGGAGGTTCTGGCAGCAGCATAGAAATTCAGAATCAAGTTAGGCATACTAATGGTCAATCAGAAAAGGGATGGGGACTCAATTTTTAAGTTAGCTTAACCTGGGTTCTGACGTGCATGCAGAGATCGCTGAAATTGCTTCTTATAACCATTTCATTTCTCGGTCATCCAGACAAATCCTGACATGTAACGGAGCAGAACGTCAGCACTGCAAGCAACTGGCACTGGAATAAGGAGGTTTGCCTGAACGTCTGAAATGAAAGTAAGTCAGCTGGACTGATTGCAAGGGGATCCGTTTGTACTACAGAATGAATTTCCAACCCCTGCACTTCAGGCTGGAGGAGACACAAACTGGCTATTTTTCTCTCTAGATGGCAAAAAGGCATGAGCCTACACAAGGGAATCGGGCAAAGTTACCACATGGACACAAAAAGGCAATCAAAACAGCAGCTCTCAAGGAGTCAGTACATTGCAGGACAGTGAGCTCAAACCAGCACAATTTTGGCCAGCAATGTCCCAAATAAATTCATCCGATTTCATCGTAATGAAATCTATTGATATCTTTCACAGTCCACCTCAAATGGCCAAACAGAATAAACCTCTCTGCACTTTATTTATTTATTTGCAGAGATTTCCTCTCATTTCATCTGTTTCAGAGCCCCAAACTGGTAAGCTGCAAAGGTCTGGTGTGCAGCTTCATCGAAACTACTGTTCTAAATTGAGCTTGAAAGACAGTCTCATCTAATTGATTCCATTACGTAGGAAGATGTTCTCCCAATTTACAAATCACTTACTATTAGATCACTTCCTCATAATGCCTCAACAAGCAATTTTGTCACCTCTCCACATAGCTGGATAAATCATTTCCTACAACTGATGTTGGGTGGTTAGAGTTAGCCTGTTGCAGTGAAAACAAATCTTGTGGCACCTTAAAAGCTAACACATTTTTAAAGGCAAGAGCTTCCCACAAGAGTTTGTCATAAAATAAATTTAAAAGTCTTCAAAATGCCACAGAAATCATTGTTGTTTTCTGCTACCTGCAAGATTTCCTTGTTGCTGTGAAAATTGCTGCCCAGCTGAAAGAGTATTTCAAATGTCAACTTTCAGATGGAAGAACTTAGCAATAAAATTGTTCTTACTTGATTTAGAAAGACCTTAACCCCTTCATTTTTTTAAATGATGCAAGGGACCACCAGACACAAATCTCTCAGCTACCACTGATTCCATTCTCTGCTTAAGGAGGGGGGAAATATTCAAACCAACCTTCAAGACATCCCATATGTCTGACACTGCTTTGAAACTGCAGTGCTGACCCTTAGGAATTTGAAATATTTCTCCAGCTGTTATTCTGGCATATTTTGTTTAATGCAGTCCCAAGAACACAAGAAGCTATGCCCTTAGATCATGAGCCTCTGAGTGGGCAAAGGGAATGTCTGTCAAAACATAGTAAATAAAGGATCACACTGAATAGCCAGGGGAATAGGTAGATTTCTCTCAACAGCACAGAAATACAGCAAATTTCAAAGAGGAAGGATTGTAGCTCAGTGATAGAACACCAGCTTACGAAAGATCCCAGTTTCAATTTCTGGAATCTCCAAGAAGGGCTGAGAATCTACACTGCCTGAAACTGCCAGCACTAAGCTAGAATCACTATAAAGCTCAAGGTTGGTCCACACACTATTTCCACCTCTCCATTCTATCTTCACAACAACCCTGTGGTTAAGCTGAGATATAGTGACTGCTCCAATGGTCACCCAATAAACTTCATGGCTGACTTGGTGGTGATTAGAAGCCTAGTATCCCTGATCGTAATCCAGCACTCTAACCACTATACCAGACATAGGCAAACTCGGCCCTCCAGATGTTTTGGGACTACAACTCCCATCATCCTTGACCACTGGTCCTGTTAGGTAGGGGTGATGGGAGTTGTAGTCCCAAAACATCTGGAGGGCCGAGTTTGCCTATGCCTGCACTACACCATACTTAGAGCTGCCACACGCCTGGACTTTCCCTGACATTACAAAGGTGGAACTGACGCCTGGGGAAATTTCCAAAAGGTGGCACTTTGTTCTGGACCTTAGATCCGGTGGCCTCCTAAAAGAAAAGCTCAACAACTTTCGGTGTATAACTTTCTTACACAGTGGTCTTTAAAGTCTTCTACTATGCTGTTGCCCATCACCTATAGATCAGTTTAAAGTTCTTACATAAAGACAGTGGAGGCTGATCCATTAGGGCAAATGGGGCAGCACCTCACCATTCTCTGTCTGTCCTCATCCAGCCCTGATCTGCCTGTCTTCTTACTTACAACCAGCCCAGGAGGTGGCCTAGCTGGCAGCCTCCTCTTCTTCCTTAATCTCAGTGTTGCCCTTGTCAAACTCAGCAGGGAGGAAGAGAATGGGGACAAAAATAGGATGAGTTGGCCCTGCCTGTTATTGGTTCTGGCTGCACCTTCTATTGGGCTCCCTGCCTTCCACCCCATCAGCCCCAATGCGCACCACCTGCCACTGTTAGTAAAGTTCTCACAATGGGAATCCACAGTCATTCCATCTGAGTGGATTAGCAGAAAGGGCTGCTCAGGAGGCTCAACAAAAGTGAAGCAGAGCCGGTTTAGTTTATGGCTCTTTTTTGCTTCAGCCATAAGGGACCAAAGGAGCCACTTTTCTCCCTCCTCTGCTGTCCAGGGGGAGCAGAGTGCAGATCACAACACCAGTCCTGCCCACAGGGTCCTGGACGCAGGTGCACCAATTATATGGATGATGAGAGGCAAGGCGGCTCCAGGCTGTTTTTCAGCTAGGTATCGCAACAGGTGTGGTGTGCCACTGTGTGCCAGCAGAATAGCCAGCAGAATGTATACGCCCCGCAAAACTGCATGCATATAGGCCAGTGGTTCCCAAACTTCTTCTCTCCCCCACCCAAGGGACAATTTGAAAACTGCCAACTTGGTTGACATCAGACCACAGCAACCGAAGTTCAAATGCCCATACAGCCACAACACTCTACTAGGCAACGTTGGCCAACCACTATCTTTCAGCCTATTGTACCTCACTGGGCCACTGCACAAATAAAATGGGGACAGGCCGCTTTGCCACTTTGAGCTCCTTGAAGGAAAGATGGGCTATAAATGCAATAAATAAAATTAAAAAGAAAAAAATCCCTCTGCCCAGAGAAACATGCCACACTCAACCCATACTCACAGATCTAAAAGATCAAGCTATGTATAGCCTCTATTTCTCTGGCTTTAGATGATAAAGGGCAGAGAGATGCCACACAAACAAAAGGGAGGGGCCACAAAATGGACCACCCTTTTCCAATCTGGATCCAGGAGATTGTTTTAGATTTTTTTCTGCATTGTTTTTATGCTGGTTTTAATGAGTATATTTCTTTATTGTGGTTTAGTCGTTTTTAGATACTGTTTTGTTTTAAAAAGGGGTGGGAAAGAAAAAAAATATTTCCCACTTTTTTCTCCAAAGAGCTTAATGCAGCGTATGCGGTTCTCTCCGTCATTTAATCCCCACAGCAACCCTGTGAGGCAGTGGCTGTTCTAAGGTCACCCAGTGGAGCATCATGGCCAAGCAGAGGGAGTTTGAACCCTGGCCTCCCGGGTCCTGCTCCAACACTCTAACCACTACACCAATAGCCCACACAATATCACTATGCCACCCTGGCTGATTATTTGCTTAACTACAACTCAAATAGTCCTCTAACCACCAGCCTTAGTGGCTGGGGCTAATGGGAGCTGGAGACCAGTTACATATGCAGACCCAAGTTTGAGCCAGTGGCGCCCAGGAGGTGGTCCACTGGGGAGTGGGGTGGCAAATGCTTCGCCCTCCTTTCTTCTGCCCTCTCTCCACCCACCCATAGTTAATGGGCTTCTTTTCTGGGTCGGACGCCAAAAAGGGGGAGTCACCAGCAGATTCTCCCCCACTTAATAACAGGCAACAATGCCCCACCCGCAAAAGGGGCGATCTACTAATATGTACCTCCAGATGGACTCATTTAAAGAGAGGGGGCGTGGCCATCACACCTCGCCCTCTGTCCCCGCCCTCTTCGAAGAAGGGGAGGCGCCATGTTGCCACAGCAACCTCCCCTCCAGCCCCGCCTTCGCCCTCACCTGTCTGGTTTTCCCTCCGTGGGGAAATGACGGCGCTTCACTCCTCCTCAGCGCGTCCCACCTTAAGTATATATATTTATTCCCCACCCCCGACCCCCTCACGCGAGGCCCACCAGCACCTCCTCAGTGCCTGTCAGCGTCGCGCCTGTCAGCTTATGCGCATGCGTGCCACTCCATCCGGGTACCTCCCGAACTAACGGGACCTAGGAGGGGAGGAGGCAGAGCGGGGGAAAGTAGGCGTTGCAATGGAAGGGGCGTAAGGAACCCCCACATCCTATTGGTTCAGTCCAAAATACGCGGGGAGAGGGAACGCTCTCTGTCTCCCATAGCGACGAGAAGCGGTGAGCCTGCGGCTTTCTTGCTGCCATAGAGACAGAGAGGGTCGCTTTCTTCTTTCGGCCTACTGTCTGAGCGGGTACCATCTTGACTCATCCCGTCTCCATAGCAACGGGATGCAGGCCTCTTTTGTCTTCAGCCTTCCATAATGATGAAGAAGCGACCAAATCTTCATCCTCTTCCCCACGGCAAATGGGGAAAATCTTCCCCTGCTGAATTATATTCATTTGTAGGACACATTTATGGGCATAGTCCACACAAACCAGTTTTTTATTTTGAAAACAAATTATAGGCCACTTAATCAGAAAATTCCCTAAACTGTGTACTTAAAAGAATTACCAATGACTTTCGAATAAATCAGCAAAACTTTTTTTTTTAAATACACATGACTAGAATTACATATGCTTCCTGAAACTTTGTCAGTTTTGCAATAGCACAAAAACAATACATACAGCGCTCCTGAAATACTGGTAATGGCAGCAGTATTTTTTAAAAAACATTTTTTACTTATTTAAACAAGAACATACACTTCAAAAACACACAAGAACGAAAAAATGAAAGAAAAACAACAAATGAAAGAAAACTAGAATTAAACACACGCACACAAAATTAATCTGGTTTGTTTCATTCACATTCCCTGGATAAAGAGATAATGATTATTGGCGCTGGGGTCATACAACAATGCTTTTTAAAAACTGTTATTTATAAATGGCAGCAGCATTACCAAGGCATATGCCAGTTAAGAATTTAAGAACGTATTAGGCCAGCTGCCAATCTAGTCCAGCATCCTCTTCTTACTGTGGCCAAGCAGGTGCCTCAGTGGGAAACCTGAAAGCAGGATTCAACCACAAGAGCACCCTCCCCTGCTGCAGTTTATAACCACACAACACATTCAGAAAAACCTAGTATAAGATTGACAGCTTTGCTAACAATGAACGTCTTATTTAGGAGAAGCATATTTTATGGCTCTTGAAAGATCACTCCCTATCTGACATTAAAAGGTGTAGCTGATGAGTGGCTTACTGGCCCTTTCATTGTTGTGTAAAAATGGGGTGAGAGATCTTCAGCCTTTTTGTTTCAGCAGTTTCCCCCAGAACGAGTTTTGCCTTATCGAGCCACACACCCTTGCCAACCCTGCTGTGCACCCTTTAGGTGGTTTTGCCTGGGTGGAATGTTTTCTTGCACTGCAATGATGCCTCTTGATTGTTCTGAAGAGGTGTAGCTGTAGAACAAACTCTGACTTTTATCTAGCTGGAAAATAACCTACTAAGGAAAGGTAAATATTGTATGCATTACTTTGACTGCTTTTGCTCTCAATGTGCCGAACACTAAGAATGCAAATCTTTGGCTGAAACAATGTTAAAACAACGTCCACCTGTACATTAAATATTATTGGGGGGAGAAAAAGGCAGGGACAAGGTTGCCAGCTTCTTTTTTCATGGGCCTGACACCCACTGCAAGGTAAAATTATAGCTTTCCTTATTCCAGGAGGGAGTTGTGAGTAGTCTACAGCTCAAGCTGTGGAACTGTCAAACAGAAGAGGGCATGGCAGGGTTGTGGCTACAGTGTCTGAGAAAGAGTCTTGCATTGCACCTGTGTTTTATATTGCCCTGTCCAGTCTCTTGGTTGCTCTGAAGAGTAACCAGAAGATGAAAAGATGTTTAGATCAGTCAAATTGTAAACTCTGTGCATTTGGGGAGAAGAGTCTTCTTCTCCTGGCCTTTTAATTCACAGCTGAATGATAAGGAACAAGTGTAACCTGTGAGGACACTTTCCTAATCTTGAGTGTCTGTCGATACCTCAATGAAACTGGTTTCGAAACTTTAAATAGGGATTGCCAAAAAGTGGTATTTTGACAAATTAGAACAGCCATCACCAGCTTCATGTCCTCCACATGTTCTGGACTACAACTGAGGCTGATAAGAATTATAGCCCAAAATAGCTGGAGGGCACCAGGTTGGCAAAAGCTTGTCTACCAGCTATAAGCCTTTAAATGTTAAGGAAAATACTGGCCAGTTTTCTGTTATGTTGGGTGTTCCTGCAACTCAGGATTTCCAAAGCAGCTTTTTCGCCTTCCTCCAGCAGAGGTTACCCTCAGCTTGTCTATTGCATTTTATAATTTTTTTGTCTTCCAATAGTTCTGGGTTTTGACACCCTTTACAGACTTGACCTTAAGCCTTCTAGTATGTCAATTTGGAAAACAGGAAAAGAGGCACTTTTATTATTTTTTATAGCATCTGAGAGGTGGTGAATGTGGGATTACCCTTATTCCATATTCATAAGAATCCCGAATGATGAGCTTGGGCTGACCTGGGAAATGGCTACTTTGCTTATAGAGGTGAGCAGGGCTTTGCACCCTGACTGAAATCTGACCTTCCACCAAGCAGAGTCCAACCACTATCTACGCTGGCTGGCTGTGGCTCCCCTGGGCTTTCGGGAGATTTCAAACCCTACCTGGAATAGGATTCTATGATTCTATGCTGCCATTGGGGATTGAACCTAGGACCTCCAGCGTGCAAAGCAGATGCTGTACCACTGAGGCCCAAGGGCTCAGCAATTCTGAAATGTAAACATGGGTGGCAGAGGGGGAATTTGGCATGGGAAGCTTTCAGCAGTGAGATCGTATTTGCTGCCATTCCCAATTCCCCATGCTCAGCCACCACGGGGTCTTGGTCCACTCTACACCAGTCCCTGAGAGTTGAAGGTAAAGAAAACATTTTAAAGTTTTGATCTGGCATGCCAAGCCACACTTGTTATCCAAAGGACCATCTGCTCCCTTGCGAAGTTATGGACAGATCAAAGAAAGCACTGGCTCATGCAGCACATGTTGAACTCCACCACAAAGGAGGCAGTGGTGGCCACCAACCTAGATGACTTTAAAAGAATACTGAGCAAATTCATGGGGAGAGGGTGATCAATGGCTATGCTCTGCCTCCATGGTCGGAGGCAGTGGTGCAGTTGCTGGAAGCCACAGGCTTGTGTTCGAGTCCTGCTTGCGGGTTTCCCATTGGGGCATCTAGTTGGCCAAGATGTTGGACTAGATGGGCCATTGGCCTGATCCAGCAGGCTCTTCTTATGGTCTTAACACACCTTTTATTTAGGATCTGTGTCAGAAAGCCCTGCTCCGGATGCCAATGTCTTTAGAGGTGAGGCAGGTGGCAGCCATAGCAGGGCATTCTTAGTGGTGGCACTCCTGGTGTGGCATGATCTTTGCCCCTAATGACATTCATGGGAATAATTGCCTCACAGATACTCTGTACACTTGACCTTGACATTGTCCATGTCCTGTTTGGGATGATGGGGCAAGGGGATTGCAGTCCAAGTCTCCCTTCCTCCACCCCCATCAAGCAACTACCGCCTATTGTCAGCTCAGTGGATACGCATGCAGATAAACCAACATTCACCAGTGTGGTCACAGCCCGCTGCTCACACACTTGCAGGCCACAGGTAAATATCTTCAAACCAGCAGAGAAACACCTTTCCCCCCCAAAAAACCACATATTTGACATTCCAAATCTGTGTTTTGTTTTGTTTTTACAAAAACCCGCTCTGGTAAAAACTAAGGTGCAAGAACAAGAGAGAAAAGACAGGCAGCCTAGGCATCTCCAGTCTCAGTCCAAACAATCTCTGCTCCTATGGCTTTCAGAGGAGCTGTGTAAATGGAGAAAGACAGTCCTGGATTTCCAGCAACGAGTCTTAAGAATTTGGCCATGGGATGAATTCACGGAGAACGTCTCCTGCACAAGCACGGTGGATATCAAATGGCATGTGTGCACAGGAAAGCACTTTTGCTCGCTGCCCACTCGTTCTGAAGAGGTTTGCACAGACGAGATCTCCAGCTGCAGTGCACCCTCTCTGGTGCAGTGATCCTGGAATCACTCACTCAAAAAAGCTCCAGCATTTCAGAGGGGCCGCTATGGAGTCAATGGCACGAGGACTAAGCCACAGAGGGTTAACATGTGTGCACAACCCCCTTCCCCTCCCACAAATATACCCCCTTTTTAAAAAGCAAAACAAAAACCACAGGATGAAAAAAAAAATTCTGAACAAACAGAACAGCTCAGCAGGATCTTGACGATTCCACCCCAATGCTTTCCTCAAAAAGGCAGCTGACGTCCCTGGTCAAAAGAGGAAAAAAAAAGATTTCAGCAAGTGCAACTCAAGGGTGGGCAACCTGCAGCAGCTTTGGGGCAGTGACTCATTCCTTTTTGCATGCAGAAGGTCCCAGGTTCCAATCCTTGGTATCTCCAAGTAGGGCAGGAAGAAGGACTCCTGCCAGAAACCCTGGTGAAACGCTGCCAGTCCATGTAGATAATACCAAGGCTAGATTGTCCAATGGCCTGACTCAGTGTATGGCAGCTCCATACGTTAACACAACTCTGGGCTATTGACAGGAGCTCAGCATGCAAACACGTGGAACAAGCACCTCTGCTCAGTGACTGATGCAGCTGCCTATTGTGGCTGGTAGGGCAGAAGGCAGGGAGCCAAACAGTAGGTGGCGCCAGAGTCAATGACAGCCAGAACCTACTAATTCTTTTTGTATATATCTAAATTAAAATCAGAAGTGCCTGGCGTGCTCTGGTCCATGGGGTCACAAAGAGTCGGACACGACTAAACGACTAAACAACAACAAAAAATTAAAATCAATATATCAAAAATCCACAAAAGCAGCACAGTATATCCATAAAAGTCTTAATATTGGGATGGTAGAGTACTTAAGACTGTTAGGAAAGCCTAATTTTAAGTTGTGCTGTGGAGAGGGAGTTCAGAGTGTCTGTATTTGTTAAAATCCCATTAAGCAGAACAAAATTTTTCAAGGTCCTCCGAGCCTTTGGCATCACATAATCTATGAGTTACTTTTTTCAGCTAATGCTAAATGCTGCATATAGTTTCTAGAGTGGTTTAACAATCAATTCCTCTTCCAAGAGAACTCTGGGAACCGTAGATCCCAGGATACTTTGTGGAAAGCCATGAGTTTATAGTGCTTTAATTGCATTAAATGGCACGAGAGTGCTTTAATTGCATAGTGTGGATTTCAATGGGTCTACTCAGAGTATGGTGATCAGCAGGTGGCTTTCCTCCCAAGAGGGGCCCATCACATTCAAGCACAACTTGCAAGGTTTTCACCCTCGCTGGAGACAACGCACCAGACATTTACACTTATTACCATGCTCATCTCAAGAGTGCTTGTGGAGAACACAGCCCAATGAAGGTGGGCTCAAAGCAGAAAGCAAGAATAAACCTTCCCCCACCCCAGCCATATACTGTGTGTTAACAAACAAAGGTTGAAAGACAGGATGTTTCCTTTTATTACCAATTAAGCACAATTAACTCCACCAGGACTTCTATTTCAGCACATCAGCCTAGAGAGAGAGAGAGAGAGAGAGAGAGAGAGAGAGAGATGGAAGGCACATTAATTTCACAAGTAAATACCAGCTGTCCATTAAAATCAATTATGCTTGTTAGTAAACAGGAAAAGGAAAAAGGCAAATACCAGTGAGGGGGTTGTCACCCCATAAAACTGACCGGTAACAATTCAATTATGCTTTTCACGCAGAATGAGTTTATGAAACTCACTGCCGCAAAGTTTAGTGACGGCCAGCAATGTACCGTATTTTTCGCCCTGTAGGACGCACTTTTCCCCCTCCAAAAATGAAGGGGAAATGTGTGTGCGTCCTATGGGGCGAATGCAGGCTTTCGCTGAAGCCTGGAGAGCGAGAGGCGTCGGTGCGCACCGCAAGCTATCAGGAAGCTATCCGCAAGCCTTGCGCGCCCAGCGGGAGGTCCCGCCAGGCGCACAAGGCTTGGGGCGGCAGCCTGCATCCCGAAGCACGGGGCGAGCTGCGGAGCCAGCCCCATGCTTCGGGCAGATGTCAGCAAGCCTTGTGCGCCAGGCTCGCAAGGCTTGCAGGCAGCAGCCTGTTCTGGGGGCTGGGGTCGGGGGAAGCTCAGACTTCCCCCGTGCCTGGAGGGGGAATAAATTTTTTTTTCTTTATTTCCCCCCCCCCCAAAAAAACTAGGTGCGTCCTATGGGGCGAAAAATACGGTAAATAACAGGACAATAGAAATGCATGGAAATGAGGGGGAAGTAGTCTATTGGTGGTTTGGGGTTTAGGTGACTAAATGGAACATCCCACTGCAGAGACAGTCTACCCCAGAAGAGCAGGTGCTGGGGAACAATCAGTGCAAGAGCTCCTTATGAACCATCTTACTTAAAAGCAGACGGGAACAAAAAAGGTCTGTTAATAAGAGCATACAAAGGGCTCTGCCAGTTCTGTCTAGACCAGCATACTGTTTTGCCACAGTTCCTGTCTGGGGGCTGATGGGAGTTGTAGTCCAACAACAACGTCTGGAGTGCCCCCATTTGCCAAAGGCTGCCGTAAATAATAGTTATTTTTGGCTCCATAAGAGACAGGATTTGTTGAATGAGACTATAGGGGGACAGATGAACTAAAAAAAAAGAGAGAAAGAGACTTTACTTAGATGCCAATTCTAATGAAAATACACAGCTTCTGCAACACTTTATTTTATGGGGGTGATGAGCACACAAAGTTTGGAGCGGAGCAGAGCCAAGGCAGCATATGAAGCCAAACGGGGCAGCTCCTCTACAGCTTCAGGTTAGAAACAGCCAGCCAAGGCAGGGAGGCCCAGAGGGACAGCAGAGACCAAAGGAACTACCTCCCTGTGTGTACCAAGCAGGTGAAACACAGAGACACACACATACATGCACATGAATGAAAGGAGCTGGGGGCGAAGAATTCCAGTGCCTGCAGCCAAAAATGGGGGGCGGGGGTCCGTGTTTGGGGAAACACAAGACAGACACCACACACTACTATACTTTCACATCAGCTCCTCAATCATTTTATCTTGGCCTGGGGCTTCCTTTCTACAGTCTTCCGCAGCTGCAATGAGAAGAAAGGGCCACGGCTCATTTAAGGATGGAACGAAAGCTCTCACCTCAAGTTTGACCAAGTGGTTTTAAAAAAAGGAGTTCATTTCACAGGAGAATAGTATTGTGTGTTATATTTCCAAAGGCGGGTTGGTAATCTGAACTGTAAACCTTTAAAAGAATTTGTACCCGAGCTTGCTTTTTCCTCTGCCCTCCTGTTGCTTCCCCCCCCCAACCTCATGTGTCATGTCTTTTTAAATTCTCCATTAGCTCAAATTCAATTAAGGTGAAGAAAGGTCCTCCAAATGAGTTGATGGACAGGGCCAAAAATATTTATAGTGCAACAGGCAAGACGAATGCTTCCAAGGCGCCTTACCTGTGGCACTCCTTTGAGAAAGTCAGGAAGTTGAAATTCTCCTTTGTAGACCTTCAAAGAAAACAAGCACGCTTTTAAACCTTTTTAAACACAAGTTTTGATTTAATTAAGAGCTGGTGCAGTGATATGGTTAAATGCGGGTTCATAGCCCCCCCACAAGCCGCGGAGTTCACTGAGTGACCTTGGCCCAGTCACTAGGTAAAGGGGCCCCTGACCGTTAGGTCCAGTAGCGGACGACTCTGGGGTTGCGGTGCTCATCTCGCTTTATTGGCCGAGGGAGCCGGCGTACAGCTTCTGGGTCATGTGGCCAGCATGACTAAGCCGCTTCTGGTGAACCAGAGCAGCACACAGAAACGCCATTTACCTTCCCGCTGGAGTGGTACCTATTTATCTACTTGCACTTTGACGTGCTTTCGAACTGCTAGGTGGGCAGGAGCAGGGACTGAGCAACGGGAGCTCACCCCGTTGCGGGGATTCGAACCGCCGACCTTTTGATCGGCAAGTCCTAGGCTCTGGACTAGGCGCCACCCGTGTCCCTCTGGCCCAGTCACTACCTCTCACCATATTGACTTTACGGGGTTTTTATGGAGCTAAAATGGAGGCTGCTGTAAGCTCCTTGGGAAATATGTGTTTCTCTCAAGTACCTTTCAGACAGGATGAATGTGGCAACTTAACAAAAGAACAAAAACTATTACAAAGATGCTCAACTCAGATAACAAATATCAGCAGCGAAACAAAGCATCAAGCTAAAAAAAATAATCAAGAAACAGAAAAAATAAGCCTGTTTAAAAGCCACTTGAAACTTGAAAAGCTTTAATGAATTTAAAGAAAAGACCATAAAAATTGACACAAGCACTTTCTCTTTTTTGAGGGGGCAGGGGAGTGTGGAAGACTATGAAGATACGTCAAATGCTAACTGCATGCTCCTTGGGGCAAATGCTTCAGTTTTGCCAACAGTGCAGTGTATCATTCTAGGTAAATAACAGTATTATAGTAACAATAAGCCTTGTCTGTTACCCTTCTGGTGTTTTCCAAAACTTTCTGATCCGGCTTCCCGTAGTTAGGGGGGTTGGCATAGGGGTCATAGCCAAGTTTTGCCAGCATCGGAGCGATCACAGGCATGTCATGAAGGACATCATCGGGGATCTTCCCCACCCATTTTGACAAAGCTTCCACGTTCACTGGCTTGATTACTTGGTCGGTAGATCTTTCAACTCTGCAAAAGAAAGGATTAAAAAAAAAAAAAAGATCACATTTAAAGCCAGTATGGTGCTGTGGTTGGTGTGTTGCACTAGGACCCAGGAGACCAGGGTTCAACCCCACCTCCACCTCCCAAATTTGGCCACAATGCTCAGCTGGGTGACCTTGGGCCACTCACTGCCTCTCAGCCTAACCTACCTCACAGGGGTGTTGTGAGGGTTGAATGAGAGGGAGAACACCTGTACACCACCCTGTGATCCTTGGAAGAAAAGGTGGGATATACATGCAATACGTAAATGTATTTCCAGGTGCAGTGGACGCTCGGGTTGCGAACATGATCTGTGCGGGATGCACATTCGTGACCTGCAGCGTTTGCAACCCGTGTGTGCACACGCACGGGTTGCGATTCGGTGCTTCTGCGTATGTGCGACCGCTGAAACCTGGAAGTAACCCTTTCCTGTACTTCCGGGTTTCGGTGGTCCGCAACCTAAAAAAACGCAACCTGAAGCGGCTGTAACCCAAGGTATGACTGTATTGATCAAAACACTGGATTTTATTTGCACACTTAAGAGAAGCCTGCTGGGAAAAAATACATCAAGGCAGCTACAGAAAAACCACAGCAACCCAGAGCCCATAGATTTGCTCTGTATATTCTGGAGAATACAGTGGCTTGGAAGCTTTCCCAAAGGTGCATAAGAAGAGGCTGCTGGATCAGGCCCATCTGGTCCACACCCTGTTCTCACAGTGGCCAACCAGGTGCCTCAAAGGGAAACCCACAAGCATGACCTGAGCACAAGAGCCCTCTCTCCTCCTGCAGCTGACATTCAGAAGCCTCTGACAGCGAAGGCAGAGCATAGACATCATGGCTAGCAGCCACTTATCCCAGCTTTTCCCTCCATGAATTAGTTTAAACCACACACACTTTTCCAGGGCAGAGGAAGGCTCACACATCACAATTTCTTCTATGGATGACTTAAGAGGCCAGAGATAAACCCAGCAAAGAGGGAGACCACAGCTAGGAGCAGGAGAATTTGGAGGGGGTTGGAGTTGCCTTCCTTTCCAAACACAGGAAACTGCCTTATTGGACCCATCCAGCTCAGTCGTGCCTACACGGACTGGCAGCATGGTTCCCCAGGGTTTAGACAGGGTTCCCTCCCAGCCCTGCCTAGAGACACCACTCTCCCTCTCACTACTCAGCCAACGTCAGCTTTGGGAACTTGCATCTGCCAAGGTAAAGCACTGCTCCAGACAGAAACTTTGCCCTGAACTGCCAATCTTTGGATTTCACAGCAGATTAAAATAGAATCCCAGGCATTCTGATGATCTTGGACACAGAGCTCCCTTAATGGATTGTCAATATGGTGCTACACTTTCACAGCAGCCCAGGCTGAGTGGGGGAACAAATGCAAAACTCAAAAAGGAGGATGGGAGCAGAGTCTCTCTCCATCCCCGTCCTAGAATGAATGAGCGAGAGCAGGAGATGACTCTGGCTAGTAGGTTTCCTCGTAGCATCTGGTCAGTCTGATGTAGGAAGCAAGAGTTCTTCTTATAATAATAGATGAACAGACTAAAATCCAGACACCACACACCCCCATCGCCACATCCTAAGAGAAGATAAGCAAGTGAAGAAACCAACACACACACACACACACACACACACACACACAAACGTTGCACATTCCTTCTTGCAGATTTGTGGGTTTTGCTTACAGTAATGAAAAGGAAACTTGGCCCAGATCCTCTCCGGGGGAAATGACAGCTCCCCCCCCCTTCAGAGGCTGCTGCAGACACAGATGTTTTCCATCAAGGAGAGGGCAAATGCCAGAATTTTTCAGCACTCAGCTATGGCAAGACAGCCTGCCAGCAGCCACGCTGGCGATGCCCCCAAGCCACAGAGAGTCCCGTGCTGATCCGCGCTGGTGCCAACCCCTTCCCTGTGAAAAGCCTCCTTTTGGACGCCCTTGCGCCAGCTTTCGAAGCAAGCTCGTGGGAGATAGGAAAAACACGCCCGGAAATTGCTAGAGGGCTGCGGAGTCGCCCAGAGCGACAAATGCAAGAAGGCCTGGTTATCCAGAGGCCAGAAAACAGCTCAGGCTGGAACACGCCAGCAAAGGCCACTGAGCTCAAAGTAAATATTGTTTCGTAATGGGAGATGGATGGAATCATTAGAGAGAGAAGGGAGGAATGAACTGGGCTCCCTTTTCCCTCTTTTAACTCTTCCCCTGTTCTTCTACCCCAAAAGACACACACATATATTTTGCAAACTGTCTTAATGAGCTTGATTAGCCCATGGAAACTGCTTTTAAGTACCGCCTCAAGCCACTTGATTGAGATCTGGGTCTCTGCAAGGCTGATCAAGAGAAGTTCCTCAAATGGCATTTTCCTCCCAATCCTGCCAGCCCCCAGCTAAGATGAGAGGCACCCAAAGAGATCTATTTTTATCACATGCAGGTGGCAGGGCAGGAGAATGAGAATGCCCTGTCCATATGCAAAGGAGATGCCGTGCCACTGAGCCAACTGTGCTGTTCATGCATGGCTCCAAAACAGGCTGGAACCCCACAAAGAGAGGACCCTTCCACCTCTTCAAAGGTGGGATTTAGCAGCCTACAAGGGCTGCAGACAGAGAAGTATCAAAGACAGCTTCGTGGTGAAGCATCCCAAGCCAGAAGAAGTTCCAAACCTTGGCCTGGAAGTCCTCACTGCTAGGGGGTGTCTCTCAAGAGTGCCAATCACAATCATCAGGGGAGGGCAGATTTCCAGCCCGTGGGACCTCCTCCTTCAGCCTTTACTGGAACCCCAGTGCCCACCACTCAGAACCAAGTATAATATCATTAACTCAGCCAGGCACACATGTGAACAGCATTAGGGTTTGGGGTGCCTCTGAGCATACACCGAGCATGGGGATTTGTGCTCAACGCCAGAACCAACCTCAAAAAGCCTTTCAGACAAGCCCATCTCAAAAGTCTTTCCCCTGCCCTTTCAGACTACTACGGAAACCACATTATAAGTTTCTTTTTCCTAATCAAATATGACCGAAGTAAAGCAGGGCGGGGGTGGAGATTTATACAGAACGTAAAATGGTACTTACTTACGAAAGGTAAGCAAAATTAAAATGCTTATATTTTCAGTTTCATTGTTCTGTATGGGACAATGACAATAAAGATATTGTATATTGTAGAACCAAACTATCTGCAGCAGCGGCGTGGGGAAGTTCAGGCCCAATAGCTGAATGCCCCCCCCGCCCCCTAAAACTATCCCCAGCAGGGGCAGATTTTAGGGCTGTGTGAATGGAGCACATGCATTAGATGTTGTGCGAAAGGTGCGCAGTCTCACTACATCTTATGTTCTGTCAGTGCTAGGAAAGAGTTTAGTTTAATAGTGGTTTATGAGGGAAATGGATGCATCTGTGTTAGAACTAGCTTGGTGGGATTCATAGTCTGTGTAGGGTTGCAAGTATTTCAGGAGTGTTAGCAATAACGATTCACCCTGGTGTGCAGACTTTATAGCTACGATACACACAATACAGTGGATGGTCAGTCAGGCACGAAGTATGCATGTTTTTGAAGAACTCTAAAAATGCCACTCGATTCTGACCAAACTATAGACTTCCAGAGTTAATGCTAAACACATTACGTCTGGTAAATGAGCCACCATAACCGCTAGGGGGCCATGAATATTTGTGTCCAGAGCTATTTAGACTCATCTACCCATGTACTATCTGAAACCAGCATTGGTCGCCAGATGCGAAAATTTTGCCACCCCTATGTGCCCCACAGAAGATTCCCTCCAAGAAAAAGTGGCTCCAAAAGGACCCCTACACCACCTTAAGATAATTTTCTCCCTATAAAGATTTTCTGGAAAACCCTCAAGGGATGCCCCACCCCAGGGAGGAACCGACTCACTTTGAGAGGGAGACGCCCCCGGCTTTCCCAATCATTTCTTCGTGGTGCAAAACGGCAGGGTCCCACGGGATGTGGAGGAACTTGAGGAGAGTTTGTAGCCACCTCTCGGGGTGCAAGACAAGCTGCTCGTAATGGACCATCATGCAACGGTCCAAGCCAGCCTCCAGGCACTGGTTATACATGGTCTCTATGGCCCGATTCCACTTGGTCAAGCAGTCCCTGTAGCTGCTGAGGTCAAAGCCAGCGATGGTGACCTTCCTGGAGATCATGGAGTGGACGGAGGCCCGGCCGTCCCGCACCATCAAGACGAACTTGGCGTTGGGGAAGATCCGGGCGAGGTACGCCAGGGACTTGAGGGCAAAGGGGTCCTTATTGCACAGGTACGGGGCTGGCTCCCCATGCTTCACAATGATCTCCAGTAAGAACGCCCTCATAGCCGAATCCAAGACCTCGTCCGTGACGCCGGCCTCATCGAGCCGGATCTTCTCCTTGCTCGACCGAGCCCACATCTGCTTGACGGCCAGGATCCGGGGGATCACCCGCGTCTCTTCCCCGCAGCGGATGTCCGGGTGAGCGTCCAGCATCGCCCGCATCAAGGTGGTGCCACTTCGAGGGACCCCTCCGATGAAGATCAAGGGCATGTCTTTGTGGTAGGCCAAGGTGGCGTTCTCTGGCGAACCCAAACCAGCTCTCAAAGTGGCCCTGACCGGCTCCGGGCGGGCTATCTGCCTGCGCTCCTCCATCTGGTGGTGGCACTCCATGGCGTGCTGGCCCAGGTAGAAGACTGTCACTGAGCTGACCACCAGGCATGCCAGCAGCAGGTTCTGCTTGAGTTTGCCAACCATCTTCCTGCAGAACAGTGCCTCACACGACTGAAGCAGATCGCTTGGGCCACGTCAACGATTCAGACCATGAAGAAGCTAAATCTGAAAGCGAAAGAAAGAAACTGCGGTCAGGACAATCTACATACAACCTCCTCCAGCCCGTAACAACACACATTCATGGAGGACTATCAAAGGCTGTGTTCTCCCTCCGTGGCTAGAGGCAATAAGGCTTGTCTGTGCCAGCGTTCTTCTGCACGGGTCTCACTTGCGGGTTTCCCATTAAGGGCATCTGGTTGGCCACTGTGAGAACAGGATGCTGGACTAGATGGTACACTGGCCGGTGATCTAGCAGCCTCTTCTCATGGTCAAAATGACGCAGTTCTCAGAAACAGCCGCACCCAGGTAACGGTACCGTTTGCCCCAGGAGGAGCAAGGCAGTGTTCGAAATTAACAAGGCACATTTTTGCGTCTGGCACAGGTCCAATTGTGACTACATGGGAGATCTCTGGGTGCCAGTTTGGCGGCTGGGGTAAGCAAAATGTCACTTAGGGAAGGATCTGAAATATTTTCTGTGAAACTTGAATTTGTTTTATTCTGCATGGTTTTAATGTGTTGTAAATTACTTTGAAATTCATTCTTCAAAATATAAAGCAGTATAGAAATGAAATGAACAACAAAGATCAATGGAGAAAAAATGGCACCCAGACATTCTGTTGTGGCAACCGTAACCAAGGTTTAAGGTGCCATTTGACGATTAAATTATTGATCTGAGTTTCTAACACTGAAACAAGGGTGCTCCTTGGCACTTCCAACATCTTGGGGCCATAGGCCCATGAGACAAATTAGCCTAAGATTTGAAGGTGTTCATTTATATGTACGGATGCCTCTGGGGAATTAAGATGAAGGGCTGACGTCACCAGCGCAGCCCACTGCAGGGTGCCCAGATACTGTTTTAAGTCCCTGTTGCCATATAATAATATATATACAGTGGTACCTCAGGTTACATACGCTTCAGGTTACATACGCTTCAGGTCACAGACTCCGCTAACCCAGAAATAGTACCTCGGGTTAAGAACTTTGCTTCAGGATGAGAACAGAAAGCGGGCGGTGGCGGCGGCAGGAAGCCCCATTAGCTAAAGTGGTGCTTCAGTTTAAGAACAGTTTCACGTTAAGAACGGACCTCCTATATTAGGGTCTGCCTCCCCCACTTGCTCTGCTGTTCGTCATCCCCACCTCCCCCTCTTTACGCTTCTTCCACACCTGACCAAGCCCCTCACTTTATGCCTCTTCTACCCTCTCACCTGTCCCCACCCCCAGCTTGCTCCAGCAGCTGTTTGGTGCTGAACTACCATAACTCATTTCCACAACAGCAGCAGGTGGAGAGGAAACACAGGTTTGGACCTGCCCGTCTAAGAAGCAGAGGCAGCCAAAAGCACTGCCAAGCTGCCCCTCGAGGGACGGATGCCTCCAACAGCTGAGGTTCTGACTATTTGGACAAATTAATTCCATCTTGCTTTGACAGCTGCTTTTGCTGGGTGAGGCCAAAGGCCCATCACCATGTTGCTCCCAGCAGTGGCAAGGCAGATGTCTCTTTGTCCCCAAGTGCACTGTATGCAGAGGTACACCATCTCTGCACATGGAGGCTCCATTAACTAAACGCAGCTCAAAGAAATTCATGGGAGAGGATCGGATATCCCTAGAGGACTACCTCTGAAGGAAGCAGACTCCCTTTCACGGGAGGTTTTTAAGCAGAGGTTGGGTGGTCATCTGTCATGGATTCTCTACCTAAGATTCCTGCATTGCAGGGGGTTGGACTAAATGACCCTTAAGGTCCCTTTCCAACTCGACAATTCTAGGATACTATGTGTGGAATAATGCACAGCGTCCATTTATGGAAAAACCATATTTTTATTTAAAGCAAGCCGCTATTGTTTGTGGCTGCAAAGACTTATAAAAGGGGACCTGCATCAGCATATGGAGACAGAAAAGGCTATCAGCAGCTACGACAGGAAAGCAAGCTCCACATTCAGAGGCAGTCTACCTCCGAATGCTGTTACTATGGGGGAATTACAGGCAAGAGCTGTTCCATTCACACCCCGCTTGTAGGCCTCCCCAAACAATCTGGTGGGTCACTGCAGGAGATGGGAAGGAGGACTAGATATAGTTTGGATCCAGCAGCAAAGAGGACTAGTGGGAAGAAAGGAAACACAAGAGAAGCTTGCTGGATCAGGTTAAATGGTCCATCTAGTCAGCATTCTGTCTTACAGTAGCCAACTATGCCTGTGGGAAACCTGTAAGCAGGATCTGAGCACCAGAGCCCTCTCCCCTCCTGCAGTTTCCAGCAACTGGTATTCAGAAGCGTTCCTGTCTCTGACCGTGGAGACACACAATAGCCATGAATCCTCCATGAATTTGTCCTATACTCCCATATTCAAGGGACACTGGAGTGTTTCTAGCAGGAAAGCCACTGCACATTTCTCCCCACACCCCCTAAATACCTCAAGTGTTTCTGGGCGGGTAACGAACCCAGAGGAAATTGAATTAGGAGGTGATCTGGGTTCACGGGCAGAATATTAACGTCGGGAAATAAATTAATCATAGATGACTAACTCGAGATGATGGGGGGAACTAAATTGATTTGCAGCAGGAACTCTTGTGAAATGAATAAAGAGTAAATGAACTGAACTCTCTTGGGATGAACCAATTTGGGTGGGCTGCTGCCGACTGACTGAACAGCTCACCTGGGGCGAGCTTGGACAGGAAATTAGCCGGATCATCTCCTGTGACATTTAAGTTTGTGTCTACAGACTCTTAATCTTTTATGCAACCCACCTGCTGCAGGGTGCTATGAGGCATAGTAAGAAAGATTATTTGGGACAGATGCCCTCTTGCAAGTAAGTGGATGAGATCTCCTGAAAGCTGTGTTAGGATTCTCTTCAAAGGGGCATTCTAACCATGTTCAGAGGCCCCTTCTCAATCTTTTTAAATTTAAAATGCCCTGCTCAGAGATCCCCATATATGTCAGAATTTACAATCAAAGCAAAGACACTGCATATCCCAGCAGGTATAAAACACCCTTCATTTCCAACAGAAAGCAGATTAAAAATACAGCAAAGAACAGAGTTTCTCTGAGAATGTACAGGCCACTATACTCAGTTTTTTAAAAAACAAAAACAAAACCACAGGGTATGGAGTTATTGTACATGACCAGAAAGGTTTTCTATCTACATCTTAAACAAACACCTTTAATAGAAACCATCCAGAAGATCAAAGACAAACAAATATCTGGTTTTTCTGGCTTAACAAACTTTCTGCTCAATTAATGAAACACAAATATGAATTATTTAGCTGGCAACTGAGTCATTCAAAATCCTCGGTGGCAACGCTGGCTGGCTACTCTTCTCAAGAGGTTGGTATCTTTAAAAGAGCATTTTTAAAAACGCCTCCGAGCACATGCAGAGTACAGTTCCGACACACATACTGCTTCAGTCTTTTGCGTAAAAGCAGATTAAAATAAAGCAGGTGGGGGAATTCTGTGCGTGGTCAGAAACTTTCCATTTCAACAAAAAAGGGAAAAAAATCAGTGGAAGGGCAAAGCACCTCTGAGCACGTGGGAGGCACCCTTTGTTGGGGAACAAGCCTACATACGAAGAAACAGGCTTGGTGGAATCTGTGCATGCTCAGAGACGCTCTCCCCCGATCCCCGTTTTTTGAAAAAGCAACCACGCAGAGTTTATAGAAAGCACGAGAAAGTAATAGTAAGAAGCATCAAGCCAGCACCCACGGAGGCAGAGAGGATGTCGTCTTCTCGGCTCTGCGGTCGGTTAAATGGGATCCGAGCTCCCGATTACCTGCCCCCGGGAGATCAGGGATCAGCCGCATGCACAACACAGGAAAGCCGCTGCGATGCAAGGAGTGGGGGCTCCCACTTTACCTGTCGGGGGTCTCCTCGCGGATCCCATCCTGCCCCCGCCGCTCCCGCTGCGCCTCCAAGCTTCGCCAGGCTCCTAGTCCGCTCTGTCCGCTGCGGCGCTGCCATGGAAATCACAAGCCCTCCCAGGATTGGCCGTTGTGTCGCCGCGCCCCATTGGTGGCGCGAGGGGGTGATGGGCGGGAGGGCAGGGCTTCCTCTGGCTCCACCCCACCCCCAGATTCCTTCCAGCCTGGGCTTCCCCCATCACCACCCACGTGGGTCATCTGGACAGGCAGCTGGATCAGAGCGCACAGCTGGCGGGGGGGGGGGCGGGAGAAGAAGCGCAGCTAACGTCTGGCCTAACGTGAAATATTGGCATCGTAACCCTAATAATAGCTGCATTGAGTACTGCTACTGTTCCCTACAACGTGGATAAGGCATGAAAAAGCCTTGCAGATTAAAACGGGATGGAGCGATTCCCCCTATGAGGAAAGGTTTGGGGGTTTTTTCGTTTAGAGGAAAGACGACTAAGATGTGGCATGATAGAAGTTTATAAAATGATGTTTGGCACAGAAAGAGTGAGTAGAGAAAATGTTTTTTTCTCCCTCTCTCATTACACTAGAATTTATGGACACCCTATGAAGCTGATAAATAAAAACCATATTCCAAAGATTTCAGGGCAAACTGAGAGATTATTTGGCACCACTCAATCCACTTGAACCCACCTAAAACACTTGGGGGAGATGGAATAGGGTGGCACCCTTACCAATTTTAAGTCACCTCTAGGAGGAAGGAAAAAGCACTTTATACAAACTAAACTCTCAAGTCATTGGTTCGGATTATGCATGCGAGTCCAAAGTTTGCATGTTAATCATCAACAGGTTATTTGGTTCCCAAAACCTGCAGGCAGCCACAGGATGCTTCTACCCATGTCCAGAATACTTTCTGCTGGCTGTGGAGCTTGCAGTCATTCTACATTGGTCTAGAATTCAGGATTATGCAGGCTAGGGTCCAGATACCTCAATATCAATATGATTTCCAGTAACTGGCATTCAGAAGCATCATTGCCTCCAACCATGGAGGCAGAGAAAACCATCAGAGCTAGTAGCCATTGCAGCATGTGAAGAAGTCCTTTTGTCTTTCCTGAATCTTCCAACATTCAGTTTCATTGGATGACTCCCCCCCCCCCGTCCTGGTATTACAGCGGAGGAAAAACTTCTCTGTCCACTTTCTGTTCATACCATTTATGTTTGGCACTGTTCTCGTATTTAAAAACTCTGCAGGTCTCCCCTCTTTCCCCCAACCTCTCTACCTTCCTAAACATCTGCTTTTCTGCTGGGCAGGAGGGAAGCTTAATAAAATGCATACAATATGTACAGTGCATTAGGAGAACTCAGCTGTGCAGCTAGATCTATCAGACCTTGGCTGACAGCTGAACCTGGGACGTGTCACAGCAGAGAGATGAGAGTCTGCTAATAAAAGCAAGTTAAACACACCAAGCAGTACCTGGAGACAGCTCACGCAATGCTAGCCTCCAAATCTATATATTTGAACGGGGATCAAAGGCATGCATCAGCAACAGTGCAGAAATGGAACTGCCTGGATTTGGAAGATTAAAGGGCGATCAATGAGCCGACAGGTTGAAATGGATTGCTCTCAGTTCGGACATGAAGCATTTGTGCATATATGTAGTACTCTCTGTCATCCCAAATTAACCTCATAATTCTACATATGTAGTAAGTTTTTTGTGTACATTTAATTCTGCACCTTCAAGAGCAGCATGACCTGAAATAATGTAGCAGGTGGAGTTTCCTGGCTGGAGTTTGTGGGGTGGGGTGCTCATTCATGAGCTGGGGGCTGTTAACATCTACTCTGGGAACGAAGTTCCAGACCCTTTGGAAGCCTACAGCTCTATTTCAGAAATTTGTGCAGAGAGTCTTTGGGAGGTTGAATTGAACTAAGACTTGGGAGACCAAGGTTCAAATCCCCACTCAACCATGAAGCTCACTGGGTGACCTTGAGCCAATCACTACGTCTCAGCCTAGCCTACGTCACAGGCCTGTTTTGGGGATTAAATGAGAGGTAAGCCTTTGCTGTATTCAGTGATCACACAAAGGTAAATGGATATAGAATTGCAGCCTTGGTCTCACTTATGAAATAAGAATTAAGAGACCCAGGGTGTAGATTTTTTGATTTTAAAAATGTTCTATTAATTGCATTTAGCCAATGACTAGAATGCATCCATGAATGATTGCTGCATGCCTGCACTTTGTGACTCATGCCTCCTTCCTACGTAGCATTCCATCTCTCCTATCTGACCCTGAAAGTGGCACAACTGGAAGGATGTGTTCCTATGTCTGTCGTGCGTTCGCATCCGCATCTCCTTGAGAAGTTCCAGGGACAGATACAGGAAAAGAACGTCAAGAGCCTCCACTGAAGGTCTGGTTGTCTAGACAACTGCCTGATAAGTTGTAAGTTGAGACCACATGTTTTGGAACACCCCAAGGAAATTGATCTCATTATGAAGCCGTGCGTATTTAACATCCCATGACCGCTAACCTTTCTTTATGTAGAAGGACGTTTAAAGATGTTTTGATGACTGTGTGCTGTGTGTTAGCGGCCTACATAAGCTTTGTTCTGAAGTATCTCCGAGTCTCTGCCCCAAAGTGTTTCCAACCTATGGAAAACTAGAAATCATGTTTAGCAACTCTACTGTCATGATTCTCAGCAATCTCTACAATAGCCCCGTAGGATAGGCTGCTTTTATTGTCGCCATGGTGCAGATTGGGGAGGGGTTGAGTCAGAGAGTTGACTCCATCACTAGGCCGGAGTCAGGAGGATCAAAGACCGTACCTGCTCATAGAACACTCCGTGCCATAATTAGAAGGTTAAAACACAACTCCCTACCGCAACTCTTATTTTAAAAGTTAAGTATGGTGTATTTGGAAGATACCCAGGAGGCGTATCTCTGCTTCAGCATGCAGGAAAACCAGAAAGGTCTTCTAATCCCAGCAGCTCTATTGACAGTGTCCAACACCACTGGCTAAACCCAGGCATCGAATGGAAAACCAGGAGCACATTTGTTTTCTCATCTTTTTCTTTTCTAAAAAAGCTTGTCATTTTTGAGGAACAGTCAAAGGCTTGAAAAGCAAAGCTTAGGAAAATCAACAGGAGCGTTATCTAGGAAAGCCCTGCAGCACACACATGGCTGTAGCATTATCATTAGCTGTCTCCCTGGCCTGGGCCTAAAAATGAAGGAGTGGGAAAACTTCAAGCTGGCAGCACAGACATTTCCTGCGGGCCTCTCCCCAAAGCCCACCCCATCTTAGGTCCCACCCCTCCATACACACACTGCTGAGCTGTTTCTCTCTCATCTGATGTCCTCTCTCTGAATTATTCCCCCCAGCTGATTTCAGTAGCAGGAAACATAAGCATTCCCAAGTTCTGGTGCCAAACTACCCCACTCCCCAGTTTGATCTTTTTCCAAAGAGATCCAAAAACTACCAAATTTATTGTCTAGACTCTGTTACATTTTTTTATTCTCCTAGGCTTCTGCTGCTGGCTGCACTGCTTCTTAACAGTTGTTTTCAATTCAACTTTAATGTATTTGTGGCTTGCTGCTGTCTTTTTCTAATTGTTTTGATTGTTCGAGCTCAGCCTTTGACAACCTGGTGCCCTCTAGACTATTCATTGTATTTTATTTGCCCACCCTCCACCCTTAGGTCTTAGCGTGGTTACAATTTAAAATATAACGTTAAAAATTACAAGGAAGTTACAACTGCAAAAAAATCAACCACAAAAAATAACATCTAACAAAAATGCAACATCTAATTAAAAGGTAACAAGACTTCATATAGTTGCTTATAGATTCCCAAGCTTTCTGCATTAGAAATCTTCAGGCAGTTTTCTAAAAAGAGACCACAACTCCCATCAGCGCCAGAGGTTGGTAAATGTGTTCTGGCTTGTTGAGATCTGCCTTGGAGGCCATGAAGGAGGAAAGCCCAAGTAGCACTTCCTCACCCGCTGCCAGAGCAAATGTATTAGGCTGAGGTCCTGTACTTGACTTACTTGGGCATAAGTCTCAAGGAACTAAAATATTACTTCTTCTTGTTGGCATCTGTCTGTCTCGGGAGACAATGGAGTGCACCTCGGGGGTGAAGTCAAACCACTAAAGAATCACAGTGCCTGCAGTGACCTCTCTGGGGTGCAAGCCTGGGCAGTGTATATGGAAGCACTGGGTTTACTTTTGAGTAAAAGGGCATAGGAGGTTGGACTGTTCCTCATTTCGCTATTCTCAAGCAAAAAAGCTAAGTATTTTATTTACTTTAACAACTTATATATGCTGCTAAATTAGTTGCTTCTATGTGGCATATGCAAGAACCCAATACAATAGTGGTTAAAATTATAACATCAGAATTCACTTAAAATGCCTGCTGGAATAAAGAACTATTCATTGGGTGCTGGAGGTTCACCAGAAAGGGGGTCTATCTGACCTCAACCAGGAGGGAGTTCTACAAAATTGGGCCCACTATATATATATATATATATATATATATATATATATATATATATATATATACAGTGGTGCCCCGCAAGACGAATGCCTCGCAAGACGGAAAACCCACTAGACGAAAGGGTTTTCCATTTTGGAGGTGCTTCGCAAAATGAATTTCCTATGTGCTTGCTTCGCAAGACGAAAATGTCTTGCGAGTTCCTGCGGGGTTTTTTTCCTTCCCCCCCCTTTTTCCCAAGCCGCTAAACCGCTTATCAGCTGGTGGCTAAGCCGCTTATCAGCTGATCTTTAAGCCGCTTAACAGCTGATGCTAAGCCGCTTATCAGCTGATCTTTAAGCCGCTTAACAGCTGATGGCTAAGCCGCTTATCAGCTGATCTTAAGCCGCTTAACAGCTGATGCTAAGCCGCTTATCAGCTGATCTTTAAGCCGCTTAACAGCTGATGCTAAGCCGCTTATCAGCTGATCGTTAAGCCGCTTATCAGCTGATCTTTAAGCCGGCTAAGCCGCTAATACTGTAGCGCTAAGCCGCTAAACCTCTAATGGGCTTGCTTCGCAAGACGAAAAAACCCGCAAGACGAAGAGACTCGCGGAACGGATTCTTTTCGTCTTGCGAGGCACCACTGTATATATATATATAATTTAAAGTGTTTATTAATTTTCCAATAAAAACATCTAATTAACATCAAATCAAATCCAATAAAAAATAAAAAACTAAAATAAAAAAAATCCAATTGTCTTCCAAATTGTGATAATTTTGGTTTTGGCTTCCCACGGTCTGAATTCCGAAGCGCTTTCAGCATCATAGTCCTGCCTCTCATCATCATCAATGTTTTTCATAATTCCATGTCCGATTTTTTCCTCCACGTTTTTACTCTGGTTCTGCGATCCTCAATCATGTCAGAAAACAGATATTTCCCCCCCCCCCCATGGAGTGCAGATTTGTCCGTGTATTGTACGCTTTCAGCTGTTTATGTTTTTTCATCGCACCGCTTCTTTAATTGCATCCAATTCCAGAGTTCTGTCCAGCTCTTTGAAAGTTGTTATTTTGGCAGCTCCCAAATCATTAATCTTTCCCGTTTAGATGTTATCAAAGAAACTGAGAGAAACTTCTTTCTGCAACTCCTTGATTTATTCTTAAGCAGACTGTTTGCAATGTAGCCATATTTCAGACAGTTAGCAATTAGTCGTTGGAATTCACCCAGTCCAATCCCCCCTCCGGACCCTAGAGGGGGGCTGCCAGACATCCATTTAGCCCTCTCTCTCTCTCATAATAAAAAACTTCCTTTTTGCAAACAGTTGTATATATAATATTGTTTCCAGTCTTTATGACCAACCATCAGTTAACTCCTGTTTCTCTTAATCAGGGAGCTATTTCAGATATTCCATAACTGCGTAGCGGGTAGAAGCCATTTTGTTTTGGTTTTCGTCTTTAACAAGGATTTCAAATCTTAGAAGAAAAGTGGCTACAAATAGGTCCCAATTATATATGAAAGTCCATCTGTACTCACTTCTTGAAGAGCAATTTAGGTTCTTAATGAGACTTGGTATGCAATACAGATTGTTAATGTTAGAGGAAGAATAGAAAACATACCAAGCCAAATTCCAAACATCATGATGAGGATCTCTCTGAAGTTCGATCTTTTGCACCAGAGACTGTACATACTGCAGGCTTTTCCCCAGCTTCATCAGTTCAGAGCGTGTCTGTTTGTTTTCCAAATCTTTATATTTTCCTAAACAGATGCATCCAGCTATGGGGTGGCGTCACAGGAGTGTCAGTCCGTCCCTTGCTCCGTGACCCAGTCCCCCTGCCGTCTGGGCCCACAATATTAAAACAGCATGTGAATCATGGAAGACCACTCCCCAAAAAATCCTCAGTGATCAAACAGGACTAGAAGGAAGCAGGTGGTCCCTAAGGTATCCTAGACCAAAGTTTTTATACCTAAAGAGGTATAACACAATATGATCATGATGTTTATTTGCGAACTACTTAACGTTACTATGTGGCTTCTGAAGAGTTAGATCTGGAATAGGTAACTTTTGGCCCTCCAAATGTTACTGGACCCCCAAACTATTGGCTGGGCCACCAAATGATGCAGAAACATTCCAGGTCTCCAAAACCTTTCAAGACACACCTCAGGCAGTTGCTTCGCACAGCAGGCTGGGGTTTATTCGAGCTAAGCTTACAAACCACAACATCTGCAAACAGAAGAATGTGCTGGGAGGGAAAGGGAATGCATTCTTAGCTGCTGAGGAACATTTCTATTTGTTTTTGCTTTCAGGGATTGGTCCCTCACACACTAACAGGCCCTAATAATTAACTGTCAAGCTCTGATAAAGACCGTGCAAAAATATGTATCATTGCCTGGATAAACAGAGCACACACCCCAAATTTAAATTACATCTCTGCTTATCTTTTCATGCATTCATTCTTTTACACAGCTTCTACAAACACAAAATGCAAAGTTTCAGAAATGGGCCCTGTGTTCCCATGAATGGGAGGGAAGGAGGTGGGCAGATGTTGACAGATGCCCAGAACTGCAAGGGCAGGGAAGGGCAGGAACCCTATAGCAAAAGCCAGGTGTCTCCAACCTTGGTGTTCTAAATACAGTGATGTAATGAAAGCCAGGTCCTTCATGTTTTATGCTTTCTAAGTCCAAACCAGTTCTAAGCAGGGGGAGTATGTGAGATCTAGGAAGCAGAGAGACAAAAGTGTCCAGGAGACTGAGGAACTAAGGAAATGAGGGGCCCCAGAGGCAACGAGGCTGAAGAGAGAAGAACACAGATTGGGCCAAGGAGAAGGATGATGACTGGGGTCAGAGGGCCTAATAGAATGAGGTGTGGATATAAAAGATAAGGGAAGGGGAAATGGGTCACAGGGCCTAAGGACAGAAGAGACTGTTTGCTGTTGGTTGAAAGGCATAAAGCAGGGAAAGTTTTGCCTCATGAGATCAGAACGAGGTCCAGAATTCAATTTCCGCCAAACACTGGATGGATGCTTCCAAATGCTCATAAGCAGGGCACAAATCCAACACTCTCCACTTTTGTTTGTCCCTGGCCTCTGGCATTCAGAAGTACTAGTGCTTCTGTGCATGGAGGTTCCATTGAGTTATCGTGTCACCCCACTTACTCATACAAGTAACATCAGTTTTCCACCTAGTTCAGGGTTGTCTACACTGACAAGCAGCTGCTCTCCAGGGTTTGAAGCAAGGAGTCCATCCCAGCTCTATCTGGAGATGCCATTGGGGATTGAATCTGGGACCTTCTGCATGCAAAGCAGATGCTTCGACCCTGAGTTGCAGCCCTTCAAATTCTTTTTACAGCTATCTGAGCTCATGTGTTGGCTATCAATTCTGTAAGGTCATGTGTTGCGTCAAAAGCTGCTCCCTTTCGCCAGTCCTGAACCTACTGCCAGTTTACTTTGTTGGGTGATCCTGCACTCTGGTAATGCGAGAGAAGAAAAACTGGATACACCTCTAGTAAATAAAGAAGCAGAACAAGATTTTGCAATCAATTGTGAGACGTATTTTGCAAAACAGGTCGGGTCATTCAGAAGCACTAGAAACCAACTGGTAATCAGAAGGCCAGCTGCATGTAAATCTTACTCAAAGGAGTACACACATAAAAGGCACATGGAACCAACCACAGCATCTGCATCTCAGACAAATTCAGTTTTCTTATCCCACAAATAGAACATTTGTTAAGAATTCTGTTGTTGGTAATTGTTGCTCTTGTGGAGGATAAACAAACATGAAACACACTGCAGGGTGATATCACTGTGTGTTAGTCAGCAAATGAGGGAGGGGGGAGTCTTCATCCTCCCTGGAACCTCTTTGCAACTGGAATGTTTGGCTGACTCTCCCCAGTGATAACATTTTGGCAAGGCCACCCACATGGTCCAAGTCTTTCTATACCCGATCTCCTTCTTCCTCTGCAGCCATGGCTGACTCCTGCTGCTCTTCTTGCTCTGGGTCTCCAGGAAGATTTCTAGTGACCGTCTGGAGCAGGGATTCAATCTGCTCTTCTGTGAGCCTCTCCTCACTTTCTTCCACGATCTGCAGAGGAAAAAGCAGTGAGCCACCTCTGGTCTCTTGCCACCATCACATGCTAAGAGCAAACCATTCCTTAGGGCAAAGCACAGACAAACTTTGCCAACCTGGTACCTTCCAGATGTTTCAGACCACTACTCCCATCAGCCCCAGCCAGTTGCTAATACTGTAAAAGCAGAAATAGCCAAAATGGGTGTGGTGCAAGGCTAAGTTAGGGATGCTTAGGCCCCAATGAAATCAATGTGAAGAGATAGCTGAGACGAGCTCAAATTCCATTGATTTCAATGGAAACCAACAGCTGCAATCCTAGAAGCAGTTACTGGGGAACTCATTAGGACTTATTTCTGGATAACCATTCATAGGACCATGCTGTCACTCCAACTTAGTCTAGATCCAACCCTTCATTTCTACCCAGTGAGTTCAATCCAAGATTCCTTGTGTCTTCTGAAACTGCTCCTTATGTTCCTAGAATGTTTGGCAAACCTAACTGTTTATTTATTTGGGACATTTCTCTTATGCTTGGAACACTCTTCTTTTGGAGCAAGAGACACAGCAGTTCACAGAAAGCACAAAAAAACAGGATAAAACCTGCAGCAGATGAAAACACAAAAAATAAGATCTTCTTTAAAAAGTTTTTTAAAAGAGGATCAATGAAACAGACATAAAATCAAATAGAGAAGCAAGTGACAGAGTCACTAAATCAGGGAGGTTTTCCTTCTATGTGACAGACTAGCATTGCTGAATCTCTAGCCTGTGGGCCTCATTAGGCCTGCCAGGCCTCTGAATTTTGCCCACAGGGCCCTTTGGGCAAAGCATGCCAGGATGTCAGGCACTTCACAGATCTGCTGCATCTTTGCTAAGCTGAGAGATAAGATCAGGAAGCTGCTGCCCTCCTGCTATGGTCGTTCAAGCAGCAAACTGGGCAGTGTAAAAATGTACAGCGATGGTACTGAATAAAGGAACTCAATGAATTATTACTGTAACCAATACCAAATTTTCACAAGCTGCAAAGAGATCATTGGGAAAAACACACACACACACACACAATCCCCTTAATGTTCAAATGTTAACACATCATGTTTTCGGAAATGTCTTGTTCTGGGGGACACACCCACCCAGACAGTCCCTTCTTTTTCTATGGCAACTGCCAACCCACACCTTTAAATTGGCCTTTGTTCTCTGGAACTGCAGGGAATTTGCCTCAATGGAATAAAGAAAGACTCTCTGAAAGGACGGTCACATTTTCATATCATGATGATCATGACAAGAGCAAACAGAAAATTATTCCTTGCGCCAAGTAAAATCAGATATACGTAAGTCTCCATCTCTGACCCGTAAGCCTCTGCCCGTAAACTTTTATCTCAATGAGAAAAAGAACATCTCTTAACCATTTGCTGACGCAGGATCCCACTCTTTAACTTCTTTATACTCAATCTCAAATTAATTTCTCCTTGCAATAGCTTGCCTGCCATATATGTGTACTTTTCAAGCTGGGTGAATTATTTCAATTTCTTTTCCTCCTGCTTGCTATACATTGCTTTGAAAAGAGACAGCACAGACGCAAATAAAGAAGGGGAAATCTACTGCTAAGTCAATTCTGCAACATGGAATGATATCCACATGCTTCAGCTTCCAGATCCATTTCCTAGGCTTTGCATTCAGGAAGAGGTTTAGAAACAAGTGCTTTTATTGGGGGGATTAACCTGGCAGTCACCTTTTGTCTTCAATCTGCTGTAACCTAATGAACTTCCTTTTGTTGGGGGAGGGGAGAGGGAGCAGAGAAATCACCTTCTTCCCATTTCATTGACTCAACAACTCCCACAGCTTCAGCGGGTGCAGAGGCCATCTCAGAGTGTTTACTTCAGCTATTCATCTCCTTCTAAAACAGTAGACATTTTATGTGCTCAAGGATACATTGGTTCTCAATGACGCATCAGTCAATACCTGTTTATTACACAGTACTTTAAGGTCTGTTAGCTTCGGTTGCTAGGCTTTAGGTAACCTGGAGAGGCAAGCAGAGTGGAAATTGGGACTTACCAAGTCCCTGAATGGTGGCTGAGGGAGAAAACCCACATATAGCAGCTAGGCAGGCAGGCAGGCAAGCAGACCCAAGAGGGCTCACCTTCTAGCCTTTGTAGATCAACTCAATGAGCCAGGATTAGGGCAAACCATTCTAGAGACAGAGGGTACATCATCATCAGTGCATGGGTAGGCAAACTAAGGCCCGGGGGCTGGATCCGGACGGTCCAGGAATCAGTGTGTTTTTACATGAGTAGAATGTGTGCTTTTATTTAAAATGCATCTCTGGGTTATTTGTGGGGCATAGGAATTCATTCATTCCCCCCCCCCCAAATATAGTCCGGCCCCCCACAAGGTCTGAGGAACAGTGGACTAGCCCCCTGCTGAAAAAGTTTGCTGACCCCTGATCTAGTGGAACCCTCTGAACTACAGCCCCAGCTGGCTCACCAAAGGGGGCAGCCAAACACAGCTGCTGCTTCTCCATGTGTTTCCCTCTGGCCTTTCATATCACTCCTTTAGGATACACCACTGCCACCAGACTTTCACCTCCTGCATCCTCACCCTTCACTGTTCACCACCTCTCTTGTGGCCCACTATGCTGTGCAACACACTTTGGCACGAGATTGGTGCCCACCCCTGCCAATCATCCTCTTGGCCATAAAGAGGTCTGAGCCAAAACCACTAAATTTGAGAGCCAGTGTGGTGTAGTGGTTAGGACCAAGGAGACCAGGGTTCGAATCCCCACCTGGCCATGAAGCTCACAGGGTGACCTTGGGCCAGTCACTCTCTTTCAGCCTATCCCACCTTACAGGGTTGTTGTGGCAATCAAATGGCAGAGAGAATCATGTAAGCCTTGAGCCCCGTAGAGTGAAAGGTGGGCTATAAATGCAATAATCATGTTCATTCTTATGACTGACAAAAACACAAATGATTTCTAATTATGAATGTCTTTGTGCTGTTCCAATGCCGCTTTTTGAGCATCTAGTTATTAATTATACTTATTCCTGAAATGTAGATCCCAGCCCTCAAATAAATTGTTAAGGAAGGCTTACAACACAAAAGCAAAGATACAATAAAAAACATTTTAAAAGAAAACAAAAAATGACTACAGACTAAAAAGCAGGGCACAAAAATTTTAAACAGCTGCATGAAGTTTATCTGTCATCTGCTGGCTCCCACCCCATTTTCCCCTCAGTGCCATTTAAGCAGTGCAGGTGTGTCCAGCTACGTGGCTCATTTACTGTTGTCCATGATGTCATCACATCAGATGTCACTTTGTGACAATGCTGGCAAAATCACTGGGGTTGTTAGGGCCGGATTAAACAGCAAGGTAAGTGGAGGGCAGTCAGGGAAACAACAAAGAAGGAGCAGGAAATATAAAAAGGTCAATGAGCAGCATCAAAAGACTCTGAACATTTCAGGACACAAAAGGAAAAGGGTTAATGCTCTTCAAGGGCTAGGGATACCTGGAAGCTTCGCAACTTACCAACTGGATCTCAACGGCAGTCACAGGCCTGAGGTTGAGAAGTTGCAGTTTTTCTGCCCTGTGCAAATGCAAAGAACACAACACCATATAATTTAGGGATTCTGGTTACAGGAGCCATCCGCATGCTAACACTTCTTGGCCACAAAACAATGGCTGGAGAGCCAAAGTTGTAGCTTGACCTCAGATGAGATGCACAACAGGCAAAAATGAAACCATTTGGGAGTTTGGAAACAGGCTCATGGCCACATCCATAACCCAAACCCACTGTGGCATTTAGTGGCCCAAAAGTTTTAAAACCATCCAATTTCCATTGTAACTCTTTGCTCAGACACACTCACAAACCACTACTCTTTCTGAAACCAGGATTCTTTGGATGCCAACTACAACCCACAGGACACTTTTCCATAGAGCTGTCCCAGAGACAGTTGGAAAAGAAAATATTTCAAGTTCAGAGGCGCCAGAAAAAACCCTTTAGGAGGCTCATATTCTGGGGTGCACAAATATGCTCCAGGAAGACAAAAAGTGGAGTAGGGAAGACTCATCAGCAGGGTACATAAAAATATATATTTTTTAAAAAACCATGGATTTTTAAACATGTAAATCAGTTTTAATTTCTTAACAACGTTAAGATATAAGTTTGTTTTTAAAATAACCTCAGGGAAAATCTGAACTCAATTAAAACATCTCCCAGAGCTGAATGTACGATCCTCTTATGAGCAGCAACTGTGAAAAAAGCAAGTTCCATGCTAGGGATGAGAAGGAACAGAACTGAAAATAAAAGTGCTAATATAATAATGTAGTTACACAAATCCAAGGTGCAGCCGCATTTGGAATACATTAGGCCCTCCATTTACATGGGGGCTATGTTCCAGAGATTGTGCCTAAAAGTTCAATGGCAGGTGAAATTGCCAAAGCCATTTTCCCCAGAACCCCGCCCTCTTAAAAAAAAAATTAATTTACCATTCACTTAAAGCTGAATGCACACAAGTTATATGTGTGCAAGTTGCAGACTTACTGTACTGTGTAGTTATGGCTGCTTCACCTAAAAAAAGAGCAGAGTTGGAAGGCAATGGTGGCCACCAATTTAGATGGTTTTAAAAGACAACTAGACAAATTCATGGAGGAAAAAGCTATAAATGGCTACTAGCCATGATGACTGTGCTCTGTCTAAATGCTTGGAGGAAGCAATGCTTCTGAATACCAGTTGCAGGAAAACACAGGAAAAGTGCACTTGTGCTTAAATCCTACTTATAGGTTTCCCACAGGCATCTGGTTGACTACTGTGAGAACAGGATGCTGGACTAGATTGGCACAGGCCTGATTCAGCAGGCTCTTCTTATGTTCTTAAAAATATTAGCAATAATAGAAAAACAATTTCTCTTAACATTTGTTTAGGTCCAGACAAACAAAACTAAACCAAATAGATTATTCTGAAGTGGTAATGCAAGGACAGAAGCAAGTAACAATGGTTATTCAAGGGCACTGGGAACTTCTCGTGCCTTAAGACCCCCCTGGAAAATTCAGTCTCCATTCAATCCAGCAAGGCTTGTTCAGGAGGACTCCCTGGAAAATTGTGGCTCAATATTTACTTACTTCTCTTGCCTATCTTTCCTCTCAGGAAGCAACAACATACCAATCCCGCAAACAAGAACTCTGAACTAGTAGCTCCCTCTGCTGTCAGCATAGTATCCTTGCATGTAATCTGGTAAGGTTTCATTTTGGTTTAATCAACATTGTAAAAATACTGATCTTTCAAATCTGACTACCTACAGGGAAACACCAAAATCTTGAGGCAAACTTCAAAACAGACTGGGAGCCGTTTACATTTCAAACTGTTCTTTGGCATATTTTTGTATCATGCATTGCATCATGCAGAGAAAGGGACGCAGGTGGCGCTGTGGTCTAAACCACTGAGCCTAGGGCTTGCTGATCGGAAGGTTGGTGGTTCAAATCCTCGCAACGGGATGAGCTCCCATTGCTCGGTCCCAGCTCCTGCCAACCTAGCAGTTCAAAAGCACCTCAAAGTGCACGTAGATAAATAGGTAGCGTTCCGGCAGGAAGGTAAACAGCGGTTCTGTGCACTGCTCTGGTTTTGCCAGAAGCGGCTTAGTCATGCTGGCCACATGACCCGGAAAAACTGTCTGCAGACAAACGTCGGCTCCCTTGGCCAGTAAAGCGAGATGAGCGCTGCAACCCCACAGTCGTTCGTGACTGGACTTAACTATCAGGGGTCCTTTACCTTTTTATACTCAGAGAGTATCTACCGTTCTCAATGAGTCTACTCTGAGTATAACTCATGTTGCATATCACTAATACATTTTACAAAGGCTTATGGAAGGGATATCAGTGGTAATTCCACCAGAATTAATACCCACTTTACTATCTGCAGTTCCATGTTTTCTCATAAATTGCATGCTTATGGTTTAGGAGAAGTAATGCCCTCTCTCCCTGTCAACCCCATATTGCCTATAACAGCGATGTCTCAAACTGACTATAACTAACCTGTATGAAGGACTCTACAATTTGTAAACAGAGATGCTGAATGTATTTATTTTTTTTACTTATGGAAAATATATTAATAAAAACTTTTTTTAAGCGAATGCCTGGACATTCAGTTTAAAACGCTTGTACCTTGAATGTCATTAAATATATTTTCACATTTATAACCGCTATATGCTTGTATGCACTGGTCTTTGACACCCAGGGTATGTCATTTGTTTTATTTTTATATCCTATGCTTATCAGCAATGTTCCTCTTGGATTTTTTTTCCTGCTGTGAATTGGACCTGCCCAGTGGAAATAAAATGCATTTCAGATCTACAAAGCCACTGAGAAAAAGTAATTCTTCAAACCGGTAAATCCAGTTTTTATCTTTTGATAACAGATTGAAAAGCAGATTCACTCATCCATCTCTTGGGACTGATTGCTTTTGACAAGTTTCATCGCTACTTTGAAAACACGGAGCCCACCGGATTGCAAAGGCACAAACATCTGCTAAGTAGCACTAAAGGATAAAGACTTAGCACTGGCGCCTCACAGAAGAATGAGAAAAGCCAGTCCAATCTGCTTGAAAGCAGAACACAGAGTTTGGTCAGCTTGGAAGGGGGGGTAAGGGAAAGCACCCTCCCACTCATTTCATCATGGCACTGTCAGAAAAGCTTGAGAAATTTGTTATTTGCCAATTCTGATACAAATGGATCTAATCCACACATCCCATGAATGCAGTTACCTTTCAGATTTTGCATTTCTTTGAATTCTGTATTGCAGCTCTCAGCTCAAAGAGCATACCAGTATGTAGATAAAATTATTATTTTAGGGTAAAATACATTTAGACATACATACTTTGGGAGAAAAATATATAGCAAAGTCCCTGTGGAGCACAGAAAGAGACTTGAGATGCGTAGTCACACACAACCTGGAGGGACTGTGAAGAGGGTGGCTGCCTGTATATACAACCAGCAAGGTTACAAGCACTCTTTCAGTGGTTCATTAGAAGAAAAATAAGACACTGAATGTGCCCAGACCAAATAATTAAGTCCAAGCCAATGACTGCTGGCAGCGGCAAGCTCTTTCATCACTTGAAACCTCTCTGTGCTTCATAAACTCATGCTTTTCTATGGGTTAGAATGTACTGAAACCAGAAATTCAAAAGCATCATACATCAAGGCCAAGCTCAGCAGTCAGTTACAAACACGGTGCTGGGTTGTTCTTGGGATGGAGGGGGTTGCATGGGAGAAGCAGCAGACTGGGGGAAGGAATTTCATCCTCTTGTCAACTGTTGGAATAACTGAACCTCTCATCTGGCAGCTACAATCCATCGGCCCACATTACAATTTTAATGACTTACTTCGTTAACTTGTGGTTTTTCAGTGCCAAGAGGAAGTCTCTTACAACCTCAGGATTCTGGAATTTGCATGGTGTCTTAGATATGTATTTCAGTGTCTAGAAGGGCAGAAAAAGATAATTGTGCAGATTCAGTCTACCTTTATGCCTCCTTTTCAAGTCTAACTTAAAAGCCGATCCCTCCAAAGCAGGAACAATGCTCTCTGAAAGCAACATTGCTCTTCAGATTAGCAAATGTATCACAGCCATGTTGTAACCAAATAGGGAAATGATAATCAAATTGTTGGGAACTTTAAAATATTCACTGAGCAGGAAATCCAGAGGTCAAATGTTTAATGATGACATAACACATTTTCTTATTCCACACCTGTTAATGTTCATAATTAGAAATAGAGTACAGAAAAATAAAATAAAAATGATTGGGGCATATGTGGGAAAGGAACACAGCTCACTGATAAAGCATGCAGAAGGTTGCAGGTTACAATACGCAATAGCATCTCCAGGTACGGCTAGAGAAAAAACTCCTGCCTCAAGCTCCAGAGAGCCACTGGCTACCTGTGTACACAATATTGAGCTAGATGGACCAACACTATGATTCACTCTGAGGCAGCTTCCTATGTTCCTAGTTAAAATCAGACCTTTTTCAGAACCATGAAGACTGAAATCTTCATTTTCAGGAAAAGGACCATAGCTCAAGAGAATAAATAACACATGCATTACATGCAGGAGGCCCCAGATTAAATTTCCACCATCCCCAGGTAAGGCTGGGGAAAGACCCCACCTGAAATCCTGGAGAGCAGCTGCCAGTCAGTGTTCACAGTATGGAACTAGATAGACAGATTGGTCTGGCTCAGTCAAAGGCTCTATGTTCCCTTTAAAAAAAGAGAGCTTAAATGGGTTAGTCTTTCTGGCTTAGAAAACTGCATGTGGATATAACTGAGCTACCTAAAATTATGAATGGTATCGAGACAGCAGAAGCACATTTTTTCCCATCCTTCTCTCTCTCTCTTTTTAAATGCTCTTGTGTGTGAGGAGGGCTGGGAGAAAAGAGGATCCTGTGCATAGAAGCATGGCTAGTGGGATGCGGAGAGAAGGTTGCAGCTTGGGACAGGATCATTTCCGTTGTTGGTTTTACTCACTTCATACATGATAGTATTCAAATTCTGCTGCCCAGCACTCTGCTTGCTTCTCCCGGTCTCTCGGCGCTGCTGCTTAAGATCAGTCAGCAACTTATACACCTGAAAGAAAGAACTTTGCTATGATTGTGGCCTCAAATGCCATCAGAGCTTTGAGAATGCTAGCAGCTCATCATATGAGCCGAACCGTTTAATTCCTGTTTTTTCTGCTAATTTTGGTATGCGGCTCTCTTCCATTTTTGAAAGAGGTCCCAATCTTCAAAATGAGCTCCTAACAACTATTGTAGGTCAAGTATATATCATTCTATTGCAGATAGAGATAGCAAGCACACAATTTTATGGAAAATAGGACCTTAAAAACAAATTTTCAGAGGGGTGTGGCTTTCACCCCAGTGAGAAGAACTTTTTAAAACTTTGGCTGTAGGAACATTTCAACATTTATATTCCCCACTCCTCCAAGAAATGCATGACTACAATGCAAGTTTTGTTTGTTGCTCTGGCATGGAACAAAGGTTAAAACTAGCATTCTGAATAGGGCAGGACTTTACATAAATTATAATTGCAGTAAAATGATTTTACCTCATAATTGCTCAGAAGAGCTGCATTTCCATCTTTCCTAGAAAAACAATAAATAAAATATGTTAAGGTGCTTTAGATGTGTTGGCGTATGTGTGGAAAATCCACCTTAGAAACCCCTGACTCCCATTACAAAGCTACAAAAGAACTGTTTGAAAAAGTATATTTCCTTAGTTCTGTTTTTCCCAGTGTTTTGTGCCAGACTTGGGTGAGGCTACACATGTGTGAGTGGACACATCTCATCAAAGCCAACCATTACAATTAAGCTCTTTTGTTTGAAAGAGAACTCAACTGGCAAACTCAGAAACTCACTGCCCACATAGACAAGGATACACTTAATTCTCACAGCACATATTCATTGCCACAAGATGTCTTTAGACAAGGATCAGACTTCACTATGAATTTGTCTATCAGTGTCTGTTAACCATTTCTGTGCACACACCATACATTTGAGACACATTTGTTATCCCAAGAATCCTGGGAACTGTAGTTTGTTAAGGGTACTGGGAATTATAGCTTTGTGAGGGGTAAATTAAATAATCATTTTTGGAGCGGGCAGGAGTGTGCTTTAAAGTTATGCAGTGTACACAATCCATGTACTTCCACGTCCAGAGGCAGAGTACCTGTAAATATGAGTTGCTGGGGAATACCAGTAGGATAGTGCTGTTGCTTTCATGCCTCTTTGTTGGCTGATTACAGACATCTGATTGACCATGGTGGGAAATGGGATGCTAGACTTAAGGCCTGATCCAGCAGGACTCTTCTTCTCAAGTCCTTGTTTAAAAACATGAGTTGGTCCTAGAAATGCATAGTCTAACTTTGCTATAAACTACCTCTATGGAGTCAAAATATATGCTAAGGAAAGAGCTTTCCTGCATGTTTAAGGCTGCAGTCCTACAAGCACTTATCTGGAAGCAAGTCCCAATGAAACCAATGGGTCTTGCTTCTAAATAGACACATATATAGGATTCCACTGTAAATCAGTTTCAAGCCACTGGTGGTGTGTAGTGGCTGTTGCTGCTTATTATTATTTTTCCAGCAAAAGGCTTATAGCAGCAGGAGGGGTAAATGCAAAGTGGGGCTTTGTTGCTCCCCCTGTAAGAGCCACTAACTGTCAGATATGAAGGGGGCAGATATTTCCCACATCGCAACACTGTTTCTGAGCAGGACTTTAATTTTTTTTCCCCTTAGCAATGACCAGTAACCACCCTTCTATGCCCCTGGTGACCCAAGCTATAAACGTTCCCATGAGTTTAGGTCTGTTGGAGAAGTTTCCTTCTGTGCCTCAACAACAGAAATGTTGGCTGGATCACAACAGTTCTTTGGGAGAGGGCCTTGTTGGCAGTCTCAGAAGACTGCAAAATTCCCTGCCTAAGGAGGCTGAGCTTGCCTTGAAACCTTGACAGTTGTGCTGGCCCTGTTGAGTTGCTGGTGTCCCTTTCTATGCTGCCTGAGCTTGCCATGAAACTTTTGCAGTACCTTCTGAATTGCTTTACTTGTTATTTGTAGATTTCGCACTGCCTTGTTTCTTTAGAAATGGAGAAGTGGGATAACAAACATCATATCATCTGCTGAATCAGGGAACCAATGTACATCCAATTGTGGATGCTATCTAGTCATTCCATAGGGTAGATAGGCAGCTCCCAAGATTCCTGCATTGCTATCAACACCATTCACAAATGTGGACCCTCATACTTTAAGCAACCAGCCACACATAAATACCTTTTTAAAGCACAACTAGAGATGGAGCAGACTGGCATGTTCCACAGCCAGCAAGAACTACTGCAACCCACACTTATTTACAAGTGCTTAGATTCACTTGCTAGCTATTGTTTACTATTTAAGCACAATCCCGATTAAGCTACAGACAATATTATTTAATTTATTTCCATTATAAATAAATAGAATGTTAGTTTTTAAAAGAAAACAAAAACACCACAAAGCCGCGACCGCTATACATCCTCAGGACAATGGGTTCTGCTGAACAGACAGACAGCACTAACAACAGAAAGTTGCCACAGCTATATAAAAGGAGGAGGGTAAGGCTATTCTCGGGTCCCCGTATTGCAACATATTTAAAAGTACAATGTATTATGTCAAGCACAGCCAACTGTTTGAATAGAACTGTCATACTCATCACTTTCAAACAAGTTCAACGCCTCTTCCACAAACTTCCACAGTTTCTAGCATTGTTTTTGAAATTGCATTGGGATAGGGCGAGGGGGGAAAGAGGGGACCCCCTTCTGAAAATACGCTGAGGTGCAGTTCTCATCACACATTTTGCTGATCCAGCAGAAACTTCAGCAAGCAAGCAAGATCACAAACACACACATTCATGCATTGCAAAAACGGTTACTGCTTTTTGTTGATACGTATATTTGATTCTTTGGTAGAGGGCTATCTTTGCATTCCATCTACATCTAGAGAAATCCCTGCAGATTCTCTATGACCAAAGCCCATTTTTTTAATGCCCTACATAAAATAAAGAACACAGTACAGAAAGCAACTGAATGTACTAATGGGTCTAGGAAGAATTATTGTTGATGAAGTGCATTTAAAACAAAGAGTGGTCCCATTTGGAGCAAAAAGAGAAAAAGTTTGCATTGTTTCATAATAAATCAGAAGGTTCAGGGAGGTCAAGGCTCTTTTCGGTGTGTTAAGTCTTGCTGGAAAATATGGAACTACTATCACACAATTTAATCTATTTTTGTATTCCCGTCTTGAGTGCAACTACATCAATATGCTAAGAATGATACCAGTTGACATTGCCACACACACACACACAGTTTGATTGCAACCTAAGTACTTGGTATTGTGTACTAGTAAAGTCAGTGGGACTTCTGAGTAAAAGTGCATAGGGTCAGATTGTACCAAATATAACCCCCATCCATTTCTACTTCAGGACACCCTGGGGGGAGGGGGGAAGGAACCTTTTCCCTTTCTGGGGAAGACACAGTAATAAACGAAGAAAATGTCCAGCTTTAAGATGGTTTCCATTTAAATAAAGACAATCATGTCCAGTACAACTCTCAAATTAAACAAATACTTTTCTATGAACAGAAACTCAAAATGAACTTCTCAAAACCCATCTTTTTGTCAAGACCCTTGCTATCACCCATATGTTTTCATCTGCAACAAAAACTGCTTGCAATTTACTTTTCTTACATTTATCATCATGGAACCCACATGTGGTTCCCAGCCGGCCTCCCATCCACTGACCAGACTTATACCTATTTAGCTTCAGCATGATGGTGGCCTTCATCCCACACAATCTGCTCTGTGATAACATGTGTAAAGCGTTTAAAAATGACTCTCCATCTGGCACTCAACAGTAACCATATTATATTTTTAAAGTTATCCTTAACAGCGTCATTAAAAAAATAGTAAAGATGAATGATGCATATCATATGGGAAGATGGAGTAAGTCCAATTTCTGTAGTGCAGGAATGGGGAACCTGGAGCCCTCCAGAGGTAAAGAGTTCATATTAAATAATTTGAATATAAACATGTCAGCCCTGCAGTTAATAATTTCTTGTAGAGGCACTGATTAAAGCTTAGTGTTTCTATGTAAATGAAGAACCAATCTGATCATTTCTCAAGTATGAAAAGACTTTACACAGGGATTTGATTTTCACTTCATGAAAATGAAGCTGCTCTATCCTAGCAACTACTAATGGACTTTGCTTTTGACTTATCCAGTCCCGGGCAATTCATTTTTGTTTGTTACTTTTGTTTTTGCAAGGGTGGGACTGGGCCAAGACAGAGCGAAGCAGAAAATGAACAACGATGAGGGTGTGGAAGAAAGAAAAGCTGGCAATATTGTCCAGTGTGCAGGATCCTATTTTCAGACTTAACCTCACAAACTGTTATGTGTGCTGGTTGTAAGAAAGGCCCCATGAAACAGCCACTCCTGAACTGGTGCCCTCTAGATCATGGGTAGGCAAACTAAGGCCCTGGGGCCGGATCCAGCCCAATCACCTTCTAAATCTGGCCTGCAAACGGTCCAGGAATCAACGTGTTTCTACATGAGTAGAATGTGTCCTTTTATTTAAAATGCATCTCTGAGTTATTTGTGGGGCATAGAAATTGGTTCATTTATTTTTTCAAATATAGTCCGGACCCCCACTATGTCTGAGGGATAGTGGACCCACCCCATGCTGAAAAAGTTTGCTGACCCCTGCTCTAGATGTTTAAATCTGGGCTGGTGGGAATTGTAGTCCCCAGCATCTGGAGTATACCAGGTTGGTGAAGGATGCTATATGGAAATATTTTACAGACATTCACGCCAAGGATGTGACACAAAAATGTGCTTCCCGCCCTTCCCTTGTAGATTAATCATTCTGAATTAGAAAAAGATGATTATGCATAAAAATCTCCACAGATCTGGTAACCTGTAGGTGACACAAACAGGTGACTGTCAGTTAGGGAAATCTTAATAAAATCTGCAGTGCAACCCTATGCATGTTTTACTTTCAGTGGATGTACCCACACTCTGGCCCCATCCATTAGCCAGAAGACTGAGAGCTGCTGGATATTGTGTGTAGTGTACTTAAAAAGCAGGCAATGGTCAGGGCAGGATTTTGGTGCAGAAGCCCAGAGCTCCCCTCATCAGAATGGAGGGGGACAAAAGTGGAATAAATACATATTACCACCCAACACAACATTAAACCTAGAGTCTAAAATTAATGTTAACAGCACCACTGAAAGCAGGGAGCCAGATGATGCCACGGAGATTATATAACTTCAAGAACTGGGTCCTGGGTTCATCTGCTTTCCTCTGCCCTCCTCACTCGCTTTTCATTTTGTACTGTGTGCATTATATTGTGAGCCTGCATGACGGGACTGTCTTCTCCTTTTATCTCTGCAAGTTTATCAGGCAGCCCCTTCTCTGTCTGCTCAGTACCTCCTAAAAATATTATCATTTATAGACAAGCCTACCCAGATACTTAGAATGCTGGTGCCTGTTTTACACTTTTTTTTAGCTTATTGATTTTAGTTTTTTGGATGTTTTAAATTGTTTCTAGTGATAATTTTATTGTTTTATCTTTTTTTGTATTGTATGTCACTTTGAGGGTTTTTCTTTTTTTTTTTTACAATCTGGTGTATAAATTTTATGAAATATAAAAATAATGTTGTGTGCCCAAGAAGGAGGTCTGCACCCGTCCGATTGTTCATTCACCCCTTCAGAACTTTTATGAGAGGAATTTCTATAGACATCCCTCCAGCACCCTCATTTCTTCAACCATCCCTTCAAATATATTGGTGTTCTTTTATTTTAGGAAATTTCATCAAGCAATGCCAATTCCAGGACCCCCATCTCACCTCTCCCTCTTAGGAACGATTTCATTTTCTACTCCCTCTTTTTTTCCTCAGCCATCCCTCCAATTGTTTTTTTTGGGGGGTGGGGAAGGGTAGGAAATTACCTCAGGCATTGCCAATTCCTGGAAATCCACCCCTCCATTTTCTCCCTCCACATCACAGAAACTCCCCCCACCCCGTCAAAAAACCCTTAGCCATCTAAATGAGAGATTTACCTCTGGAAAGGGCAGCTGCAGGTCACCTCTTCCCCCCACCCAAAAAAACCCCATAGCCATCTAAATGTGAGAAAGTTTGCCTCGGGAAAGGTCAATTCCAAAAATCCCCCCAAGTAGGAAATATCTCCCCCCCCCCCCAAAAAAATATATTCCCTCAGCCACCTAAATGTGAGGAAATCAACCTCAGGAAAAAAGACCATTCCAGGAATCCCCCTCTTCCTCCCACCCGAGTTTGAACGGCCTCACCCACTCCCCTGAATTTACACGCCCCCCCAATAGGCAGGGAATCCCCCCCCCTTATCCTACGGCGGGGAGGGGAGAGAAACGGGGTGACTTCGGAGCAAGCGGGGCTTCCGCAGTCGCTCCGCCATCTTACACTTCCATCTTGCCCACGCCGCGGCCTCTTCCTGCCTCTCGCGCCGCCTTCGCTCGCTCCTCCCTTCGGCCCTCCGCCGCCTTTCCCGGCTGCGTCGTCTCCGGCCGCGTCGCTGCTGAGGCAGCAGCCGCTTCGCCTCTTTCCCCTCGGGGCAACGCTTCCGAGACGGGAGGGCGGCCGGTCGGAGCGGGGATCTCGGCGGCCTCCTCCCGCCTTCCTCGAGGGAGTTCAGGGCGGACGGCTCTTTCCGTAGGAAAGGGAGGAAATAGTATATGAAGGTATCAGTAATACCTTTCACGCTGGAGTATGACTTCTGTCCCGGGAAGGAATCGAACCCGCGTCAGTCTCGCAGCACCATCCTCTTTGTTATTATTAGGTCGCTTTAAGAATACTTTTTATAGTGTAAATTAAAATAACCTCTAGCATAGAAAGAAATCGAACCCACGTCCCTCTCGTAGCACCATTCTTAATCTTATTATGTCACTTTAAGAGTACTTTTTACAGTGTAAAATAACTTCTACCATAGAAAGGAATCGAACCAGCAGCCACCTTATAGCAGGTACACATCGTATTCCCACCACTGCTACTACCCCATTTTTTATTATCATAATCAACATCACTTCTTGGCCTTTTGGCTAAGATCAAGTGTATTATTATTATTATTATTATTATTGGGGGGGGGATAAAAAAATAAAAAATTGTCTGGTAGCACCTTATAGACCAACTAAGTTTATACCAGAACAAACTTAGTTGGTCTATAAGATGCTACTGGACAATTTTTTATTTTTATTTTGACTGCTTCAGACCAACACAGCTACCTACCTGAATCTATTATTATTATTATTGTTGTTGTTGTTGTTATTGTTGTCACTTTATCCACTGAAAATGACTCAAAGCAACTTGCAGATACTAAAACTCATTAACAACCTGTGAGGTTATCCCTAGTAAACCACACCATGCGTTTTAGAGCATAGCCAAGGCACGTTTAGAAAGTGTGCCACTTCCCCTTATGTGGTGCAGCAATAAAAATGCTAGCACATTTGCAAAGCTAAGCAGGGTCCAGTATGGTTTCAAATTGGATGGAGGACTGTGTGTTGAGATTCCTGCATTGCAGTGAGCTGGGCTAGATGACCCTAAGGATCCCTTCTATGAGTCCTGGGAACAGTAGTTTGCAAAGGGTTCTGGGAATTGTGGCTCTGTGGGGGGGAGAAAGTACAGCTCCCAGGATCCTTTGGGGGAAGCGATGTGCTTTAATTTCTTCACCAAGAGAAGGACCTCCCCTGAAGATCTCAGAGCCTGGGCAAGTGAGGGAATACCATCTTTCAGACAGCTTGGACTTAAGCCACGTAGGGCTTTATAGGTCACAACCAGCACTTTGAATTGCGCCTGGAAACAGTGGAGCTCTTGTAGCAAAGGAGTCATCTGCTTCTCTGTAACCAGCCCCTGCAAACAGTTTGGCTTGCAGCTCTTTGAGCCAGTCAAAGTTTCTGATCACATTTCAAAGGCAGCCCTTTGGGAGAGCCCTGTATGCCACCTTGAGCTCCTTGGAAGAAAGGTGGGATATTAAATAAACAAATAAAATATGCATTTGGTGTGGGACCACAGCCCTGATCCTGCAAGCGCTTCTTACGTTCTTATGCTGTGCAGCTACAGCAATTGTTTCCCCTTTTACTTGGGTGTGGGGAAACATTTGCCCACCAGATAATGCAGATCTACAACTCCTACAATCCCTGGCTGTTGGCCATGCTTGTTTTTACTGATAATTTAATTGTTTTATTCTCTTTGTAAACCACTTTGAGGTTTTTCTGCTACAATTGAGCAATGTCTAAGTTTTTGGCAACAGCTAAGTCCGTATGGTAGAGGGATGCAGGTGGCGCTGTGGATTAAACCACAGAGCCTAGGACTTGCCGATCAGAAGGTCAGCGGTTCGAATCCCTGTGACGGGGTGAGCTCCCATTGCTCGGTCCCTGCTCCTGCCAACCTAGCAGTTCAAAAGCACCTCAAAGTGCAAGTAGATAAATAGGTACCGCTCCGGCGGGAAGGTAAACGGCGTTTCCGTGCGCTGCTCTGGTTCGCCAGAAGCAGCTTAGTCATGCTGGCCACATGACCTGGAAGCTGTACGCCGGCTCCCCTGGCCAATAACGGGAGATGAGCGCCGCAACCCCAGAGTCTGTCACGACTGGACCTAATGGTCAGGGGTCCCTTTACCTTTAAGTCCGTATGGTATAGCTCAGCCAGTAGAGCATGAGAGCCTTAATCTCCGAAATCTATAACTTTGAACTCTATTGTATCTGTCCCTTAATAACATCAGAGCAGGGATAGCTCAGTTAGTAGATAGTGAGAGACTCTTGACCTCATGGTCACAGGCTTGAGCCCCACGCTGGGCAAAAGATTCCTGTATTGCAGGGGGTTGGACTAGATGACCTTGGTGGTCCCATCCAACTCTACAGTTCTATGATTCTATGAAATAAAAACAGCAGCTACGATAAGTGGCTGCATGAAAGCACCCTCCGGTTAGCAAGAGAGAAACTTATATACACACACAGAGCTTTCTTGCTGGTCCCTGGCCCAGCCATGTTGCTAGACAACACAGAGAGAACAAAGGCACTTTGTCCCCTTTTTCCTCCCCAAAAAAGTGTGCTCAGCATAGCAACGTTTCGGTGCAGCGTTCTGAGTGAGATGGCAGGGGGGCCCAGGGTCACTTGTGTGCATGTCGGTATTAACTATTGAAAGCAGAGAGGCCCAGCGCCAGCTATTGTGAGTATTTGTATTCTTTGTCATGAAAGATGTTTACTACACTCAGCATATTGCTGATGACACCAAAGTGTCTTTTTTCTCTCCCCTTTCCTTTCCTTTTCTTTCTGTTTCTTTCTTTTTTAAAAAAAGGAAGCATGCACAAACATTCCCTATTCATTAAAACAACTGGTTTAAAAAAAACCCAAAATGTCAACACCTCTCCATACAAGTTCAGCTGATCAAGCATTTCACCAGCACTTTCAGGATGTATACAGAATCTTTCTTGCAATGCTGAACGTACTTTTTTTAAAAAGCTCATTTTAGCACCCCGCAGTCATTAAACATAATTGCTTCTTAAAGAATGAAGAATCATTGCTATACTATTCAGTTTTAAAATAATTTAAAAGGAACTTTTATTTTATTTGTACACATAAATCTAAGAATAATAAAATAAAAGAGTTTTATATTATGAGGACCCGGATGTTTATTATTTATTTGTTGGTTTGTTGCATTTATACCCTACCTTTTTCACCAAGGAGCTCAAGTTGACTTACAACCCCCTCTTCCCCTCCAATTTCATCCCTGCAACAACCTTGCAAGGTAGGTTAGGCTGAAAGTCAGTAACTGGCCTCCAAGGTCACACCCAGCAAATTTCATTTGAACCCTTGTCTCTCCCGGGTCCAGTTCGACACTACCCACTACAGTATACCACACACAAATCTAGGAATAATAATAAAATGACAGTTGTTATTATTATTATATTTCTTACCTGCCCTTCACCAGAAAGTCCCAGAGTGGGTGACAGCAATGCAAAATACAACATTAAAAACTACTTTAAAACCATTATGCTTACTCTTAAAGACACAAGACGTTGCCCCAACCATTTGTTGATTTAGTTACACTGAATTTTTTTCAGTATAATTGCTTGTGGTCCATCTGTCAATGTGCCTGGCACTTTGCAAGGGACAAGAAGGCAGGTCCTTGCCCCCAGGGAGGTTACAGTAAACAAAATGACATAGGGGGAAACACAACAACAGGGGAAAGGGAGGCATAAATCACAGCATCTTCAGTACCTTCAGGGGAAATAAGAATCTGCATATCAAAGAAAAATGTTTCATATGAATTTAGATTTTTTGCAATCGGCTAATGGGATACACAGCTTCAGTTGTTCCTTTAGGTCAGCCTTTACCATCCTGCTGCCCTTCAGAAATTTAGGACTACAACTCCCATCAGCTCATGGTGGAATACACCCTTCTCACCCTCTTACTCTCCATTTTATCCTCACAATAACCCTGTGAAGCAAGGTAGGCTGAGAGAAGATGACTGTCCCAAAGACACCCAGTTAGCTTCATGGTGGAGTGGAGATTTGAACTCATCTCCTGGACCCTAGTCCAACACTCTAACCACTACACCCATGCTGGTTTGGATTGTGTTGTGGGTAGTGGTTTCTGAACATCACCCATTTCTCCTTCTGTGAAATGGGTATTTTGTGGTGCCTTAACTGCTCAGATTTCCACATGGGCCTAAGGGGGTTGGGGGACACACCCCCCCCCCCGGTTTTAGCATAAGGAGGCTTATGGGAGGGAAGTTATTGGTTTGTGGGGGTTTGTGGGTCTTGTTTTTATTATATTTTGTGTTCTCATTTTGTATTTTTATGTTGTGAACTGCAGCATACAAATTTAATAAACAACCAACAAGTAAATAAATATTAAGCTTCCTATGTTACTTTGCTTCCCTGAGCCAGCGCAGACTGCATTTCTCATCACAACAGCAACCCAAAAGTGAGATTTCCAGACAGATTTTTTATAGAAATTAAGCAATCCAGATAAAGCCAGCAAGTGGGGGGATATAACATCTCCTACTTAGATAAGTAAGCTAAAGTGCTTAACCTTATCTGATTTGTGTCATTAATAAAGGGGGAAACTCATAAAAAAACACAGATTATTACATGGTACGAGGAGGGAGAGATTGATACATATGAAAGATATTTGGATATGATGGACAGGGTTGCTTTTGAAACCATTTTCTTGATCTGATTTGTCAAGCGCTGTAGGAATGCAGGAGCAGCAACTTAAAATCACCACAGCATAACAAAATAAGAAATGATAAAAGCAGGAATGTGGCATTCTTTGATGCACTTCATTCTGTGCCTCTTGGTTCTTAGAGCCTTGCACAAATACAACTCCTCTAATTTTGGAATATTTGATACAAAAGGGGAAGGACGACCAAAAGAACGAAACCATAACATGATCAGTAAAACCAGTCAAAGGCAGCTAATCTAAAACATCCAAATTAAAAAAAAAAATTAAAGATCCAGCAATAAGCTAAAAACAGATCAAAACACGTGTCAGCATCCTACAATCAACATGTTTAATCAGTGCTGTGCGCTGACTTTTCTAAGTCCTCCTGGGCTTCTTGGAGAAAAAGGTGGGAGACAAATGCGATCGATAGATAGATAGATAGATAGATAGATAGATAGATAGATAGATAGATGGGGAGGGATCATCATAATCTAGCTATAATATACAGTAATACTTCCCTCTCCCCGCCACTCACATAACTTGCTAAATTATTTCCTAAGATTTGGAGACAGAGTCGGTAAAAAAACAAAACTCTGCAACAAGAGCGAGTTTGATATCTCTTGATGAGTTTAATCACTTGGAGCTATTAGGAATACAGATTTGAGAGCAGCCCTTCCAGAAGCGTTGAGGTAAAGCCAGAGGGTCGGTGGGTGGGGCCAACTATCCGATCTGACCGTAAGCCCGGCCCAGGGGGCGTGGCTTGCTGGAGGCTGCCGCTTGAAAAGGGGAGCCCTGGGCAGCTTGGAACAGCACAGATCGGCTGGCTGGTGCTTCAGAGGCGCAGCAGGTGAGCCCATCGTGGGAAGCAGCTGCGGGGCGCTCCCTGGCGGTCTCTCCAGTAGCTTTGCAGAGAGGGGAAAGGATGCACCGCCTCTCTGTCTCGCTGTGTCTGTCTGTCTGTCTGTCTGTCTGGGATGGTAGAGGGGCAGGCTTCTTATGCAAGTGTCAAACCACCCCCAATCTCTGGCTCTCTTCCAGATTTTGCAAAGCTTTCTTTCTTTCTAAGCCAAGTTGGAGAAGGAGGAAACATCGCCAGACATGGCATCCGAGGTGAGCTGGGAGTTTTTGGAAATTCACCTCCCCCCTCCCGTATCCCCCCCCCCCAAAAACCCCACCTTCCATCCCTGTCCTTTTTCACAATAAGATTTGTCATTGCGGAGGCTTCACATCAGAAATCATTTTGAGCAAAATTAGGGTTTGTAGTTATATCTGTGATTCATTTTCCGTTTAGATGGCACTGACAGTAGCTTGCATGCTGGAGAGGGCATGGTTGCAGCATGGGATAAGGATTTTTTGGGATGGTGGAATTCACTGTCACCAAAGAGCTGGTGAAGGGTCTTACATGCTAAGAACCAGTTTCTGGGTTTGCTGTTTTCCTCCTCCCTCCAAATCCCTTTTCCTTTTGTGTCATGTGCTTTACAATTTAAGCCCAAGATCAGGAGCTGTTTTATTACTGAGATTTGTAAGCCACTTGATGAGCATTTTTTCCAAGGCTGGAGAGTAGGATGTGAATAAATAAAATACATGGTGTATTCCATTGCTGCAGAGCAGACATATGGGTGCCCCTTTATTGGGATTGTTAGCATGGTTAGATGAGACTCGTATACCCTCCATGGTTAGAGGCAGTGTACCTGTCTCACTGCTGTTAGTGAACAAGGGCCTGGCTGTTAAACCATGCATATATGTGAGTTCATTGAACTGACCTCTGTTGGAGGCAGAGTACTGAGCTAAACAGCCCCAAGAGGGCTATTCTTATGGTTTCATTTGTAGCACTTAGATTCTAGACATCTGGTGCCTGAGTTTTCAGACAACAGCTATTGCTGGCCATCTAAGTTTCATTTTGTTTTGACCCCTTGGAGGATTGAATCATAGAACCTTCTTATTTATTGTGTGCCATCAGCTAAATGTTGGCAGATTTCAGGACACATAGAAGGAAGTTCTTCTTTACAGGGCACATAGTTAAACTGTGGAACTCCCTCCCACAGGAGGCAGGGATGGCCACAAACCTAGATGGCTTTAAAGGAGGATAGGACAAATTCACGGAGGTGAAGGTTATCAGTGGCTAGGAACCATCATGGATGCGGTCTGCCTTCAAAGCTGGAGGCAGCGATGCTTCTGAAAACCAGTTGCTGGAAACCACAGGAAGGAAGAGATGCTCTTGTGCTCAAATCCGTGTTTAGGGGTTCCCCACAGGCATCTGGGTGGGGTCACTGTGAGAACTGGATGCTGGACTAGATGGGCCACTGGCCTGATCCAGCAGGCGGTTCTTATGTTCAAGAGGCGAATGAATTTGGGGTGGGAATGTAAGGGGTTTGCAATGCTGGAAGGCCAGGGATTGGGGAGAGATTGGAAGGGGCCAGGCTTTGTGGTGGTGCACCTGCATTGCATACAGAAGGCTCCTGGGGAGTCTGACGCCCTCCCTGGCACGTCTGTTTCAAAGGAACTCACATGGCTGAGGGCCGTTTTCTGGTCAAGTCAGACACTCTTGGGCAAGGTGGACCCACAGTCTGACGTGCACATGCAGTATTGGAAGGATCTATACTGATTTCTAGAACTGTAGAGTTGGAAGGGACCCCAGGGGTCATCTAGTCCAACCCCCTACAACACAGGAACCACAGCTAGATAATCCCTGACAGATGGCAGCCCATCCTCTGTTTGAAAACCTCCATAGGGCAGAGGGCAAGCAGCTCAGTGGCAGAGCATCAGCTTGGTGTGCAGAACCTCCCGGGTTCACTCCCAGATAACATAGGGCTGGGAGAGACTCCCTGCCAAAACCTCTGGAGTGCCACTGCCAGTCAGTGCACACAATTCTGAGTTAGATGGACCTGCGGTGCATCTCACCGTAAGGCAGCTTCCTGGGCTCCTTGATTCAAAACCATGAGGACTAGAATCTTAACTTTATTTTCCGGGCAAAGGCTGTGGCTCTGTGGCAGAGCATCTTCTCTGCATGCAGTAGGGCTGGGATGGACCGGCAGGTCTGACTCAGTCCTGCGTTCAGAGACCCTTCCTTTTGAAAGCGAATCCTCCCCTAACAAGACTCGCTGTCTCTTGCAAAAAAAGAGTATTTGCAAGTGATGCTTCTCAATGCTAACCTCCATTACTGGCATTGCCTGGGAAAAAGAAGCATTTTTATTTTTTTAAGTGCTGAATGCAGGCTTCAGTGTGGCTTGACCCTAAAATGATATTTCCTGGCCGGCTGACCTTTGGCTCCTGAAGAGGCAGAGCAGTCACATGTTGCCCTCCTATTTGTTTTGAGGCAACGGGAGCAGTTGCAGCAACGGAATCCTGTGCTGACAGAAGCAGATTGTGATCCACTGAGTGTTCTGCTGAAGATCAATAATAAGCTATATGTGCTGGATTCACCAAAAAGTTGGCTGGGGGAGAGGGAGAGGCGGTGAGCTCCAGAGGTAGACCTGTGGGTCATATGATTTCAGAATCAACATTTGAGGGGAGCTCTGCCGCTTGGGGGGGGGTCTCAGGTTCAACCCTGGTAGGGCTGGGAACGTGCCCTGCCTGAAACCCCAGAGAGCCACTACCAGTCAGTGCTAAATGGACCAACAGTGTAATGAAGTACAAGGCACCTTAGAATCATAGAACTGTAGAGTTGGAAGGGACCCCGAGGGTCATCTAGTCCAACCCGCTGCAACGCAGGAATCTCGACTGAATCATACATGATAGATTTGCCATCCAAGCTCTGCTAAAAAAAACGCTCCAAGGAAGGCTCAGTCGCCAGTTGCATTTCCAGATAGGGCTAGGAGATGCTCCCTGTCTGAAACCCTGGAGAGCCGGTCCATGTGAACAATACTGAGCTAGATAAACCCAGGGTGTTATTTCCTACATTCCTTCTTAATTTCTCATTCTTGTTAACCTGCGCAAGGCATCTTCCTTCTTTCCCCAGGGTGATAAACTTTACGGAGGAAGGCTGACGGGGAGTCTTGATCCCATCATGGAGAAGCTCAACTCTTCGATAGAGGTAGACCATCGCTTGGCGGAAGTTGACGTCCGCTCAAGTATAGCTTATGCCAAGGCTCTGGAGAAAGCTGGGATCTTATCCAAAGCCGAAGTGGAGAAGATCATCAGTGGGCTTGAGAAGGTATTGATCCGGGAACTTCAAAGCAAGCATACAAGATCTAGAAAGGGTGCTTTGGGAGACGGGGACTGTTTCATCTTGAGTAGGGAACATTAGAATTTAAGAACTGGGGCCTGTGTGGGTTTGTTTCCCCTCTTTCCTTGCCAAGAACAGGTTAGAAAATCTCTACTTCAGGAGCATGCAATTTGTGTCCCCCCATCACATCAGTCTGGGATTCCTTTGTTAGAAGGAAGAATCAACTTCTCCTTATCCAGTGTACAGTTCCTTTTATAAGAGCACCCCAAAAATATTTCTGTGGTGGGTGATGTCATCCACTTCCCAATATGCTGACACCCATAAGTGCATGCTGGCTCTTTTTGACTTTCTCCTGGAAAGAAGCAGGGCTCCTAAACACAGTTTCTTGGACTCAGCTGTTAAATGCATGACTGACTCTCTAACTCATCCCGCCACAAACACAAGCAGCAAAGACCGCCTTGTTAATTACTAACCAGCCCTTTTTCTGCTGTATTTGTAGATTTCTGAGGAGATTTCCAAGGGCACTTTGGTGATCGCCAAAACTGATGAGGACATCCACACCACCATTGAACGCAGGCTCAAGGTTTGGTGCACCTGTTCAATCTACGTTCTGTGGCTTTTTTCTTCTGGGGACTGTAGATTCTAAGGGATTTTTGGCTATGTCCATTTCAGGAAGAAGCAAGCTTCCCCTTACCTCCTGTTTGTCCACCAAAAGAGATCCGTACCCTAATTTTCAGTGTCCTAATGGCCCTTTTGGGGCTACAAACACAGTTGGATAACTATAGGACAGCAGGATCATAGAGGCCGAAAGCACAAGCAGGTCAAAAACAAACCAAGCTTTAGATCCACAGAGCCCTACCTCCCCAAACAGGCAAACCTCTCAGAACCATCCCCAAGCAAAAATAAAATAAAAACAAATCACCTCAAATTATGAAAATAAAAAAGGGATGGACATGGGGCCTAAGTGGGTGCCAAGGGGGCTGTCTGAGGAGACCATGGTGCCTGCAAACACCACATCAAGGACCCCAGCTTTAAAGTAAGAAACCATGGTTTGTTTATTTGTTGGGGAGACAACCATGGTTTATTTGGCAAACCATTGCTTCAGACAAACCATGGCTTAGCATTTCATGCAAACATAGCCAATGAATAACTGTTTTCAAGATCTACTCCCTCCAAAGCATTGGACTGACAATGACGATGACTCCTTTTTTCCAGGAGCTGATTGGTGATGTGGCTGGGAAGCTTCACACCGGAAGAAGCAGAAACGATCAAGTAGGAAAACAAGAGTGGATGGCTTATTAGCAGTTTTAGCTATCCTACCTGTTTCTCTCTCTCTCTGTTTCCTATGTAAATGTAGTAGCAGAAGGTATTGCGGGAGGGAGCGTTCTGAAAAAGCTATTCTGTTTTAAAATATAACATCAAGTTTCTAGTCCTTAAAGCTTTCCAGATAAGTCACACTTCCAAAAAATCTCACAAGATGGTGGGGAAATGAGTAGGGATTCTTGTAGACACCCTGATTTAAGCCATTGCCCTTTGCCCCTTCCTCTGTCCGGCTGAAGTCAGATTGTGCAAGGTTTAGGGATTTTCTGATACAGAGGATAAACAGCCAGTAATCCCACATTTCTGAAATCGGGAGTTGCACCATCGTGCTCTGAATCTATTTGCATGAGATCAGCTTTCCGGCTCCTCTTCGGCAAACTCCACTGGGATGGGGATGGTGTTTTGGGGAAGGGCCCTTCCTCCTTGCTGAGGTTGTAACAACATAAATAAGAGAATCGGGTCAATGGCCCATTTAATCAAGCATCAGAGGGAGCGGGTGGCACTGTGGAGTCACTGCATCCCCTTGATCATCAGGGTTGCCCTTTTCTGAATCTTTTCCAATATCCTTTTTGAGATGAGGCGACCAGAACAGCACACAGTATAACTCAAATGTGCTTTGAGTTACCACCGTATCTCCATCTCAGCTGCCTTTGTTTTTCTCCCTAGCCCAACAGCTCTGGTACCCAACACTCTGAACCGAGTACAACGAGCTATTCATTCATAGCTACTGAGCTTTCTGTCTCTTCTTTATTATTAAAAATATGTTCTTGGTCTTGGGGACCAGTTGCTTGTGTAAAATTCGGAGTCTGTTTGCTCTTTCAAGGTGGCCCCTTTCCATAGCTGATTCCTCCAAAGCCCTCTTTTCCTCCTCTAGCCCAGAGCTGTTGCAGTTGAGAGGCAAAGTGGCCTGGTGGTTAAGGAGCTTGTCAGCATCTCTGAAGGCCATGGGTTCAAGTCCTGCTTATTCTCACACTGGATGGCCGCCTCCAGTTCACTCAGCAATGAAGCGGTACCTGACCTGTGCCAAATATATCTTGTATCTTGATTCCTGCATTCCCCACAGCCAGATACTGGCCCTTCAGGCCTTGTAGGGAGCTAACTGGCCTCCAGCTGAGTGTCGTCCCCCCATGCAATTCCATACATGGTTACTTGGAAGTAATTCCCACTGAATTTAATAGGGCTTACTCCCGGGTAAGTGTGTATAGGACCAAGGCACCCAGGTTCTTATCAGGAGACCCTCAGCAGAAAAATCTGCTTTTGCAGACAAGTTTCCATGACTCACTACCTGCATTTTTTTAAATTAGTAATAGTAATACATTATTAAATGAGCAATTTTTAACCCACAGCAGAGGCAAAGGAGTTGAGGGATGGACCAGGGATGTGGTCTTACCCAATTGGCCACCGAGGTGCAGGAAAATGTTTGCCCAGAATGTCACTGAACGGGGGAAGAAATGTTTCCAAGCTGTGGGAAATAGAAATGTGTTTTAATGAATTCATCGTTGCATTATTTTAATAAGTGTGTGAACATATGTGTGCAAGACAGGTAAGGGTCATAGCTCAGTGGATGAGCAACACTTTGCTCCCAGATTGTTCGTTTGCAAACTGGAGAGCCGCTGCAAGTGAGTGGAGCCGGCATTGAGCTAGATGGACCAATGGGTTCTGTAGAAGGCATCTTCCAATGGAACCAAATTCTACTCTCCTTTAAGTCAAAACCATGAGATCTAGCCCTGCACTCTGCTGCTGCAGCAGCAGCAGCAGCGAGAGCCATAGCTCAGTGACAGAGCACCTGCTTTGCACCCAAGGTCCCGGGTTTGATCCCCAATGGTGTCTCCGGGTACGGCTGGGAACGTCCCCCCCATCTGAAACTAGGAGGCCTTCACTCCCATCCTCCCCACCCTCCAACCCAGGAGGAGAGAACAACATGTTTCTCAGAAGTAACAGCTGTGCTCCAATAATGCACATCTTTGAGGCCAGGGTAAAGGATATCCACTCCAAGCAATCGAATGCTACATGGATTCCAAAACGGTTGTCTTGGATGCCATCAGGACCTTCTGCAGGTTTCTTGGGTAGAAGGGCTTGGACAAAACACCCTCCATTGCTCTTCTTCCTTGCCACTGTTGTGGTTGGCATGCCCATCAGGAAAAGAGGCAAGTGAGCAAGCCAGGGGCCATAGGGCAGGGCTCTTTTTCAGTGTGAACCCCCCAATCTTAGCAACTGCCCAGCCACTATGACATGTGGTGCGTGCCTTTGGAACGGTATCCTTGACCGGCTAAACTGATCCCAAATGACCTCCTTCAGCATCCTCTGTGAAAGGGGCCAGATCAGCGTCTCCAGGTGGAATTGTTGGTCTTTCTTCCGTGAGGCCTGAGCAGTGAGATGCTTTGCGGCTTTTCTTCCAGGTGGTGACCGACCTGAGGTTGTTGATGAAGAGCTCTATCACAGTGCTTTCCGGCCACCTGCAGCAGCTCATCCGCACCCTGGTGGAGCGTGCTTCTGCGTAAGCTTCTCTTTATTTTCTCCCTGCCCCTCCGCCACATTTTACTTATATATATTTTATTGCATTTATATCCCATCCTTTTCCACCAAGGAGCTCAAGGTGGTGTGCATGGTGCTTCCCCATTTAATTCCCGATAACAGCCCTACAAGGTAGGCTAGGCTGAGAGAGGCAGTGCCTGGCCCAAGGTTGCCCAGTGAGTTTCATGGCTGAGTGGTGGATTTGAACCCTGGTCTGCCCTAGTCCAACACTCTAACCACCAAACCACACTGTCCCCTCTTCTTGGACTAGTCACTGGCTGCCAGTTCATTTATGGGGACAACTTTAATGGCTGGTATTGGCTTTCTGAAGCCCTAAGCTGGAGGAGGGAATCTTTTCCTTTTCCCCAGTCCAAGGACTACATTCCCTGTTGGGCAACCATCTGTGAGCCATGTGTCAGAAAAGGGCAAGGCCAGACGCCAAGAGTGGGTGGAGACAACACTGCAAATCTTTGTGCAGTAGGCAACAAACTTGGTCCAAAGTCAGTGAAATGTGATTTTGTAACTTGGTGGTCTCCTGTGTTTCTTTGCAGTGAAATTGAAGTGATCCTTCCTGGTTACACCCACCTGCAAAGGGCTCAGCCAATCAGATGGAGCCATCTCTTATTAAGGTAACGGATGCCTTCCCCACCTTCCGGAGTTCCTTCTAGTAAGTTGCCCCAATCCATCCTGTAGCAGCTTTCAACCTGGAAGGGAGAGGTAGTCTGAGCATGTGCAGAGTACTAGGTCATCAAAATCTGCTTTCTATGATCCAGGAGGCTCCAGATCCAAGAAGTAAAATTCCTTGGCCCTGGTGGGTAGGCGGGCAGGCGCCTCTTTTTAGAGATGTGGGTTTGCTTGCTCCTTTTCAAGTCTCTTCCTCTTGACTTCCAACAGCCACGCCGTGGCTTTGACCAGGGATTCTGAGCGTCTCTCGGAGGTGAAGAAGAGGATCGACGTCCTGCCTTTGGGAAGGTAAAAACTGAATCTCCTTCTGATGTTAGTTACACCTGGGCCAGCTAAGACCAGTAGCTCATCATCACCTGTGAATCTTGAGGATGTCTCGTGTACACTTGTCTCCTTCGGATGTTAATAATAATTGTAATGTAATGGACCAATATATCCTGTAACTGCTGACAGCAAATTGTTAGTATGTATAGGGAAAGGAGGGAAGTGTTTTCTCAATTCCATGGCTCCCACCCCATGTACAACCTCCCTGCAGTGTTGCAAAGGATCTTGGCTGGGCAATGTGGGCTTCCCCTGCTAGGCGGCTTCAGCCCTTGCTGCCCTTCCTCTGAACGGGAGGTTAGAAGAGGATCCTGTTTGGGGAGGAGGGATTATTTCTACCTCTTCTCTCCATTTATTTTATTTTATTATTATTTTTGCAGTGGTGCTCTGGCTGGCAACCCACTTGGCCTGGACCGTGAACTTATCCGTAAAGGTGAGTGGTGCATTATTCCTTCCAAATGAAACAGAGCAAAACCATTCTTCCAGAAGGTGAAGGGAGTTCATTTACAGACTGCCAAAAATAAAGGAGCCTAGATTTTAGGCTGAATTGGTCTGAGGTGTTTTCTCTTTTTCCCCTCTCACACAACAATACATTCACTTTCTCTTACCCCATTAATTTGCTCTTCGCTTGTGGCAACATCTGCGTGCAAAGTGAATCAATCTGACTTTGTTACTCTTTTGCTCAAATTTCCTTGATGTGTCTCTTTTTGTCTGTCTTTTTTCATTCTAGAACTCGAGATGGCATCCATCAGTATCAACAGCATTGATGCTGTGAGCGACCGTGACTTTGCGGGTAAGTGTGCTGTTTTTGTGTCAGGGCAGAGTTCCGAATATTTGGAATCGGTTGCAGGGGATAGGTTTGCAGAGGACTAGAACCTTGAAGGCTTTGCAATAAGAGTGAGCTAGTTAAAACAGGACAGCCTGATGGACTATAATCTTGTTCCTTGTTTGAGGGCAACCAATGAGATTTCTTTTCCCCTCATTTATTCCCTCCAGTGGAGTTCCTTTCCACTTCTTCTCTGCTCATGATCCACCTGAGCAAATTAGCCGAAGACCTGATTCTCTTTGCCACAAAGGAGTTCGGATTCATCACTCTCTCCGATGCATTCTGGTAACGCTGTAGAATTTCTTAACCCTGTTCCGGGGATTCCTCCGGCAGTCTTGCCCAAGCAGAGGTGGAAGGGCCACCTTTTCAGAGAATATTTAGCATTGCAGGGGTCCCTTGCAAATCTATGATTCTACGTCCAATGGCTTTTAAGCTAGGCATTTGGGGATCTCTGTTTTCCTTGCTCACTTATCAGGAGTTTCTGAATGAGATGGCTGATAGGGGATTAAAAGACACCCCCTCGCAAAGATGACAGCTTCTTCCTCCACTACACTGGATATTCCTGGGGTCATGCTTCTAATCCACATGGCACAATTAATAAACTGCAGCTTGTGGTCTAACTGTGCACTGTAAGGCACAGAGGTATTGACATACTTAAAAGATTTTGGATAGGGCACAAATTTGCATATGCTAATATAAGCAAACATAGAACTTAAAGTCACAGGAGTGAAAAGAAAACTTAATCCCCCACCCAAATTTTCTGAGATAAATTCTTCCATTAATTTGCACTCCGCAGTAGTTTCCCTTCCATTCAATTCAATTTCCACATGGATCTTGCTCCAAATCATTTCAGTTTCTCCTTATATTATCACCAATCATCTCAAGGTAATGCAAACTTTTAATTTGTTCCACTTCCCAAATGAATACGCCAGGTAGTAACTCAGCTCAACCCAGCTCCAGTTCAATTTCCCCCAAATTCATTTTTATTTTACTCAAACACTGAGATCTGTGGTTCATACCCTTGTGTCTACCACCGCCCCTAATGGGGCCTGTTCCAGAATCCTCTGCAGTTGCAAGCAGAGCAATATAGAGAGGTTGCTTTTCTCCCACCCACAGAGAGGCTGAAAAGTACTGCTGCGGCCTGAGAGGTTGAACCAGATCTTGCTTTGCTCTAAGTGTGACATATTCTGTTTTGTTTTTTCAAAGCACCGGGAGCAGCCTGATGCCTCAGAAGAAGAATCCGGACAGCCTCGAACTGATCCGTAGCAAGACTGGCCGTGTGATCGGAAGGGTGAGTGCGCAGGCTTGGTTCAGGTTCAGTCAGTGACAAAGCCTCGAAAATTTTAGTTGTGATTCCTGCATTGCAGTGGGTTGGACAATTGGACGACATGACCATTACAGGGGGTTGGACTAGATGACCATTGGGGGTATGTTGATAAAGGAATAAAATACAGGTGACCCTTGAGAACTTTCCTTTAAAAGAAAAATCCAGTGGATTTGTCCGTACCTGAATGTATTTGTGACACATACTTTTTCAGTGTTATTAAATGCTCTCTCCCATCTCATTCCTTCCTTGTTCTTTGCAGACTATTGGACTTCTCGTGGTACTGAAAGGACTCCCCAGTGCCTACAACAAAGACCTGCAGGTAAAAGGATGGGGGCATTAATGGCTTTACCTAGGTCCCAGTTACAGACTGCCACCTTCTGGCGCAGCTGGGTTGCAGCTGGGGCTTGGCTCGAGGGTAAGAAACACAGAGGATCTGTGGAACTTCTTGCCACAAGATGTGTGCAGCACTCAGGTTGAGAGAAGGCTTGGGTCTATTCTCTGGGTCAATGTGGATAAATTGCAGGGGACAGCCATTGCCTACAAGGCCTTGCTCATGAGCTTCCCGGGGGAAACTGACTTATGTCAGACGCTCCAAGTGTTCCTATTTTCCAGGGACATCCCTGATTTAGAGAAGCCGTCTTGGTTTCTGATTTGATCCCAGAATGTCCCGCTTTTCGTTAGGATGTCCTTATTTTCATTGAAGAAATATTGGAGGGTATGTGATGTTTTGCAGGACCAGGTGGGCCTTCTCGTCTGGTTCAGCAGCACATTTCTCATGTAAAAAGAGAAAAGCATTTGTCTGTTTTTCCCCCTGCAAACAGGAAGATAAGGAGGCCGTGATCGATGTGATTGACACCCTGAGTGCCGTGCTTCAGGTCACCACTGGTGTGATCTCTACTCTCCAGGTAAGAATTATTATTTTTTAGGAAGGTTTGCCCTTACTTGCTGAGGAAGCCCATAAGTGTTCCCATTCTCTCCCCCTCTCTTTCTAAGGCTGGTTCCAGACTGTTACAATTTTTAAAATTTGGTATACCACCAAATCCCAGGTTGCACAATTAAAGTGGATTTGATTATTTTAAATTGGCTATCCATTATACCTGATGTCTTGCAATGGAGTATTCACTACTCTTGCCAAAGGTTTCTGCTGCTATTGGGTTTCTTTTTAATGAATTTCATGCATTTTTGTTATAAATGCATTTTGTATAGTGTGTTTTTTAAGCAACCAACAAGTTCAATGTGATAATAGGGGATTTGTAAGCAGAGACCTACGTAGAACATGGATGTATGTTTTAATCTGTTTTTTGGGGTTGTTTTCTTATTCCCAGTTGTATCTTTGGAATGTTTTAAAGAGCTGCTTTGACTGATAACTTGATTGTTTTGTTCTCTTCGTAAACCACTCTGAGGTTGCTGCTTTCCACAATCAAGTGGTGTATAAAATTTTAAAACAACAAAAGAAATAAATATTCTCTTCCAGATCAACAAGGAAACCATGGAGAAAGCCCTCAGCCCTGATATGCTGGCTACGGATCTTGCCAACCTCCTGGTTCGCAAGGGGGTGAGTGTCTGAAGCAGGAGTAGCCACCCCAATGGTGTCCGCTAGAAGCTGGGACCAATAGCCAGGAATGATGGGAGCCCAAAAACATCAGGAGGGGGCAGTACACCATGTTGGTTACTCCTGATCCAAAATGGTAGATTCCACTTGCATTTGTACTTGAGAGCTGTGATCCAGTGACTTCCCCAGCGGATCTAGGCCTGGGTGGGCACCACCATGCAGGGCCACCAAAAACTGTGGTCTCCTGGAGAAACCGCTGCAAATTTCTGCTTGCACAGTAAATGTGGACATCTGTTTCCATTACATTCCACTACATAATTCAGCAGGGAACACCCACCCCAAGTTTCAGATAGCACAACTTTTTGATGCAAGATGGGCTGGTTTCCCAAGAGATGACCCCCCCCCCAACAGATGTTTGGGTCTCCTTGTCTGCGCAATACCCCTCAGACCAAATGGACCATTGACCTGATCCAGTAGGCTCTGCTTGTGCTCTTAAGGTCCTAGGGGGGAAGCTGCCATAGCAACCTCCTACTCTTCGTAGATTCAGGCTGAAGGTTGCAGGGATCAGCTAGGTCTACGCAAGGGAAAGCTCCTGAAGGTGTGCTTTTGCGATTGCAGATGCCGTTCAGACAAGCCCACACTGCCGTTGGGAAAGCGGTCCACTTAGCTGAGACCAAAGGAGTGACTCTTAACCATCTATCCCCAGAGGACCTGAAGAGCATCACGTAAGTGTCGCCCTTTTTGCAAAATGTGAAAACCAAGTTCCGTGGAGTTGGAAGGGACCCCAGCGGCCATCTAGTCCAACCCTGTGCAATGCAGGAACCTCGACTGCATCATACATGACATAAGGGCATCCAACCTCTGCTGTTTCTAGCCCTCACGGCTGCAGACCCGAGGCGTCGGCATCTTATACTGCGTTAAAATCATTCCTTCTAAGAGTCTCTCTAAGGCAGAATGTTAGGTGGCCAAAGAGAGCCATCCCAGCTCAAGGATACTTCCAGCCAGTCAAAAAACATACTCCGGGGCTTCGGAGGGGTATGGCTTTTCTTCAGAGATGTGTGGCCTGGGGAGGGTCCAGAGAACGGGACAGAGAAACCTGTTAGGGGTACATTTGGCTTCCTGGTTTGAGGTTCCCTCACCCCTGACACAGCTCTGCCCTGCATGACTGTCTCTTGGTCACTTGAAAGTGTGACCAACATGAGAGAGAGAGAGAGTTCTCTGAATATTGTTGAATACCCACTGACTGACCTCCAGCTGGATTTTCTTTCCCTCCAGCCCCATGCTGGGAGGCGACATCTCCCAGGTGTTCAACCAGCAGAGCAGCGTGGAGCAGTACACCTCCCCTGGCGGGACGGCCAAGAGCAGCGTGAGCACCCAGATCGAGCAATTGAAGGAGCTCCTGAAGAAGCAGAAGGATTAAGCTTTTGAGTGTGGGGGAAGGAAACTATCCCTTTGCTGCGGGTTGTGCTTATCACGTTTAATCCCGAGTTAATAAACACAGTGGTGTATTGGATTTCACTGAGAAAACTTTGTTGCGTGGTTTTTCTCCCCTTCCCTTTCTCCTTCGTTACAACTCTTCCTGCATTGCAGGGGGTTGGACTAGATGACCCAAAGGTCCTCTTCCAACTCTGCAATTCTGTTATTCTATTGAACAAGTTCTCCCACAAGGGCGGGCAGCCGGATCCTCCTTCCATCACACCCTCTTGATGTGCCGGACTCCTAACTCTCAGCAGTCAGCATGCCAGGAGTTTGAGGGCCCTATCAGAAGGGTAGATTTGTGTATGGTGTACAATCTCACACACACTCAAAACCACATTCATGGTTTAATGAATAAAATAAACTCGGGTTAGCTCCTGTACAATTTTCACCGAGGGTAGCTGCTGGCAGCCATTTTGTCCAAGGGTAAATCCTGAGGAGAATTTTGGAAAGCACCTACACCTGAGAATCTAAGCTTTGATAACAAACTGGAAAATCAAGTTGCTAGTCCTTATGGTTTGAAGCTGAGGGGTGGGAAATGCTGTGGGTGGCAGCACACTGCAACTTAAACGAGTGTTTAAAACACTTTTGTATTCACAAGTGAATGTGAGGGGAGAGATTTGGCAGCCTGCTGTGGTGTAAGGTGTTCTGAGGAAAATGTAGGCCTTCACATTCATTCCTAACAAAATTTCAGTTCAAGAGAAGGGGGGAAGATTATGGGTATCCCCTGCCTTCGGAAAGACCCCACTAGTCCTGTTTTTAATTGTTTTCTCAGTGGTCTAGCTGTCAAAGTGCGCTTGTGAATGAGGCCTGAACAGCTTCCTAGTACAGAAGCTTTATTATAACAGGGTCCTTGAACAAAAAATGAGGCTTCACAAAGGAAAATATAAGCAAGAGGCTGAAAAGATGTCTCTGCCCCAAGCCACTTGCAATGGATGGGTGCCAGGATGGGTGTCTGAGGAAAGCATTGCAGCAGAATTGGGTGGTACCACCACCCGGGGAATGATGGGATTACAATAATAAAACAAAAAAATTAACTGGAAAAAAACACTTTAAAAGCAGCTATTTAAAATCTTAATGATTAAAATCTGTGGTAAACTAAAAACCAGATTAAAACACATGTCAACACACTACATATCTGGGTAGGCTTGCCTTAACAATGTTTTTTAGCAGTCGACAAAAAGAGTACAGGAAATGCTATTGTCTGGTGTTTAATAGGCAGGGAGTTCCAAAGTGTAGGTACTGCCACAATAAAAGGTTAATAAATAAATATCATAAAAGCATAAAAATGCAGAGTGTCTTTAAGCACATACAAAGTATCTCTCCTCTTGAAAAGCACCACCTTTTCTCTTCTTTTATAAAGACAACACATACAAAGCAGGAAAATATAAAGAACGCATGAAAGGCACAGACTTTGCCCTCACCTTGCAATCCATGCTGTTGATTCTGGTTTGGACCGTTTGCATAAATAAGTAACAACTGCTTAACTCCGCAGTCTGCTGATCACTGAACTTGAGTGACAGTAGAAAAAAGAATCAATAGGTTTATTGTGGAGTCAGCTTTCCATAGGGAGGCAAAGTTGCGTAGTGGTTAGAGAGTAGCATGAGAACCTGGAAGACCAGGGTTCAAATCCCAACTCAGCCACATGAAACTCACTGGGTGACCTTGGACCACTCACTGCTTCTCAGCCTTACCTACCTCACAGGGTTGTTGTGGGGATTAAATGGGGGTGGGGAGCCATGTGCTTCTTGGGAGAAAAGGGTGGGATAGACAATCAATAAATAAAACAAACCTGGTAATCTCTAATTGCTGCTGGACTACAACTCCCATCATCTAATTTTCGCGGGGGATGATGGGAATTGGAGTCCAGCAACATAGGGAGGAAGGCCACAGATATTCCCTGACCCTACTTAGTTCCTGGAAATAAATATTTTAAGTCATCCAAATGCCTCTTTTTTCAGTCTGTTTTACTCCCTCTGACAAATGAAAACCTTAATACAGTTCTAGCAAAGCCCTGGCAGTGCCCTCGAGCAAGATGGCTGCCTCTGCCTCCCCATGGCGGGAAGTGGGCGTCTCCTGAGCATACAGACTCGGATTGGCTCCCGACAAGTCAGCTGGGCTGGAGATCAGCCGACTGCCTCTCCAGCCTCAGCAGAGAGTGGGTCAGGCTGTCTGGCAGCATGAAGCGGCTGCTTCTCTGCGCCTTGTGCCTGGTCCTGGGGTGCTGCCAGCCGGGGGCCGCCCTGGATGGAGGGATGCTGTACCCCCGGGAATCTCCCTCCAGGGAGCTGAAGGAGCTGGGAGGCCTCTGGAGCTTCAAGGCAGACTGGTCAGAGCGCAGGGATGCGGGGTTTGTGGAAGGCTGGTACAAGAAGCCTCTCTCCCAGGTGAGTGAGCGGAGAAGGCGGGCACCATCAAGGTGAGGCGGGATTTTTTTTTGGAAAGCTGCTGAGATAAATTTTATGGAATAAATAAATTGTTAAGTAAGTTACGTCCCCCTTGATTGCAAAAGCAGCGACCTCAAAGCAGTTTACGAAAAGAAGGAAAGCAATAAGCTTGTCGTGGAACCGTAGAATTGAAGAGCTGGAAGGGACCCCAAGGGTCAGCCACTCCCTGCAATCAGGAGCCACAGCTAAAGCTTCGCAACAGTTAAAACCAACCATTGGAAACCTTAAAAAAATTAAAATAATCAACAATAAGCTGAAAAACCAAACTGAAATGTGTGTCGATATTCTACATGCTTTGGTAGGTTTTGCCGAAACAAAAAAGGCGCCAAAAAGAGTATAGTGAATAATGGGTTTAGCTTTCTAGTTAATCTAAATAACCAACACAGAGGCTGCCATGGGTGTAGCCAAGAGGGGGCAGGGAGGAGCAGCTGCCCCCCTAAATAAATAAAAATACATAGCAAACTGAGGTTCTGCCCCCCCCAACAAAAATCCTGGCTACATCCATGGTTCTGGCTGCCCAGATGCTTTGAGGGAGCCAACAAGTGGGGGGGTGTTTGGGGGGAATGCAATGTCCAGTCCCTGTGGTCCCCCCAAACATCTGGTAAACTGCCACTGAATGTGGAGGTTTGACTTAGCTTTCTGGGCACACAGCCACTGGGTAGATGTGTGCTTTCTGTATTTGTGAACAGTGCACTGGGATCTTTGGAACAGTTTCATTGGAAAGATAGAAGCTGAGAGAGCAAGGAGGTGCCATTGATTGCCCTTCAGCTCCAACAGAAAAGAGAAGTTTCGAATATCAGGAAGTGGCTCAGCATTTCTATGCGCAAGAGTGAGGAAATGAACTGTTAAGTGCAAAGCTGGTGAAATAATTGTTTCCCTAGAGAGCAGGAGGTAGGCACGTGCATCTGTGAATCAGGAAACAGAAAGGGTGTTACCGTATTTTTCGCCCTATAGGACGCACTTTTTCCCCTCCAAAAATGAAGGGGAAATGTGTGTGCATCCTATGGGGCGAATGCAGGCTTTCGCTGAAGCCTGGAGAGCGAGAGGCGACGGTGCGCACCGACCCCTCTCGCTCTCCAGGCTTCAGGAAGCTATCCGCAAGCCTCGCACGCCCAGCGGGAGGTCCCGTCGGGCGCGCAAGGCTTGGGGCGGCAGCCTGCATCCCGAAGCACGGGGCGAGCTGCGGAGCCAGCCCCGTGCTTCAGGCAGATGTCCACAAGCCTCGCGCGCCCGGTGGGAGGTCCCGCCAGGCGCGCAAGCCTTGGGGCGGCAGCCTGCATCCCGAAGCACGGCGCCGGGCTCGCAAGGCTTCAAGCAGCAGCCTGTTCTGGGGGCTGGGGTCGGGGGAAGCTCGGGCTTCCCCCGCGCCTGGAGGGGGAATAAATTTTTTTGTCTTTATTTCCCCCCCAAAAAAACTAGGTGCGTCCTATGGGGCGGTGCGTCCTATGGGGCGAAAAATACAGTATTTAATGCATTGTTTTATTTCACTGTTCAGCTGAAAAAGTCTTCCAAGAGCACTTTGCAAATATCAATATTAAGATAGTCTGTGCCTTTGAGTTTTCCAAACTCAAGTATGCAACACTAAAGGAAAGGGCATTGGGAGGGAGGAGGGGAAAAACAAACTCAGGCACAGTTGATTGAATAATCACCTGGAATTGAAAGGTTTTGGAAAAGCAGAATGTGCATGATCATTAGTAACTTGCTAACAGCAGTTTAAAAGTCATACTGTGTTCTTCAGAAAAGGTGAGTAAAATCAAAGATTGGGTTTGTAGTTCTCCACTGTTTACACGTTAGAATTTAGGCCAAAGAAAATAGAAATGTAAATAGTGGATTGCTTGTGCAAGTGAGCTCTTTGCAGCTTCAATGAATGGAAAACAGCGCCTGTACATTAGTGCCCTCTACTGGCTTCTGCATGTAATTGCCACATTCAATATTCCAAACTAATCCTGTACTTTAAATGGAATATCCTGAGGCCAAGACATGATTTAGTAGGTCATAGAATCACAGAATTGTAGAGCTGGAAGGGACCCAGACGATCATTCTAGTCCAAGGGTCAGCAAACATTTTCAGCAGGGGGCTGGTCTACCGTCCCTCAGACCATGTGGGGGTCCGGACTACATTTTGAAGGGGAAAAATGAACAAATTCCTATGCCCCACAAATAACCCAGAGACGCATTTTAAATAAAAGGACACATTCTACTCATGTAAGAACACGCTGATTCCCGGACCGCCCGCGGGCCGGATTTAGAAGGCGATTGGGCTGGATCCGGCCCCCGGGCCTATGTTCCAGTCCAGTCAGCTGCAGTGCAGGAATGTGCAGCTGTCCCATATGCGGATTGAACTTGCAACTTTGGCATTACCATGCTCTAACCAACTGAGCTAGCCAGAAAAAAATCATAACTTGCTAAGTTGCTCTGCATCAGGCAGATTTTTGAAAGCAGAAGAGCAGAAAAAAATATGTTGACAACCTAGATAAAAGTTTGCTGGAGTCTGCTTGTTTGCCAGAATGTACAAACTGCTCTAGTTTTGGAGAATATATGAGTGCTATGTAGAAATGAATCACAAAATGGAATACAGGTCATAAAACCGTAATAAAACCCAGAAGAATCATGCCCCTGGTATAGCACTGCATGCCCCAGCCGTAAAACCCCGAATCTTGTCCCGTAGCAAATTGGCAGCCAGTGCAACCTTTCCAACATGTTTTCAGTGGGTGAACCCAGAGCTGCTGTGTCTGGACCAAATTCCAGGTCTGCATGAGAGAACATCTCTGCCCTGTATGCCCAGCATACCTTCCTCGTCTCTTTCAGTCTGGGCCAGTGATTGACATGCCAGTCCCCGCCAGCTTCAACGAGATCACGCAAGATCCAAAGCTGCGCCAGTACATCGGCTGGGTTTGGTACGAGAAGGAGGTGTTCCCGCCAGCCCGCTGGCTCCTGAGAGATCCTGGCACACGAGTGGTGCTCCGGGTTGGCAGTGCAAACTACTACTCGATCGTGGTGAGTATGGGGCTCCCTGGGCAGTGCAGCTCCCCATGGAAGCCTGCCTGGTTTCTGGAATCATTGCATTTAAAAAAAATTCTGCATTTATGTCCTGCACTCTTCTCCAATAACCCAAGGTGGAATGTATGGTTCTCTGTCTTCCTCATTTAATTCCCAAAACCAACTCTGCGAGGTAGGATAGGCTGAGAGAAGAAGAAGAGGAGGAGTTTGGATTTGATATCCCGCTTTATCACTACCCGAAGGAGTCTCAAAGCGGCTAACAATCTCCTTTCCCTTCCTCCCCCACAACAAACACTCTGTGAGGTGAGTGGGGCTGAGAGACTTCAGAGAAGTGTGACTAGCCCAAGGTCACCCAGCAGCTGCATGTGGAGGAGCGAAGACGCGAACCCGGTTCACCTGATTACGAGTCTATCGGCCCCCCCGACACACCCAGCGAGCTTCTTCGCCAAGTGAGGATTTGAACCCAGGCCCTAGTCTGACACTCTAACCACTGCACCACCACTGCCTCTCAAGTTCAGGAGTTATTACATGTGAATGAGGAGCCTATGGCCCTCTGGGTATTGATGGCCAATAGCAAGGGATGCTGGGAGTTGTAGTCCAGCCACAGCTTTCCCACCACTCCAAGTCATGTGACCTGCATGCCTCCCTTGAGGCCCCATTGTTTGTTTGGAGTCTTTGCACCTAGACACCCCGTTTTCTTCCATTGTAGTGGGTGAACGGGGTCCGGGTGACTGAGCACGAGGGCGGACACCTCCCCTTTGAAGCCGAGATCGACCAGCTCCTCCGCGATGCTCCAGGAGAGCCTTGCCGAATCACCATTGCTGTCAACAACACCCTGACTCCCCACACGCTGCCTCCGGGGACCATCCATTATATGGAGAACGAGTCTATGTGAGTTGAAGGCCTCACTGAGGAACCCAGCAACCCTCTAGCCAAAGATTCTGGGACATTCTGTCTAGAACAGGTGAAGGAAGTCGCTCTGAAATGCGTTTTGCCTGCTTTTATTCCATTGTGGTCCACTGGTGTAGGGAAGAGGCTTTCTTCTCGCACATAATCTTGGGTGTTTTCTTGGGTTTTCCCTTCTCCCCCCTTAAAAAATGGATTAAGCATATTATTTGCAGGAAGAACAATCAATCCAGTTTCCCTCAGTCAGATTTTGTAATTTTGTGGAATTTAATCCCAGGTGCTGCAACTTTACCAAGCGGTTTAGGCATGTTGGCATTTCTTATTGGTTTGATCTCCATCAATTGTGAAGTCTCCTCAGCTGTCAAACTTTCATGTGTTGTTACATGTCAGCTGTCTTTTAACTCTTAATGTTACAAACGTTACAGACCAATTATCAAAACCTTCTATACATCAGCTGTTGAAACTGGGTATTATTGGGTACACAATAGCAAAATCAAATATTGCGACTCGCTGAATATTCAAAGAGTTTTCGATGATGGATCAACAGCAAAATTTGCAGAGAACCGGTAGAAGCACATCTATAATTCTACTCCCTAATCCACTTAAAATAAATCTGTAACATCCTTATTTTATGCAAGACTACAGGAAACAACCTCCAGATAAGAACTTATCATTTCAGCGTAAATACGTGGAACCTCAGGTGTTCAGTGAATCAGACCTGGTTGTTTTCATCATGCCTTTCAACCCTCCGTTTCCAAGTGCAGGGATTTCCCACCCCCCTCAATGTCTTCTTGAACCCTTCCCCCTTGATCCAGGTACCCCAAAGGCTATTTTGTTCAAAACACGCAATTTGACTTCTTCAACTACGCTGGGATCCACCGACCTGTCCTGCTGCACACCACCCCCTTGGCCTACATTGATGACATCACAGTGACCACAGACGTGATGGGGAACGTCGGTAGGTATCTGAAGTGCCAGAGCTAAACAGCATTTGGAAAAGGGGGTGGGGGTGGGACGACGACGATCCTGCAGTGTCTATGGAGGAAAAGCTTTTCGTCGGAACAAGCTGTTTGTGGCTGGAAACCTGTTAATGATTTCACTTATCAAAGTGAAATTCACCTTAGAATATTCTTGCTGTGACATATTCACACCATCTACAACCTCAGGAAGTCTCTGAACGATTGTTTTAGCCACCAAATGGCATCCCACAAGCTAAGGTTGATTTAACCAAGTGATGGCCCCAATTCTCTCTCTTCAAAGCCGTTTATCCCACAATCTTCACAACAACTTTGTGAGGTAGGCCTGGGTTGCTTTCCCCAAACTGTTGTGGGAGCAGCGGCTGAGAAAATGGCCTACTTTAGGATGCTTTATTATTATTATTATTATTATTATTATTTATACCCCACCCATCTGGCTGGGCTTCCCCAGCCACCCTGGACGGCTTCCAACTGAATATTAAAAACAATACAGCATCAGACATTAAAAACTTTCCTAAACAGGACCACTTCTCTAAACAGGGCCGTTCCCTAAACAGGGCTTAAGGGATTCAGTTGGTGGTAGCAGTGGGATCTGAAACGGAGTGGTTCTGATTTGTAGCCCACTGTTTTCACCAACTCACCTATTTTGCTTCTGCTGGGACAGGCTTGGTGCAGTATTTGGTTTCAGTCCGGGGCAGCCCCCGTTACTCCTTGACCCTGACACTGCGTGACCAAGATGGCGTCACTGTGGCAACTGGAAACGGGTCTGCTGGCGAGATGAAAGTGGTGAACCCTCTGCTCTGGTGGCCATACCTGATGCATGAACGTCCTGGATACCTTTACTACCTAAAGGTAACTTAAGGCAGGTGTGCATAGCTGAATAGGATTTCCAGTGGTTAAGAGCAATCCAAGGAAGGGCACCTGCCTTGCTCTACCAACAGGAAAAGAAGGGATGGAGGGACACACAGGAAACTGGCTTTAAACCTCAGTAGAGGTTTGAATAAAGCAGGAGTGGGAGGAAACTGAGAGGGGGAAAGCGATGGTCTTAAACCATGGCAGAGATTTGAGTGAGCAAGGGGAGACACTGAGGAGAGGGAGCAATGGCAGTTTAAAGCACGGTTTGAGTCCAGTGAGAAGGGAATTGGGGAATCTGTCTGTACCTCTGGCGTTGCTTAAAACCACTTTTATAAATCTCAGCAGTAGCTCAGCAGTAGAGCAGGTTTGATCCCCAGTGGCAGCTCCAGGTAGGGCTGCCCGAAACTCTGGAGAACCGCTGCCAGCCAGAGTAGACAATGCTCAGCTCTGTGGACTAACAATCTGACTTCCTATGATCCTTCCCATCCACAGCCCTTGTGGGAGCCCTCCAGTGAAAAACTCTGCCAGTTTTGTGGGGCAATTGTGTTGGGAGGGACAACAGACAGAGGGCAGAAGGGGTGTGGTCCCAGCTGCCCACCCGCTACCGCATCTGATCCTTGCAGCACATTTTTGTCTACTCCTGGGTTGGAGAACGAGGCCTTGGGTTCAATCCTGGCAAATTCCCTGCAAATTATGCGGGGTGCAGATTATGGGTTACCTTGGCACAGCATAGAAATTTCTCCTTCCCCGGATGCTACATCTCAGGGGGCTGGTGATTGTTGGGGTGTAGGCTTGCGGGCTCCGACAGCTGACGCAAAAAGGGTGGCTTTTTCGAACCACAGATCACGCTTTCTGCCGAGGTGGACGGCACGGTCTCGGAAGACACTTACACGCAGCCGGTAGGCATCCGGACTGTGCAGGTCACCCGCAACAAGTTCCTAATCAACAGGAAACCGTTCTACTTCCATGGGGTCAACAAGCACGAAGACTCTGATGTGAGTTGAGTGGCGCCTTGTTTTCGGATCTGTTATTGCTGAGCACCGGTGATGGGCTGGGTGGCTGGGTGAAGAAGCAGGATGGGCCTCACCCAGAAACCTCTCAACTTGGATTTAGATCCGTGGTTCCCAGACTTTTGGGGGCAACCCCCCCCCCAGTTACATAAACTCACCCCCAGTCTCCCCTACCCTATAAAAAGCATCATTCAGAACTGTGGTTTCCACGACCCACTAAAGAAGCTAATAACACTATAAAATTCGAAACGGTAATGGTTAATTGAGCATTCATTCAAAATCCAGGTAAAAGCTATTTAGTTTAATTAATTCAACAAAACCGATGATCCCATGATACCCGATACTGTAGGAAAAATATTTTTACACATTCTTAACTAGGAAGTTTATAGCACAAAATATTTATTTGTAATCACTTACCAAACATGGAGCTGTCACAGATGTGCTGTAACTAATTTATAAGAAAATCAACAGCTTGGCTATCTTGTGAGAACTCAGCATTGTAAATACAAACAAACATGGCCCAAGGAAATAGCTTGGGAAGCGATAAGAATGGCAAAACTTTAAATACGAAGTGAGGAAAGTGCTTTGCTGTAGTCTCTAGAATGGTCGATCGTAATAAGAGATCAATACACTCTCTAGTGCCCCCCTTGCCTCTTAGTTCCCCCCTAGCTATTCCCACCCTGCCATGGAGTGGTACCGCCCAGTTTGGGAACCTCTGGTCTAGATTGGGGTAGTCAACCTTTTTACACCTACCACACACTAATGCATCTTTCTTGATGGTAAAATTTCCTTACTGCCCACCAGGGCTCGATGGAAGGAGGATTCAGCTTGTGCTGTAGAACGCCCTACTGCCCACCTAGAATCCTGAAACACCCATTAGTGGGCGGTAGGGACCAGGTTGACAACCCCTGGTCTAGATGGTTCCGAGCTAGGTGGCCCAACAGTCTGGCTCTGCATGAGACAGTTTCCCATGTCAAAGCAACCTTTCAGACCCATGAGGACTAGAAACTTGCTTTAATCTTGGAGGAGGACCGTAACTCAGTGGCAGCTCAGCTGGGAGCCTGATGTTGGCGAAGGACCATTGCTCTTCTAACTTGTAGCCTCTCCCGTTTCCCTGGGTTTGTTCTCCGCGGCAGATCCGTGGCAAAGGGCTGGACTGGCCCCTCATCATGAAGGACTTCAACCTCCTGCAGTGGCTGGGCGCCAATTCCTTCCGTACCAGCCACTACCCCTACGCCGAGGAGATCATGGAGCTTTGTGACGCCTACGGCATCGTGGTAATCGATGAGTCTCCAGCCGTGGGCATGAAGGACAGGTGAGCGAGCGGCGATTTCCCTGAGCTCCCCAGCGATTTATAGAGTGACGCGCTGAGGTAATGAAGTGGTGGTGAAGTGCTTGGGAATGATTGGCTGAGCTGGCCTCACGTCACAAAGGGGCGGGGCTCGCCAATGGATCCGAGGCTCCCATTGGCTTGGGTGCTCTGAGCCGAGAGGTTGAGTGGGAGCAGATGTACTTAGGGAACTACAGTAAGGGCCTTAGTAGGCAGGAGGCTGAGGAGGAAAACCGGAATAAATCTGCTGCGCATGAGGTGAAGAAGGAGCATGTGAGAATGCCATGGACTGGTTGGATGCATAGCTGTCAACTTACAGATTTGAAAATAAGGGACCAGCAGCCTCAAAAATAAGGGATCAGCAGCCAAAATAAGGGATTTTCAGAGCACAGGTGTGTTCAACTTCTGAGCCCCTCCGAGCCAAGGGCAGAAAGCCCAGCTAGCAGCCAAACAAAGCCTCAAGCGGTGGTTCCCACAGCGCAGCAAAGGGGATGCAGCAAGGAAAACCACCGTCACCTCTCCGCTGGGAAGCGCTAAGCAAAGGCAAGTCCCCAGGCAACGCGGCCAATTTAATCGGCACAAGGCATGCAAGCTCCACCCCCCAGTCGTTCTTAGACTCCTTTTTGGGTGAGCAATGCAGTCAAGCAACACAGTTGGAGCCTCCCTCCCTGGCTAGGAGGGAGAGGAGCTGCTTCCTTTGAAACCTGGGAAATTTAAGGGACATCATCAATAAGGGACAGCAGTGGGACACAGCGCTGGGATAAGGGACTTTCCCGCCAAATAAGGGACAGTTGACAGCTATGGTTGGATGCAGAGGAATGATAGGAGGAAGCAGCTAGGGAACCCCCAAGGGAAGAAGGCTCAGAGCTCAGGGACTGGCAGTGGGATGGCGATGAGTGGTCAGAGGGAGAAGATTGGGAAGAGGTGGTATCAGAAGCTGAAGAGCAACAGGGCTTAGTGGCAGAGAGAAGTCCAGACTCAGAGGCAGAAGCTGAAGCAGGAGAGGAGGGAGGCCAAGAGGCAGAGAGATCTGGCTGGTGAAGAGGCACGGATGTCTCCCCCTCCTGCTGCAAACAAGCTCCTCTCCCTCCTGGTCTGGAACTGGGAGAGGTATGAAGAGGGCGGTGGAGAGGTGGGCAATGTGCAGGCGCAGTCTCCGACTGCTTGGGGAAAACCCTGGAGAAGAAGGGACTTAGGCAGCTGTGGGGAGGCAGGGACTTTCAATCCATGAGGCAAGACCTACTAGAGATGAGTTGCTGTGCTCATTAGGCCTGACACTCCTGTGCAGATCTTGCTTCTGATAATGAAGAGTTAACTCCAACTTGCATGGTGTGATTTACTGCTAGGTTGCTCCTTTCAGACCTCTCTTTTGGTATGCCCTACAGAGGACCTTATGGTCTGCAAATAATAACATCGTGGAGATCCCGGGCCTCAGGGGGATTAGGCTAGCCTTGACCAGGGCCTGGTGGACTGCTCTGTCACAAGAGACTAGGGCCCTGTGGGATTTGACATCTTTCTGCAGGGCCTGCAAGATGGAGCTGTTCTGCCAGGCCTTTGGTCAGGGCTCAGCCTGACTCCCCTTCTATTTTTGTATAAGAACTAGTATGAAAGAGGCCTCCCAGCATTCTCACAGGCCCATATAAGAACAGCGTAAACAGTTGGGCCTGATAAGCATTTACTGTTCCCAACCCTAATCCTGCGGAAAACCATCTAATTGGATTTAAATTTGATCCTGACTTGTTTTTAGGAGGTAATTTAATTACCATTGATTTTATACCAATGTTATATATTTGATGTTAGCTGCCCTGAGCCTGGTTTCGGCCAGGAAGGGTGGGATACAAATAAAAGATGATTATGATTATTATAAAAGAGGCAAAAAGTGTGCTTTATGATGGACCCCTTGTCCCCCCTTTTTGCTTCTCTCCATTTAAGCATGAACTTTGGTAACAAAAGCCTCCAGCACCACCTCATCGTGATGGAGGAGCTGATCCGCCGGGACAAGAACCGTCCCTCAGTCGTGATGTGGTCTGTGGCCAATGAGCCGGCCTCTTGGCTGCCCCCAGCCGGCTACTACTTCAAGTGAGTATCTGCCACACACAAAACTGTGCTGTGAAGTCTGTACCCTGGCACTCAGCCTGCCCAAAGTGAACTCAAGTATCACATATATTTACCCAGCAAAGGCACCTTTGTTGACTTACTTTTGGCGCCAGGTAAAGACTTCTCGCTTCCCTCAGCCAGGTTTTAATAGACCTGAGGGGATGTTTGACATCAGGCAGGCACCTTTGCTGTGCTTTTTGCTCCCCAATTAAAACATTATTTATCTAGAGAAAACGCCTCCTCAGACCTGTATAAGTTAGGCATGTTGTATTCCTTCTTAGCTACTCTTGATCACCTTTTCAAAGTTTTTAACTGCTTATCTGCTAATTAGAATGTTTTTTTTAGTAAACAACTTAGGGAATTGTTTTGTTGTTGTTTTTTACAATCAAACGGCACCTCAAATGTTAAATAAATAGATGTTATACATATGTCTCTGTGTTTAACAGTATTGTTAGATGCTTGGAGACCCACAGGTACCAAGTGTTTAACAAGTCCAAAATAACAGAGAGGATGGAGGGACACCCGCTATGAGGAAAGGTTGCAGTGTTTGGGACTTTTTAGTTTAGAGAAAAGGTAAGTCAGAGGCAACATGAGAGGAGTTTATAAAATTACACATGGCATGGAGAAAGCGGATAGAGAAAAGTTTTTCTCCCTCCCTCAGAACAGTAGCACTTATGGACATCCAAGGAAGCTGACTGTTAAGAGGATTCAGGACAGATAAAAGAAAGTCCTTGCAGCGCAGAGTTAAACTATGGAACTCCCTCCCACAGGAGGGAGGGATGGCCACCAACTTGGAAGGCTTTAAAAGAGGATGAGACAAATTCATGGCTATCCATGGCTGCTAGCTGCAAAGGCCATGCTGCACAGTCGCTGGCAGTAATGTGTCTGAATTCCCGTTGCTAGAAACCACAGGAGGGGAGAGGGTTCTTGTGCTCTAATCTCGCTTGGCAGTTTCACATTAAGGGCATCTGGTTGGCCACCATGAGAACAGGATGCTGGACTAGATGGGACCCTGGCCTGATCCAGCAGGCTCTTCCTATGTTCTCAAGTCTAACTAAAAGTTTGTCACACAAGCTAACCTTCCGTCCAGGTTGCCATGCAGAGCCTCAGAGGTGCAGGAGGGTGGAATCACATGTGGATGAATTAATTCTGCACAGCGAGAAACAGTTGTGGTTTTGTCTGTTTTTCACCCTTTGCACGCAGGATGGTGATTGCTCACACCAAAGCCATGGACCCCACGCGCCCAGTCACATTCATCACGAACACCAATTACGCTCTAGATCTTGGAGTAAGCACCATCCATTTTGTCTCTGTTGCTTATTTAATGTTATTTAAGGCTGGGACGCAGATGGCACTGTGGGTTAAAATACAGAGCCTAGGACTTGCCAATCAGAAGGTTGGCGGTTCGAATCCCCGCAACGGGGTGAGCTCCTGTTGCTCAGTCCCTGCCAACCTAGCAGTTCAAAAGCACGTCAAAGTGCAAGTAGATAAATAGGTACCGCTCCAGCAGGAAGGTAAACGGCGTTTCCGTGCTCTGCTCTGGTTCGCCAGAAGCGGCTTAGTCATGCTGGCCACATGACCCGGAAGCTGTACACCAGCTCCCTTGGCCAACAAAGTGAGATGAGCACCGCAACCCCAGAGTCGGCCATGACTGGACCTAATGGTCAGGGTTCCTTTACCTTTACCTTTAAGGCTGGCTTTCTGTCCTTCCAAAAAAGAACACTTTCTTTATGCCAATATTTCATAAGATGCTCAGCATGGAATATCCAGGCCAAGCGGTGGGGAATCTCCGACCCCAAGTCCTCATAGAATTATAGAGTCAGAAGGGGCTCAAAGCATCATCTAGTCCAGGGATAATTAGGTGAGACCTTGATTCCACCTGGATACAGGTCTTGTCCGTTGTCGTGGTCCCTTCCAACTCTACAATTCTATGAAGCTTATGCAAGAATGAGTTGCTTGCACCCTTCTCTTTCCCCCATTATGTTTAGGGATGGGGGAAAGGGGGCACAGAGAGAGAGAGCGCGCGCTTGCCGTCTAGGGAACACGCCTCAAAATCAGCTAAAAACAAAATTGAAATTTCTGCAGGCCCCTTACGTGGACGTCATCTGCGTAAATAGCTACTTCTCCTGGTACCACGACCCTGGACACCTGGAGGTCATCCGCCTGCAGCTGAACTCTCAGTTTGAGAACTGGTACCAAACTCACCAGAAGCCCATTATCCAGAGCGAGTACGGAGCAGATGCCATCGCTGGCCTCCACATGGTGAGTCCGGCTCTTCTGAGGCCATTCGCCAGTAGGCAGAAAACATTTCTTTCCAAAGAAGAATGGCAGACATCTGAGAGGAGAACTGTACTGAGCAGCTGCTTGTTGCTGATCTGTGGGTGCTCATAATGCTCAATATATATTTTGGGCTTTGACCCAATACTGGTACAGTAGTAGCCTATGCCTTTAAGCAAGTTTCTAGTCCATCACAAACTCTTCAGACCTCTTCCCTCCTTGGTGCACATTCACAGATACCTAGCTAAGCCAGTGTGTTGTAGTGGTTAGAGTGTTGGACAAGGACCTCACTTGGCCAGGAAGCCCAATGGGTGGCCTTGGGCCAGTCACAGTCTGTGAGCCTGACCTATTCACAAGGATGCTGTGAGGATGAAATGGGAAGAGGGTGAACTATGTATGCCAGCTTGAGTTCCTTGGAGGAAGGGTGGGATATCAAAGTAAAAATAAGCAAATGAAGGTGGCATTTTAATTAGGATTTTGGAATCCTGCTTAGACGAAGGGTGGTTTAAAAGTCAAACAAACAAAAAGTCCTGTCCTCTAGATCAGCAGTGGGAAATTTTGGCCCAATCTTTTTTGATTCATGGGCCAAGTTTGAAAGCTGGGTCCTTCCCCACTGCCAGTCATCTGAAATTGACCCATGGGGAGGTGGGGGTAGGGGTCTGCTTTGCCAGCAGCACTCCACCCCCCACCCCCAGAACACCCTGGTGAACTTGCACCCAGCAGGACTGAGCTCTCCACTTATCATGAGATAAGTTACTGTACAACCTTTAGAAGACATCTGAAGGCAGCTCTGTATAGGCAAGTTTTTAATGTTTAATTATGTTCTTTTATCTGCTGGAAGCTGCTCAGAGTGGCTGGGGCAACCCAGTCAGATGGGCGGGGTACAAATAATAATTTTATTATCAGGTGATGAGCGGAGGGTTCAATCCTGCTCTATGCAGAGGTCCACTTTGTCAGGGTGTTCCCCCACAGGGAACATGGTGGAGAGACAGCACCCAGCAGGATTGAACCTCGCCTCCGCATCAGTTGATCAATAGGTGGGCGTTGCTTGGGGAAAGTGGTCTTGCAGGCCAATCTGAGGCCCACAACAGGCCAAAGGTCCCCCACCCCTCTAAAGCAACAGAGAATGAGAGCGTTCCACCTTCCGCACGACAGTGACCCAAATATTGGATGGCTGCTCTCATTCATTGCACAGCCTGCACTGGTTCCATGCACATAAGGGCTCTTCCTTCCCGTTCATCTCGCTGCAGAGACCTCTTCCTTTCCCTATTCCCGCAGGACCCGCCTCTCATGTTCTCTGAGGAATACCAGGCGGCTGTGCTGAAGGAGTATCATGCTGTCCTAGACCAAAAGAGGAAGGACTATGTGATTGGAGAACTCATCTGGAATTTTGCCGACTTCATGACGGACCAAGGTACTGGCGTCTCAGGTTGAAGTTGCCGTGTCCTCTGCGAAAGTCTTCCACTCCCAAGTTTCTTTAGGACTCTGCCGTTGGGAAGCAACTCATAAATTTAATACTAGGGGGTGCTGCCCTTGTTCACTTTGCCTTGCTAACTCCATCTATCGCTTTCCCAAACCTCCTTCACTCACGTCTAGCCAACCCCTTCTCTCCCTATGGTTCTTGACTACCTTTGCTTGTGCCGAAATGTACAAGCCAGCTTCTCTGGTGTGGTGGGAATGGGGCAGGGGCGTCTTAGAATTCTTGGGATTTGCTTCCAGCATCCTGCAGAATATTCATCAGCAATAAACAAATACTAGAGTCAGCGCTGCCCGCTGGCGACAGCTCCTTGGAAGTCTTAAATATCTGGAAACTTTTGATGTTAGTTTGGAGGTACAGTGGTACCTTGGTTGTCGAACATAATCCGTTCCAGAAGGCTGTTCGAATTCCGAAATGTTCGACAACCGAGGCACGAAGGGCGGTCGGCAGAGTCAATGGAGAAAAAAGAAAAACACACAGCAGAGGCCATTCGACTTCCGAGGCGCATTCAAAAACGGAAGCAATTGCTTCTGGGTTTTCGGTGTTCGGGTTCCAAAACCTTTGGCTTCCGAGACACTCGAAAACCGAGGCTCTGACAGGGTCCTAGAGTCCTCCTGCCTCATTCCAAAAGCTTAGTTAGCACTTTCCCAGTTTAGAAAGGAGGTGGGAGGGCTCTTGGACCCTGCCAGAGCCTTGTGGGGGGGTCAAACTTTAGTCTTGCTCACACTTCCAGCACAACAAGGCAGTGTGCAGCCCGCGGGTTCTGTGTCTAAGTACTCTTGCGGCCCAGTTGGTATGAAAAGTTGGGACTGTCCTGCTATAGGCAATGCAAGGCGGCAGCTCCCCGGTGTTCAAGAGCTGTTGAGGCAAGAGAACAGACTACCTGGTGAAGCAGGGGTTTTCATTCACATAAGGAATTTAAGCAGAGGCTGGCCACATCTGGCAGGGGGGCATCCTGAACTGGACAGGAAGTGGCCCAGAGATCAGGGACAGGGAACCTGCATGGCCCTTTGGATATTGTTGGACTCCAACTCCCATCAGCCCCAGGCAGACAGCTTTGCCAGCACTGAGAGATGATAGGAGTTGGGAGTCTAACAATGTATGGAGAGCCATCACAGATTCCCCATCCTTGGTCTGGATTACCTGCAAGTTCCTTCCCAGCTCTACAAAGCTGTTGCCGTTGGGCCTTCCCTTTGTAACTTTCTTCCCCATCTTGCAGGCACAACGCGCGTTTTGGGCAACAAGAAAGGTATTTTCACCCGCCAACGACAACCCAAATCGGCCGCCTTCGTCCTAAGGGAGAGATACTGGAAGCTGGCTGAGGAATGCAGGCCCCTTGCGCGGCCCAATTACCATGACATTGGTTTGCCCCAAACTCAGGCCTCCAAGTGCACTTGACTTACGCTGTTACATTAAGCACAGCAGAAGAAATTCAAGGAGAGGCACTACTGAGCATCCAAATAGAGGCTAAATTTCCATGATTGTTTTTGCTCCAATGTGTTTTCTTCATGAAAGCAGGGGAGGGACCGCAGCTCTGCTCTTCCGTACGATAAAGCCAAAGGAACGTAAATGAAAACGGACCAAGATTTTCTTATAGAACCATAGAATTGTAGAGTTGGGATCCTGAGGGTCATCTAGTCCAACCCCCTGCAATGCAGGAGGAATGTCAACTAAAGCATCCATGACATTCTCATTTTGAACATGTTTATAGATTCTGGTTTACACAAAGCCAGTGTAGCCTTGTGTAATGATCACCGCAATCTCTTGGGTCTTTTTGACAAGTATGGTGTATGAGCAAGAAGCTGCTGGATCAGCAGAAATGCTTGTCTAGTTCAGTGGCCAACCAGATGCCTATTCTGGGAAGCCCCTGAGCAGGAGATTAGCACAACAGACACACTCTTCCCACTTGTAATTCACAGCGATTGATAGAGCATAGCCATTGGTGGCTTTAACCGCCATGAATTTGTCCAATCCTCCTTTAAAGCCATCCAAGTTGGTGGCCATCACTGCCTCCAGTGGGAGAGAGTTCCAGAGTTTAACTATGCGCTGCGTGAAGGAATTACCGGTATTTTGTCTGTCCTGAATCTTTCAACATTCAACTTTAGTGGATGACCCTATTGGGTGCTAGCATTATATGTGAGGGAGAAAAACTTCTCCCCATTTTTCTCCACAGTGCATAACTTTATGCACTGTAATGCGGACACTTCACACAAACTCCGAGGGACTAATAGCTCTCTGTGACTAAACGTCAAGGAATTGGGGGCCTTACTGGGGAGAAGGGCATGAAACAGCAGCACGGATTATGAAGCAACACTGCAAAGACATCCACAGATAATTTCTACATTTATTTTTGTTTTTTATACCAAAAAAGTTATGTGCAACAAATAAAACATTCTTACATTATTTACATGGTTTCTGTTTTAATTTCGCATTAGCAAAAAGTGGACCCCAGACCTTAGAATGTCGCAGTCTTAGGTTGAACAGAAAAACGGGACGACTCCAATTTAGACACAGGTGGCGAGTTCGAAACACATGAAAAAGAAATAATAATTGTCAGATCAAAACATACGAGACAGAACACACATTGAATATTTAGTCCATGCTTAATACAGGTTTTTTTTTTAATTAAAAAAATGGTAATGGAATACTTCAGCTTCCTTAGTTTTGCAAGGGTGTGTTTCAATAGCGTTGGCAGAACAGAGGCCAAAGTGTTTTATTTTATTTTTAAATCCAGGTAGGCCAGGAGCTGCTAGCTGAAATCCTAGCTTTCTTTTTGGATCAGAGACCACATGAAGCAGCAAGAAAACCCCTTTCAAAAGATGTTCTGATTCTGCGGTCTGCTAACATTATTTCCATAAGCAGCGGACCTTTATAGAAAAACACACACACAAAGATTTATCCCGCCCTTTGCCCTTTGCCCACCTGATGCTCTCCAGATGTTTTGGATGCGCCCCCCCATCTCTCTCCAGATGAGGTTGGCGAAGGCAGGACAAAAGCAACATGAGCACGTCAGTTCATCTAGATCAAAACCTTGAAGGGGTGAGTGGAAGCTGGATTATTGTCTGCCTCAAATAATATGCCTTCATTCAAAATTAACCTCACAAGCTCCTGGACGCAACAGCTACCCCCTACTCTACTGTGAAGGGTCCCACGTGTAATACAAAAATGGGTTTCTCCGACCCACAAGGGCTCCCTGTCTCCCATCCCCCACTAAGCAAAAAGCTGCCTGCTCCCTGTCTGCAGGGCGACTTGGACACGCCACACTCAATTTTTGAGGCCCTTTGGCCACAGTTTTCAGGGGTTGGGTTGGAATGACAGGCGAGGGAGGAGAATGAAGTTGGTCTCCAGAAAGTCTGGCTTCCCCACACATAGGGCTAATACGAACTTGAACCTTTAGATCACCGAAAGACAACAAGCATTTCTCTGTTTCTCTCTGGCATAAAATGAGGCAGCTTGACAACCAGATGCAACTGGCCAAGCATGGTTGTGTAAAAAGACAGGATTTTGGCAGGTGCATGGGAAAAAGGGGGCAAGGGTTCCCTCTTCTACATAGGTCCATGAAGTCTGCTGACCTCAAGAGAAAATCATGTGAGCAAGTTGCAACTGGTGCTGCATGGGGCACCACCATGTTGCATCCTGCACTCAAACTGCTTTTTTGCATGGCTAATCCTATCCTCTCATGGCTGAGACCTGGGTACCACAATCACACATTATGGGGAGAGTTGGCTGGGGCTTTTTGTGGGTCCCACTGGGGTGGGCGATAAGGAAGCGTGCACACTTCTTGCAACCCTGCAGGCAGGTCCAGCCACCACAGTGCGTTAAGGGGCCTGGCTACTCCAAAGGAGAAGGGTCGCCATCCCCCCAGGTGATGGGAGTAGGGGGAAGGAGCCGGATGGGCTCTCCTGCAGCTACAAGTCAACTGCCGAGTGCCCTGGGTGGCTGTTACACAGGGGTCAAAACAAACTAGGCTGGGAACACCTGTGATGCACAGAGCCTGCGAAGAACACTTAACAAAATGGTGGGTTTCTCTCCATCGGGGAGAAAATGAACAGGGAGGGATGAAGTCAACACCCAAGGTTTTGATTCTGCAATTCAAGATCAGCAGGCAGAGCAGGCCAAATTGCGTGGGAGCAATGAGGCTTGCTGGCCCCGGAAAGCAGGAAAAGGCTGGTCCCAAGAAGCGGGGAGGAAACACAAAGGCCAAGGTTACAATCGTGTACAAATGGAACTCTTCTCCTTGACCAAAGGTTCAAGGAAAGCGAAGCCTTCTCTCGCCCTCAGATATGTTAAGAAATAATAATAATCAATAAATAAACCCTTACATTTCATCATTACAAGAATTTAAAAAAAAAACAAAAACTTTCAGAGCAAGGGCAAAAAACAAAACAAAAAATCTATACCACCAACAAATTTCAAGACAAGCTTCAGCTTTACTCTTGTTAACACAAGACGTCTTTTGAGAAACTTTTCCCCACCCTGATGAAGACAACGAGCGGTTATTAGTGTTTTTTCTTTCTTTTATACACTGCATGTATGCATATATGTGTATATATATACATACATACACACACATATACACAAATACATATACATATCAAACAGTACTCTCATGACCAGGCTTCCACTGCCACCCTCTTGTGCTCGGTTGTGGTCCCTTGTGAGAACCGGACTGTTCATTTGGCAGGCTTTAAAAATACTGTCAAAAAAGACCGTCGGGGGCAGATGCCAATCCCACTGAAAACACACTGCGTTTTTCACAAGACACAAGAGGATTTCATTCTAACACCTTAATCTTGTGTTGTTGTTTTAAAAAGGAGAACGGTACATCAAAACGAGGACTTCTTACACAGACTCACAAGAAGTATTTAGACACAGACTGAATGGAATTTTCTAGGAGGTTCTTCGAAGAACGTTTTCAGCCCTCTCAGATACGAAGGCAGGAAAGAGTCTGCCCTGCACCGGGAGTGGGCAGTGGGAATAGCGCAGGGCTATCCTTTTGGCATCAGACGCTTGGGAGAACAGGGATCTCTCAGTTTCTCTTGGGATTGGTTAGATACATTCAGATCTGCCCCAAGATATTTCACTGTCCTGTGCAACCCATGACAGGCACTGCGAGATGCCTAGGAAACAATGCCGGGTGCCAGTGCTCTGATCACATGCCGCTGAGCTCAATGAACCCGCTAGCCTTAATACTTTTGCAAAAGTGTGCTCAGGCACACACACCCAAAGCAACTGCCGGAGTTATTTGGGGATGAAGCATAGTTGTGACTATATCAATTCCACAGGCTAACTCATACAGGAGCCTCAAGTAGTCCTCCCATGCAGAGAAGCCTCCAGGTGACTGTAGCAGCTGTGCGGTTCCAACAGGGGCTAGGATCACCCGCAGAGACTGCCCTTCCAAACCCTCCTTAGCACCGCTAAAACACACACTCTCGCTCTCCAGAAACACTTGCCTTCTTGCTGCCTCTATGAGAACAAAGCGGCAACCTCGTTTTCCCACCTTGGCAGGAAGCTTGGGGGTGGTGGTGTAGGAAAAACAGCAGCACTTCCAAGGAGGGATCTTTTGAGAGTGGCGGCTGTGTCAAGACTGGAAGCTGCTCCTGCCTTCCCAGATTTTGAGCCCTGCAAAACGGTCCATTTGCGGGCTCCTGCCTTCCCATCAAAACTGGCCGGGCAAAGCCTCCACGGTTGGGTAATGTAGTGTGGGAAGGAAGGGCAGGTAGCCTCCTCCCTCCAGAAGATGCTCCAGCACAAAGAGCAGAAGCCAGTCACAGGGACTGTGGAGCCCACACTGCTGCCCTTGTCGGCAGTGGGCACCAAGCATTGACTTGGCTGAAAAGACCAGTTTTGGGGGGTGGCCGAAGAACTGGCATTCCTGCCTCCTCCAACCAGGCTTCATAGGAACGTCCTTGGAAGGCCTTCACAGCAGCCTAGTGCCTTCCCCCTGGGCGCCTTCGGACTACAACTCTCCTCAACCATAGTCCAAACCATGAGGTTAGCCAAAGTGATCATAGGAGGAACCCATCTGAGGTGCTTGGTTATGTGGGGAGCCCCATGGGAAGAGAAACACTTTCTACATACTGCAAAGGTTTGTTTCATATATATATCTATCTGTCTCGTACGACCACTTCTGCCTGCCAATTTCAAACACCTCCAACCCCTTGGCCCAATATTTGGTTTTTTTCTTTTTTTTTTCTTTTTAAGGACAGAAGGCACTTTTTTTAAAAGGAAAAAGAAACACTGCATTTCAGGACGCCATGGAATGAAGGAAAATAACCCACAGTGATGCGCTCTTTCGCTTGAACGTACAGTTTCCAACAAGAACCGTTACGGAATCCTAAGCCTTCCCTTTCAACCGAGCCTATTCATTTCGCCTGCCCATTTTCTTCTAACACAATCCCTAGCCCTCCTACCCCTCATCTCAGGAGCGGGGGGAAAGAGTTCAATATCCACCCTAAACTTCACTCCCAATTTTGTATAAAAGGATCCGGGACCACTAGGTCTCTACAAAGTTTGTCACAATCATTTTATGCGCCAGCCTCGTTGAAACAAAGGGAAACCGCCCAGGGGAAACTCTAAGTGCCCTTGGACATTGCCCTCCATTGCATTCTGGCTTGCATAAGAAGACTTCAGTGCATCAGTTTGCCAGTAAGTCACTGGGATCCAGTGTAACGTTGTAATTCTACGCAGCAGCTTGAAATATACCTCAAACCATTAATACTGTTTGGCCGCCTGACATCAATTTGGAGAGCAAGGTCGGCTCTCCCCTTTTTCTACAGGTTGCCTATTTGAGAAGATGGCTCTCCCAACGCCACGACCCTCCATTTCCCCAGGCCAAACCCTTCTTAGTGTCCTCCCAGGAGATCTTTCGTCACCCACGCCAAACAGCTCACGTGTTGCACAGGAACCTGTATTAAGTCCTGCCGCTTTCTGAAGGCATGCACAACTTGCCGCATCAAATTCCATTTTCATGTCCAAAGAAAAAGAAGGAAGAAGGAATCTCAACTAATTCTCCCTCGTTGCAACAGTTTTCTCCAGAGAGATGGGCTCATTTCATCCTCCATTAAAAAATAATATATTCCAACGAGAATTGGAAGGTTTTTCAAGTTGCTAAGCTTCTGAACAAAAACCGGTTTGAGCCGTGATAAGCTTCTGGTTTCACACGGACGCTGCCCAATGCTTCTGAGCCTTATGTACAATGTTGCAGTAAGTCTTCTAAGTGAAATCCCCTTAGCTACAAATACACATAATGTAAACAGCAACATTTCCGTACGGTACCTCTAAAGTCTAGAATAAAGTTATCATGATCTTCTGTTAAAGACTCCCAAAACTGAATTTATACATAGAATGCAGGGGCTTCCTAGCAAGTGTTACCAACCTGAAATACTGGGGGGAGGACAGAATAGGAGGGTGCAACGAATTTGCAGCTAAGAACTCCTTCAGTGTAGAGTTAAAGCTGGTCTTTGATTGGGTTAGGACTTCCACCGATGCCACCTTGAATTCATTGGACAGAAGCTACCACAGAGCCCGGTTCTTTTCCATTCACTGTCATTAAACCAGTGACGATCCTTGGGGGAAAGCATCTGATATGGAGAAGAAAAATAACAACAAAAACCTTCTTTTACTGTGAAATAAACTCGAAACGGAAGTCGGGTCTTCAGACTGTCAGTCAAAAGTTTTCATGGGGATGGGGGAGGGGGTTAATCCTGTTTGGGCGGGAGTTGCCGCTTCCAGGCTTCGTTCAAGTAAACTAGTCGTTTGTAGTTGATGATAAAGAGAATGAAGTTCAGCAAGTACGTGACAACGCAGATAATGCAGAATTCCTTCAGGACAAAGTACAGAATGTAGGCCAGGTACAAGGATCCTATTACCGACACTATGGAAGACATCATGAGGACTAGCGCCGCTACCGCACTTGCCGTCATACCTGGAAAAGACAAAGCAGTTACTTGGCACAGTTTTGCCCAACACAGCCCAGCCCAGCCATTCCTATTTCTCATTTTTAAAAAGACACGTTTAATATACCATTCAAAGCAGACTTGGAAAGATGGAGAGGTGTTTTGTTACACACACACCAGTTGGAAGCTGGAAGTCAGCAGCAGCACCTACACTTTGGAACTCCCTGCCTATTGATATCAAGCAGGTGCTTTCACATGACTCTTTTCGGCATCTGCTAAAAGCATTTTTGTTTAGACAAGCCTACCCAGGTGTCTAGAAAATTGACGCAGGTTTTTAAAACTGATGCAAGTTTTTTGTTTTGCTAATTTAACTTTTTGAATGTCTTCAATTATTTTGGTTAATTTTTCTTAGTGATAATTTTATTGTTTTATCTTTTTTTGTAAACTGCTTTGTGGTTTTACTAAAATCAAGTGGTGTACTGTATCAATTTTTTGAAAAAAATAAAACAAATAGGTCAGTCACTACAGCACTAACCGACCGCCCACTGTCAGGCAGAGAAACAGGATTTGTTCAAGGATTTTTGCTTTCTTAAAATGCTTAAAGCCTCAGAGGTTACGAGCTCCAAGCCCTGGGGCCGATGTTAAGTCTGCTCCATCTTACTCGATTCATGGAAACTGGCTGTAAAAAGTAGTAAGGCTCAGAAGGCCTTCAAGGGGGATTAGATAAACTCATGGAGGGAGAAGCAGGGGCCTGTCCTCAGCTATTCCCCCCCGAAAAGGTACTTCACAATGTTGCCCACCACCAAAATATCAAAGACCACCAATTACCATAACACTTCAGTTGAGGCTCCCGGGATATCCAGCGAGGAAATTTAATGCACAGCACCTTTGCAGAGAAGGTGTGCAAGTCCTTCCTCTGTTACATTATGCAGTGCCAACACTGGGCACAGCATTTTAAAGCAGCTGCAAGCACAGAGTGGTCACTGCCACAAGACGCTGATAACCTGAAGTTTGACAGCTGGGAGAGCAGGAACAGCAGGAGTGGGGAGGGTGGGAGGAAAGGAAGGGTTAATGAGAGCAAATGCTGCAAAACACCCACTCAGGCTTGCAAAGAAGCCCCATCAAAGTTATACTGACTCCAAGGATTTGCAACCCGCTGGGAGCCTGAAAACAAGAAGGGCCAGCTTCCTTCTGAGTTACAGCCTGGTTTTGCCTGGAATGGATTCCAGCTCACCAAAGGCAACCAGGCGAGTGGCTATTTGCAAGCCTATGCATTCACTGAAAATATGGTTTTGGATTATCTGAAGGGAGTTTGGGGAGGGAATCCGAAGTGAGAAACACAGGGGATGGTTGCCGCCACATTCCCCATCATTTCTGATGCAGCTGAGACATTTTCCCCAGCCCTGAACATGGCTGACAACTAACAAATGTGTGTTAATTTTGAGGGCTGGGAATTGACTATTCTTTCCAGCTCTGCTTCAGGATTTGTGGGTGTTACTGTGGTTAAGGACTATGAGCTGTTGACCTGCTTGTTCAGACCATGGAATAGGAAAGGCAGTTCAGTGAGGATACAGGATGCAGCTGTGCCAGGAACGAAGTTTATTCAACAGAAGGTGTGTGACCCTGAGCACCACAGGCAAAAGATAATGGAAAATGGAGGGAGGGAAGTTTTGACACTTACCAAGTAACATTTGTAGAACATAGAACACAAGACCGAAGACGCTGTTCGGTTGATTTATTGCACTGTCTTTTCCAAAAATGGAACCCAGCAGGCCAAAACCTCGACCCCATCTGAAAGACAGTGGAGCAGTTAGCCTGCATTGCATGAATCTGATTATTTTGCCTCCTCCTACAGTAAGACAGGTGACTGGGTAAGGAGGCCTTGCACACACAGCTCGGCCACATCTGCCACACACATACAACATGACAGAGAAGACTGGAATCATTTGATTTGGAAGCTGCAGTTATAGTGCAAAATGCTGTGGCACGATCGCTGACAGCATGTAACACCTGTGATCAAAGATCTCACTGGCTACCAATTTGCTAGGTACTACTATTAGCATATAAAGCCCGTAACAACTTGGGAACCATTTACCCACCATTTAGTCAGCGGAAGTGGCCCTGTTAGTTGCCACATAATACCCGTTCCACATTCGTAAGAAGTCAACTTTTTAGTGTGACAGCACCTGCACTTTATGTTGTGATCTGCAGAGGAAGGGCAGTATACAAATTTAATAAATAAAACAAATACATACACTCTGAAACTCCCTGCCTATTGACATTGGGCAGGCACCTTCACTGTACTCTTTTCAGCACCTGCTAAAAACATTCTTGTTTAGACAAGGCGACGCAGATCTTCAGAAAGTTGAGAAGAGTTTTAATCTGTTTTTAGTCTATCATTATTTTAACTTTGTGAAAGTTTTCAATTATTGCCATTAATTTTTCTTATGAATTTTATTGTCTCCTTTTTGTAAACCACTTAAAAGGGGCTTTTCTCCCTTACAGTCAAGCGGTGTATAAATTTTATGAAATAAGCGCTTCCCTTTCATCTAGTGGCTGGCTTTGAGGGTGAAATATTGTGATGTTTAGCTGGTGATGTATCACGAAGTTGAAAAGCAGATATTGCCTAGCCCTAACGAAGACTGAGCCTGACTTCACCGCTTTGTCAACCTCATTTCTCCCAGTGGTTTAAGGATATTAAAACCATGACCTCACAGTTTAATTTCTGACCATGATTCCAGACAAGCCAAGGAAGGCTTTCTGCAGCATTAGGAATGCAGGCAGTGCCCTCAATGGCCCTTGAGGGCCGCTATAAAAAGGGCTCATTTGTGGAGTTCAGGCAAGTGTGGTGAGCCTTCAGCTTCATACCACCGCTAAACAGAACCCTTTATGCAAACAGAACCCTTTATGCAAACCTCAAATAGAAACTGCTGCTGCTAATTCTTGCCGGGATGCTCCGTGGCTCCTCTGCTTAGTAATTAAATTTGTTATGGGATAATAAAGGATTTGGGGATTAGTAAGTCCATAAACTTGCTGTGTTGTTTCCATTGCTACTGAAACTGCGGGTCTTCTGTCAGCTGCTCTCTTTAATTTTCCTGCTTTACTTGTTTTTGATGGTTTTTGGATTGGAGTTTTTTGTGGTTGTTTTGTTTTGGTTTTACATCAGATGAAATGTAACTTGCCCTTAAAAGAATCACTCAGGTTTCAGATGAGCAGCACCAGCTATTAGCAAGTCCTTCTGCACTGTAGTGTAGCCAGCGAGGCCATGAATGGGCCATGCACGAATTTGAGTTTGTTAAATTGGACAGGGCTGGCAAAGGGGTTCGTAAGAACGTAAGAAAAGCCTGCTGAATCAGGCCAATGGCCCATCTAGTCCAGAGACCCTCTTCTCACACTGACCAGTCAGGTGCCAAACCCGCAACCAGGATTCGAGCATAACAGCACTCTCCCATCCTGGGGTTTCCAGCAACTTGTATTCAGGAGAATTGGTGCCTCCAACTGTGAAAGCAGAGCAGAGCGGTCCTGGCTAGTAGCCCTCTTTGCTGCCATGAATTTCTCTAATCCTGTTTTAATGCCATCCAAAGCAGGGGGCGAGTTCAAGACTGTATCAAAGTTCTACTCAGAGGAGACCTATTGAAATTAGTGGCTCTACATTAACCACTTCTATTAACTCCAGTAGCTCTACTCTGAGTATGACTAAAACTGGATATGATCCTTGGCCCTCCACTTCTGCCTGAGCTGGGCTTGAGGATAAGAATCACAAACCATGGAGGGTGGTGTTGCAGTCAGGTCCTGCCTGCAGACTCCCCACTGGGGCATCTGGTTACCTGCTGTGGGAACAGCATGTTGGACTAATACGCCCCTATTGGCACGATCCAGCTGTAGGTCTTTTCTTAGGTTCCAAGTGCAATGAGTGCCTAACTTTAAGGAAGGCTTCCTGTACAAGATAAGGATTTTCTCACACTCCCGTTCAAGTTTCACCCACATTACCCAATTCCAAACTGGGAAACCACTGCTAATCACCACCTAAGCACACAAATGCCCAACCCATGATGCATTTGGGAAAAAGTATTCTAAAACATTACACAACTTCAGAAAACATTTCACCTACAGAAGGTACGTCTGCTAGCAAATATTTCAGGAGAATGTGCAGGGAGCTGCCAAGGTTAAACACCTGACACACACACACCCCAACAGAAATTCCGTATGTGATTAATGCAAAGTCCACTAACTTCAACTGTAGCAAAGGGCCTGGTCCCCTATGATGAACAATCTCATCTCTAGGCCACCATGCAGAGAAAGCTTGGCTCCTTTTAACGCCACAAATGGCTAACATACAGCATATGTGGAGAGGAAGGCAAGTAACTTTCCTATGCTTACACCTGCTAGGATGACCTCCTTTCTTCCAGCAAGCATCCAGCTTTACCTTGAACACAGTGGAGTTGGCAGCAATTTAGGAAGTATATTTAAGGTCCCGTACAGTACAGTACTGACCAAACTGCGGGAGGCAGTGGAAGACAGGAGTGCCTGGCGTGCTCTGGTCCATGGGGTCACGAAGAGTCGGACACGACTGAACAACTAAACAACAACAGTACTTCTATAGTTTAATTGTGAAAATCTTAGAACACCTTGTATGTTTAAATCTAGCACACCTGCTCTGGGAGCCAGCTTCCAAAAAAGATTGATTTTCCAGGAACTAGCCAGAAGACACGGCATGAAAAATTCCACTGTTTCTAGACAACGACGCACCTGGGTCTTCTCCAGTCCCAAATGAGAAGCAAGACAACTTTGTGTGCCATCTGAAAAAGTTGGAGGGGGATTCTGACCAGAAGACATCCTTGCACAGCACAATGAAGGAGGTCTTTAAATCAATCATTCCTTCTGGTTTTCCAGTCTCCAGATTATGATTCCCTTTAGCTGTGCCATATTGCTGCTATTTATTACCAGGGCATCAAATTTCATATCTGGCTGCAATTAAGGCGAAAAGAAGAATGATATTCATCCAGCAGTGCACAAGATCTCCTGCTCGGCTCTGCCAGAGGAGCATATCTTGACCTGTGACCCCTGTAATGTTCAGGGAGTTCCCTTGCAGGAGCAACAATGTGCTTCAAACACATCAGCTAATGAGATGAATGAAAATGTTCATTCTTGGGGTGGGTGTTGGGACAATAGTGACACAGCAAACTGCCTTATATAGAGTCACACCTCTGGTCCATCCAGCTCAGTACTGTCAACAACGACTGGCATTTCAAGTTAGGTGTATTCCCAGGTCTACCTGGGAGTGCTGGGGATTGGACCTGGGACCTTCTGCATGCAAAGCAGATGCTCCATCCCTGTGTTATGGCCCTTCCCCAGAGCCTGTATCTTTGCCAAGCTATATAGTAGTAGTTGGAAGGGACCCTGAGGATCATCTAGTACAACCCCCTGCAATGCAGGAATATGCAGCTGTCCCATATGGGGGATTGAACCTGTGACCTGGCATGATCAGCATCGTGCTCTAACCAACTGAACTGTTGTTCCTCCAGTCTGCTAGCTTCTCTTTCGTTTCAGCCACATCCTAGCTGTCTTTAGATGGGCTTGCTGGGCCAGCCCCTGACCTGGCAGTGCTCTAGCTTTCAACTGACCCTCTGGGTGGACTCTACACTGTCCTGCATGCCAAGCTAATCCAACTGTGCCACGACTCACTCTATCAGCTGTCTACTGGCCAACTCTGGCAAACAACAGCTAGGAATCAAGCAATGCTCAATAAGTAGGGCAGCAGGGAAAGATGTGACGGGAAAAGAGGCAGGAGAGGTCAATCAGAAAGGTCAGGAAGCCTAGCAGCAAATAGGAGCTGAAGGTCATCGTGGCAATGGGTTGGGAAACTCAGTTCAAAGTATAACTAAAAAGATAAAACAGCACACTATTGTTAAGGAGTGGAGAAAATATGCTTTTACTTGAGGGATTTGTTTGACAAAGCAAACCAAAGGGCCCCTACCCTGTCCCAACAGGAATGAGCTGTCAATCCAGCCTCCACACAATACAGGCAAAAAAACCCTAGCTGCTGCCTGCCAAACTATCAGCAAGTCAACATGATAAATAGTAACAGTGCAAAACTGAGACTTTCTGAGACTGCTAGTGTACTGATGAAAATCTTTCATACAAATAAGATTTCCTCAGGAATCATATGATGTTTAGTAAGCCTCTTGTCTGACAACACTCCCCATTACCATAAGATAGACACAGGGCTTTAAAACCAAGTTGAAGTTTTTGCACAGGCTGTGTGTCTTAAAAAAAAAGTGAATCTATTTCACTGAATTGCTCAAAATGTGGTGAAAACTGTATCTGAATATTGCAAAATCTATAGCATGTCTGATAAAAGTCCATGGTATTAGGGAGCATGCACAACACTTCTGGCTCTAGGAAGTGGATCACAATTCCCTATGAAAGCACAAGGAATTTACAAAATCTTTTTGAAAAGGATTAAAGTATTATGACACCAAGCAAGCTAGCACTGTGGCAAAATGCAGAGTGTCAATATAACGCACTGGACTTTGGTGCAGAACCTGGGGGATATCTGCATAAAAGAGGAAAAACCACTCGCCTGCAAAAGTATGTACTAGCCTGGTGGAGGAGGCCTGGAAAGCTCTGTTCTGCTTGCACTGGCCCACTGCATAGTTGTGCTTCCCATGACAGGCGAGTCAAAGTACTCTGTCCTCTTCCTTCCATCTGCTCACTGAAAATCACCCACATATAGTTCCTTATAACCGATGTCAACAATATTACTGATAAATACAAGGCAGTAATAAATGCATGAGAGTTTGGGAGAATGGAATTTGTAGCTTTGAGCAAACCCCACTGCATTAGGAGAGTGATCTCCAAGAGAGCCGAAGGCTTAACAATGCCTCAAACTGCCCTGTACTGGGGCCTCTTTCACCAGTGGAGATCAAGACAGAACTGAGTTCTCTTACTATTGGGTGGGAAATGCTTTTGTAGGAACACAGGCTGTATCTGCATAATAAACAAGGTTCTTTGACATTATCTGGATAAGCGCATTTAATTCATCCCTCAATCTGACAAGCTCCTTTCTCACTGCTGCTTGCCCAAACCCACACTCCACAATAAACCTTTCCAACCTTACCTCCCAAACATTTCCCACACCCAACCTCACCCCACCTGCTAGCTTCTGAGACACCATGCAAGTTCCTGCTTTAACAATGATACACATGGTTACTGCGGAACTTGGTCTCAGTCCAAATAAATCTGTCAGCTGACACCTCCTGCTTCCTCCCCACAGCCTAATTTCTATCAGCGGTCACCCAGTCCACCCAGTGAGGCCTGCTGGATGTCGCCTGTCATGACATTCTAAACCCACACAGTAGATCAAAGCCAAAATCGAAACAGTCCAAGACACACACCCATCAGCTAACACAGCCTCACCCATTTTTTCCCCTTCTCTGCTTCCACCCTGCACTCATTCACTGCCACTCCCTCTCCTACTCAAAAACGTTGCTCAACACATACAGATTCCTGGCATGCACAGCTCTTATCCTGGAGCCCAAGCCTCTTTGCAAAAGAATTTCTTCCAAGGGTCTGGAGAGAAAACAAGAGGCTACATTCAGCCAACAGTCTAGATCTAGAACACTTGTTCAAATACAACAACCCAAACACGTATAGAGGGCCTTCCCTCTCCTCCTCACTCTCTGCTGGAAAAAGTTCCCAAACAGGTCCAACACAACTTGGTTCAGTAACTGAATCTTCTAACATTTGAAGCCTTTTATCTCACTCTTTAGTTGAAAAAGGCTCCCAGAATTCATTACAAATATCAGTATACAGTGGTACCTTGGTTTACAACCATAATCCGTTCCGGAGGTCCATTTGTAAACCAAAACAGGTTGTAACCCAAGGTGCGCTTTCGCCAATGGGGCCTCTAAAAAAAAGGGGTTGTAATCCAAAAAAAGGTTGCAAACCGGGACACACACTTCGGGGTTTGAAGTGTTTGTAATCCAAAACGTATGCAAACCAAGATGTATGCAAACCAAGGTACCACTGTAGTAGATCAGAAGAACTACAAAGATCAGTCCCTGTCCTCAGGTTAAAAGTTTTATCAATTTACTTAAGTTTCTCCACAAAAACCAAACCCTAAAACCACTCCCTGTAGGACAGGAATTCTTCATGCTAATTTTAGGGGTTATTTGACTATAATGTGGTTGCAGATTTGTCACCAAATGACCTCAGCAGAAATTCCAGAATGCAACACACTATTTAGGTGTTAGCAGATATTGTTCATCTTATGGAAGGCTACGCCCACTCTGACTGGGTATTTTACTCTTCTGACAGCTTCTCTTCTTCCTATGTGATATGTACAGTATCCTCTCTCATGTACACAGGTGGTCTTTTGGCCTCATACTCTTGTACTGTTTCTGTCTGGTAACTAAAATCACTTCACATATCTGATGAAGCACACTCTTGTCCACAAAACCTCTCCCACAATATCCTATGATGAGCTAGAGCTCTTAGATCGAAGAGCAGTGACCAAGATTTGCTCCAAGACCTGTCAGCTGCAACCCTGTAGGTCAACATTAATCACCCCCTTAGGGCAGTTATATAGTGGTGAGACCCAAGATTTTTTATTTACTTATTGCATTTATTTTCCACCTTTTTCTCCAAGGAGCTCAAGGTGGCATAAATGGTTTCCCCTCTCCTCATTTAATCCCCACGCCAACCCTGTTAGGTAGGCCAGGCTGAGAGGCAGTGACTGGCACCCAAGGTCACACAATAAGCTTCATGGCCGAATTGAGACGCGGACCCTGGTCTCCCAGTCCGACCCTCTACCCACAGCTAACTCCTTCCACTCTTTTATCACCCAAATTCATTGGTGCTATCAGTCCCGGCCTAAGTATGGGCAGAATAGGAACTGCACCCTCTGCACCTGCCCAGCAAGACCCGAAACCACCCAAGGACGTGGAAGCAGCAGGACATACGCGTCGGGGCGTTACTGGCGAGAGAGAAGGGGCAGGTGCGGTCTGTACATGCTCAGGGGCCCTTCCGCACCGTGGAGGGAAATAACTCAGGCCACCCCAGACCCTCGCGGGGGGCGGCGGGGGAGTAGGTCAGACGCGCTCTGCACACGTTCGGGGACACCCTCTCCCCCCGAGCGGGTCTCCTCCCCGGCCCGCCTGACCTGGAGGCGATGGCGGCGGAGCAGCGGACGCGGTCGCTGAGGTCGCAGAGGGCCCGGTAGTGGAGGTCGCGGCCCTTCTCGCGCTCCAGGTGGCAGGCGTAGAGCGAGAGGGCGATGCCGGCCAGGCACACGGCGTAGCGGGCCACCCGCTCCCAGCGCGGCACCGAGACTCGCAGGAGGACGGGCGCCGCCATCTTAGCCCAGCCCTCGCCTAGGCGGACCCGGCAGGAGACTTCTCGCCCCTGCGCGCGCGCAAGCTCACGCCACGACGCAAACCACGTCTCGCCACGCCCGCGCGTGTTGCCTCCCACCCACCTATTGGCTGAGAGGAGCCACGCCCCCTCCCCCTCACGTCCCTCGGCCTGGGTTCTTATTGCGGCTTCTCCTCCTCCTCCTCCTTTCTCTCTATCTCCTCTCTGAACGTGGCGCTCTCAGACGCGGAGCCAGCCGGCCAATCAGAACGACGGGCGCCTGCGTTCTCATGGCCCCGCCCACTCTCATCCTACCGGCCGGCCCCACCCACCGCACCGCTAGCAGCGCTTAGATAGGAGGATATCGCGAGGCTTGTGCGTGGCAAGGGAAGCCAATGGGCGTGGTCCTCCACTGCTACATTCTGGCGGGGCTGAGAGTTCGAATCCTTTGGCAGGGGGTTACTTTAATTTTTTTGTATTATTTTTATTCCACTACAGTTTTTAATTATTTTTAAATACGTTTTTAGTTTTTCTTATTTTATATGTGTGGTTTTAAATTGTGTAAGCAGCATAGATTCGCATCTGGTAAATATATGGAATATGCAGTAGATAAATATGATAATGATCTTATTTTGAAAATTATCAACCACTTAATCCAGCAAGTGTGTGGCCCGATTAGATTATTATCTCTTGATGCTTCTGATAGTGAGCTGTATCCAACCTAAATTAGTCATAGACATTCATTTTAATTGATCTGCTCTTGAGTTTTATTTTTATTTTTATTAATAAATGTATCAGCCACCCTTCAACAGCAGGCCCCAGGGCAAGTTACAACAATTTGAACATTATAAATTAAAAACAGGCAGAATCCCTATGTCTTAAATACTTTTAATGTGTGGCTTTTTTATTTGAATGTATGAATTTGAGATTTTATAAATATTGTTTTGTAGAGTTCTTGTTTAACCACTTTTATTTATTTATCCCTGAGATTTCCAAACCCTTCTTCCAAGACTTCCCAAGGCAGCTTACATTGACAGCAAATCTGTAATGTCTCTATAACATACAGTTTCAATCACAATAACTCAGTCACTTTAAATGTAGCCAGTAGTACTGTAAAATTCAACAAACAAAATGCAGCAGTAGCCTTTTCAGTTAAAAGCCATGGGAAACAGGAGGTTGACTAGATGACCCTAAGAGTCCCTTCCAACTCTGCAATTCTATTATTCTGTATTTTCTAGGTCAAACTTTCTCCCCTCTCCCAGCATCCAGTCTTTATATTAACTCATACTGAAAGGACAGAGCATTCAAAGACATCAGGCATAGTTACTATCTACACACTGGATCCAGATAGTAGGTCCCCTGTTGTTTGGCTCTATCTGGGGCTTGCTGGACAGCCGTTCCGCATTATGAGTCCCTTTTGTTCAGAGAAACAAAGAGGGTCCTGATGACATCCTTTGGAGCCATGAATGCTACCCTTGTGCGACTTTATTGTCCCTTGAACCACAGGAAGAAAGATGGGAATGAATATTCTATGGACGCACTGCAACGCCATCCGCTAAGTATGACCAACTGTGCCAAGGGAATTGTCATGGGGGGAGGGAGAATCTAAAATTAGACTTTAAACCATCAGTATACTATTAAACTGCATATATTAGGCCTCTCTGTGGTCTACCCCTGCACACAAAATAATTCTCCCAGCACAACGGGCAAAGGATATTGATTGCCAATATTCTATATCATACGCCCATAGAACTTGCTCTCCGATATACAGTGGTACCTCGGGTTAAGTACTGTACTTAATTCGTTCTGGAGGTCTGTTCTTAACCTGAAGCACCACTTTATCTAATGGGGCCTCCTGCTGCTGCCGCGCCGCCGGAGCACAATTTCTGTTCTCATCCTGAAGCAAAGTTCTTAACCTGAGGCAATATTTCTGGGTTAGCAGAGTCTGTAACCTGAAGCGTATGTAACCCGAGGTACCACTGTATCTTGATTCAACATTGGAATTTCCTAGGTATGCTAGATATCTGAATAATTTGACTATCCCCAAATATCACCAAGCCTTTTGTATCTAAATAATCTGACAATCCCCAAATATTGCCAGGCCAGATCTAACTGTCTCCCTTCCACAATATTGGAAAGGTGTTACTGAGCTGTCCCACAGGAGGGTCATCTGTGTCCCTGTAGAGGTGAAGTTGTCAAAACTTTGGGTCACATCTTTTTTGAATGTAATCTCCGTAGTGAGGAATGTAATAGGCTCTTTTGCCACCTTTTGGCCAGGGAATTCCTGGCCACTGCTAACAGTCTGAATGATTCTTGGCTACTGTACTTTTTGTGATATTCACCACTTTAAGTGGCTTGTGCTCCCCACCACCAATAAATAAATGTTTTATGTTTTTAGAGAATGATTTTGCATCATTATTGTGAACCACCTTGGAGTTATTCTTAATGAAAGGAGAGATGACAATGGCTTTAAATAAAGTTTAAAAATTCATCTCCTACTTTAAAAAAATGTTGAGAATTGTTCTAAATAGATCAATGTTTTATATCTTCATTGAATTGTTATCATTGTAAACCACCTTGGGGTTATTTCTTAATAAAAGGTGGTATCAAATGGATTTAAATAATTATACAAAAATAGAGTAACATCATATATAAATATGTTCAAATAATAATCAATGTAATGATAATATGTAATGATAAAATGACGTTTTATTTATTTCCCGAGTCAGACAGATATAGATATAGATATAGATATAGATATAGATATAGATATAGATATAAATTTCATTTATCTCATCTATCTATCATGCAAAAATGTAATGATAATAAAAGCAATGGAAGAAGGAGGAGAAAGGGGGAGGGAACTGGAAGGGGTATATATGTTTGTGCACATGACTGTAAACTCGTGCATGCTTTTTGTGAGTTATCACACTTGCTCCTTCTACCAGTTCATGGATGGTAGAAATAAAGCTTTTTCTCTGAAACTCTTCCTTGAGTGTCTGTTGACTCCCACTTCCCTTTCCCGGGCGCAATATTTTTCCCACCCGAGGGCAAAGCCTCATAAGGCTACAATAATATAGAATAATAAAATAAAATTTATTTATTTGCAATGTTCATATGCAGCTTTTTATATGATATATATAGTGGACCTGCTATGACAGCACAAGCCCAGGGTAGCTAACTGATCCTCCCCCCCCCAGGTGTTTTGGACTGCGAGGTGGCTGATGGGAACTGTGGTCCAAAAACACCTGGAGGGCACCAGGTTGGCAAAGGCCGGGCCTGCTTCACACTAGGCCTTGGCAACGCATTGCTATGGCAACCCTGCGGCGAAGGAGGGGGTGATGGCTCTATGACGCAACCCGGGGGAGGGCTGTATTTGCGCCGCGCGCCGCCAATAGCGAAGCAGAAGCCGGGCAGCTCGTGGAGGAGGAGGAGCGGCGCCAAGATGCGGCGTGCGCGCAGCCGGTCCAAGGTTGCTCTGGCGACTGTGTCGGCTGAGCCCCCTGCCGGCGTGGACGGGGAAGAGCAGGAGTCGGGCCGCTCCTCGTCGCCTTCGGAGGAGCGCGTGGAGCGGCTGCGGGATCGGACGCACCAGGGCGGCCCGCGGGGGCCCGGCGCGGGCGGGAAGGGCCGGAGCCGCCGCGAGAGGGAGCAGCGCACCAACTGGACCTCCCCGTCCGGCCACGAGCGCAAGATCGCTGCCAAGATCCGCGCCAGCATCGCCAAGCGCCGCCGCCAGCAGCAGAGCGGGCCCCGATCCTCCCAGCTCCGGAGCCGCAGCAGGAGCCGGCGCCGCACCGCCACCGCCTCCCCGGGGCCAGAAGCAGCGGCAGGCCCCGACTCTGCTGCCCAGCAGCAGGTGTGCCCGTCAGGAGCATCGGAGAGCGAGGAAGCCTCTTCACCCTGTTCTGACCAACGATGCGCCTCCTATCCTGTACGCATGTTGTGGCTCCCCAACCCCCCTTGCAATAGCTGAACCCACATGCACACACCTAGCCCCCTCTATGCAATAATACACCCCCTCAAATATTTCATGGAGCAAAGGGACCTCGGTCCCCAGAGTTGGCTACTATGCTCTATGCAATAATGCAACCACACTTGATTCCAATACATCCTTAGAAATATGGATGGGCCCCTCAGTATTCTACACCCATCTTTGAGAGGCACCTGGTCAATCCTGGTCAATGGGGCTAAAAACATAAGAGCCCTGCTAGATCAGGCCAAAGGGGGCACATCTAGTCCAGCATCATCATCTCCCAGTGGCCAACCAGATGTCCCAACGGGAAGCTGAAAAGTCAGAGCAGCAGCACACTCCCCACTTGCGATTCTGAGAAACTAGTATTAAGAGCCCTATGGTCTCTGACAGTGGAGGGAGAATATAGGCATTGTGGATAGTAGCTGTCAATAGCCTGCTTATCCTCCGTGAATTTGTCTGATCCTCTTGAAGCCATTTAAGCTGGTGGCTGCAGCTCATAGGAAGATAGGAAGACTGGACCATACACTAACTGGCAGTGGCTGTCTGGAATTTCAGGCAGGAGTTTCTCTCGCAATGCTACCTAGAGAAGCCAGCAAGGATTGAACCAGAGATCTGCTTACAAGGCAAATGCTATACCACTGAGCAATAATCCTTGGGGTTTAGGCTTGGGTTTGCTGTATCAGGTGTCCAAAGGTAGTTCCCTATAGCTGGGACAAGTTAATCTGAAGTAGAATCAGCCTTCCCCAACCTACTGCAATTGCCAGCAACTGTTATTCATAGGCACAGCTCAGTGATAGAGCATCTCCCTTGCAACTGCCTATGTTCTGGCATCTCCATTGTGACTACTAGGCATTGACTACCCTTTGTGGATTTGATTAATCCTCTTTCAAAGCCATCCAAGTTGGTGGCCATCTCTACATTTTGTGGTTGTGAATTCTGTGAGTTCAGATATACCCAAATGACTCAATTGAGTCTTGGTGCAATCGAGAATCCTAAATAACACCCCCTCAAAGGCCAAATAGCTCCCCCTCCGTGGCTTTTCAAAATTAGAAGCTCTACCATCAAGTAGGTTCATAGGGACATCATCACCTCAATTGCCCCCCACTGGAGAGATTTGTAAAACATATTCAGGGCACCAAGTTGATGAAGGATTCCAATCATAGGACTTCTCCTTCCATGGCTCCAGAGAGGTATCTGCATCATAAGTGCCCATAGCATCTGGGGTCAGGGTGAGAGAGATCCTGGATCCTGCTTCCAAAGGCCAGCCTCCAAGTAATACCCTATAGAACTACTGCAAATTAGGGTTGACTGTGCCGAGCCAGGGAGCCTCTTGTCCTGACGATTCAAGGCCCTTTTTTGTTATCTTGCAGGTTGAAGAAATGACCACCTACTGAGGGCTTTCCATCACCGCTATCCTGGATGTCAGCTCCTCTGTAGCCAAAAACATCTTGGGCAGAGTTTGCTGCTGTGCTGCAGAGTCCCTTCACACCACCGGGTTCTCATCCTCCAGGGCTGTTTCGGTTCAATAACACAAAAGTTCTCGGGCAAAATTTAGTTTCATGATTTGTCTGGCACTTCCCAAGATCACACACAATTGGAAAAGGTGGAATATGTATGGACAGCCTTTGCTCAACATCCTTCCAGATATTTTGGATTACAACTCTTGTTGGTTCCAGCCATGCTGATGGGAGTTGTAGTCTGAAGCTCCTGGGGCTGATGGGAGTTGTGGTCCAGAACATCTGAGGTGAGTGGAATACATGCTCCAAAACATCGGGGACAATGGGGAGTTGTGGTCTGAAATATAAGAAGTACCGGGTTGCAGGAAGGCTGGCGGCGCATGACATCACCCTTCAAAACTGAAACAGAGGCCATACTTAAAGTGGAAAATGAACATAAGAAGCTGTCTTGCACTGAGTCATAATGCACCACTGAGTTATCATGCACTCTGGTCCCTAGACCGTCCTGGAGTAGATTTCCTTGTCCTCACAGCTCTGGACTCTTATGAGGTCCAGCTGGACCGGACCAAAGGCCTATCTCCGCCTGCATTCCCATGAGATCCAGCCAGATGCCTCCTGTCAACATGAGAGACTTCGCATGCAAAGCAGAATTGGGTGGGGATTTGTTGCTACACCTCACAGAGGTAGCAAAATGTTTTTGGACACCACATAAACAGAGGAATGGTTTGCAGAAGCATCCTCAAGCATGATCTACAATTTAGACTTCTAATTACGACCCCGAGCCAGCCAGCCCCCCCACTGGAACTCCAGGTCAAATGTGCACACACACACCCCCGCCCGCTGTGTCCCACCAAATAAGGCCTTGGCATTCTGACTCCCTGTACAAATGATATGGGATGGTTGCCATGGAGAGTGGTACCCTGGTTGCCATGGGAGCCCTATTACCCCAGCCCCCATTTCTGCTGTTTCTCAGGCAGATTGAAAAAATGCACAGCCAATTTAGGGGACACACACAAAAGACTGCTGTCCTAAAATTTAATTCATCCATATATATATATATATGCCATCACCAAAATCCCGAGTGTGGCCACATGAATGGGGGACTGGGCTGCCAGATGTTGTTATAGAACCATAAAATTGTAGAGTTCTAATCCAACCTCGCGCAATGCAGGAATCTTTTGCCCAACATGCATGGGCGTAGCCAAGGGGGGCAGGGAGGGGGCAGCTGCCCCCATCAAGTAAAGCAATAGAAATACTTAACTGAGGTTCTGCCCCCCTCCACAAAAATCCAGGTTAAGCCCATGTCAACGTGCGGTTGGAATCTATGACCCTGAGATCCGCTTATATACCCCACCTTTTCCTCAAACTGGGACTCAAGGCGGGTTACACAAATTAAAACGGCACATAGGCACAGAAACAGAAAGAGAAAACGTGGGAAATAACCGCTGAAAAAACAATTATTACAAAATTAAAACCATGCTTTAAGAAACACAACTAGCACAAAAGAGCGCAGCACAAGTTAAAAGCCGACTCCTTAGAGTCCCCCCAAGCCTGCCGGGGAGGAGAGGAGCGGGGAGGAGCCGGGAAGGAGGCGGCCGCGGAGGGGCGGATCGGACATGGCTGATGACCGCGCAGGCAGCAGCCGCCTAGCCGAGGTTCAGCGCCGCGTCGCCCAGGTGCACCACGAAGGCGATCCGGAGCAGGAGCTCCGTTTCTACGACGGCTGGGCTCCGGAATACGAAGAGGTTACTCCTCCTCCACCCCCTCCTTACCCCGCTTCGCTTCTGCCCTTAGTTCGTCCCCTCTGCCTCCTGGGACCATTCTTCTCTTTCATTCCCTAAGGAGACTCTTGAGCGCGTGCAGAGTTCTGCCTTTCTCTCTCCTCCCATGAATCCCGGGTCAGCAGTTTAGCCATCATTTTAAAGGGCAGACTGGGGGTGGGGATTAGAGAAATTGAGTGTTGGACCAGGACCTGGGGGTACAGGGTTCAAATCTACCACTCAGCCATGAGGCTCAGAGACCTTGGGCTCGCTGTCTCCCAGCCTGCCCTTACCTCAGAGGGTTGCTATGGATATGAAATGAGAGGGAGGAACCATTTGCTTCACCTTCAGCTCCTTTGGAGGGAAAGCTGGGATATAAAAGGAATACATAAATAAGTAATAAATTAATGGATAGAGGTCCCACCATCATCTCACCTAAATAGAACCTCCACGTTCAGAGGCAATCTACCTTGACACCCATTGCAGCCACAGGATGCATGAGATAGTTGGGCAAATAACAGGCCTGCTTGTGGGCTTCTCAGAGGCAGCTGGTGCTTCTAAAATAAAGTGGATACCTAGCTTGGTGGACTTTGGGGCCAATTTTGGCAAAGCACACCCGCCCTTCTGAATTTAAATCCCCCCAAACCCATCTTCTCCACCTGGGCACAATAATTAATAATAGAGAGGGTGTTCTTGGGCATATGTAGAGTGCCGGCATCAGAAAGGCAGTCCGCCATTGAGCAGGCTTGCTTTAGGGGCTGATGGGAGCTGGGGTGCAAAATATCTGGATGGTTGGGGAAGGCTGGAAAATCAAAAGGGTCCCTCCTACTAGAAGGAAGAGTGGTGTAAAAATAAAGTTAATAATAGCAGGTAATGAAAAGAAGATATTTCAACGCACACACAATATCGTAAGTATTGCCTGCTGGATCAGGCTAATGGCCCATGTGATCCATGTGTTTTTACAGTGGCCAGTCAGATGCCTATGGGAAACCCGCAAGCAGGATTTGACCGCAGGAGCAGCACTCTCCCCTCCTGCGATTTCCAGCAGCTGGTATTCAGAAGCATTGGTGCTTCGAACTGTGGAGGCAGAGCCGAGCCATTGTCGTCTGTAGCCTTTGTCCTCCACAAATTTATCCAATCCTTTTTTAAAAGATATCTGACTTGGTGGCCATTATTTCCTCCTGTGGCCACGGGTTCCGCAATTTGACTATCCATGCCTCACATGGAATCCAACCAAGTGAAGAGGCCAGAGAGAAGAATTGCTTATATCAGAAGGAGGGTGAATTAATCAGGACGGGAGTTAAAAAAGGAGTCAGCCACCACTTGGGTTTGGGGGAGAATTTTGATTCAGTTCACATTTGCAGGTGAACAAGTTCTTTCCAGAACAATACAAACCACAGCCACCCCTCAAAATTTGCAGTACTCCATATTTTGCCATGCAGCTCTCCCAACGGTTACACAAATGCATATATTAGCAGAAAATGTGCATAAGAATAAATATGCCACTAAAAACAACATACAGAAGTGGATTATATTAGGGAAAATTGCTTGCAGAAATGTTTGCTGGTCAAAACTGCATACAGAAAAATCGGTATATTAGAAGAAATTCACACGAAAATGGTGATGAATTTTCCTGAGGATTTTTTTTAAAAAATGCAAATATATGTAGAAATGCAGAGAAGTGAATTCAAGACTGGAAAAACGAGAAAGAGAGGTCTGAAAATGACAGGTCCATCCTCCATCCATCCTTACCATGGCCATTTAGCCACAAGCACATCCTTTTCTCCACTCATCTCCCATGTGCTAAGAACTTGCTGGATTCAGCCAATGACCCATGTGGTCCAGCATCCTGTTCTTACAGCAGACACCCAGATGCCCCAATGAAAAACCCTCAAGCAGGACCTGAGCACAAGAGCCCTGTCCTCTCCTGTGGTTTCCAGAAACTGGTATTCAGAAGCATCGCAGCCTCCGACTCTGGAAGCAGAGCAGAGCCATCATGACTAGTAGCCATCAATAGTTCCCTCTTCCATGAATTCCTCCAATCCTTTCTTTAAAGCCATCCAAGTTGGTGGCTCTCACTGCTTCCTGTGGCAGTGAGTTCCATAGTTTAACTATGCCCTGTGTGAAGGACTTTCTTTTCTCTGTCCCGAAACTTCCAACATTTGGTTCCCTTGGGTGTCTATGATTAGAAAACTTTCCTCTATCCATTCTCTATCCTATAAACGCCTAATCGTGTCTCTTCTGGTTCGCATTTTTTCCAGACTGAAAAGTCCGAAACGCTGATAGCTTTTGCTCCGCCTTGCCAGTCCCTCCCCAGGCCCAACCTGTTTGGGGAAAGGAGGATTTTATTACCGCAAATGTCTCCATCTCAGCCAAGGTCCCCTGGAACTGGGCAGAGCCCAAGATATCTGCTCTCCAACTGCCCTGGAACACCTGGAGCAATGAAATCAGGACGGCAGGGGGAATGGAATGTTTTCTTTGGATGTGAAAAGGCCAAAAGTACAATTCCTAGCAGAGCCATAAGTTCTGTGTGTGACAAACCTTCCTTTCACTTCCTGCAGCCAATATGGTGTTTAGTTAGACGTATGCTGCAAGGGGTTAAAAATACCAATGCCGGGAGGTTGGAAAAGGTTCAGAAAGGGGCAACCAGAATGATACAGGGGGTGGAGCAACTTCCCTATGAAGAATGGTTGCTGCATTTGCAATGGCTCCCAATCGAATGTTAAAAACAATACTGACATGATAGGAGCTTACATGATAGGAGTTTATAAAATTAAGCACCGCAAGGAGTAAGTGGGTAGAGGAAAGTTTGCCTCCCTCTCTCATACCACTAGAACTTGTGGACCAGTGAAGCTGAATGTTCAGAGATTCAGGACTGGTCAAAGAAAGGATTTCTTTGCGCAATGCATGGTTAGACTATGGAACTCCCTCCCACAGGAGGCAGCAGTGGACACCAACTTGGATGGCTTTAAAGGAGGCAGTAATGCTTCTGAATTCAGCCCAGACACTGAGGTCCAGCTGCGAGGGCCTTCTGGTGGTTCCCTTGTCAAGGAGATAATTGACTATACAACTTTTAGAAGACATCTAAAGGCAGCCCTATATAGGGAAGTTTTTTTAAATATTTGATGTTTTATTATGTTTTTTATATCTGCTGGAAACCACCCAGAGTGGCTGGGGCAACCCAGTCAGATGGGTGGGGTATAAACTAAAAATAGCAATAATAATGATGATAACAACAACAACAACAACAAAAAACTGTTGCTGGAAACCACAGGAGGCGGAGGGTGCTCATGTGTTTGTGTTGGCCACTGTAAGAACAGGATGCTGGACCAGATAGGCCATTAGCCTGATCCATTGGGCTCTACTTATGAAGTTCGGTCCCCACCCTGTTCCTGACTAGACCTCTTTTCCCCTGTAGGATGTTGCTGTCTTGCAGTATCAAGCCCCCCGACTGGCTGCTGCCTGTTTGGCCTCCGTTTTCCAGGAACCCCTCCAGGACGCTCTAGTGCTCGATGTGGCCTGTGGCACAGGACTTGTGGCCAAGGAGGTAACTGGGGCACCCCAGCCCAATCTCAGCAGAGGGCATCGTAGGGTGTGTCTCCACCCGTGTCATTGGCCAGACCTGGGGACCATCAGCTGATGTATCAAGTTATTTGGGGCACAGTGATCTCACCCTGCTGTGAACTGCCCCAGTCTGATGGTGCTCTCGTCTCTGGGAAAGACGAGCATCTTAATGAGGCTGCCACTTGAGTCACGGGGTCTTATTTCATTGAATCTAGTTTTTAATGGATTAGGATGTTCATTAATATTTTTGTGCTATTGTTAGGAGTTGATCCATCGGTTAAACTGGGGCAGGGAATATTTTGCAGCCTGGGGGCCATATCCCCCTGTGGAGACAGAGCATAGACATTGTGGTCAGTAGCCATTTAAACCCTTATTATTCTCCATGATTTTGTCTAGTCCTCTTTTAAAGTATCCAAGTTGGTAGTTATCCCTGCCTCCAGTGGGAGAGAGTTCCATAAGAATGTCAGAGGAGCCAACTGGATCAAGCCAAAAGCCCATCTAGCCTGTTCTCACCATGGCTGACCAGGTGCCTATTGGAAACCTGCAAGCACTAAAACACTCTCCCCTCTTGCAGTTTCCAGCAACTGGTACCCAGAAGGCTGTGCCTATATTGTCCAAAATCAGTTTGAAGTCCATATCGTTATACCAGTTTCATAATTTTTCACCTGGCAATATATCACAAATCATGAAATGTTTGTGTAAATCATGGGGAAAACTGTGAAGCCAGCCAATGCCTCTACAGAGCTCCCCATCTTTATTTCAGACACTGTATCGGTATATCATGATGTTTAGCTGGCGATCTATCACAATGTTGAAAACCAGATATCGCCCAGCTACCCCGACACCATCCCTATCTGGCTCCTGCGGGTGTCACTTGTGGTGTCCAGTAAGCTGGCGTTTGATTGGCAAGCAGGAGTGGGTGTGGTTCCAGGCTGATGTCGTGTGACTTAAGCTGCACCTTCTAAGCTGCAGGCAAAAGGTTTCTGCCGCCTCCACGGCCTGGATGGCAGTAAGGGGATGCTGGAACACGCGTGTCGCAAGGGGATCTACCAGGATCTGAAGAGGTGCCTCTTGGGGCAGGAAGCCTTACCAGCTCCTGAAGGTAACAGGGCCAAGGGGTGCACCACTTCCTGAGAAATGGGTTGAGTGGGTGGGTGAGTGGGTGTGGGTTAGGGTGCAGGGGGTGAGGCTGTGGTGGGCAAGGCGATGCTGTTGCTGCTACTTCCCTGCATTAACCTCTGGAACTCACCCCAAGGACCTAGTGCATTGTCTGGGGCTACTCCCAGAATGACAATAGTCTGTCACTTGTCAGGAGTGGGTCAGCAATAAATCACACGGAGCAAGTGAAGTTAACTATGAGAAGAAACAAGGTCTGCTCAGTAGCGCCAGGCCTAATGAGCACAGCAAGTAGATCTTGCCCCTATGAGTCAGTTGTGGGGACTGAAGGTCCCTGCCTTCCCACAGCTGGCCAAACCTCCTCCTCTCCCAGGTCCTTCCCAAGCAATCTGAGACTGCACCGGTGCATCCGTCTCTACTCCTCCCTCTTCATATCTCTTATGTGGTTCCGGGAGACCAGAGGGGAAGGGGGAAGCAGGAGGGGAAGACACCTGTGCCTCTTAACCAGCCTGCCTGATCTCTGCCTCTTGGCCTCCCTCCCCTCCTGCTTCAGCTTCTGCCTCTGATTCTGGACTTCTGTCTGCCACAGACCCTTCCTGTTCACTAAACCCTGTTACCTCTTCAGCTTCCGACACCACCTCCTCCCAGTCTTCCCCCTCTGACCACTCAGCATCGTCCCACCACCAATCCCCTGGCTCTGAGCCTTCTTCCCTGGGGAGTTCCCCAGCTGCTTCCTCCCACCATTCCTCTGCATCTAGCCCAGGCTTCCTCAGCCTCGGTCCTCCAGATGTTTTTGGCCTACAACTCCCATGACCCCTAGCTAGCAAGACCAGTGGTCAGGGATGATGGGAATTGTAGTCTCAAAACATCTGGAGGGCCGAGGTTGAGGAAGCCTGATCTAGCCAGCCCATTACATCACTTGAGACCCAAGTGGGATCAGTAATGTGGAGTGTTGTTTTTGCAGTTCCGTCCAGTTTGCTGGTGCAAACTGTTCCTGGGCACGGTCATTCATGCTGTAGTAAAAACAAAACGATAACCTCCCCAATCTGGACTCCTGTAATTCTCTCCACATGGGGCTGCCCTTGAAGATGGTTTGGAGACTGCAGCTGTGCAAAACACAGCAACCCGAAACCTGATGGGCTTTTCCTGCCAAGGAGCATGTTACACCTGTCCTTAAACACCTGTGCCATTTGCCTGTTCATCCCTGAGCCCCAATTCAAAGCGTTAGGCTATTTTTAAAAATGAAAATGTATTTATTTGTATAAATAAATAACCAGTGCTGTTGCTTCTGACCAGGGTGCTATGACGCTGTTCTGATCGTGGGGGCGCTCAGCGAAGGACAGGTGCCCACCAGCGTGGTTCCAGAGTTGCTTCGTGTCACCAGACCAGGTGGGGCTTGTGCAGGAGATGCCCTGTTGCAGTGGGGGTTGTGTGTGTGTATATATATGTAAAACAGGAAGCATCACCTAGGTTCATCACTGGAATGTGTACAGAGGAGAAGCGACCAAGAGGATCAAGGGCCTGGAAAATTAGCCTGATTAGGAACAGTTGAGGGAGTTGGGGCTGTTTAGCCTGGAGAAAAGAAGACTGAGAGGTGATAGGATAACCATCTTCCAATCCCTGAAGGGCTGTCACATGGAAGATGCAGCAAGCTTGTTTCTGCTGCTCCAGTGAGGAGGACCCAAACCAATGTCTTCAAATTGCAAGGAAGGAGATCCCTACTAAATATTAGGAAGAACTTCCTGACAGCTGGAGCTGTTCAGCAGTGGAATGGGCTCCTTTGGAAGGTGATGGAATCTCCTTCAAGGGAGGTTTTTAAACAGAGGTTGGATGGGGTCTGTCAGGGAGTCCTGCATGCAAGCAGTTGGGCTGATCCACCAAGGGGGCACCCATGAATCTGTGGCCGCTAGATGGTGCTGGGAGACCTTTTTAACCAGCCACAGCTAAGGAGATCTACTCTAGTTTAGCTGGGGAAGAGGAATAGTTCACTTGCATTTGGTTGTTCGGAAAAGACTTCCTTGAATTCAGGCCAGTCACACTGAACCACTTTTAAGCCTCTCCCGTGCTCTTCAAGTGAATGTATGAAAGGCATAAATGCCTTTTAACATGTGTTTATATTGGAGTTTTTAAAACTGTTTTGACAGCCAGGAGTGAGGATTAACAGCCATGTTTCTTAAACTTTGCTGTGGTATTGTGGGTTTTTTTTAAAAAAAAGAAATGCCCCCCTTAAAGAGCTGTACTCTCCTTGAAATTTCATGTTCAGTCCTCCACTATGTTCCCCACAGGATTGGACACATTTAATCTCCACATTTTAATCTGTATGGAAGTGTGATGGAGAAAGGCCTTCTCCGTTTAGCCAATGCAGATTTCCTTCTCTCTCCCTTCATCCTGTCCTCCAATGAATCTGTCCAGATGAGGAATTTTTTTGGGTCAGTTTCACCAACGCTTTGGGGGCGGGGGGCGGGAAGAGTGGTTTCCCCTGGGGGAAAAGCAGCAGGACAAGTGTGGATAAGCTCCTGTGATGCTGTCAGGGCTTTCCCTGGACCTGATCAACATCCTTCTTTAATAACAGGAGGCTACCTGTGCCTGACCACCCGGAGCAACAGGGGCAACCTGGAATACAAGGCCCAACTGCAGCAAGTCCTGAACGAGCTGGAGCAGCGGGGACTGTGGCTAAAAGTCATGGAGCAGGAAGTTGAGGCGTGGGAGCGGGCGACATCGGAGAAGGAGTCTGCACAAGGTGTGGAGTATATTCCTGGCGTAGTGTACCTGTATCAAAAGAGCCCTGTCTTGTGAGGAAAACCTGCCATTCCTCTACTTGCTGAGAGACCCCGCAAGGCTGGAACTTTGCTATCCAGTGGGTGGAGCATTTAATAAAGCAGTCTGTGCCTTTGAGCATGTGCAGACTGCCTTTGGACACTAAATAATCACCGTGAACACCCTCCCCAGGCTTGTGCTTCTATGGCCATGGGACCTTCATATATCTTAAAGGCAAATTTCCTTAGGCTGGCCTTTTCCAACTTGGTACAGACACATTGACGTCTTTTTGGACTACAACTCCCCTCAACCCCAGCTAGGACAGGCAGATTTCAGTTTTCATTGGGTCAGCCTTCCCTCAACCTCCTGCAGTGGCTCAGATTCAGAACGTGGTAGAAATTGGGTTCAATTTGCATTTAAAGCCCAGCTTATCGATGTCGCATTTTCCAAAACAATGTGAACTGAAGCACAGCTATCCTTAGAAATCTGCACTTCTCAGAGTTTTGCAATGCCGCCATGGCTTTCTCCCAAAGAATTATGGGAGCTGTAGTTTGTTAAGGGTGCTAAGAGTTGCTGGGAGAGGCCCCTATTCCCCTCTCCCAGATCTACGACTCCCAGAGCGGCTTAATAGTCAACCCTTCTTCCCTGGGAACTATAGTTCTCAGAGGGGAATTGGAGGTCACCTAGCAACTGCACTCATAACGAACCACACTTCCCAGTATTCTTTGTGGGAAGCTATGAGAGTTTAATGTGGCACCGTAGTTCTTTAAATGCATGGTATGAATGGGGCGTCAAGGTTTCTGAGCAAAATCAGTTTTCGGTGCAATAAAAGGAAGTGTGTGGTGGTGAGGTTTTTTCCTTCATTGTTCCTCATTTGTAGCTCAGGCAATATACCCTTTGTTAGTTTGGCCCTGGTATTGCTTCTCCTAGCAACCAAAATAAGCAAACATTTGTAGCTGGAAGGATACCTGGTTAAGGACCTTGAAAATGAACAGGAGAGCGGAGAGTCATTGAGAAGGCAGGGAGGGCACCAGCCTTAAGAACATAAATGGAGCCTGCTGGATCAGGCCAGTGGCCCATCTAATCCAGCATCCTGTCCTCACAGTGGCTGAACAGATCCCTGTGGGAAAAGCTGAGAGCAGGATTTGAGCACAAGAGCCCTTTACCCCTCTTGTGGTTTCCAGAAAAGGGTATTCAGAGGGTTTACTGCCTCAAACTGGGAAGGAAGAGTATAGTCTTCATGGCTAGTTAGCCATCGATAACCCTTTCCTTCTCTGGTCGGCCACTGTGAGAACAGGATGCTAGACTAGATGGGTCACTGCGTGAACATTATTACATATGGACTACATGGGCCATTGGCCTCATCCAGCAGGCTCTTCTTACCCTCTTAAGATGTTCGTAGACAGTTTCTGTTGTTGGCATTTGTCTGTCTCAAGAGGCAATGGAGTGCACCTTCTGGGGTAAAGCCAGACTGCTGCGTTAGCAGCACCAAAGTGACCACCCTGGGCTGCCTGGATAACAAGACCCCCCCCTCTCAGCCTCACTGATGTGGTCCAAAGGAAAGCAGAGCAATACGTTTGGCACCAGCTTGGCTGCAGGAGTTGCTGGAAGGAGACGTATAAGGCGCCATCCAACTGTCTCAGGGACTCCACTCCTATTTTGAGTAGAGTTTACTCCTTAGCCAGGGCCATCCTAAGCATATCCGGTGCCGTGGTGCGAAGATCCCTCTGGCGCCGCCCTTTCCCAGAGTTGCCGACCTTTTTTAGGGCGGATGGCGCTGCCGGCGACGTGGCCAGCTTTGCAGGGCTGGAGGAGGCAGGCAGCAGCTGGAGGGCAGCTCCTCCGGCAGGGAAGAGGCGGAGGCTGGACGCGGCGGCTCCTGGCTCAGCTGCCCGCATGGTGGAGGTGGGCAAGGGCGGTGAGCTAATGCCGGGAGGAGCTGTGTCCAGCCCCGCCTCTTCCCTGGCGCCCTCCAGAACTTTGCACCTTGGCGCCCTCCGCCACTAGCCTCTATGGGTAAGATGCCCCTGTCCTTAGCCTTTCTTCTCCTGAAGATGTCCTGCAAGACAGCAGAGGCTTAGGATCAGAGTTTCCCTTCTCCTAGATGGGCTCCCTTCCCAGGTTGACGAGTCCCATCTGCCCCTCACTTCCTTCTGCGGCACATGCAGAAACTGCTTTCTTGGCCATTGGACCCACAGCTGGTCTCATCCGTTCAGTCTTCTGGAGCCTGTCTTTGCATGCAGGAAAAGCCCCTAACTCGCCAAGGGTTTTAGACCCACCAGCTACCCTCATTTGGTATAGGCAGCCAGTCGAAGCCATTGCAGGGCTGTGGCCGCTGTCACATGCTGACTAGTTCTGGGAGTCAAAGGTGAGAGATGAGTGCAGGATGGGAACCAAACATGGACAAACTACCCCGGAAGGAGCACAATCTGTTCCCCACCAGAGCTGCTCCCCCTCCGCTAACACCCTATATACCCAGAACAGTCTCTACAAACCCTCAGAAAATGGTGGAACTAGAGAAATATTAAATCCAAATGGGGAAGGGGGGGTAAAAGGAAGCCCAAATGTGTGAATGTTTGCACCTTCTCTCTCCAAACAATCTGAAACAAGGGTCTTGAAAGCGGCAAATCCTTGCAGAAATATGGATAAGGGTGAGTTCCATGTTGCCAAACTGGGTTCCCCAGTGGGCAAAAGAGGGTTATAACTCAGTTTGGCAGGTCTGCAAGGGAGGAAGGGACGGCGAGACAGAGAGCGAGAAAATGCTTCTTTCTGTAAAGGGCTTAACTAAAGTTGACTTAGCCTAATGGAGAAGAGAAGGATATATAAAAGCAGTTCCGGGCGATTTAATACAATGTGCATGCATGCCTTCTAAAGAACAATACGTGTGGGCCATTTAAAGGAGATCAAGGCTCCAGATAAATACTGACTTCCTGCCCACAATTAATGGAGTCGCAGGACCTCTTGGCTCCAACAGCTTCCTTGTGGGCAGAAAAGCCCCAGCTTGGGAGTCTTCCCGGCCAAATGGGATTCTTGCCTTTAAGGCAAGATTGCCACAGCAAAGCCCTGCGGTGATACATCAATGCTCCATTAAAGTTGTATTTTTATTTGCATTTTGCACCTGGTTTACAACCTGCACCAACTTCCTTGTGCTCTTTTTTGAGGAGTCACTGCTTATTTTAAAACACCAAAGTTTACATAAGGAGGACACCTCTCTCCCTCCTCTCTTTTTACAGGACGAATGTGGGTGGGTTTTGCAGAAGCTGAACAAAGGCGTGCGAGCGCAGATTTATGCTTTTGGAAATGTTACACAGCCTCATGCTAGCTTGGGTTGATGGAAGTTGGGCATCCAGCAACACGGAACTGACTCCCTCAGAAAGGCTCTGCTTTGTTGAAGGTTTTTAAGCAGAGGTTGGATGGGGGCCTGTCAGGGATTCTTTAGCTGTGGCTCCTGCATAGCAGGGGGGGTTGGACTTGATGAGGCCCCTTCCAACTCTATTTCGGTGATTCCATAATTCCATATCCTCCAACATTTCTCTGACATTCTCTTCCACATCAAGAAGCTTCTGCAGTTGATCTTGCTGCAAACATATACATCATATTCACATCTACATCAGTCACCTTGAGCCAATTACAACCTCTCGGTTGAACCTACCTCACAGGACTGTTGTAAAGAAAAAAAGGTGCGAGGGAAGGGAATGTGTGTAACACCTTCAACAGATAAATGGAATTTGAATAGAATTAAGCTGTAAACTGCCTTCCTGTCAGGGAAAAAGGCAGGATATAATACTAATATGATGAGGATGATGATGATGATGATAAGTTTGAGAATGATCAGGAACATACCAGAGAGTAAATCCCATTGAACTCAGTGGGACTTAGATCTGAGTAAAAATGCTTAGGATTTAAGTGTGAAGCTGCACAGTCTTTACTCAGTTACCTGAGAGTAAGCTCCATTGAATACAGTGGGACTTACTTCTCTACAGTAGACAGCGTAAGGCTCCATTTACAATCAAGGAATAAACACGTTTCCTAAAAATGGCTCGCTGCTGAAGCATTGCAATTTTAAGTGGATTGGTGACATTTTCCTTCAAGGCTTCATACGCCAGCTTCACCATTTCATTTGGTGCAGGAATTTTATTTTCAGTATAAACAGGACTCAATTTTTGCAGCTACTACACACACGCCACTTTTAATTGTTTTCCGAGATGTGGAGGGAAGGAAAAAGGGAAAGCGTGACATTGTGGGATCAAAACAGAATCTGGGACTGCTTCTGTAATTTTGGGACCGACCCTGGAAAACGGGGACACTTGGGAGGGTATGTGATTCGATCTGCCAAAGGTTGATATGGCTGGAGAACCGGTGGCCTTCCAAATCTTGCTGGACTGACTACAACTCCGACCATTCCCTGATCATGGGTCATGCCAGGGATGGGTGTCCCTTTAGTACCAAACGCCCCCTGAGTTCATACTCCAGCAAGGAGTGACTTGCAAAAAGCAACATGCAGCTTCTTTGTTCTCCCCCTGCACAAATCCTATAGAAGTGAGAAACCTTTCCCCTCCTGAAGCGAGAGGTGCGCCCCCACATAGCAGTCAAACATAGTCTTTCCGGGCATAGCTGCCCGGGGTGGAGTGCCTCCCCCCGGCCCAGTATCTCACTGGGTAAGGTTTGGTGCTCCCCTTCTGTGGGAAGTGGCAGCACAGCATGGCGCCTCCGAAGACCAGGAGGGCACTGGCTGCCCAACCCACATACAGCGAGATGCCCAGCTCTCGCTTCAAGGCCTCGGGCACCAGGGGGTTGTAGAAATTGCTGACGATGGCGCTGGCGGACCAGGAGATGGGGACAAGCAGAGTCAGTCCGGCCAGGATGAACCCCCCACCGGCCACTGCTGAGACTCTCCCCTTGGCCTCCGGGTCCTCCACGCAGCGGGTGCACTCAGCTCCGGTGATGGCCACGAGCAGGGCCAGGGCGGAGATGGCGATGGAGACCACCACCAGGGCGCGGGCTGCCTGAAGGTCAGCGGGGAGGTCCAGCAGCGAGTCGTAAACCTTGCACTGCATCTGGCCGGTGCTCTCGTAGACGCAGTTCATCCACAGCCCTTCCCAGAAGACCTGGGCCACGATGATGTTGGAGCCAATGAAGGCCGTCACTTTCCACATGGGCATGGCACAGGCCAAGATGGCGCCCAGGAAGCCCAGGACCGACAGCACCAGGCCTCCCATCTGCAAGGCCAGGACCGCCATCGTGCTCCCCCCTGCTGGGGAAACACACAGAGGGCGGTTAGTTGGAAGCAGGAGCCTTGGGGTTGGGAGAATGCCAGATAAAGCTTCCCAAACTTTCAAGGGTCAGGACTGAGGGGATTCTGAATACAGTGGAACCTCGGTTTTCGAACGTAATCTGTTCCGGAAGACCGTTCGACTTCCAAAATGTTCGAAAGCTGAAGTGTGCATTTCCGGAAGCATTTCCGTCCAGAAAACTCTATACAGAAGCCATGTGGCACGTTCAGATTCCGAAAAGCGTTCGAAAACCAAAGCAGTTACTTCTAGGTTTTTGGCGTTCAAAAGCCGAAACGTTTGACTTTCGAGATGCTTGAAAACTGAGGTTCCACTGTATATTGTCAGGAGCCAGAGTCAGGAGTATGTCAGCCACAAAACACCCGGTTTCAGTGAAGCTGACCCTTTATTCAAAGAAGCTAAACAGCTCTGGCTGTTTACACGTACATATACCTACCTACCTACCTACCTACAGAGCTTTTTTTCTAGGGGTACGCAGGGTTATGCATACCCCTAAACAGTCTGTGAATCTTTGTACTTTTGTCCATTAACTATTTATTTTTCCCGATTTGAACTATAAAATGGCGGTTTTCTTGAGTCAAAATGAGAGTACCCCTAAACGTTTTTTAAGAAAAAAAGCACTGCATACATACATACATACACAGACCATATGTATATGGTCATTTGAGCTCTGCCCCTTAGATACTTTTAGCTTATGAGATACCTTTTCAAGAAGGGCAATTTGCCAAACCCTAGAGCACCAGCAATCCAAATTATTAAAGGTTTTCCAGGATTCGGGAACACAGCCCCAGGCTGCCACCGAGAGATGAATATTAAGTTATTTACTTCTCAGATCCCACTCCATTTTTGTATACAGGTTCAAATTTGCCAGGTGGGAAGATGGAGCAATCATTTGCTGAGTTATCAAAGAGATCTCAGCAAACACCTCCACCCCAAATGCAGCAGCCTTTGAGCAGGCCCACAGCCTGTTTTTCTGGCCGCCACACCTGGCAGGGAGCGGGTGCGAGGGGGTGTAGTTCAGGGGGTTGTAGCTCAGCTGCCGCCAGCCCTAGGAGACCAGTCTCGGCTTCCGGCTCAGAGAGGAGGAGGCCCAAGCGCTCCCATGGAGTCTGCGTTGCATTGCCACCTCTTGAGCAAGAGTCTCCTTCTGTGGCGCTGGCCATGAGGGAGGAGTGCCTCCTTCCGCACCCTCTCTCTGTTTGCCCTCCCACCCAAGATGGCGGCCGATGTGAAGCCATGAGGTGGCCTGAGGCAAGGGACGGCCTGCCTGCTTCAGCCCTCACGTGGGAACAGTGTTCAAAAACATCTGGTGTTCAAAAACATCTCCACCTAAGAAAGAAGCTGTAGGTGTGAGGAAATAACCTGCCGTTGCTCCAGAATGATGTTGCTGGACCAGGGGTCAGCAAACTTTTTCAGCAGGGGGCCAGTCCACTGTCCCTCAGACCTTGTGGAGGGCTGGACTATATGTTGAGGGGAAAAATAATGAACGGATTCCTATGCCCCACAAATAACCCAGAGATGCATTTTAAATAAAAGGACACATTCTACTCATGTAAAAACATGCTGATTCCCGGACCGCCCGCGGGCCGGATTTAGAAGGCGATTGGGCCGGATCCGGCCCCCAGGCCTCAGTTTGCCTACCCATGTGCTAAACTGTGGCTCTCGCCATTTTGTCTGCTGGGAGTCTTCAGAAGGCCGCAGGGCCCTGCAGATAGTATGGAACTGTTTATGTGAGAAGAATGGAAACAGACTAATATTGATGCATCCCAACTAGAGACTTGCCCGGCCTCCCCTCCACACAGCTCCAAATGGCTTATATTTTATAGAAACATGGACTTCAGATCTATCTGTGGCCCCCGCTATAATGCTGAAGCAAGACATCCCAACCAGTATAAGACCGGCATCTGCAGACCATGCCCCATTGACTGATCAGGTTTTCTACTGTGAATGTTTAGCGCATCAAAAGAGAGAGAGAAGGGGAGGAGAAAGTCAGAGAGAAAACATTTCCTTTCAAGCATTTGCTTTGCTGAAATTTCTCATCTGGTCCGCTGATGGGGCTTGACTGGAATGTGTTCTCTCTCTCTCTCTCATAATGTTAGAACTCAAGGACATGTCATTAATCTGAATGCTGGAAAATTCAGGACAAAGAAAATAAAGTCCTCCTTCACACCAGAAATAATTAAACCATGGAACTCATTTCCACAGGAAGCTGCAGTCTAAAATCCTGCCGATTACTTTAGACAGTGCCGAGCTAGATGAGCCCATGACCTGATTCCATACAAGGCAGCTTCTGATGTTCCTCTGAGCAGTTTGCAAACTCAAAACTTCCCCTCTTCTTGCTCAAGAGCCCTATCTCAGCTCTTTACCTCTCAAAACCAGTTCTATCCCCACCCCTGGCACACACGCGCCCCAGTCTGGTATACGGTGTCTTCTTCCTCTTCCTTGGAATTACCAATGTGCCAAGACAAAGGTGGCAGAGCAATCAGGTTACTAAAAGACACACCCGCCTCCCTGCCCGCCCGCCCGCTAAGCAGCCGGAAAGGTGGTTCAGTCCTATTAGGAATATTTACCTGATGTTCTTGTTGCCCCACCTAACAGAAAGGATATCGTGGAGGTGGGGGAAGTAGCTACAAAATGATTGCGGAATAATAGATTTGTAGAGTTGGTAGGAATCTCAAGGGTAATCTAGTCCAACCCCCTGCAATATAATGCATTTTAATATTATTTACATGAATGTTGGCATTTTTTAACGTGCCCTTTCCCCTCATGTACACATTGTTTGGTTGTGCAAAATTCAGAGAGCTGCAGGATTTCAAAGGATGGCTTTTTTGATTTGCAAAATGTTTCGGGAGAGCAAATCAGGCTCAACTTGAAATGCAAACCAAACCAAATTTCTCCCTGCCCTTAGACACAAGCCAGGGTTTATTCAATTCTGCCCCCCCTCTACCTCAGGGACCTTCAAGGTTGTTAATGATCTAGCAAAAAACAACTAAAGAGAAATATATAAGGGTCAGTGATCGAAAACAATCCCTGAAAAACGGGCACAAGAGCCCCCATAATTTATTTAATATTTATTTGTGACATTTACATCCCACCTATTTTCTCCAAGGAGCTCAGAGTGACTTACATGGTTCTCTTCCTCCTCATTTAATCCTCGCAACAACCTTGCGAGGTAGATGAGGCTAAGAGTGAGTGACTGGCCCAAAGTGAGTTTCAGGGGTGGTGGGGAATTTGAACCCTGGTCTTTCCCAGGTCCTAGTCTGACACTCTAACCACTACACCACAGCTGGCTCCCTTAACAGGCTAAACGTCACAGCCCCAAGAAGATGACAGAGGATCTTGCAACCGTTAATGAGAAAGTGAATCATTTCCCCCTCAGCACAGAAATGATGTAAAGAAATTGCATGAAAGGAGTATAATATGTGGAATGGAGAGGACAGAAAGGTGTGCTTCTTTTTTGTTATTTATTCAAAGCATTTCTAGGCTGCTGGATGGAATTTACAATCAAATAAAAGGCAATTTGAAAATGCAAAAATAAAATACTGAAACACACACACGCGCACACACACCAGAATGCCTAACTTGAGATTCTCTATCTCTCTGTCTCTCTCCCACCTTTCTCCCCCTCTTCCTACTCGGGCATCCCTGATTCAGGCAGAGGCAGAATATGAAAAGCCTGGCTGTCAAAGGAGAGATCAGCCTCAGAGCATCGCTTGGGCCACAGAAAACAGGATAGTTGAATGTTACTGTAGCTGATGGGAGCACACAGCCCTGCTGGCTGGGGGCACTGATGGAAAGGTGCCACACTAAGAAGGCCAGCATAGGTCAAAACACCCACTTCCCCAAAAATATACTGACTGAATAATGGGCTGGAGCCACTAACCAGAGGGAAAGAGGTTCAGAAATTGACCTGAAGAGTCTCTGGAGGTCCCTAGCCCCAGATACAACGTTTCTGGCAGCGACTGGTCCCCAAGGTTGCACCCTGTGAGCTTCGTGCCCAAGTGGGGATTTGAACCCTGGTCTCTCCTAGTTCCTAACTTGTCACCACAACACCACAATGCAGAGTCTTAGCACCCAAACTCTCACTGGCTTCCCCCTGCCACTCCACAGTTCCAAGCCAGGTAGCGAGATGCAGCTTCCAATCCTAGGCAAACCCAGAAATGCTCCTGGAACACAGAGACACACACAAACCCTTAACCCCCACCATCCTGGGGCTGTTAGTCCCATCCCTTTGTGGCTCTTGAGTCTCAAAGTCACAAGGAAGCTTCCCTCAAAAGCTTCAGTCCAGCTTAGAAATCTAACATCCGCCGGGTGGTTTGGAAGCTCACTCTGCTTCTGCAGCTCAAAGGCAGTGTGACGGAAGCCAGTTCCTGGCCTGCTTTGGTGGTCAACCTGGCCGCGTTCCCGTGGGCACAGCAAACAAAGGCTGCTTCCAGAGTCAAGACACAAAGTGCGGGGGGTGGGAGAGAGACTCAGGCAGTGAAGGAGGGTCCCTCTCCATCCGCAGTAAAACCTACTCAGTCGCCTTCATGGTGGAAAGGTCCCTCAGGAGAAGGGGATGGTCCTTAGACGTAGTTACTGGCAGGCACTGACCGCGCCGCCATGTACTTTGCTGAATACGGCTTCTCACTTTTCGGAGGGCAGTTGCAGCACAGCAAGGCCCCTCCGATGATCAGGAGGCTGCTGGAGGCCCAGCCGATGAACAAGGAGGGCCCGAAATCCCGCCTCTGATTGTAGGCAAGCATGGGGTTGTAGAAGTCCTGGATGATGGCATGGGTGGTCCAGCAGAGGGGGATGAGAAGCAGGAATCCCGAGAGGATGAAGAAGACACCAGCCGCGATGATGACCCGGGCCTTGGGGACTTCCTCCTCCACGCAGTTGGTGCACTTGCCGCCCAGGATGGCGAAGCAGGTGCCCACCACCGCCAGCACAATGGCAATGACCACCAGGGCCCGGCCAGCCTGGATGTCCTGCGGCAGGCCCAGGATGGCCTCATACTGTGTGCACTGCATCTGCCCAGTGCTCTGCATCACGCAGTTCATCCACAGGCCCTCCCAGATGCGCTTGGAGAGCAGGATGTTGTCATCCTGGGAGATGGCCACTTTCCACATGGGGAGAATGCAGCAGGCGAGCGAGCCCAGCCAGCCGATGATGGAAAGGGAGATGCCCAGGACTTGGATTCCCATGGAGGCCATGGCTTCTGGAACTTTGGTCTCCCCTGCTGCGCACCTGCAGCCGAATGGTGAGCGGAAAGACTTGGGAGTGTGAGGCAGGTGGGGAAATTTGGGAAAATTATAGGCTGCAACAGTGGGTGGAGTTTCCTGGCTCCATCCTGGCTGAGAGGACCCAGAGGCTCAAACCTGTTCCCCGGGATTCCTCTGCATCATATAGGCTGGGATCGTTGCGGCACATCTGGGACGAGAGGGCTGAGTTTCCCTGTTCCTGTATCGCTTGGGGAAACCAGCCAGGGATAAGATGGGACGGGTGAAAGAGGCTGGCCGGATGCTGTTTGTAATAAATGTGGGGTTACTCGTGCGCAAGTTGGTGCCACTCCTGGCTTGTTTGCCTTGTTAAACCTTTTCTGTCTGGACAGCCCTACACTTCGTGGCTGTTCAGTCGCTAGCAGAATCCGTCAGTGGGCGTTTCTTAAACCTTTTCCAGCATAAAAGTTGTTTGACTCCAAGTCTCCTCCTACTCTCCCTGCGCGGAAGTCTTCTGCGCAGGGAGGGCGTGGGTAGCGGAGGACCCGTGCTCTCCTCACTGATCTCCGGCGAGGAGTCCTGGAGCCCCCTCGCCAATTCTCCCATCTGCCCCCCTTTATCCCTGGTGTTACGCTGATTTCCTTCCCCAGCTGGTGAGCCGCCTCTCCCCCTGCTGGGCCCTTCTCCAGCATCGCTTGAGAGCCTCGCCTCCGCCTCTGGCTCCGATGTCAGTTCCCTGACATCCACCTCCCCCCCAGGACCCCCTTCACCCCCGGCCCGACCTTTTGATCCAACTTCGTCCCTTTCCTCGGCCGACGATGCGGGGAATCCCCGGAAGGAGCTGTCGCCATCCTCTGAGGACTCAAAACCCGCTTCCCACCCGCTCCGATCTCTCCCCGCGGGGTGGGCCTCCCAGTCTGATTCTTCTTCCTCCAAAGCCTCTCCTCCCTCCTCTTCGGAGGCAGAAAAACCCACAAAATCCTCTTCATCGTCTGTGGTTCCAAATTGCTCCTCCCAGAATCTCGCTAGTGGTTTGGGTTTGTCCGGGAACAGGCTGTGGAATTCCTCCACAAGATACCCGTCATTGATTGCCTCCGCGGGAACCCATGTGTTTTCTGACCCGGGTTCTCCCTCCCAAGCTACCAGGTACTCCACCTGGCGCCCTCGCCACCTTGAATCGAGTATTTCCGTGGCCCGGTTGTGGTGTTCCCTCTCCTCTATCTGCGGGTGTGTGGTGACTTCGCCTTCCCGCCCGGGACTCCCCGCCCTCCCTGTACGGTGAGAGTAGGGACCTATGGAACACCGGGTGTATCTTCATGCTGTCTGGCAACTTGAGCTTGAATGCCACGGGGTTCACCTGCTGTGTTACCTCAAACGGCCCCAGCCGCCTAGGCTGCAACTTCTTGCACCCCCCCTTAAAGGGTAACCCCTGGGTTGACAACCACACCCGGTCCCCCACCCGTATGGTCTCCCTTTCCCTACGGTGCTTGTCTGCCTGCCTCTTGTAAATTTCCTTGGCCCGTTCTAAGTTCATCTTAAGTTGCTGGTGCAGGGCCTCCATTTCTTCCACAAACTGCTCTGCCGCAGGTACGCTCCACCCTTCCTCCCCACTCCCCGGGAAGGCCCTGGGGTGACACCCATAATTGGCCATGAACGGGCTCATTCCCGTGGACACATGTTCAGCGTTATTGTATGCAAATTCAGCCAGCGCTAGTTTCTCTACCCAATCGTTCTGCCTCTCTCTGACGTAGCAGCGTAGGTATTGCTGGAGTACACTGTTCGCTCTTTCTGCTTGCCCGTTGGTTTCCAGATGTCTCGCCATCGAGAAGCTCACCTCTACCTGCAGCAAGCTCATGAGCTTCCTCCAGAACTGGGAAGTAAATTGTTTCCCGCGATCCGAAATTACTCTCGAGGGAGCCCCATGCAACCTGAAGATGTGATCCACAAACAACTTGGCTGTCTCCTCTGCGGTCACCGCATGTGAACAAGCTATGAAATGGCACATCTTTGTCAATAGATCGACTACTACCATGACTGCTGTCTTCCCCCGGGACTTGGGCAAATCGGTCATAAAATCAATGGACACCACCTCCCAGGGTCTTCCCGGCGTGGGTAAGGGTTCCAGTAACCCTGCGGGGGCAGCCCTTTCCCCCTTTGCCCTTTGGCAGCAGTCGCACCCCCGTACATATTCCCGTACATCCTCCCTCACCCTTGGCCACCAGAACTGCCTGGTGACGAGCATCATGGTTTTGTGCTGTCCAAAGTGCCCAGCTGTGGGGTTGTCGTGGAGTTGTTTGAGTACCTTTCCCCTCAGGGTCTTCCCTGGTACATACAGTGCCCCCTTATAGTACAGCACCCCTTCCTTTTCCTCAAAACCCCCTTGGTTTTCTCTTCCATCTCGGAGTTCCCGGATTTTAGTTTGAGCAAACACGTTGTTTCTAGTAAGCCCGGCCAGTTCTCGTTTCCCAACCAAGGCCCCTCCACACACCCATCGGTCCTCGGGGATCACGTGTCGTATCTCCGGCGGTCCCTCTCCTTCCATGTACTCCGGCTTCCGGGAGAGAGCATCTGCTCTTACGTTTTCCTCTCCTGGCACGTATCGGATTTCGAAGGAAAACTTGGAGAACTCCTGTGCCCATCGAATCTGTCTCTGGTTGAGTACTCTTGCGGTCCTCCAGTACTCCAAGTTCTTGTGATCAGTTCTACACTTCGTGGCTGTTCAGTCGCTAGCAGAATCCGTCAGTGGGCGTTTCTTAAACCTTTTCCAGCATAAAAGTTGTTTGATTCCAAGTCTCCTCCTACTTTCCCTGCACGGAAGTCTTCTGCGCAGGGAGGGCGTGGGTAGCAGAGGACCCGTGCTCTCCTCACTGATCTCCGGTGAGGAGTCCTGGAGCCCCCTCGCCAATTCCCCCATCTGCCCCCCTTTATCCCTGGTGTTACGCTGATTTCCTTCCCCAGCTGGTGAGCCGCCTTTCCCCCTGCTGGGCCCTTCTCCAGCATTGCTTGAGAGCCTCGCCTCCGCCTCTGGCTCCGATGTCAGTTCCCTGACACTGTTGAATACAAAAGGTGTTGCAGAGCTGGGGGAAGTTCAGAAAAGGGCATCTGGAATGATCCAGAGATGGAGCCACTCCCATAGGTGTGAAGATTTTGCTGTGTTTGGGGCACCGTAGTTCAGGGGGACAGCGAGTGAGAGTTGGCAGGATAGACACTTAATAAATTATGCATGGCATGGGGAAAATGACTCAAAGGGACCCAAAATGTCATCTAATCCAACCTCCTGCATTGCAGGATAGAGAAAAGTTTTTTCTCCCTCTTTCATAATGCTAGAACTCATGAACATGCCATGAAGCTGAATGTTAGAAGATTCAGGCCAGAGAAAAGAAAGTCCTTCACGCCGCAAATAGTTAAACGATGGAATCACTTCCACAGGAGGCAGTGATGGCCACAAACTTGGATGGCTATAAAAGAGGACTGGACAAATTCAATGCAGATAAGGCTATCAGTGATTCATATCCATGATGGCTATGCTCTGCTTACATGGTCGGAGGCAGTAATGCTTCTGGATATGAGTTCCTGGAAACGACAAGATGAGAGAGAGAGCTCTTGTGCTCAAATCCTGCTTGCAAATTTCCTGTTGGGGCATATGGCTGGCCACTGCAAGAACAGGATGCTGGATTAGATTGGCTTGATCCAGTGTTATCTTCTTATGTTCTTAGGTTAACTTCTTGAATAGTTTGATTTGATACATTCAGGTTTGAATCAAGACAACACTCCAGGGGCTGATTTACTCAGCAGCGCTGTGATTCTCTTGGGTTGTGAAGGTCCACTGGGTTCATTTTGCAAGCATTTTAGCTCTGGCTCTATTTCCCACCACATAGAAATGATTTCTGTTGTCACTAATTACAGCTGCTTCAAATGGTCTTTTTGCTGACGTTTCGGCTCTGATCGACTTGCCACGGACTGTACCTGTTGCATGCCATTGCCATTTAATGCCAACCTTTGCCATTTTGTTTCCTTATCACCCATTTGTGCATAGAGAGAGATACACACCTGACAATAGAGAAATGTGTTCCCTGCCTTAGGTAAAAGTGGGCTCTAATCCACAGGAAAGCTTCTGACAGGTGCCAGGTGTGTAGCTCAGGGACAGAAGATTTGCTTTCAGTAAGGAAAGTCCCAGAATTGATCTCCAGGTCAAAAAGAATCACGTAGGAAATGATGGAAAGGCGGAGGACTGCAGCTCTGTAACTGAGCTTCTGTTTTGCATGTTGCCAGTCAGTGTGAGCAATACTGAACTAGGTGGAAAGTCGGACTGACTCATTCTAAGGCAGCTGCTTTCTACATTCCTGATTGGGAAGGACTGGTGCTCTGTGACAAAGCATCAGCTTTGCTTGCAAAAGCTCCCAGGTTCAATCAGGAAAAGCAGGAGCAATTGGATTACCAAGCAGGGTGGGACACAGTGTCTCCTTTGCATGCAAAGTGCCCAATCCCTGCTGGCATCTTCGAGCAAAACTGGGAAAAGACTCCCTAAGACCTTGGAGAGCTGCTGCCAGTCAGTATAGATAATATTGAGTCAGATGGACCAGTGGTTTCACTTGGCAAAAGGCAGCTTACTGTGTTATACCTTTAGTCAGAACAATGAGGACTGGAGCCTTGGGCTGTTTATAGAGGAAAGGCTGTAGTTCTGGCCGGTAGAGCATCTGCTCTGCATGCAAGAGGTCCTGGGTCCAATCCCTGCTGGCACCTCCAGGTAGAGCTGGGGAATAGACTCCCTGCCACAGAGAGACATTGCTGCTGCCAGCCAGTGTTATGATAGCAAGCTATCTAGGTCAATGGCCCTCCCACTTCCATGCAGTCTGCTCCAGACATCGTCTTGTCCTCCTTGGAGGGCGTGAGGTCCACAAGCAGCAGGGCCACGCCCTGCCACTGAAAGCACCAAACCGGTCTGGGCAGTGAATGTTACCAGACACACCGCACAACAGCAGCAGCAGCCAGCAAGCCATCATCTCAGAGGTCCGTGAAAATAGAAGCCAGGGAACATGGAGGGTGGCTCCACTCAAGGCAACCTGCTGCCATCCCTTCCTTCCCTTGTAAACATCTTTAGGATCACAGCCCCAAAAGCGACGCGGTGAATTGGATAAGATCTCTTTAATCAAGCGACCGCCCTAATAAGGTTGAGCACGTTGTTAAGCTCACAAGCGGAGTACTGGAAAGACACCCTCCACCCCGTATTCTCATAGGAGAAGGCTAGCATGGATCCACAGCTAGAGGCAGTAATGCTTTGGACATCAGCTGCTGGGAACTGCTGCAAGGGGAGATGGTGCTTGTGCTCAGGTCCTGCTTGCAGGTTTTGAATCTGGGTCTCCACAGGCCTAGACCAACACTCTCATGCTCTAATTCTTCACATTTTCATGGAGCAACATAGACCAAGTAGATAACATTGGGGTGCAGGCTGCCCAGTATCCCCACCCACCCTCTTTGGGCTGCCTGCTTGATGTTGACCCATGACAGGGCATATTCAGTGGTGGCTCCCTGGTTGTGGAATGCCCTCCCTCGTGAGGTGCATCTGCCTCCCTCATTATTGACTTTCAGGAGGAATTATTCAAAAAAAAAAAAAGTTTTGCCCAGGCCTTGGCTGGCAGAAAAACACTGTCCCAGACAACACAGAAACTACCAGCTGAGTGAATGCATTTGTTTAAAGCTGTTTGCATGATGTTTCCAAACAATGTTGTTGTTGATCAGTTTCTTGCCCGCGGCACCTTAGGGAGGAAGGGCGGGATGTACGTTGAATAGATGATGAAGATAAAATAAAGGTAATGCATTCAGACGCCTGGCGAAAACAGTGTGTGGCTCACGCGGGGTGCATTAAGTGCGCAACACTGTGTTGGGGAGATTTATTTGCAAGAGCAAATGTGCGGGTGTTCCTTTCGAGGAGGCGAATTCTCAGGTATTCAAGGCGTACCTATCTAGGAACGTACTCTGGCAAAGGAATGTGAAGGGCAGGGGCCGAGAATGAAAAGTTCTTTGTCATGAAAGGCTGGACAAGGGCCAGCGAGGATCTGCACAGCTTGTTGGCTTCCAGAGATCTCTGCCCAGCATTGCCCTCCATGCTTATGGCATGCAGGCGATGGAACTAAGAGCATAAGGAAAGCCTGCTGGGTCAGGCCAGTGGCTCATCCAGTCCAGCATGCTCTTCTCACAGTGGCCATTTTCTCCGGGATGCTTGCAGGGCATAAGGTTAGGTAAAGGTAAAGGGACCCCTGATCATTAGGTCCAGTCGTGACCGACTCTGGGGTTGTGGCACTCATCTCGCTTTTTTGGCCGAGGGAGCCGGAATACAGCTTCCGGGTCATGTGGCCAGCATGACTAAGCTGCTTCTGGCGAACCAGAGCAGCGCACGGAAATGCCGTTTACCTTCCCGTTTACCTATTTATCTACTTGCACTTTGACGTGCTTTCGAACTGCTAAGTTGGCAGGAGCAGGGACCGAGCAACAGGAGCTCACCCTGTCGCAGAGATTCGAACTGCCGAGCTTCTGATCGGCAAGTCCTAGGCTCTGTGGTTTAACCCACAACGCCACCCGCGTCCCATCGGGCATGAGGTTATCAAGGGCTATTAGCCACGATGACTGTGCTCTGCCTTCACAGTTGGATGCAGCAATGCTTCTGAATCCCAGTTGCTGGAAACCATAGAAGGGGAGGGTGCTCTTGTGCTGGACTCCTGCTTGTGGGTTTCCCATTGGGGCATCTGATTGGCCCCTGTGAGAACAGGGTACTGGACTACATGGGCCATTGGCTTGTTCCAGCAAGCTCTTCTTACGTCTTTATGGGCTGTTTGGGGAGGTTCCCTCTCCCTTAGGGGTTTATTTTCTAAATATTTGTCATACTTTTGCAAAACTGGAGGTTCATGCAAGCCTGCTGATACTTCCTCGCTTGGGCGGTTTAGTTTTGGCTCTGAGAACGAGTTAGCAGCTAGTACACCAGTAATCATCATACACCAGTAATGGTGACACCGTTCTGAGAAGGCCCATGCCGTCAGTTCTGCTTGCAAAACCATAGAGCTGAGCCAGTTATTCATTTCCGTCTGTTTGCGGAGTTCCCAAGGCCTTAGAACAGGCCCTTTCCACAACTCAGTATGTTTTTGAAAGTTCTGCAGCACTTGTCAAGCGTGAGCAGAATAGATCCAGGCAAAGTGGTTTGCAACGCAGCTCAGGTCTTGCAAACACAGCATCTGAACAGCTTATCTTAGCAGCCAGGAGGAATGTCAACAGGAAATGTCACCAAAGGTGGAACTGTCCCACAAAAAGACAAACTGAAGAGGTCAAAGGTCAGGAAAGGAGATTAATGTGTAAGGCCAGGTCACTGCCGTCACTTCCACCTGGCCAAGGCTAAGTCAACCAGGACAGTGCCAGGCCTAAGAGCCAGCAGCAAATCAAGGATGCTGTCTCAGGAAAACAAAAGTGGGATTTGAGTTGGAATATACATTGATCAAGGCATGTAGCTGAGCAGCAGAGCATCAGCTTTGCATGCAGAAGGTCCCAGGTTCAATCCTCAGTGACGTCTCAAAATAGAGCTGGGAAAAAGACTCACTGCCTAAAACCTTGGAGAGCTGCTGCCAGTCAGTGCAGACAGTACTGAGTTAGATGGACTAAGGTTCTGTTGAAGTATAAGGCAGATTTCTACAATCCTCTATAAAGCAGCCCTTGGTTTGGAACTGGAATCTTAGCTCGGTTGTTGAGCACCTCCTTTGCAGGCAGAAGGTCACAGATTCAATCCCTGGCATCTTCAGACAGGGCTGGGAGACCCTCTCTGGAGACACCCCTGCGCCTGAAACGCCAAGGAGCAGCTGCCAGTCAGTGTAGACAGTACTGAGCTAGATGGACCCAAGGGTCTGACTTGGTAGTTCTCAGAACAAACAAAGACTACCTGAACACACAAAGGCTGATCTGGGGAGAAATGATACTGGGCATTATATCAGCTGGATAGCTCAGCTGGTTCGAGCATGGTGCTGGTAATGCCAAGGTTGCAGGTTCAATCCCCATAAGGGGCAGCTGCATATTCCTGCACTGCAGGGAGTTGGACTTGATGATCCTCAGGGTCCCTTCCAAATCTATGAATCTATATGAGCATGTGGAAATACCCCTGTGGGGTGCCAGTCTCTCTCTGGCGGGATCCCAGCCTGTCTCAGGCAGCATTTGACCCAACCCACAACAGCTGGGCCCATGGCACCGATGCCCAGAAACCTCTTCTTCCTTTGCCAAGGCAATCTGGGGTGCTTCAGGCAGACTGAAGGTTAGCCCCCTGTTTGCTGAGCCCCTGAAATGCCCAGCTGGGCCAGGACGTGGCTGGGGGGAGGAAATGGGGGGAGGTCCACTCACCTGCGGAGCTCTCTGCGGCCTCCAGCGAGCGAAGGATGCCAGGAGATGGCGGAGGGAGGGAGGGGACGGGAGGGAAGGGGCGGCTGGCAGGGGTCTCTCCCTGGGCATGGAGTGGAGCTGCACAGCAAGCTCCTTGAGAGGGGAAGGCAGGGCCAGGCAGGTCGCCAGGGGAGGCGGAGAAAGCCACAGGGGATCAAGAGCAGGTGTGCGGAATGTGTGCCTGGAATCAACAGCCGGTCCTGGAGGGAAGGGAAGGAGACAGCTTTGGCTAAGGAGGCCCAGCGAGGACGTGAGTGCAACCAAAGACCTGCATGGCTGAGCTCCTGCTTCCCAACTCATCCTGCCTTGCAACAGTGAATCCTGGAGAGAGGGGAGAGAATGTCAGTGCACGCTCAGGAATTCCTGCAGCAGCTGTCGCAGAGAGTAACTCCCACCCCAGATACCTCTTTGATTATTTTTTATTTTGTGACTGATATATTGCATTTATATCCCACTTTGTTCTCCAAGGTGCTCAAGGTGGCGTGCATGGTTCTTGCCCTCCTCATTTAATTCCCACAACAGCCCTGTGAGGTGGGTTAAGCTGAGAGGCAGTGACTGGCCCAAGGTCACCGAGTGAGCTTCATGGCCAAGTGGGGGATTTGAACCCTGGTGTCTCCCAAGTCCTGTTTGAACCCTGGTCTCTCCCAAGTCCTAGTCCAGCATTGTAACCACTGCACCAGCCTGGCTGAAATAATAATAATGGTGAAATAATAATAACAGTAATAATAATGTTTCGAAATTAGGTAAGAGCTGGGAACATGATAGATATTGTAACACACAGCCCAAACTCTGAGCAGCAAGAGAATCTGGGGGTTCCAGCACTTACTTTGGTTTCTGTGGAATGAAGGTAGGTGGAGACTGTGGTGTCTTTAGCATTATACGGCTTTATTTACACATATATACATCCTGAACATGGGATGGAAGGGCTCATACTTCCTCCTCCAGGAAGCATAAGCCCACTTCTGACACCAGTGTTGCATGCTCCCCAATCTCTGAGCAGCAAGAGACTAGGTTCTAGCACCTATCCAGGTTCAGTTGTGATGCCCTGAGATCATTTAAGCTCGCTGATGACTTCTGGGGTTTTCCTGCCCTCTTTCTCCTAGGCTTCTTTACCAATAAGGGAAATTACTCTCTAGACAAAGCCAAACGCACAAGGTGTGTCCACATGATATCTTTAACAAGTGTACAATCTGTGCGCCTTTGTATACACTAGTTGAACAGACACCTGTACAGTTATTCCCAGATAATCGTCAATGAGTGTAGTGTTTGTGGTCCTCCGTAATCAACAGCTGAGCTGTACAACAATTCCGAACCCTTTCACACAAAAGCTTGCAGATGTGTAGAGAAACGGCTTGTCCAGTGTCCACAAGTGAACAGGCCTACACACAAACATGCTTTTCCTTCCAGGCACGCTTTCCCCGCAGGCATCTTTCACCAGGTTGCTTTCTGCAGACCTGCCCATTTGGGTCTCCACCTCCCATAGTTCCCTCCCTCGCTCAGTCCCCACATGTCACAGAACCACAGCTGGTGAGGAACACACACGGCCACGTGGGGGATGTTTGTTCTAACTGCAGCTAGTCCTCATGAATCCTCATGGGGTTTAGGGAGGTGAACCAGAACATCCCTCTCTCTGTCCCAGCGCCTGTCTCTCTGCCATCACTCTTAAGCAACAGCAAATCAGCCGTTACGGAAGAGTGACAGGCGCAATGTTTGCAAACCAGCGCTCTAGTGAAGAAATTCGAAACCCAGGAGCAGCCCTCGTGACTCAGGTTCTGGCTCTCTCATCTCCCAAATATGATCCGTGAGAGGAGCAGCGCTCAGAAAGTCCCGCTGGGAAAACGGTGAAGTGAAACCAGGTGGGGCCTCCAGATTTCAAGAGAGGGAATGTCTTGGGTCACATTCATACTACAGATTTAAAGCCCCCTTAAAGCACTTTAACATAAAGGAAAAAGAGACTCCCTTAGGAGGAAAGGTTGCAGCGTTTGGGACTTTTTAGCGTACAGAAAAGACAAGTACTGTATGAGGCAGCATGATAGAAGCTTATAAAATGACAGCAGCTTATAAAATTAAGCATGGCATGGTAGAACTCATGCACATCCCATGAAGCTGAATGTTGGAAGATTCAGGACACAGAAAAGAAGGGACTTCTTCACACATTGTGTAGTTAATCTATGGAACTCACTCCCACAGGGGCCAGTGATGGCCACCAACGTGGATGGCTTTAAAAGAGGACTGGACAAATTCCTAGAGGGTCATAGGGCTACCAGCAGCTACTAGTCATGACAGCTGTGCTCTGCCTTGGCAGTCAGAAGCAGGTGAATCCCAGTTATTGGAAACCACAGGAGCAGACAGGGCTCTTGTGCTCGGGTCCTGCTTGAGAGTTTCCTACGGTCATCTGGTTGGCCACTGTGAGAAGAGGATGCTGGACTAGATGGGCCAGTGGCCTGATCCAGAAGGCTCTTCTTATGGTCTTAACAGTCATGGAGAATCTTGGGAACTGTAGTTTGGATACTGGGAACTGTAGGTCTGTGAAGTTGGCATAAAGTTACCAGATGTCCCCATTTCCTGGGGACAGTCCCCGGTTTTACACATCAGTCCCCATACAAAATCCATTGAAGTTGAAAAGTGTCCCCGGATTCATTGAAAAAAATCTGGTAACCTTAAGTTGGCACCCTTAACAAACTGCAACTCCTGGGATTTTTTGGAGGAAGCCATACCTGCTAAAGGTATGGTGTGGATGTGGCCTTAGTTTGAAGCAGCAATAAGCCACCGAGAGTTCTGTAAGCGCCAACAAGATGTTGCAGCGCGGGGGCTTGGGAAAGGAGAGTATCGCTTTAGCCTCATTTGTGCTTCTCTCCCCATCCCTTCTGGAATTCCCTAAGGTCCCATTGGTGTCTTCTAAATTTACAGAGCAAGAATTCACCACCTCGGAGGAGGAGGTTAGTTTATAAGAGACCTATGCTAAGCATGCACTTGCTCAGCAGTGTTCAGAAGCATCTCACAAGATGCTTGTTTATTGGGCCATCAAGGTGGGATTTTCGGGCATAGGTTGGGGCCTCCGTTCAGCAGACTGAGAATGAGCCCCCCCCCAATACAATTACTGCATTTGGAAGCTTAGCCTATTTATGCATTATTCAATTTTTAAAAATGATACTGCTTCAAATAATTGCAATATCCCAGCGGTTTACAATAAAAGATACAATGGCGGCAATTAAAATGCAAGCAACGTCCAATGCAGTTACCTTGAAAACCAGATTAAGAATAAGATTAAGAAACCACCACTGCATATATCTCAAATAAAAACTGAGCCATGTAGAAAAAAGGAAGAGTCAGAGTCCAGGAAAGCTTGGGTAAACATACGAGTTTATAATAAGTGTTTAAAGGTCATGACTGTCTCCGCCTCACGCCCCACTCAAGGGTGGGCGTTCCAGAGGGGTGTGTGCGGTGACTGAGGAGAACTGCTTCAGTGTTACCACCGAGGAATGATCCTCAGGTCATGAAACAACCGCAGGGTCTCCTCTGGAGACCTAAGGGCACATCCACTCCATAGAGTTAAACTGGCCTAACAGTCAATCCTTCTTCCCAGGTAACTCTGAGAATTGTAGACTTGTGAGGGAGATAGAAATCCCCTGACAATTCCTAGCACCCATAGCAAACTATAGTTCCCAGGATTCCTTGAGGGAAACCATGACTGTTCAAGTGGTATACAATTGATATAAATATATAGTGAAGCCATACACCTTCTAAAGGGAGGGGCCCCATAAGACCGTTAAGTCCCAAGTCTAAGATGACCGCATACATGGGTCTGACAAAGACCCATCCCAACCAACGAGAACCACAACACCCAGCTGGTAATCATTGGTCCACCAGAAAAGGGCCAGGGTCCAGTTTGGCCCACGAATTAATTGTATTGAATTCCCCACCCCCACCCCAACCACCATACACTTGTCCCACACATGACATAATATATCAGGCTCTGTGGGTGAGCAGACCCTCCAAGCACCCCTGTTTTCTAGGGACGCTCCCAGATTCATCCCAGTTTCTGATCTGATCTCAGAATGTCCCGATTTTTACCAGAGACATGTTGGAGGATATGGCAGGATGCCCCTATTTTCATCAGAGAAATGCTGGAGGGTATGAACTAGGACGTCCCTATTTTCATCCGATAAATGTTGGCTGAAAAACACCTTTGCCCTATTTAGAAAACTATCCCTTATGCCCCAGACTGTTAAAGGTTTTTATAAGGTATCGCTCGGCCTTTCCATAAAACTCTGGGCCGTGTGATGCGGAGGGTGAAACTCACTCACTTCCTGGTTCCCCACCTCCAACAAGTTGGCGTGGGGCGAGGGAACGGTTTCAGCCTCGTAAGAAAAATGGACATGGTTCATCGCCTCCTCTCTGTTTCCTGGTCCTAAGGAGGCAACGAAGCTATAGAGAAACCAAACGGTTGATAAGAAACCGCCTGGGAATATGTACTCAAGGATAGGATAAAAGCAACTGCAAACAAACAGTCTTTGCTCGGGCTGCTTTGTTAAACAAGGCTGCTGCAGAGGTCATCGTCACTTACATAAACTCCAGGGCAGAGCAGGAAAAGCCTTGTGGTCCAGTATGCTTGACTCCAAGAATGGTCAGCCAGTTGTCTCTTAGAGCTGGGGATGGACCATAGATCACCTAGTTTCTTTCCCATGGCTACTAGCCACAATGGCTATGTCCTCCCTCCATTGTCAAAGCAGTCATGCCTCTGAATACGAACTGGGAATCACAAGTAGGGAGAATTGCTGTTGTGCTCAGGTCATGCTTGTGGGTTTCCCATTGGGGCATCTGGTTGGTTGCTGCGAGGGCGGGATGCTGGACTAGATGGGCCACTGGCCTGATCCAGCAGCTGCTTCTTATATTCCTATGCATTCCATCACACATCTGTTCTATCTCAGTTTTTAGGCACTTTAAAAAAAACCAAACCATTTAAATTGTCTTGTGCTCATAACTACCATAACTAAATAACTGGCAAATTGCTGATGTCCCAAAGTCTACCACTTGAGGTGGCAACTTCCCTTCTCCTTGTGGAGTTGGAAATGCAACTTAATAAAAGAAAAAGAAATCTGCAACCCAATGTGGAGATCTGAAGATTGGGGGAAATCTCAGAGAAACTAAAATGGACAGATTTTGCCCATCCATACCTGGGCCTTGAACCTGGAGCCTCTTGCATTCCAATCAGACAACCTATTGCCCTGAACTGTGGTCCTTTACCATAGCATGCATGGGGAGGGGGGGAGAGAACACCCATACTGCTGCGACCCTATTCTGAGACATGTGGTTGCTGTTCCAGGATTTTTCTGCCACTGCAAATGATCCCTAGGTGTGGTGTGTGAAAGGAAAACTTTTCTGCTCTTGCATCCCATGGATTGAGGGGCCAGCTGGTATTATGGAGGAGTTTTGTGGCACCCATTTGGGGTGAGCCTCCATAAAGGTGTCTCATTCCCCAGGCTTTCTATAATCAGGGATTATATGTGTGCGTGAGATTTCTAGCCTTTGGGAAATTCCCTTGGCAGCGCTGATGCACTTCGGTGAGTGAGTCAATCAGAGACTGACTTCTGACCTGTTTAGTTTTTTTTAAAAAAAAGAAAGTATCACTATACATGTGGGTGTGCATATGATGTAAATATGGACATTTATTTATTGGCCATCT